AGGTGGATACGAAGTTTGCGCTACCTCACGCATGCCCTACGTAAATTAACTTCGCAAGGCCATTAGAACGCCCCTGTGCGATGTTACTAAGATTGGCTCCGGCTTGCATTGCTGATTGTGTTGCAGTGAAAACGTGTTGCATTTAGATGATGCCGACGAAGCCGACTGCATCTTGCCATCCTACAGGGTCTGTTATTACTAAAGCAGGTCAAGCGAAGTATTGCACGAGACAGTTTCAATGCGATCTAAAATAGGGGAACGGCTCTGCAGGCTGGTCGTTTCCGCCCATTCACGACGGATTCCCTGAATCTCATTTCACTTCAGATAAAGTACTGTCTCGTACCTGTACAGCGCTAGTGCTTCTTCATGCGATTAAACTCGATTGGATCGGGCGCATCGTTCATGAAATCCCGGTTGTATGGTGAAGAAAAAGCGACATGCCAATCCTGTGCTGGGTCAGCTCGGAAGTGGCAGAGCAGTGCCCCAAAAAGAACACCCGAAACTCGTGGCAACAGATCGCGAGTCGCGGACCTGCCAAAGTGGAGCAGGAGACCAGGGGTTGGCAACTTGGCATACAATGCTCCCAGCTTGAAAGAAGGGGCATTGGAGCAAACTACATTACGAAGCACGCGTACATTCACGGAGCATCCTTGTTTACACCCCCTGGATAGGTGTATCACTTTCTCTTGGCTGCTGCAACGCACAATCCATGAATTGCGTCGTCCTCCCTCTAAAGCTAGATTTTGGCGATGGTTCGTATACGCCTTATAGGGATCTGGATCTGAGTCATGGCTGCCGCCGTAGTTGGCCTGCCTTAATTTAGTCATGTACTAGTCAACACGCGAGCACATGACTCCAGGATAAGTTTCCTACTTCAAAGTAGCTTGTGTCTTAAAGATAATCTTGTGGCAGAAGCCCTTCCTCGTCAAACGTCGCAGCGTGACATTTACTTCTTGGTATCTGCCATGTCCGCCTATTGTTTTCACTTTGGTTGAACAAGACAGTCGTTACAAGCAAGAGCTTGCAAGCCGGCGCTTACTACTCAGGTCTTGCAGAGAGGCAGGTGTCTATCAGCGACCGTTGGCGCAAAAGACATCCTGTGGCTCTTCAGAAGCTGAAGTTGAATACAAGATACATTTCGACTTGTCAAGGAAGATGCTCCATCGTATGGAGGCGGCGGAGCCTCATGATGACTGCGACGAGGGACGACGCGTCCAATCTGCCAACGAGAGCAAGCCAGTCAGCCCCAGCAAGACAATAGCTCTTTTAGCCTGGACGGTTGTCAACACTCTCGCAACAATTGGAATCGTCAGTGTACCGTCAAGGCCTCTGTCGATGTTCCCATGGCACTAACACATCCCTGGAGGTCTTCATGAACAAAGCCATATTCTCCAACGAGCGTCTCAAGCTCGCCCAAACCAGTTTTGCCACGTTCCACTTCTTAGTGACGTGGCTGACTCTATACACAATATCACGACCACGGTTCGCACTCTTCAACCCGAAGAAAGTTCCGCTACTTGAGATTGTGCCACTTTCGATCGCGATGTCACTCAACGTCATTCTTCCAAACTTGTCATTGGCATACTCGAGCACGACATTCTACCAGATGGTGCGCATCTTGCTCACACCATGCGTCGCGGCGATGAACTATATACTATACGGGGCGACGGTTTCTTGGAAAGCGATGATGGCTTTGGTGCCTACGTGTGCGGGAGTCGGGATGCTGTCCTACTACGATTCCCGCCCGCAGGCTAGTGCAGCCATCAAGGCAACCGATCTTTGTGGCGTGGTGTTTGGGTTCTCGGGAGTCTTTGCCTCTTCACTATATACAGTCTGGGTGGCTGGATACCACCGCAGGCTACAGACATCGAGCATGCAGCTTCTCATCAACCAAGCTCCCATATCTGCGCTACTGCTTTTATACGTCATACCCTTCGTTGACACACTGCCGGCGCGCAACACTGTTCCTTGGAACGGATGGGCTATGGTTCTAATGGTACGTTACTGGGTTGCATCAAGTCTGGCTCCAGTAAACTGACCACCTCAGTCCGGCCTATTTGCGTCGTTGATTAACATATCTCAATTCTTCATTATAGTACAAGGCGGGCCTGTCCTGAGTACCGTGGTTGGTCACCTCAAGACTTGTTCCATTGTTGGTCTCGGTTGGATGGCCTCTGGAAGATCAAAGAGCGGCGGGCCCACCACAAGTATTGTTGTGGCTATCGTGGGAATTATATCGTAAGCCGGACCGTCTATGCTATTCACCTGCAAACTGAGGCTGAGATCAGGGCTAAAATTGTTAGGTTTTCGATACTAACTTTAATGGAAGGTAAACCACAGCAAAGACGATAGATCACACCAGAGTGTGCCAAATGCCTAACATGCACTTCGTATTTTATCGATTCAAGATATTTGCGAACTTCGATAGTACATAGGAAGAGGGTCTGGGGCTAGCAGCAGTAAGGGGGATCTGAGCGCACATGCAAGTTCCAAGATGTTCGAAATTAGATCGCGATGCTACAGTTACATGTATTGCAGCAGTGTATTGAGCATACTTAATGTGGAGCCTGAGTCTCAAACTCTTAGCTATGGTACATGAGCCGATATACAATTATTGTATTGCGCAGAGGTTCCGGAATCGACCGTCTGAAGGTGGGTTTACTCGCCAATCTAGCCACAGGAGAAGGCCTTCCCGAAACCTCGCTGGGCTTTCCGAGTACTCCCACATCGCATTCATGAGGTCTGAGTCGAACTTGCCCGTCTCTCTCCAATAGCCCAGGTAAAAGTCTTGAAGGGCATCGGCGCATCTTCCGGGTCTTGCGAGGCTGACGGCATGATCTACAACTTGCTTCACCTTCGTAGGTAACCCGTCATAGATCCAGTCCAGTTCGTCCTTAGCTAGCACCAAGTCAGAATTCCCTCACCATATCAAAGTCTAGGATCATACGGGTCTTAAGAGGCGGCATCCCTCAATGCTCACTCCCGATAATATATCAGAGTTGTAGTTGAAACGGTCGAAACTCGATAAATTAGGTCTTGCGAACGGCAAGAAAGTAAGGGGGCAAATCGCGCGTTCGGTATCAGATATGGATATAGACTTTAATGACTACTTGAACTGTCCGGGCGGAAAGTAGGATTTCGCTTGACCGAGTTACTCAGTCTTGCCTCGAGACGAAGAAGAATCGCGATCAGGCCCATATGTATCCAAGGTGTTTAGTGTCGCTCGCACACTGTCACATATTAATAGTCATTTCCGTTCTACTTGTTCATAATTGCTCAGTCTTGAGGGTCTCTGCTTGCTGTTGAAGCAGCTGTTGGACTCATGCGATTAGGTCATGAAACGCGACGCCTTCTTGCCACAGCCGCGACTGGCGTGTCTTTCCTCATGTTCGAATCGGCCACACGCGCGACCATGGAAATAATAGTCGCTGTTCGGTCAATTTCTGAAGCGGCTGGTTGCTGAAGCTAGTCAGTGGTACGTGATAATGATCCTGGACCATTGTCAAACTCGGCGGACTGAGGCTGCCTATCATGGCAGTAGTCGGTCTCAACATGAGGTGATACTTCGAACCAAAGGAACAAACGAAGCCGGCGCTATATGCCACGTCATGCCAGGCTTTTAGATAATGGCGCGTGTTTTGGTCGGGTCACAGCTGGGCAAGCTGCCGCCCGGCGGAAATTCACGCACACATGCACCTTTGCAATTATGCCACGCATTTCTCGTGGCGCACTGGTCACCGAGGAATTTAGTACACCTCTGTCTAGAAATTTCGCCAACACTATATGGCAAAGCTGATCCAGGTCGTGAGCATATATAGTAGCGCTGGTTCCGAGCGCATGGAACCTCCACAAATGGTGGATGGAATCCTCATCGAACTAGATACGGAGGGTTTAGACATGGCTGCTCAATGATAAACATGTCGCTAGTATCCTAATAATTAGTCGGCAATGAGCAGCCGAGGATTACTGCATATAATCAAGTTGGCTCGACTGCTCAGGCTGAACGGCAACTATCAGGCGTGCACCGCCCAATGGCCCATATACACGGACGACGGAATTCAACAGTCGTCACTCAGCATGCTTTATGCGGGCAGGTCTGCTCAGAGCATTGGCCCACCACAAGGATGTCCGTCACTAACAGCTGAGGTAGTAATTTGTGACATACCAAATGTTCTGCGATTCGACGCTGGCTGAGACGCGGGCTGCATGTAACCGCACGGGTGGTGTTGCAACAGTATTCATGAGCACAGCCAGACACTGCAGGTCACGAAGTAGGATACTGGATATATCGCGATCCCGGCATGAGCTGCACAAAACCACAGACTTGCTGGCCCCTTGACATTTTGCAACTCGCAGCGGCAACGGTCCATCACACCTCACACAGACGTCACAAGTCAGGTCAACGCTCAAACCTTCGAAGAACACGTCAGATAGCTTTAAATTGCGGGCACTGAGCTCTACAGTCTCAGCGTATTATGCAGCTGTTGTGCAGCCTGTGTGTTGCCGAGAGGGGTCAACCGGACAGACTCCGGTCCTTCGTGGTGCATTACCGCCGAGTAAAAGGTCTCGGAAGTGCAAGATGCGAGAGCGCAGCACTACAGGGATCAGGGGAGGGGGGATTCGGAAGTACTGAGCTGAAACGGCTCTGCAGAGTGCAGGTCTATTGCTTATGACGAGCCTGCATGCACCTATGATGAAGCTGCCCGCAATATTACTCATGTGTCTAGGTCGTATATTTTGTATTTCTGCAGTTGCTTCATGTCGTGCAGTGTGACGCATAGCCTTCAATCACGTCAAAATGTCGCGGCAGCGGAGGAGAGGCGTCGAATTGTGTCGGCCTTAGGTTCGCGAGTGATACTGGTAGCCATGATAAATATCCCCATCTGCCTTCCGTTTCTTGCAATGGCGTACTTTCATTACAACAGTAATAACCAACATTTGCTGCAACTATCGAAGTAACGAGTCATCCTTCCATTCTTGATTCTTCCCCAACGTTCAAAATGTTGCCACTGAGCTATCTTGGCTGCGTCAACATTGGCGTACGCCTAGTCAGGGAGCAGTTTCCAGACGCGCAGCTCTACGAAGTCCAGGGGGCTGCCCCCAACAATGCCGCTGTCATGCGCGTGACCGAAATCACACACCTACACCTTGTGTTCCAAGCCGAAGAGGGCAGGGGCACGGCATTCATCACTACGGCCGGCAGCTGGGGTGAGTTTGGCCCCGTGTACTATGTTGGTCAGCCATGGCTGGAAGACGTTGTCATTCCGTGGCCCATCGACATGGATGCCAGCGAGGCAGACAAGCTTCTGAGGGCGGAATACCACGGTCCTTACGACAGTATGCTCCTGCGTCATCCCCTGTACCCAGGCGACGACGAACCATACTACATCTTTCACATGGTGGATATCGGCTTTGTATTTGTCGGTGTCAATTCGAAGAAGGTTTTCCGGCCGGCTCAGGACCTGGCGGAGAAGATGGCCATTCCGACGTCGGTTGCGAAGAAGGACTGATCAAAATGAGGCTGCAGCGCTTCAAGACACGTCAGGCATTGATCCAATGACTCCGGGCTGCGCCCTGCCTTTCCTTCATGTTGAAGCGGGGACTTTCATTTACTTGGACTGATACGTTGTGTCTCTCTTGAACTTAGCTCGGATCAATCGTAATACAAATACTGTTTACGCTCGTTTGTTGGCATTAACAGGCGCTGCAGGTATTGAAGGGCCAAAGGTGCTGTTTAATTTCCATCACACGCGCCAAGGTCATGCGATCTTGGTACAAAGGTGAGCTTCCTCGATGAGTTAACTAAGCGCTGGCATTGTGTGCAATTGTTGCTCGAACGGGCGTCGGCCAAGGCAAGTCCCTCTCAGGGCGGCCCAGACGGCAACAACTCCTTCTCCCGCCGATATGCGGCCGGTGGCGTTGCGGGCTTAAGCCTTTCGGGGATCGTAAATAAAGAGAACTTGCTTTTCTTGCTCCTTCTCCGTCCCCAGCCACTCCGCTGATTCGCATTGGGCGTCTTCGTCCTCGATTTGCCGTCCTCGCGAGCGGCTCTGCCGCTGACCTTGCCGCCCGCGTTGTAGCCGCGGGTCGTGTTCCTGTTGCGCCTGTCGCGTCGGCGCTTGAAGAAGAAATAGAGGCCGACGATGATGAGCGTGCAGGGGATGGCTACGCAGAAGCCGATGATGAACTTTGTGCTCTGGCTGTCGCCGCCGCTGTTCTTGGCCGCGAGCCCGCCGGCGCCGATGCCGCTGCCGGCGGTGCCTGCTGCCGACGCGCGGCCAAACAAGGAGGAAATCTGCCGGCGTTCTCGCGTCAGCTAGGCGCCCTGATAACTGGGGGGCCGGGCTATTCGCCTGCTACAACTTACAGCGCTGCGAGGGATGATCATAGGGGTACATCAAGCAGTGACGCTCCGTTCGGGGGCGTTTACGAGGGGAGTTGGTAAATGCTCTGTCCGGCTCCAGAGCCGGAAGTTGATGGTTTTGGAGAGGCCAGCGAGTGATTGCAACTTCAACTCCCTACGGCACGATGTAACTGGCATTCCTTCGCATTATGTATCGCCGATTCGCCAAACGCCGAGTGTCGTGTATGACGTCGGGATCCACCATCACTCTTGGCATCGTGAGCTGCATTCGGGCGAACAGCTTGGCGCCAGTCTGCTAGAACCGATCAGGTTGTTTCTGTAGCTGCGTTGCCCAAGATGAATTGCCTCTGATCCGGAATTCGCGATGAGTGATGGCCCCTGCTCTGGCGGCCGAGGTGAGCTTTACTTTGTCCTCTGCTGTCTTGATGTAAGTCGCCGGCCATGCGCACACGTCCTCCTACTTCGCCTCGCCAAGACAACTACTGCTGATCAACTGCCGACAAGCGCATCCTTCAGACATGAGAGGCGAGAGCCGCCAAGAGTGGTAGCTGACGCCCCGGTCTCATGCTAGAGCTTAAACTCTTCCAGCGCCGAGAATCTGCCACTCTCTTGGCTTAGACGTTTGTTTGCGATTGCTCCTGTCTGCACATGGTGCACGATGTAGATACTGCACGCATCTATCCCTGGGTCAGTCTTCATGCTCACTAGGGGCTTGTGCATATTGACCGCCGAAATCGCGCGACGACGTCGCAGCCACCCATTTGGCAGGCATGTTGCGTGAGACGGCGCCGGAGCTGCCTCACCCACCGAGCACAGGGCACCGCCAGTACCGTGAACGCTCCGATCGTCTGGACTTACGCAGCTTCTCCCCCAAGATAGTGCCTATCCCTGAGCTCTCCGTGGTCTCAGTCGGCAGACCGCCTTGCGCCGCATCATGTTGCAGATACAGGATCTACAGGATCTACAGTACTACAGTATACATACAACATAGAACTGGCTACAGATGACCACGGCCTCAGGGCAACTGTCTTCGTCACATTGCCCAAGCGTGCTCATCGATCTGCCGAAGTGCCATTTCGCACCATACAGAGTTAGGCGGTCTCTGGCAAGACGACGTATAAGTAGGCCTGCCCTGTTCGATGCGTCGCGCTCCATCAGACAGCAATTACGGCATCGCAAACGTGTTGACCTCTACTGCACTCAAAATGAAGTTTGCTGTTATCGTTTTCGCCTTGGTTGCCCCGGCCCTGGCAACCCTGAACGTCGCCCGGTCCTGCCATGTACGACGATATCTCACCGTCTTGATATACTCTTGAGCCCCTGTTCGGAGTGCTGACAACGACGACCGTCCGATAGCCCAAGGGCGGCAAGTGCGACCCCAGCGGAACGGTGAAGAATGCCCCCATCCTAAAGCCCTCGATTTGTGCGTGTCCTTAACTCATCTCCGGGTTTTCTGAATGATTAGATCGCTTGCTGCGACAAGTACCGCTGTGTACAGGGCAAAAGCCAGCGCCCCTGGGTATGTGAAAAGTCCTCGACCCCTAGAGGCGACTCCAGTTGCATTGCGTGGAACGCGCTGACAGACGTAGGGGCGGTGCGTGAGGTAGAGCTTGGAGACACGGGCGATATGTAAGTGACAGCTGGGTCGGGCTGGGAGATTTGAGGGCTGCCCTGTGCATGCAGGTAGCGAACACCATGGCTGTCGTCTCTCGATTGCTCCGTCATTCCAGCATGTGAACGGAACCGTCCTTCGAATGGGTCTTCAGAGCCTGTATCTTGAGATGCGGTGAAACCCGGCATGGGCAGGGTCAAGCCTGGACGATACTATCTCTCATAAACGGTGCTATTGTATGTCGTCGACTTCGCCACGATGAGCTACCCAGCGCCTGAAAGGACGGTCGTCGTGGGCCATCAAACCAGTCTCCGACCACTGGCCCAAAATGACGTGTCCCAGATCTGCCCGCGAACAGCCCACGCTCTGAACCGGCGCGTTATTCTAGACGCCGCAAAGAGCCAGACCATAAAACTCCGAGCGTCTCTCACTTCGAGGCAAATGCATACGTGTAGGCTCCATCGGCAGTCCAGGATGGAAGGCCAGGTCTCACCACCACGGGACCGCCGACAGGGACAGAAGCTCAGGCCAGCATGGCACAGACTTCCTGTTTCGGCCCATCACAGCGCACTGACGGCTCTCACAAACGCAGAAAGCGGTTTCAAATCGTAGCAAGGTGGGTGTTTCAAAGCCATCGGTCAACCTTGAACAGTTGCTCTCCATGAAGGCACACCCACATACAGTACACTACAATGGAGTGTGGCTGGCCCGGGACTGCCACGGCCAGACGGCCCGGATGTAGTAACTGCAAGGCAGCACCAGAAGTCCCAGCCGGCCCGTTTGGCTTGCGAGCGCGCCCCGACGGCATCGCCGTGGACCTCACTGGATCCTTGAGGTTGCAACGAAGCGGGCCCGGGCCGCCGTCAAGGACGCAACACGATGGATATAAGAAGTTTGTCCGGCCGTCCTCCCACACATCCTTAACCTTCTTCTCCGAACTAGCTGAAACGTCGTCCGCTTACCTGTTTCATCATCCATATCGAGAAGCCTCGACTCAAGCCTCGACTCTCCAATCAAGCACCGTTCAAAGCGAGCGAGAGAAGTCCACGCCTAGCCGCCGAGATGCATTTCCTGACCGTCCTTGCCATCTCCTTCGCGGCGCTCGCCTCTGCCAGCCCGCAGGAAGAGGTAGACCGCCTCCCCACGCTGTCCGAGTGTTGCTGCTGCAATGGCACGCCGGCGCTTGGCTGCTCGGCCGATCTGGATTGCAGCCCCATCACTCCGGGCAAATGTCGCTTCACCAAATGCCCGTTCTAGGCGGGGCGAGGAGACATGGAAGGATACGACCGGGACCAATGTCGAAACCAGGGTCGAGGGAGAACAGGACGCCAGCCACGGCTAATTGGCGCACACGACCACTAGGGGATTGAACTGTCGATGAGCATGTGGAATGCAATGTCTTTCATCTTCAAGGCAGCCTATCGTACACTACGACCCTGCACACGGAGACTGGGACTAGATAATGGCTGCATCTCCGGCTCCCGACTCACCACTCCGCCGTACATCTTCCCACAATAAAAGGGTATAACATTGCTCCCATAGTCTTTGTCCAATAAATCAGCGTCAAGAATGCCAACATGCTAGACCCAACCAACCCAAATGTTGCCAAATCCGGAACTCCAAGCATTATAACTCCATAGTATGGCCGTGATACCGTTCAACTCCGTGTAGAGCATTCACCATCAGCTAAAATCCCCGATCCGCGGCCCGAAGTACTCCCCGGGGCCAAGCGTCTTGAGCTCGCAGGAGTCGCCCTCACAGCCCATCTGCGAGACCTGATTGCCCCACCAGTCGAAGTCGGTCCCAGTATACTGCAGGCTGAAGAAGATGATGATGCCGGAAATGGCAATGCCACACGACCATGCCGCGGAGAGGACAAAGTTGTACTAGAAAAGTCAGCTTAGCCCGTCACCCCCAGAACGATGCAGAAATACGTACCTTGGACCACAGGCCAAGGAAGCGGGACTTCAGGTAGATCCACGAGAAGTAGGCAATGGGCACCGACGGCCAGACATACGACATGTTGTACGGCGCCCACACAATGCCCCCGTACATGATGGCAACGGGGTGAATTTGCCGCACCCAAGTCCAGTTGGGGAACTTCTTGCTTAGGACCCAGAAGAACACCACGATGACGACTCCCAGCGGGAAGCCGACCAGCGTCGCACTGTATTGGCCGCCGTGACCAAAAATCCTCTCCGGACCGACCGTGCCCCACAGCACCGAGGCGGTGAAGAAGGTGTTGACGCCCGGGCATGTCAGCTTGTATTGCGCATTCGGCGTGCACACGCCATCGATGTTCTGCATCTGGAAGTTGAGGACGCCGATGCAAACGATGGTGCTGATGAAAGTGGCGATTATTTGCGCAATGAACGTCTGACGGGGCGGGATCTTGACGTAGTGGGCCAGCTTCAAGTCGTTACAGAACCAGATGGCGTGGGCGCAAGTAACGTAGCCGAAGGACTTGAAGTAGTTCATGGCGAGAGCGTTGCCATCGACCCAGGAGCCACCGACGAACTCAGCCAAGACGTTGAGTGTCACCTCAATACCTGTCATGGCCTTGATGATGCCGACTGGAATCACAAAGACCACGCACAGGGCCAGACCATAGAAGACGACACCAGGAGAGGTGTGCGTGTCCCAGCCCACGATCCCGCCAATGCCCAGACCAATGGCAACCGCCAGGCAGATCATGTACCACCACTCCGGAACCTCGGGGTACGCTTGCATCAGTCGGTTGTGTACATCGAGGCTGGTATCGTCCTGCTTGGTCTTCTTCTTTCTGCGCAGGCTGTTGAACAGGGCCTTGAAGCCCATGACGATTTCGTGCCTGTGGTAGAGCGCGGCATACGTGAGCGTCGACGTATAAATGCCGAAGAAGAACATGTAGATGACAATGTTTCCAGCGCCCAGGAAGGGGGGAGAGTATTGCGAATACTTCTCCTGGTTGAAAAGGCCGTGGTCGTCGGTCGCTTTCGTGATGTTGTAGAGCTGCGCAAAGTGATCGTAGACTCGGTTCGTGTTGATGGGAAGGTATCCCGTGTTGTACACGTTCTTGTACCAGAATATTAGCACAACCCAAAAGGAGACGAAGACGCCGATGAACCGGTTCAGCGTGCTGAAGAACGGCACCATGAGCGGGTCGGCCGAGTCCCACAGCAGGACATTCCAGTCCCAGGTCGGGAAGGGGTTGACGCCGAGACCATTGTTGATGCCAGTGATGACATTGACGTCCCGGTGACCAGGCGCAATCCAGCTGATCCAGTTGAACTTGGACAGGCCAACCCAGATGTAGTTGGGGAACCAGAACCAGACAAACATGGCGCCGAACATGAGGTAGAAGAACTTGATGCGAGAAACGCGCCAAATCTTGCGGAAGGGCCCTTCGACGGGAGGGTTGACGTCGTTATGGAAAGCCGAGTTGAGGGCAATCGTGACGAGTGACGCGGGCCACACGCAGTATGACGGGTAAACGAGGAACCGACGGCACACGCCAGCCATACCATAGCCGATGAAGTTGGTGGCAAGGGCAATCAGCAGCTGGTATGCAAAATGCGATGCGTACGGCTGGTCAAAGTATTGCGGCAAATACTGCACCCAGATGATGTAGTTGGTGTACGGGGTGTTGTAGGCAACGTTGGCCATGATGGTGATGAGCATATGTTCCTTCTTGGAAAAGGGCCCCGGATTCAGCGAGTGCCTGACACCAAAGAGTGTAAAGCCCTTGTCGGGCAGCCAGTTCTCGGCAGCCTTGCCGATGGGGTACGCCAACAGCTGCGCGACATTGGCCATGACTCGAATCGCGGGCTGGCGGATGTCGAAGAGCTGGTTGATGAAGGCGAGCAGGAGCGAAAAGAATAGGCCGATAAACCAGCTTCGTATTGTCGAGCACGGCGTCTTGGGGTCATCCTTGTTGCTGACGACAGCACGGACTTCGGCGTACGGACTGTTGCTAGTGACGAGGGCGGCCTCGAGCTTCATCTCCTGGATGAGATGCTGGTGCTTTTCAGGATTGGAGAAGACAGATTCGTTCTCGAGAAAGGCTTTGATCTTCTGTATGACGGTGGCAGGAAAGTTTGGGTCTTTTTCGTGGATGCGGTGAACCCGAATCATGATGCTGCGGACTTCGTCAAGCGTGTATTGTGAAGCGAGCTCTTTGGCCTCGAGCAGGTCGTCTTCGGTGACATTGAGGTCGTGCTCGGTCATGGTCTGTTGCCGCTGCTGGGAGTTTGCGTACATGTAGCGATCGTCTTCGTCGTAGGAGAATGGTTCCTGCATTCGCGATGAAAGACGTCGTCAGCGCCGCCCTGGACTGCCTCGCAGACACAATCAAGGGTCCATCCAATGCCGCGAGCGACTTTTCGCCAGCCGGGCTCCGACGCCGTCACGGGCGCCGAGTAATGGCAGGGTTTATCCTCTTACCGAAGGATCCTCCGACTTGTTAAACGAGACGGCGGAAGGGCGACGAGGCACCTCGTCTGCCCCGCTCGTCGCGGCTCTCTTCTCGTCGTCGGCGGCCATGGCGGGCAACGGGGGCGGCGGAAGAGGGGGTCGCTGGAGCCAGAGCCCGCGCTGGGCTCGTCGAGTGTCGCAATGGCAGCACGATTTTCGATGCCCGCTGGAGCGAAGGTCGGGGCGGATGCGGGCTGTCGATGGCAGCGATTGATTGCAGGCTGGCTGGGGAGGATGAGGATGGGAAGGAGTCTGAAGATGGTTGGGCCAAGGAAAGGGCAGGACAGGGCAGGACGGAGGCGGGCTGGGGGGCCGGGCGGGCGTGGGACTGGGCGGAGTTTTTCAGTAGTACGGAGCAGATGGGGGCGCTTCCCGGGTATCTGGCTGGAGAGAATTATTCCCAGCGCAGGTCAGCGCTGCGCTGGCGTTGGCCGTGCCGGATCGCCGTAACCTCACCTGAGGTGCGCCAACGCCACCTGGCGCGGAGGGAGCGAGCCCAGAGCTGAGCTGGAACCCGACCACTGTGCCGTTGTGGGCCGCTGGGGCTGCAGGTTCGTTACAGGGGCGTCAGCCGCTGTGGACGGCGCTGCGTTTGGCCGAGCAGTTGATGGAAGCCCAGTACGGCTCAACGCTCAGCGACCCTACGCACCATGCGCCAACTGGCTGAACGGACAGGAGGCCGTGAGAAAGCAGTTCAGGTGCCCGGCTCAAGTGCTTGGAGCCACCCACCAGCCTCATGTGATGCCAGATTCCATCTCCCCCTCTTCCCCTCCCTCCCTGCCTCAGCCCCTCGTTGGCTCCTCGGTCACGAACTTCCCATAGGTGATACGTGCTACATGCCGGCCAGCACGACGAACAGCAACACGGGTCGCGTTGCGTCGTGTCGCATCGCGTCGCATCGCATTTCATCACGGCGCATCGCATCGCACCGTTCTGTCCCGTCCCCCGTCTTCCACTTGGCGCCTCCATCCGTCGCCGTCAGCGCGCGCCACCGCTCCGTCTGTCTGGGAGGCGGACCTGGTGCTGACGAGCGCCAGCCAGACCTTCTCCAACCAGCAAAGCGCGATGCCACCATCTCTGGAACTCGGATCCGCATTGGGCGGCCCCGGGCCCATGCGCGAGGTACTTGTCGGCACACGGCAGCGGAGGCAGAGACACAGCCCTGCGGCCTCGTCGCCCGCCTCCCGAGCCCCGATGCAATTGGCCAGGCCCCCTCCCCAAGCCAGTTATGCTTTGATGCCCGCTCGGCTGCCCGGCACGCCGAGTCTGATAGACAGACTAGGGACAGAAGTCGGTCGGACAGTCTCCGCAGCGCGACGAGTTGAGGAATCAGGACCCTCTCATCCTCTCACTACCGTCGCCCTGGCGGGCGTGGTCTCCCGCGGGGGAGGGGACGATGACCTGGGACCGGCATCGCCGCCGCTGCAAAGCAAAGCAAAGCGAAGCTCGCAAAGCGTCGTACATGGCCGTGGTCACGATGACGCCGTCGGGGACCGCGACTGGCCTCGACACTTCTCGTGCCGGTTGCCAAGGTCTCACGACACGAGCTGAGCAGGACTGTGTGTGTCCTGCCCGAGCAGCGCGGTCGCGAATGTCCAAGCCCGCTGCAAACGGCCGCGATGCCACGGCAGTCGGCAACCATGGCAGTTGCGGCACGACGTGACGATCTATCTCAAATTAAGAAGCGGACTGGGCGGGACCTGAGCCTGTCCCATCGCTTGGTTCCGCGCATCGCCAGGGGCCAGAACTAGTAACGGCACAGGATTCCGCAAGTATTGGCGAGTTTCGGCTGTGTTGTGTTCGCCGACGACTGTTTCGCCTCGGAGAATCGGCACGTATGGCGCACGCCGAGCACCCGCCAATGCCACCCGATGTTCCACGACATGCAAGCATCCGGCATGATCTTGGATAGATGACGGAAATGGGAAACCGCACGCATCGACCCTCCCACTAAGTGACTGCCGTTGTCGAGTCTTGTCGTGGTGCGCTGCCGATGCGGTCCCTCCAGAAAACTGCCGGTCATCTTCCTCAAGATTGCCCCTTGTGGTAGTGGTGGGCGATTGCTGGCATCCGGCCCCTTCGAGCCAGAATCGAGATCCGATGCTTCTGTTTGATCGAGGCGACCTCGTGCGGACTCTCTGGTGCAGGGCTCCCGCACAATAGGCGCGCTTCCCAGCCGCCGCCATGCCGCATCGCCCCGTCGCGCAGGTTTGATACCATCGCAGGACAGCCACCCGCACGCAATCTCGCCGTGGTCGGTGGGTTGGGTACGGACTCTGACCTGGGTACTTCCAAGTACATGCAAGTGGCGCCGCGCCACGTTGTTGGTGGCAGTCCGTTCACTGGTCCGACGACATCGGGCGCACCCGTCCAGCGATTCTGTCCTGCCAGACACGGGCAGGCTTGGCAAAGCGAGGCATCTCCCTGGCAAGTCGTGGGTACTCGTGTGTAACTCCCCCGTTGCTCTCCAATTTTGTCACTGAACTCCATGTCCTCCAGGGCGATGGCCTTCTGGAACACTGCCCCTCTCGGCCAATATCCGCGCCAGTACCTGATCGCCTCAGTCTCAACACACGACACTCCAAGCTTACCGAAGGTGAAACCCGCGTCACAATTGGGTGCCTCGTTTGGCTAGGCGGAGCGAGTTATCGTTGCGGTTGTTAGATTCATGCACAGAAGTCCTCCCATTCTCTATTATAGAAGGCGAGTGTTTCTGTTTCACTTCATCGTCTGTCACGAGTGAACCAGATCAGATTGGCCTACCCTAGACCGTAGCACTATTCTCGCGTCGGACACTGGTGATCAACCTTCGACCGGTCAAGTCCATCGGCTGCATCATTCTCGTTCTCGTCTAACTAACCAGGACTTAATAACTGGAATCCCCTTCTCGAAACAGGGTCTTCATCCTGCAACGCAGATGGGCTATGCTTTAAAAGCCTGGATCCTCTTAGCCTCGGCTTGCTTCCTGGAAGGCCAGCAACCAGGGAGGCTGCTTCTTGCGAGTAACACGGTTGGAAGTAAACAATACTAGCCCATAACCAAGGCGTCCTTAACCTTTTAAGCCCCTTCCTGTCTTCAACATAGATGATCAGCGATGAAATGGTGTCCATACAGGACATGTAACCCTGAGTATCACTGGGGTGCATTAGGTGGCGCACTGCCAGTTGTGCCTATCTTGACTTCTACGACAAGGATCAGTATGTCAGTTGACGTCTATTAAAAATGAGCATGGCGTACTTTGCTGCATCAGGAGACAGGCCAGAGCAATGTACGGAATGGAGCTTTCGCCGTTGTTCTACGCGGCGGCATCTTGCGAACAACGTTCAGTCTCGTCGGGCACGACCTGCCCCAAGTCGAACCACAAAGCAAGGCATTATAGTAGGGCAGGCATTGCACTTCTGGAGCAGCATCAAAGGTTGAAAAGTGAGGAGAGACAGCGTACGGAGTGGCTTCAACAAGTTTGTGCCAAAGATGAATCTCGGCTTGGTTTGCGATCCGTTGTTGCCCTTCCCCTAGACCTTTGCATTGGGACGCAAGCTCGCCAGGGTGTACTTCGGGGCAGACTCGGCACTGACGTGCATGCAATCTCGAGGATGTTACAATGGTCGAGCATTCATATACAAACTTAACTTTTGTTGAACCAAAAGGCTGCCTCGGTCAGCGCTGATGGCGGGAAGTCAGCAGGTCATGTCGACACCAAGCCCGTTCTCGCCCGTCCTTGAGGCTGGACTGCTCCCTATGATATGGCGTGCGATGTTTCTGGAAACGCAATTCGGGGAAAAGTGTGTCCTGCGTGGCATCCATACTTCCCCACTGACTTCAAGTCCAGAGTTGAGTGGTGCCTGGGTCATCTCGCCTGACTCGGCCACGTCGAAGAGTGACTAGCTAGTATACGTGCATCACGCTCGGACGAATACAAAATGTGTCGTTTCTGAATGGAGCATACGTTGCTCTGCTGCACATTGTCGGGCATCAGTTTGCGATGAAGAGGATAACGGCTTTCCACGAGTGATGATCGAGCCTCCATGTCGGCATCGGACACAGTCACAGCGGGCAATCTGCTTCACGCGTCATAAGACTGCCCGCGACTAGAAAGGCATGCGCGGGGATGTCTTGTGAATCTGGAATGGCGTACCATGCTAGCTGGAGTTCACCAGTCCCGAGAACGGCGATAACAACGGTGACGCGACGGCGGCTGCCGGCGAGTCCAGCATACAATAAACCATGCCACATGCTCTTTACAGTAGATCGATTAAGGCAGGCTGCCAATAAAACTATGACCTGAGATTCATTGCATTGAGAGACCTCAACAAGGCCAGTGTGTTGTCCGCCGTGGGAACATGAAGGCGCACTCTTGGGATAGTCACAAGTGTATATAACGCGGACTTGAGCTGCAGACCGGGGAAGCGAGAGGCGGGACCAAGACGCCGGAGGATCTGTAAAGATCACGAGAGAAGACTTCACCCGTCTTTGCGAGTTCCATGGGGATCACATGCCTCGCCGACTTCTGCTCACCCGGGCGGCGCGAACATATGGATTGGGCCAGTGCGACATGATCCACGTCAACGTATGGGGGCATAGAGCTATAAACAATCCATCCCGACAAAATCACTCCCTTGGCTGGTGACATCATGATCACAAAAGTTGGTATTCAAGCGAGGGTGTGAGGACGGGCTCAACAGCCAGTTGAGTCTTTGTCCCATCCGCACCGGCTCGAAGCATCAAACCGCCAACGAGAACCCATCTTCCGTTCATCATGAGGGCGAAGAAGCAATGCTTACAGTTAACTGAGCATCGAACAGTGGCACTGAGTTTGCTCTAACAGTCCACGAACAAAGGGTTCATCTGCACGGAGTAATTGAGTAGCTAGTTTCCAGATGTCGTGAACTTGCGCACCATTGACCCGGGGACTACGGTGGCAACATGCAATCACACTTGTGAAACCTCTAAGATGTAGATGGCAGAGGACGGGAACTTGCACAAGCTTCTGACCTCAGGTTTCTGAAGACTTCAAACTCTTCTTCCTGAGCAGCTCGGCCTCGATCGACGGCGCTCGCGGTCATTGTATCACCATCAGACAGGACCTATCCGTCAGACACGCATCCTACGGAGATTGCTAACAATGGCTTACTTGAGGCAGTGGTTAGACGTCGGCGGCGGCTTGATGAAGGCTGTTGATGTCTTTGCCCTTCTTCGTCCCAACAACTCCCAGTCTCCTGTCCCAGTTCCCTCGAGACTCTTGCGGGCGGGCCATTTCCCAGTCGGGCGTAATCGCAGCCTCGCAGGGCACAATGCACGAGGCAGATTCTACGGCACAGGTCCGGCCAAGCACTGCGGTAGAATTAGGTACCCGGTTAGCACCAGACACCCGGACTTAGCCACGTTGTCGCATTGACAAGGCTGGACGCCCATCGGACGCCAGGACGTATAGCCCAGAGCGAGACGCGTCGGCTTTCATCTGACGGGATTACCAACGACCGAATTTGCAATGATTATAAATTTGAAGAATGAGTGTCTCTCGACGCTGCTGATTCGGGCCGAGCTCGGACGCCAGCGTGATTCCACAGTATTGTCGGCCGTGTCAGCATTGATGGCGTCGCCAAGTGGTCCTTCTTATCCACGGAGGACTCGGAGAGAGCTTACGGAGCGAACAAGAGTCCACGTCCCCGACCGAGGTGGCCTATCGCACAAGGCCGCTGATGTCGAGGCGTGCATAATGGCTGGTGAATACATTGCTACCATCGCTCCGTTCATGCCCTTGTCGCATTTCGAAACGCGGGAACTCGGGCCTTGCAGGGCTGGGTGGGCGTCGCATGACCGACCGCCACCTTCCCGGCAGATCGGAACCACCAGACTTCGAGATACTAATGGAGGGACGTGCGAATATCCTCAGCAGCCACGTACAACAAATCGCGGTTATGAGTATGCGCACGCACGCGTAATGACTGTGGTTCATGCGGCTGCAGCTGTTGTCACGCACTACTTAAGGTTTACTAGGAGATCAGCTTGGCAGTCGTCCGAGGCCGTGGCCGTGGGGTGACCGACCGCGGTTTCGTCATTTGTCCCAGCTGGGGTCTTGTTCGGATATGCTCTGCTACTTTGCCGCATTGACGGCCGTTTCTCAGCTTCTCCCCGAATGGGTTGCAGGGTCCAATACCCGGGATACGGTCAGGTGAGTTCTCGGGGTGCCCTTGCGCCCCTTCGTCATGCTTACAGAGCTCCAGACGTGACCGTGCTCGTAAAACGCGTGCGGCGCATGGCAACCCACAGCCTTGTCGTAGCGCTCGACCACGCGACCGGGTACCAAGGTCAAGGGGGGAGGTGGCGGTCATCTCTCCATCTGCCGACGACCATCCCAGCACCTGGCCCCTTCCTTTTGCGGACCGCTCGGCACTTTGAGCCCAGGGCCAGCCTCGCAGATTCTCTCGCACAAACGTACGGAGCACTCGTAGACGACGGTGGTCCTGGCTGGGATGCAGGCATCTCGTTCGACAAGCGCATGAGGACGGGCATGCGCGCCTCACGAGCACGAGCATCAGTCGGCCAAGAGACGACCTTGCGATGCGTTTGTTAAGCTTTTATTGCGCGTTCACTCTCCCTCCCCCGCCTATCTAACTTAGTATCTAGTACCCCCTTTTCTTGTCTTATGTCGCTTGGACTGCGCCTCGTTTCCAGGGACTATGATAAACTTGCGGGCCAGGGAAACCAGGCGCGCAAACCAGAATTTCGCCGTCATGGTTTTGGCCATACTTCGCACCCCCTCCGTCGAAGCGACGCACAGAATGCGTGGGCAAAATGACGAATGACGCCTGCGGCGAAGCGCCCAGGCGCGCCTCTAGCCACGACCACCACCATCACCTTGGCGGATCGCAATGACCGCGCATCTGGAATTTCCAAGTTTGTTGGCAGTAGCATCTCGCTTCGGGGCTTCGGTACCAAAAGTCTACGGTCGACCCCCCTTCCATCCGCCCCTCCCCTGGTGGCCGACCCACGTCCAGAGAGTGCCGCTCGTCGAGCCGAGGCTTATTATGGAACGACACGGAGCTAAGCCTTAAGGCCCGGAAGGGGTCTTTCGCAAAAATCGGGGACCCAAGGGGGGGGCGTCTGGCTCGTTAAGCTGCTTGTTGCTTGGCTGTGCGTGCTAGCATTGAAGGTCCGTGGAGCGTTGGAATGCGCGACAGCTTCCCGATAGGGGCATCGGTGCCGTCTGCTAGTGGACTGGTCCCAGGGCTGGTTTTGCCTAAATTCGTGCAGAGCGAGCGGCCGAGCGATGGCAGGCGCTTCCAAGCGTGTTCCGGAACGGCGATCGATCTCGGTTGAGGTGAGTTACCATGCATGCCCTTGCGATGTTTTGTGTACATACTTCGTAGTCCGCACTTCGTACAAGTATTCCATCATCGTCAGCAACGACGCCGACGTCAGTAATATTCCGGCCGCACCCTCCCCTTGGCCAGCTTTATTACTGCGCCGCTCATGACTCGGCCGAGCGGCCGGATGTCAGCGTCATGGTTTGAATGTCGCCCGGCCCGCCGCCAGACGTCTGGTCAGCGTGAACGAAAGTCGGTTGGACCAGCCAGACTCTTGTCGAGGCGGCGTCTGGTCCGGACCCCGTCATCATATCCAGGTGTCTGGGCAGTGGTCCTCCGGCGGAGCCAAGAAACCTGCCGCGTCGGCGGTTTACTTGCACCGCCTCTCGCGCGACTTCGGAGTGTGTACTGTGCTCCGTACTTCGTGCTGGTGGCACAACTTCGGTTCCGCAGTACCTGGACTCGACACGGTAGGGCGCCGGCGGGGACCCGGGCTTCGCTCCCTGCCTTGCTACTTGCCGCCAGGGCTTGGTAGGCGAAGGCGTGTAATCGTAGGCAAGCTGCGGTGGGCCATTAGTCGTCGGCATCGGGAATCGACGAGCCAAGGCACGAAGCAGTCAGGGCAGGGCCCGCACGCTTGGGAGGGAAAAGGCGCCGGCAAGCCACCCTGATGCGACGCTGCGGACGTACACGAGTGGTAGGCTCGATGTAAACGCCGATGGCGCGCGCCCAGCCCTGGGAACGGCGTTTCCATCGCGTGCCCACAAAAACGTCAGCACGGTCGGAGGCACAGCAGAGCGGGATTGGGAAACAAACAAATGGAAGTAGCCCTTATAGCGCCCAATGCATGCACACGTGAGGCGCTGCTTGCTGCCTTTGGGTTTACCTCCGACGCGAGCGCGGGTGAGCGATGATGCTTGAGACATGAACGGCCCCGAGAAAGTCGGCGGCCCATGGCGTGAGGCCCGAGCCGGTCGGCCTTGGATTTGATTCCAGTGTCAATGGCCGGCCAGCAGGACTTTGGTCTCTGGGGTCCGCATCCGTCTGACCGCTGCTGCGTGGTATCAGTCCAAGGAGCGTGGCAGTAATCAACCGGTTTCCGCCTACCCCTGGCCCGCAGATCGACAAGTGTATCGGGTGAAAGATGAATCAAGCCAGCGGGCGACATCTACTAACTAAGTAACTAGTTGATGAACAAAGTCCGCCCGGTACGTCCCCATCACGCAACACACACCCCCCCTTCGTTCCCACGTCACTCGGGGCGGAAACGCGCGTAGGGCTCCAGTCCGAACCGCAACCCACGTCTATATGCTTGTTCTGTTTCCCCCATAGCGGAAGGGGGTCCGCCTTGCGTCGCTCGGTCGAACCCAGCATGCCCTGGGACGTCGTTGCGCCGTGTTGCTGCACCCCACGGCAGGGCAAATTGTCTTTCCCACCCCCTCTCATTACCCAGCCAGCCTTTCGAAAGAATGGAAGGGGGAGGGGTCAGTTATCTGAACGTTCGAGAGCTCTTATTTGTGTGGTACGCGATGAGCGTGCAAGTACGGGTACATGGCTATTTCTTGCTCTGGGCTTGTACGAGCATGCCGGGCGATGCAAATGTTATTCCCGGTGCTGCCGGTGTAACATGGACTGATACGCCCAGTCAGGCGTCATGTACATACCTAGGTAGTTATGTACTTCGTGCACCGATGTCATAGTATGGACCGGTTGCGCCACCAATGTCTTTTTTGTGACGGACGCCCGTCATCTTCGGCAGTTGAACCCCACGCCGTATGCTCGTGATGGCCTCGTCTCGCCAGATAGAGGAGTGTCGACCACTCCTCGATGTCACAGGCCACGCAGGGGTCTTGGACAGAAATCGCAAACGCAGCCTCTGCAGCGTGGCTGACGGGCGCTTGGCGGTTGAGCCGAAGAGCTTCCTGCCGCCTCCCGGACGCAGGGCCACAGCTCACATGCAGTTGTCATGGGCTTGACATGAAGTTGGTGGTGGTAGTGGTGGTATGGAGTGCCATTCGCTTCCCAATGGCACGCCAGTAAGTTCACTCGACTGCCGGGCACCATGCTCCCCCCACCCCTTCCCATCCTCTTCGACTGAGCGACATAAGCATACACCGTAGGATACAAGGTGCCAAGGCATGAAGTCCCGTGTTAGTAGTGCGTTGTACCGAGCTCGCTCGCTCGCATGCCCACGGGTCGCATGGCACGGCATTTGCAGCCCAGTTCGGCAGCAAGAAAATTGATGGCACCGCAGGGCGCGCAGCAAGGCGGCCCCCCGGGTCGCACGAATCCCTCTGTTGCTTCCTCTCCCAGTGGGCATGCGCGTTCCATCGCCTTGGCTATTTTGGTAAACTTGCTCGCCCAGGCGAGGCGAGAAATTGAATCAGCCCTGCCGGACGGCACGGACCCTGCCCGTGTTATATAAGTTGCACAGAGAGGGAGGCCAGGGGCCTCGACGTAGAGGCAGTGATACATAGACTACACACTTTGTAGCCCGTATACACGCAATCGTTTGGCCTCGTCGGACGGAAGGACGGGCACGCGCGTCTTGTGCTCTGGAGGACTGTGCCGCACCGCGAAGAGAGGGGGCACAGGGGGCACCAGCATCAGCAGCAAGCAGCGGGCCAATGCCACGAGCCTTGGACCCGAAGGATCGATCACTCAAGCGACCGCGCGCCCTCCGAGCCTCAAGCCTTCTTCCTTGCACGGCGATGCCGAAGGATTCGCGCGCCAGCGGCGACGGGCAGGCAGCCACCAAAAAATATCGTGAGAGGGGGGCTCCGACGGCCGCTCCTCCGGATAACTGCCGTCGTCCCGTCGGCCGCAACAAAGAATACGGCTGCCTGGGCGCCGCCGCCGCAGAAGTCCCGCCGTGGATCCCCGTGCTGGGCCCCGAGGGGGGTCCATGCTCCGGAGAGGGGGGAGCACGGAGCTGGTCCAAAACGCGCGCACGACCACGACTGCGACGACGGACGACAGGCAGTGGACAACCAAATGCGACGACGAGAGGGCGTCGTTTGTCCGGCATGCTGCTGTGCTCTCAGCGTAGGTGGCATTCAGCCAAGGACAGTCCGTTACACGAGGGGCCAATAGCGGTGGTGGCCGGGGTGCCCGATGGTTGACGTTGGAGACGCATGACAGCCTTGCCAGGCCCCAATGACGATGCACGTGCATACCCTGTATCATGTACTGTTCGTCGTCCATTGTATGTGCAGATGGGGCACAGTTGGCTGCTCCGCTGGGCTGCTACTGCTGCCGTTGCGGAGGACGTGACATCCGTACTCCATCATTCGTTGAGTTGCTCGGCTGTCGTCGCGACAGGGAGGGATGATGGCTTGGGCATGCTCGCGTTCGAATTGGGCCAGACAGGCGACGGCCAAGGCAATTGCGTTGTTTTGCCGAGCTGTTCGTCGGTAGCACGTCATGGGCGTTGTAAGAACTGGGCCGAGCTGGGAGTTGCCTGCTGCTGATGCCGCAGTCCGAGGGCAACACCCGACTGCGACGACGGCGACCCTTGGTCGCACAGCAACACATGTAGATGACACTCTAGGAGCGAGTGAGAGGACGAGACGAAGCAGCAGCAGTGCTGCCTGTGTTTCGCCTGGGTATTGGGGGCCCCAATGCGGCCCATCGTCTTCACCCTCAACCTAGGACGGGGAGCTCCGTCCGTCGGCGTGCAGTCGCGACAATTCACCGCTCCCCGGCCAGGTCAGAGAAAGCGCAATGTCGGCCGCGCTGCCGATACCGTGCCTTGGCACCCTCGTGGCCCTGATCCGAGATAACGACGGGGCTCGATAGCTGCCTGCAGCCGTCATGGACTCTCTCTCCGTTTCTTCCCTCGTGGGCGCGCGGGTTGGGCCCAACACGTTGGCTCATGCGCTCGGGTGCATCCCGAAGGGGGTGGCCGAGGCGCGTATCGAGTGTCGCAGGGCGGCGGGCAATGACCATTGGGCATGGCATGTCATGTCATGTCATGGTAGGGCAGGGCGTGGCGTAAGGGTCCTGAGGTGATGAATGACATGGAGCGAGGCAGTTATTACTGAGGGCAGTGCGTGGTGGAGACGTCGTCTCGTCTGGTTGGGGTTACTCATATCATCATCACCATCAACCGCCACATCCGGCTGTCGCCGTCGGCAGACACTGGCCAACGCGAGCGAGGGCCGTGGACTGGCACTGAGATTGGGAAGCGTTTGTTGCTTCGAGCTCGTGTCCGCGTCGACCGCGGCGCGCCATGCGGTCTGGCCCGTGAGCCTCCGTCGGCGTGGTTGGGCGGACGGGGGCCGGCGGCTGGAATGAGACTGGACTGCAGATGGGTGAGGGAGGGGGGCCGCGGCGGCTTTGTCATGGCATCGTGGGCCCTTAATAAGGAAGACGCGTGATGAAGTCGAAACGGCGATGCGAGTTGGCTGGGCCTGGCTGGGCTAAGGGGAGAAAAGAAGGAGGGGTGCCAACCGAGCTTGGTGCGGAGAGGAGCTTTGTTGTTCTTCAGCTTAGTGGTAGCTGCACATAACGACCCTTGATGCTTCATGTTGTGTGTAAGTGAGCAAGCATGCACGGAAAATGCCGTGAATCTCCGTTTGTGATCCGCACGGAGTCTAGGGGGGGCATGCTGCATTGCACAGGGCACGGCCAACATGCGTCTGGTACACGCTTTGCAGTCCATAGCCTTGATACCCCGTGGCTGCACCTGCATCCAAGATGAATCCGGCCCGCAACATATCTGATACAGTGCAAACAGCATCACGGCAAGGCGGCCAAGAGTATAGCAAAGGCGCGGAAGAAAAAACGTTGACATGACTGACACACCGCACGCCCAGCAGCTCCTTCTCGCCTCACAAGTTCTCCCCCCCAACGGCGACCGATGTCGCATGATGGCCCAACGTCGCGGTCCAACGCAGAGGGCGCCAGTCAGTCCATTCAGTCACACAGCCGAAGGAGGCGTGTAACCCTCATCCCAACAACTCATGCTCAACTCAGCCGCCACAACACAAACGACACGACAAGACGACACGACACGACACGACACGACACGACAGCAGATGACGGCGACGACAACGGCTGACGACAAACAGCGACCACAGCTACGGCCACGGCCACAGTATATACTGCTCCGTACTGCGGGCAACGGGCGGGCGGACGGACCCCTCGATCACGGTGGCAGACGACCAGTGAGCTGCCAGCAAAGATGCGACGAGATTCTGCGCCGGCTGTCGTCGAATGGTGATCGATGCTGGCGTCGATCCAGAGTCAGATGCTGCATGTCTGCCCTGCCCTGCCCTGCGCCCTGGCCGCCCGTCCGCGGTGCTCATCTTGTCTGCATCGTATCTCCTGCTGCTGCTGCTGCCCGCCCCCCCTGCCATGCCATGCCATGCCATTCGCCATTGCCCGTCCGTCCTGTCCAATGCTGCCCGCGACGTCGGTGAGTGGGAAGGGGGTGCCTGTATCCAGCCGGGTTGCGCAGGGAACAATACGCACACGCCCCACCTCTGCAGCCCGCCCGGGCCAGCGACACCTTGGGGTGGGCCTCCGCTCCTCCAGGGCTGTCCGCACGCTGAAAGACAGGCACTCGGTACCTGTACGGAGCACCTGGGCAGCCTGCGGGCGGCGCGCGGCCACAGAGCCCACGCCCTCCCCCCTGGTCGAGAATGCGTAGAATCCTTCTAGACGTCTTCTAGAATCCTGCCGTTCCGGGCCGCCCGCTTACGCGCGTCCCTCACCATGCGATCGGACGTTCCTCATTGCCGCTCCGCCGACGAAAGGCTAAGGCGGCTTACCCTCAGGGAGCAGCTAGCAACGAAAGATGTGCCCCGGGCAGGCAAAGGCATTGCCGGCAACGACGGCGATGGGCGGATGCGTGCCATGACAATGCTGCGCCTGGCCGTGGCATGTCGCTGCCACGGACCTGGAAGCGAGTCGATAGTATGGGTCCAGCAGCAGCAGCAGCAGCAGCAGCCCCCGAGCCGCGCAAGCTTCTGAGATACCTACACACTGCGTGCACACCAGAGAAGAAAGGGCTGCGGGCAAGTCGCCGAGCACACACACGCGCACACACCCATCGGATCGGCCCAGTGACATACAAGCTTCTATCTGTGTACGAGGTACCAGACCTGCGTTGCTGCTGCTGCTCGACGAGCGCGTCCACACCTACCTATCCACTCACGTCGCAGCCGCCCTCCGACGACGTCCCATCTCCGCCGCGAACCTCTGCGCCGGTACCGAATGAGCGGCCCCTCGCGGCGCCTGAGGACGGGGACCCGGCGTCGCACAGCGCCAAACCTCGTCCACCCCGCCTGCCTCTCTGTCGCTGCTTGGCTGGTTTGTCTGCCGCCAGTTGGGTCCGTATTTGCTCATATTTTTGTGCCTGCGTGCTCCTGTTATGTACGAGTACATTTGGAGAGCCCCAGTGGGCTGGGCTGGTGGAGGGGAACTTGCCGGCTGGAGAGAGAAGGAGGACGCCTCCGGACCTGGAAACATGCCAGCTCTCCCGGTGAAGCACCCGCCGAAGCTCGTTCGCGACCGTTCCACGAGTCCGATTCCCAAGGCGGTACTGTTCTTTGTAGCCTCCAAAGCAATCGGCTTTGCGACTCGCCTCCCACTCTGTGACAGCTCGCACCACGGGTTTGTACACACTGGCAGTACAGCGCACTCCGTACATTCTACATACAGCCGCCATCGCATACCCCCATCCATCCCGTCCCGTCCACCCCATCCCGTCGTTTTGTGCAGCCCGCCAGCCAAGATCCCCCGACAGTCCATCAAACACCAGGTAAGTATTCCTCCAGTCTCGCAAGAAAAAATCGCGCGAGCAGATCCCACACCCCTCCTCATCGCGGCGATTTGATGAATGGGGGTGTTGCTGCTCCATCTCACGGAGAAAGACGCAGCAGCGTCCTTTCGTTGCTGGGTTCCTATCAGGGTCGGCGTTTGCTCGAGACTTCGGCCGACGATATCGCCGCCCGCTGCGCAGCCTCAGCCCTCTCTGGCCAAAGTGGGCACTAAAAAAAAAGGGCGGGATGAAGGAAGGGGAAGGGGAAGGGGGGAGGGGGGTGCGTGCTCAACAACGGGATGGGAAGGGGGCCGGGGGGTTCGACTGCGCGAGCTGCTGGGCAGAGCCGGGGCAGGACAGAACAGGGCACAGCAGCGCAAGGTGGGAGGGGGTGCGACCACGGGAGCGAGCGGCGCTGCAAAGTCAAGTCGTGGTCCGGTGTTGGTTTGGGGGCGCCTGACGGGGGCATCAAACGTAGGTGGAAGCCCCTCGGCCTGGCCCAGCGGTTCACTGCTGCTGGCGCTGGTGCTGGAGGCGGGTTCCTAGCACCGCACTCACCAGGCGGAGACAACCTGGAAGCGGCCCCGGGGGGTGGACTGTCCCTGGGGCGCGTTCCAGTAGGGCATGTCTCCAGGGCTGTCTCACTGCGCAACACTGGGACGGAGCCCCTGCGCAGGCGACGAGGTACCCATACCTTCACTGAGTCGACCCTCCGCTGCGCTAACAAAGCGTCGCATCGCGCCGCTGCACCGGTGGGCGGGAAGCACGGCGGGCGGCGGCACATGGCGTGGCCCAGAGGTGGGCTTCCATTCCCTGCCTGACCAACCGCTGGAGGCTCCAGCTTCATGGAGCCCTGTGCCCTGGAGAGCCCTCCATCCCGCAGTGTCTGTGCCCGCCTGGTAAGTCCATGGATCTCTACGCCATCGGCCATCGAGGCCCCGCGTCCGGGTATCCAGCTCAAGAGGCTAACAGGCCCCTGGCGGGTAGGTTCATCTTTCTGCACCGAGGTATAGCGAGAGTTAAACACTGCCTGTCCTGAAGGGCTTGCGCCTTCACACCTCCAGCCAAGGCACGGGGCCAGCAGCAACAGCTTTTCCATGGAGGTTCCCGTCTCGTGGCTTGCGCTGCTCCAAGTTGATCAAGCCCCCAAGCGGAGCAAGCATGGAACCAGCCCGCCACGCTGCCAGCCCGGGAAGCCCAGCAGACAGACCTAATGGCCGCCATCCTGCCCGCCCCCCAGAGCTTCGCTGTCGCGCACCCCGGTGACGCCACGGCCCAGAGTAATACCCACAGGACATCTGCCCGTGCAGCTAACTTAGCTGGAACCCAGCAGGGAAAGCCGCCCCCCATGCTGGCGTGCCCCCCATCCCCCCTACGGAATCTGGGACGGAGAGTCCCGCGCTGCTCGAGAGGGACAATTCCACTACGGTGGTGGCTTGAACGACTTGCTCGGGTGATGCATCCACCACCACCCATGCACTTGCACCTGCGCTTGCAGGAGCACCAGCATCCAAGACGACGTCGCGCGCTCCATTCTTTTTGGTATTTTGCCGTGCAGGGATGCTTGCTTGCTCCTCCGTTGGCGCCGGCATCTGGGAGGCCGACTGACAAGCGCGCACACCCACGGGGCATCATCTCGGACTTACACACGCAATGGAAACTAAAACCGCAGGGCGGCCACCACGCATCGATCGGCCACGCACTCCGTCACTCACTCACTGTCTTGATGGGCGGCGGATGGAGGAAGAGGCGTCCGCGTCCTCGACCGTCCGCCCTCTGTGTGTCTGTCTCGGCCGCCGTCGTGCTCCTCGTCGATCTCGTCTCGGCTTTTCCGTTCTTCTCGTCGCCCTCTCATCCCCTCCTCTGCCAAGTATCAAGAGAGCCGCTGGGGTTCATCACAGCCCGCAACCCCACGGAGCCGTTCCGCGCTCGCGCCCACAGACACACAGACGTGCCAACAGCCATGGAGAAACTCGATCGCCCGCCCGAGATCTGCACCGGGCACGCCTCTGTGCTCATCTTGGGGAAGCCCACAAACTCCGAAACAAGCTTCCCGTGCACATGGTTCAGCACGGCATCCTCAGCCGCACGCCACAACTCTCCGTTCTCCCGTCCGCGAGGGCGCGCGAGAGGAGACCAACACGCATCAGTCCGCCCTCCCACATACGCCCCTCGAGGCACGTTTGGACACATGCCCTTGCGCCGTGATGACTGACGCACACAAGTCACTTAGCTGCGAGAATGCTCTTGCATCTCTGTCCGCCGGAGGTGGTGATCTCTGCGTTCGCGTAGCCCCTCTTTCAAGCACGACCGGCAGTCCTTTGTCAGTGCTGAAACCCCCTCTCCATCTCCTCCTCGTCGTCCTCCTCCACAGACTGGCCCCCACCTCACCCAGACCCCGCAAGTCGACTTTCCCGCGGGCAGAGAGAACCCGTCCCATGTTTCTTGTCGAACGTGGGCGATCTGCCGTTTCTGCCGCCGGGATGAGTGCGCGAGGGGGGGCGAGGAAGCCCGCCGCCACCAGCTCACGGGCGTGTACTGGACCACCCGTCATGTAATGACCAGGTCCCTGGCATCACTCCAAGGGACCAAGGGCAAAAAAACCTCCGAGTCCCGCCGTAAGATGACGCAAATCTTCAAACTTCAGTTGTGCCGGGCCATCTTTGAGTTTCATGCTCGACCTCAGCCCTGCCGCGCCGGATGCTTTTGGCCTGCGCGCCCTTCCCTGCAAATGGCAGCAGCCCTCCATGTCTCTCCCTTCCCGCAGGGCTGGCAGCCCGCCCGGCGCGCCACCAGCAGGGTTTCATGTGCAGCGCAACTTACATAAATGTCCAACGCCAAAACGACGCCATGCGGCGGGTTCACGAGTCAAGGTCTCGGGCGCGACGGGTGAAAGAGACGGGGCAGCCAGCGAGGACCTCGGCTCGTGCTCCATTTTGCCTCACCGAGAGCGTCCACAGTGGTGCTGCCGGTTGTCCACGGATGCGTTTTCTTTCGCGAATATGCTGTGGAAGCGTCGGCTTGAGACGTGCTAACGAATTAGCCTGTTGGTTGGCGGCAAACTCCTTCTCGAAGCACATCCTTCCCGCCTGCTCACAAGTGTGGCGGCGGCTGATCGAGCGGCCTAGCTTGCCTGGGTGGTTGCCTGTGGTGGCTCTTCCAGGGGCTCCACGGTGGCGGCAACCAGCTCAGTGGACCAAAACCTCGGGCTGCATCACAGCGGAGGTTACCTTTACCAGCCGCTGTGGTGTACGGTAGCTGACCCATACTGGGCTCTGGCCCGGGGCGGCTCCAGGCTCCCTGTCCAATCCTCGTAGGGCTCTGACCCAGCAATCAGCCTCCCCCTGACGCCGCCCACGTCCAGGGATCCGCCAGGCGCTTCACTTGGTGCGCCCGCGCGAACCTGTCAGGTCGCCTAGCGCGTCCTGTGGTCGCCGTCCTGGCTTGCGCCGCGCCCAGGGACGCACCACTTGGGCGTCGTCTTCGCTGCTGTGGCTGCCGAGCCGGCGGCCGCTGGTTGCTGATCCATGATGCTGATGACGCCAGCCGCTGAAGAAAAAAAACCTCCCAGTGCCGCGCAGGACTTGCTGTGTGGGATTGGAAACATGGGCAAAATTGAGGCGTGGTGGTGGTGAAAGCCGGCGCCAGCGTCATGGTCTGCGCCCCGGCCGGCGGTTCCCATTTGGATCTTCCTCCGAGTTACCGGAGACTCTGGCCTGTGGCACAGCTTTCGATCACGAAGAGCGAGCGGCGATGGAGAGACGCCCCCCATCTCCATCCATTCGCACAGCTTTCTCAGTTGAGTAGCGCTATCATGAGACAGACGCCCGCATGTCTCGCATCGCCGTCCCGCGCGCAATGGCCGGCACGTCGTCGCCGTCGTCGTCGCATGTCAGTTGAAGGAGACTGCGCTTGCGCGCGACGACATGCCAGCAGGCACAGTGTTGCCGTGTCGCAAGCCGAATGCTCACTCACACCAGTCAGCTCGGGCAAAATGACAGACTTCTGGCCTCGTGGAACAAGTTGGTCGTTTGCTTGGCGATGCCGGTGGCGTTCCATGGGTGTTGGTCCGTCCGGGCAGGGCTTGTTGCTAATGATGCATGGCCGTAATCTCGAGGATGACACTGGGCTCGTACGTCGTATTCACATCTCCCGGCAGGACGCCTCCGCCCGGACCGGAAGCTCACTCCAGCTCTTGCCGAGTGTCCCGGCGCTGAGGCATGCCTCATGCCGGCAGCCTGGCTCCACCGGCCGGCCGCCGAACTTGGACAACGCACGGGTTCGCGAGGCTCGTGCCGGCCATGGCCCTGGCAGGAGTCAGATGTCATTCGGCGGCTGCGTGGCTTCGAGCAAGGCAAGTGGTCCTCGTTGTTTCCAATGCCAGGAACCAACGGCTGGCTGACCAGCGTCGGAGCCAGCAGCTGCCCAGGCGACGAGGGTGGTCTCTCGGAGGAGGATAAAGCACGGAGTCGATGACATCTCCCGCTGGCATCAGCTGTCCGGGATCAATGTTGCGGGCGCCCGCCACGGTCGTGCGTCTCTAGCCAGTCCGAGAACGTGCCGGCGTGAATGATTCCTCACGGAGCGTGTCTGCTCCACGAGGCTTGCTCGGTCCACGACGTTGAAGTGGCTTCCCATGGCTGTTGCCTCGTGGGCCAAGTCCCCTTCATTCACCACCGCATTGCTTTGCTGGCCAACTACGAGTACTCCACAAGCTGGACAACGACGATGCGACGGGTGCGGGGAAGCTCACGATGAACCAACTGACCACCTCAGCTTCCAGCTGCGCTGAGGGGTGTCGGTGGTGGCGCGAGCCTCCTTCCAGAAAGCGCCCAGCGGCGTATTGAAACTCAATTTTCCACTCGCATTTCACCAGCATGCTTCGCAGGGCACGGGAGACATGGGAGGGGCGTCGCTGCCGGCGGCACCCGACAGGACCGCCGTCTTTGCCTTGACCCCAGATCCGGCACCGTGCAAAAGCCCGATGATTACCCCGGCGGTGGCCGGCCGGCCGGCTGGCAGCTTGGAATGGCGGCGGGTAAAAAGCAGTTTGGCGAAATGCCGAGCGCAGAACCGACCGACGACTTTCGGGGGCGGGCCTTGCCAGGCTGACACCCGAGCTGTAGAGACCAGGGCCCGTCGCCTCCAGTCCGCCATGTGCGCCTCGTAATAATAAACCGTGGAGCTCCACGGCAACAGGAGACCTGTCAGGCCAAGTGCCGCCGGTGCTCTGCAGCTGGACGGCGTGGCACCCACTAGCGCCTCGGGATGCTGTCCAAAAGGGCACGCGACTTGGACGCTTCAGGGCCCATCTTGCGCTTAAAGCCACGCCACTATATCCGCCTTGTAGGGCCGTCGACAGTGTCATCCCTGCTGATGGCTAAGTGCGCACAATCGTGCATGGCCGTATACCATGTGCGTGGATCGGATCAAAGGCAGCTGGACACTGGAATCGTCAGGACGTCTTGAGGGTCGTACCAGTACATTTACATGATACGGCGTTGGCGTACGTCTTAGTCAGAGAGCTCATTCCAGAGGGGCGTGTGGCGGTCGTTGACATGACACAACTCCTCTGTGCACGTTGAGATTGAGCCATACTTCCCGTCGTTAGGAATCAGATGAATGTGTTTGACGGGGTGTTGATCATGACGGCGCCACCGTGCTCTCAGGAAGATCAGGCAAGGTATGTACTCCGTACTTGGTACCTGCTGCGGATATGTTTGGCAGACACGCTGATCAAACTACAACGTCATGGTATGCCGAGTACTAGCAAAACGAGGTTCGCATTTCGTCAACGTGCCCAGGCTGTCGATATTCGTGAGTACAGAGCAGCGTCCACTGACTGCTTGCTATGCTTTGTGCCACTGTGGTGGCAGTCCCGACTTCCTCCCTGCAGGTGGACAACAAGACCCAAGGTAGTGAGAGACGCAGGGGGCCAGGCGATTGCCCCTCCCCGGCAACCCACCCGTCGTCGGCTTCGTTGAGATGCGGCGCAGCCAGTCAGCGTTGACGAGCAGGTCATCGACCTCGTGGAACAAGCCCGCTTTGCGCCAAGGCCCACCCAAGACCTTCTTCCAACAGAGCCAGGAAAGCAGTGCTGTAATAGTCGGTATGCCACCTGTACGTATTCCGAGGGCAAGTAAAGCCATGCACCCAGCGAAGCTGAGATGGAATCCGCCTCCGTAAGCGGACAGGCCATGAGGCAGCGCCGCGCTGAAAGCTGAGGATTAAACATGGAGCGCCGAGTCGGCTCGAGGAGTAACAGGAATGGCGACATTCCGAAGGTGCCGTTCGGGGACTTTTCTCCCGCAGATGGATCAAGTGTGTGTCTGGTTGCGAATGTTTCAGAGGCAGCCAGCGGGCGGCACCGCGGAATGAGTCCCGCCTGTCGCAGAGTGGAAGCGGGAACGCGCCGCTAAGCCATTGACCATGTCAGCCCCAGTAGGGCCTCCAATTGCGCTTCCAACAAGTCAGGGCCCCGTTCAGTTCCAATGCTTCGAACGCAAGAGTATCTCACTCGGTGCGACGCTTGCGTGGATCTCTGCAGGTCGGTTGTCGGCTCATGTGCCGACGAGGAGACGCTGGCCTCACGAGAGCTTGGCTTGCCCAGGTTGACCTCAGCCGACGAGCGTGCCGCCACAGAACCTTGTGTCCAAACCACGCCCAATCTTCCAGCGCCTCAAATCGTCGCGGGACCCTGGCCGCAGTCCCGGGTCGTCAGCGGATTTTGAGTTGCCATCTGCAGACCCTCCGGAAGGAAATGGCGCCCCCTTCCCCTCGCCCCCAGGACCAGAACTTAGGTGTCTGTGGCCATTCTCAAAAGTGCCAGTCGCCGGAATTGAAGGTGCCAGCCGCCCGACAAAGACGGGATGTGCCTGCTGGCGGGCGTTCAGCTTGGACCCTGCTCCTGCTGGCCTGCGGCCAAAAGCCGGCTATTTTCTCGCATCGCCCCAAGCCCTGTCCAAACGGCCAAGTTGAGAAGGAGCTTGCAGAATCCTTCAAGCGGGACTTCTATCGACGGTCTCCGAGTCTCCCGGAGTACGCGCAGGTGGCCTCGATGGGCCCGGGCCGTGGAACGCGCGCCTGCATTCAACGACGAAAGTAGGGCTGAGCACGACTGTGTTGGCTCGGCCGGCGTTGGATCAGTCGGGGCTCGGTTCCAATCTGGGGCCATGGCTCCGCTCTGGCCGGCCTTTGATGGTCGGTCCGTCTTGAGCGCGCTTTGGCTTGACCATTGACTGTAGTCTCGCGTACCTACACAGCCTCGCCGTCTTGTCTCACACGAGAGGTGAAAAAGCACTTGATGTCGCGGGCAGTGGAGGCGTGCATCTAGCGGCTGGGCGTTGAACACGATCTCATCCCACCAGCGCCTGTCGCGATTGTGAGGAAATAAAAAGCGGCGACTATGCTACCAAGTGAATATAGCGCACCGACTTGTACGCGTGGACAGGCCACCCTCGGAGCGTGGGAGGCATGGCCACTCGGCAAATGAGGGTGGCCAACTCGGCACCGTCGTCGGCAAGTCCCCTGACACACGGCCCGTCGTCGTGGGCAGACAGCAGCCTCCAGCGCCAGTTTCGTAAATAATGGCCATTCGCGTTGTGGTGGTGTCCCAGTTGGCTGAAGGAGACAACCTTCCCAACGGAGTAGTACTAGGTCCATGTATTTTGGCCCTTCCGGAATGTGCGGCCGGGTGGCCAAGGCCATGCTATTACCCTAGTGTCAATGGCTCATGATATCCCGGACAGCGACTTTGCTCGGCCATGTTGCTACCCACCTGCCTGCACATCGGCGGCGGCGGGGTTTCTGGGGAAGCGTCCAGGTGGACTCAGACGCGTCGTCGGTTGAGGCTTGGGGCCAAGCCAAGAGGCCACTGCTGGGCCGACGCTGCCTTTAGCTTCCCGCTCCCAAGACTGGCGACGGTGGCCCCCATGCAGTTTAATGGAGGCTGACCGGAGATAATATGCTTGGCCCCGACTATAGTATGTTCCTCCGTGCACAGGGACAGACTTGACAATGCTGGTTCTGTTATCGTAGCACGAAGTAATGCGGTCGTCCACTGATCGTTACCTGCGGTCGTGTGTCTCCAGTCTCATTGAACTCGCAGAGTCGCGTACCCACGGCGGCATATAGGTGCTTCGCAGGTGTCTCGCGGTTGCGGGGAGTGACTGCCGTCTCCCTTCCATCATGATCATGCGCACAGGCCAGCGTTCGGCATTCGTGTACGAAGTTTGTGAACGACTTGGGACGCGCGTGCACCCGGCTGAGTTACGGGTCTCCGTCCACGGGCCCGCATGGCATGCTGTGTAAGACATACCCAGTGCACTGCCGCTGTGGGCTGGAGCGCACGGTGAAGAGGGGGGCGGGGCCGACGCAGGGCTCGCCGCCGGAGCCACACATGCCACCTTTCGCAGTGCAACGCCCACTCCACCACCTATTCGTGGTTCTTGTACTTCGAACGACGCACTTGCCATGCTTGCGATCCTGCGCGGGACGATGTCTGCTTCCCCGGTTGCGCCATCTGGGCTGTTCATAAGTCAGGATCTGGTAACGACGAGGCCCGGCGAGGCACAGACCACGTCCGCATCAGGTCAACAGACGGCGTAGGTGGGCCAAAGCCGGCAGCCACAGCGACGGCACGCTGAAGCCGGAACCCAGGGCCCATACCGGCTCCATTGCGTCGAACAAACACCCGTGGTGCTTCTGGCTTCTGCCAGATCGCCCGTGTAGTCGTTAGATCAAGCCGGCTACCTCCAATCCCGGCCAGCCGCGCGGTGCACGCCACCAGGCGTTCAATCGTGCCGTAGCAATTGCGAGGATGGTGGCTGGTCTGAACAGGTCAGCGGCTGCTATTGCGAGAAGACGAGGGCCCCGTTGGGCTTCTCTCCTCCTTTGCTAGTCACGGTGATCGCTGATCCGGGCATTCTGATGACAAGCACGTCCGATCCATTGTTGATGCGGCTTCTTCGGAGTAAGACGCGCAATGTCTGAGGCGGAGAATGAATCGTGTCAGTTGTCCAGCTTGTTTTAGGCGCGCGGGAGCGTAAATCGAGCTCCGAGAGGCCTCGTAGATGGCGTGTGCTATGAGGTCGACAGCTCTTTCAACTCCATTAATAGATTGGCCTGCGCAATGAGCTGCGGATCGTTCAAGCCGGCATCCGCATCCCGCGCGGGACTGGATGACTGGGTAAATACGGCGCTGCGCCTGTCCAGACGACAGCAGATCAGCCTCGCGACGGCCACACCTGCACAACTCTGCACAAAACTAGGCGCCGAGCGCCACACCCCCTCCTCGACAAATCTACGGCACAGAGGTTGGTAGGGCTGAAGGCTGGAGTGGACTTGCCAACTTGCGTCCCGTTGGACAAAGGTTGCGGTGGAACGGTGCGGGACGGGTCTGAAACTAGTATTACCCAGTGCGTTTGGTGCTGTCTCGCCTCAGCCAACCAAAGCCTCGCTGCAGCTCGGTTCTCTGGTCTAGGCCTGCCAATCATGTCGTCGTCAGGCTCTGGTTTCGTCGGTTTTCAGCCGTGGAGCGACACACAACAGGTCCAAATCTGAAGTAGCTTCTTTGCCACCATCAGTGCGCTTCGGTCTGGCTGTTTAGACTTCACGAGTTGCTCGCCAGTTTCAGCAGTAGTTGGCTCAGATTACGCAACCCTGTTCCTGCGGGCGACCGCCTCCGTGTCAGCACCGGCTCGGCCATGTGCTGACTGTTCGCAGCTGGGCATGGGCATAACCTGGTATCCGCCTCGGATCCGAGGATGACCCCACCAAGATGGTCTCCGTGATAGGTTCTCGCTGTCAGTCCAGAAGGGGCAATCCTCGCATAGTTACGGATTTTGCCGTTGGTCGACTCTGTGGCCGAGTTAGCCCCGTCGCTTCTTGTTCCAAAACACCATCTGCGCGACTCATCTCGGAGGGAGGTTGTGCCAGTGCGTGGTCCTTGGCGCTCTTTACCAGCCCAGGCGTCGAGATCGAGACACTTGCACAGTTGCCGAAAGACAGCAGCTGGTGTCGCTGACTGCGCGGCCGATCGTGTGTGCGGGAATCTCGGGCTCGTCAGCGTTGGCCGGATGGCGACTCTCCTTCGCTTCGCCAGGTGTGTGCAGGACGCATGGCTGACATGCTTCCCACCTTCCAACCCCGGCTGTCAACGCAAACACTTTGATGCTTCTTTCGCGAGGCCAACTTTGTCGGCGGCGGCGGCTGGCGTAAGATAGACAGACCCCTTATTTCCCCGCTTGCTGGGGCGCAACTCCAGGGTTGCGAGCGACGGACTCCCACTGGTGCCAAATGTGGCCGGCTGCAGCCCTTAGCCTCGACATTGCTTGCCGGCCGGCAACTCTTCCCTCGTGGCTGACATTCTGTGACGGGCACCCTGGTCCCGCAACCTGATACTGGCGCCAGCGGACAACTGGACAGATGCAGATGCGGTCGCCATCATTGGCCAAAGAACAGACCTTTCAATTCCAGAACTCGTCAATGAGACTTTACTGTTCACATCGGTTGGACTGTGACTCGGAGGCGAAATGGATCCTCGAACATGGCTGCAGCTATAGCCTCGGGCGACCGAAGAACCTGTCACTGATGCTGGCCAACATTCGACTTGAGGGTTTTAATATTGTTGGGAAGCCTAGGTGGCGAGGCGCCACGAATGCCCAGAAGACGCAGTAGGGCTCGTTGTGATATCGTTTTGAGGCGTTGATAAACGGCCGCTTGCACACCAGTCTCGGCGAACGGACTTCGAAATTTGAAATCATGTTGTGCTTGATCGTGCTAGTTCCCATTCAGTCGACAATCGCATGTGTCCACGCCGCACACGGCCCTGAAAACAGACGTGGCGCGGGCCGGGTAAGCAATGACAACCCGTCATGTGTCGCCATCGAGACTGCTCTTGACGCCGGCCACTCAGTTTAGTGAGGTGCATGCACATGGCTTCTGCCTTGCCGTGGAGGGCTGAGACGGAGGCCGGATGCCCCTCGTCGACAACCACTGACGCAATGGGAGAAGCGCCAGGTCTCCACAAAGCTGAGTTGCTGGGAGTGGCCTTGGCTGCGGGCCAGATTTAGACGAGATGCCAGATTGACGAGGTGGAGGCCATGTGGAATTCGGGTTGGTTTTGAACCTGTGTACTTCCAGCCTTGCGCGGGAGCCACTGGATGAAGTAGGGAGGACAAGTCAGCCATGTGTTGACTCGTTCGGTCGATCCAGTTTGGCCAGGTCATGATTCGAGACAGTAGCTTGGCCTGTGCCGGTACACCAGCCTGCACCGTGTGCCGTGAGGCAGACGGCGCCAGTCTGCTGGTTCAGTCAACACCGTGCCGTTGAACCCAGATGGGAGGTGCCTCGGCGGCATCTCCACGCCTTGAGATTGCGAGACGAAGTCAATGGCAGACAAGCTCGAGCAACGGACTGCCAGCAGCAGCGGGCTCCGCTAGCCGCGAAAGTCACACCAAGTCCCTGGGTTTCCTGGCTTTGAGGGGCTTATTTCCACGGGCCATTTCCACGAGAAACTCTTTGTGGACAACGCCGAATGACGAGGCGGGGAAGGCAACGGTTCGGGCGCACCAGCGCCTCAGACCGCCTGGTCGGTGTGTTGTGCAGACCAAAGCATGCATGACCAACATCAGGAGCACTGGTGCAGCAACGGTTAAACGCGAGCGTGCGCCAAGCCTTTCCTCGGATCCCTATTCGTACCTCGGATACTATACGATGCAGGCGAGTCGACGGCCTCGAAGCGGCACTCTGACGCGCCTTACAGTCAGCGGCTCGGACACGGACAAGGCCACTTCCTAGCCGGGAAGTGGGCTCAAGGTTTCGGTCGGGTCAGCCCCAGCGGAGGCACGCGCAGCCGGGCCCTTGGATGGGGATTGTGCCATTGGGATGGGATGCGGACGTGGGAGGACTGCAGTTGGGAGGACTGAGGGGTGTGAGAGGGCGCGACCGGGTTGGTTGGCGCGCAGGGCTGGCTAGCTGCCTGGGGGTGTTCAGTGGAGACAAAGGGCAGCAGCGCTCGCAGGTGGTACCTGCCCGCGTGCCACCAGAGCCAGTACGTACCTACCTACCTCAAGTCCACCTGGGCATCCGTGGATGCAGTGCCCGGACAGAATGGAGGACGCCCTGGTGTGGCTGCTGACAAGGGTGACTGCCCTACACCCCCCTCTGGGACGGCGGCCCAATCGCTGAGGATACGCCCAGGGCCAGGGCCGGGCCAACAGTTGCTGTCCTGTCTGCAGGCTACCTTAGGTAGAGCACGCATCGACGGGATCCAGTGGGCAGCACAGGCCGCCGGCTGCGAGTATCGGGACGGGACCGGGACGCTCTGGCGCTGCTGGCCACTGCCGTCGTGTGGGCGATGCCATGAGGTGCATTGGAAGCTCGAAGTGTCCGTGCGGGCACACGCGGCGGCCCAGGCCACGAGGACGGGGGCCGGCCATTCAGGCCTCCCAGTGCTGGCCCCGGGGCACGCAAGACCGCCCGGCCTTCCAGGCTGTGCCCGCTCACCTCATCCCGTCGCAGCGGCCTTGGAGGCCCTTCCAAGAGGTGGTGGAGCCCCGCCCCCGGGCCCGGCGCGGCACCTCACCTCACGGCAGCAGAAGACGAACACGGAAACCCTGGACGAGGCAGACACCGGGGGAGGAGCAGGCGGAGGAGCAGGAGGGGACGTGGAGGATGAGGAGGGTCGCAAGTTCGTGGACCGGTGTTATGGCAGCAGCTCATCATGCCAGCAGATGCCGCCGCCGAGCCAACGGTGGCCCGCTCGTCATCCCACGCCAGGCCACAAAGCTCGTTCCAGGTCGCACCGCCTGCGCGTGCCAAGCAGCCCGCAAAACAGCACTGCCTCCGGCGGGAAATTGAGACGGCCACCTGAGTTCGCAAATCTCGGCATGGGTTTCGAATCCTGCGGGAGGCGTGCACAAAACGGGCAGAGGCAAGCAGTGGCTAGCTGGGATGCCTGGCATCCGTACCCGGCGCGCGAGCATGTTCTGTGCCTTGGCAGCCCAGTTGCACTCGTGGGCCCTGCGCTGCGCTGCGTTCCCTCCTGTCCAAGGGCGCCCGCGTCTGGTGCCTGCTGAGTGAGCTGGGGGAGCCGGGGCTCTCCAGGGCAGGTCACTGAGAGGACGGAACAGGGCCTGAAGACGCCCAGGGGTGCAGGTGGTGCAGGTGCAGGTGGTGCCGGACGGCCACCCGGGCCCTGGCCCATAACCCGGGCTGCTGACACCCTGGAGAGTCGACGACCCTCCCGTCTGGTTCCCAGGCTTCGCTCCTCAGGCGGCTCCATCCAATGCTCGCCCACTCCTCCACCGATCCGGCAACCCGTCAACGAGAGTGTGAATGAATGACCTGCCATGCCACTTGAGCTTCGAACAAGGTCGGCTGGCCGGCTGGCTTGCTTCCTGGCCGTCTGTCGGCCGCAGTGCCTGCCTGTCTGCCTTTCTGTTCCATTGCCTGGCAACAGGTAACAAATACCCTTTACCCTAGCCAGGCGCGGGCGGGCGAGGAGAGCTCTGACCAACGGGCAGCAGCCACCTCCCCTCTTTTAAGGCTGCTGGCTGCTGGCTGCTGGATGGTGCGGTGCGGTGCGGTGCAGCTGCGTCGGGCCATCAAGCCATCAATGCACAGCTCGGCTCTTCGCTTCTTCGCTTTCGGCCGCTGATCGAACCGTCGATGGGATCTACATGCCTACCTGCAGGCCAGACCAGACCACGACGACGCACGTTGCGCTTGCGACAGAGCTGCCACCTGCCGTCTGCGCCACGGCCGCCGACTCGCCAGCGTTCTGCGCCCGGTACCTCGAGTCCTCACCTGCGGCACTCTGAAGCTTCTCCTCTCGGAATAACATCACGCTCGCCAGGCGCCCAAGGCAGACGGAGAGCCAAGGAGCGGCATCGACGAGCGAGGCACAAGAACAGCACGAGTCGAGGACCGCCACGGCCAAGTCTGGAAGCACACCTCGCCTCACAAACCTCACACGCCTTTCGTCCGCCGCCAAACAAGGCACTCCGGGCAGTGCCCGTACTGGTACATCCGGACAGTGCCCCGTCCCATCCCATCCCATCCCATCCCATCCCATCCCTGTCTCTTATACACATCTAGATGTGTATAAGAGACAGGCCCAGCCCAGCCAAGTCCCCTCCCCCCCAAAATCCCCAAGGCGCATCTCGACACACGCCTCTCCATTTCGCCGTCCACCCCGTCGTCGTCGTCGTCGTCACCCTGTTGGTACGGTCCGCACTCCTCAGGTACTTCGCTTCGTACCAGAGCCCCCCGGTCTGCTCCACTCGCCAAACAACAAAAACGTCGTCCCCTCCGCTAAAGCTTACCTTATCCCGCTGCAGCACTTACATATACTTGGTGCCGCTGCCGCATGCCATCGCCGGCTCTGCCCTCGACTCCTCCGCCAACTACCTCGACTTGCTGCTACCCGTGCAACTCGAGCGCCGTTTTCTGTTATTCTTCCATTCTCCTTCCTCTTCTTGCAGATTCTTCTTCGTCCTTGGCTCCCGTGCCTATTCACTCGTCCCATTGCCGTTTTGGCGTGCCTTTCGACGATACGGATACCCCGAAGCTGTCGCCACCTCCAAGACTTCGCTCGAGTCAGACCCAACCATCGATACCTGCACCCGCACGACTCAGCCGCTGCCTCTGGCCGACATCGCCGCCGAACGGTTCGATGACGAGCCCTGCGTCGTAATTGCGTCCGCCTTCCACACCCTGGCCTCGCAGCCCCGGTGTATCTCCAGCTGCCTCGGTAGCCACTGCACCGGCCTCGTGTTGGATACAAACCCTGTATCTGCTTCTTGGCCAACGAAACCTTTACCATGGCGTTCCCGCCACAATACCGGGAGCCCGCTCCCACACTTCCCAGTATTATAGCCCCCGGGCCAGGACGTTATCGAGCACACCACGACATGCCTTTCGGACGAAGTCCTGCCATGTCTATACCAGGCCTCGACATGCGAGACGACGTGCCGCCCCCTCTTCCTCCGCCCCGAATCCTACCCTTTGGTGATAGCCCCCATCCGTCGGAGCATACGAGAAGGGACAGCCGAGACTACAACGCTTCGTCGTCCTTCGCCAGCGGCTACGGCAGCATGGCTTCTTCTCACGCGGATGATCGCCCGAGTTTCAAGAGACGGGACACCGGCAGCACCGCCAATGGCGACGAAGGTTACGCCAGTTATGCCTCCACTGACAGGTACGGCACCGCTGCTTCGTCAAAACGAAGCGGCCAGTCCGCGGCCAACAGCAGCTTGAAGACTGACAATCCGCTAGGTCTCGTGATTCGGTGCCGACTGAGTTTGGACTGCATCACAGCAAGTTCCACTTCCAGTCGCCCGCTGACATCCACACGGACAACATCTTGAAGAAGCTGGATCCCATTCGGAGCGCGGAAAAGTCGCCGCCGCGTTCGCTATTGACGTCGTCCGTCAGTGATCTGCCCAGAAGACATCCCGACCCGCGGACGCGACCGACACTGAACATGCCCGTGCAGCTGCCAATACATAGCCGCCAGGCGATGCTCGATTCTCCCGCCAGCCGATTCTCAGACAGCCCGCTTTACTCGGCCGCATCTCCTCGGCCCATGCCGTTCCACCACAGCCCCGTCGACCAGCGCCTGCACCCCGACACGTCAGACGTGGACCGGTCGCCGAGGGCACGAACATGGAGAAACAATAGCGACGACGCCACGTCTACTCAGGGGAGTTACGAATTCACTGGAGCAGAAGACATGGAGATGGACGACGCCGCTTCTATCAAGCGCCTGCATCTGGATGACTCCTACGCCTCTGTTGGCCAGAAGCGCCGGGCTGCCAGCCCACCGCCCGAAGAGATGCTGCTCCATGGCGTTTCCGGCCAGAGCGATGCCGTCCGCCGAAGGGACATTGGTTCGAGAGGCTCCCCCACGCCGAGGTTGACGGTGATACCCCAAGGCTCCTCTTCATCGTCCATGTCCCCGGCTGCGGTGTCGCGCTCAAACTCGTACATCTCGTCAGCTTCGATGCCGCCCTTGTCTGGCAATTCATACGGCCGTCGCTCCCCTGGTGGTACATCACCAGGAGGCCTCTCCCCGACATCGTGCAGCTCTCCTTATACAACACCGGCTTCCTTGACGCAAAGCCCCCGGACATCCATCTCCGGGCGGGGCGGCGCGCACGCTCGGACGACCTCCGGCGCGAGTCCCAGAAAATTGACGGAGATTCAGAAGCCGAGCGGCACAAAGCTGCAGGGATTTTACATGTGCGAATGTTGTCCGAAGAAGCCCAAGAAGTTTGAAACGGCGGAGGAGCTCGCGTAAGTCGTCCATTATTCGCAGATGCTTTGGCCCGACAATTGCTGACTGCGTGCGCGGATAGTGCCCACGAAGCTGAGAAGCAGTACGAGTGCTCTTTCTGCGGCAACCGCTTCAAGAACAAGAATGAGGCCGAGCGCCACCAGAACTCCCTGCACGTTCGCCGGCATTCTTGGTCTTGCTCAGCGCTGTCTGGGTATGACCGGGCCTTTCACGATTCGACCAGCCGTCCCGGAGAGATTGATACTTGCGGCTACTGCGGGGAGGAATTCCCGAGAACCGGCTGCGCCATGGGGAGCGGCATCGGTGGCCACCCTCCCAGGCATGCCACGGAGCAGGATTGGGAAGAGCGGATCCGACATCTTCAGGACGTGCACAAGTTCAGGGAGTGCAACTCGGCCAAGAAGTTTTACAGGGCGGATCATTTCCGGCAGCATCTCAAGCATAGCCATGCTGGGACCAGCGGGAAGTGGACCAACATGCTGGAGAATGCGTGCATGGTGGAGGAAGACCCGTCGCCTCGGTGAGCGACTACGAACAAAGGACAGCAAGGGATTCGAATTCGCATTGCATGCCGTCTCGGGAAGTGCGGCGAGTTGCACGGCATGCCATTCCGCTTCGAGGACACGAATTTACGACAACTGATTTCAAGGCGTAACGGCAACATTGGGAAGGCGCTCAAAGAACATGCGCCTTGGGTTTGGCAACACATACCCCCTCGTATGAGGCAAAGAGAGCTCAGACGGAGGCATCGACATGATTCCTTTTATTTTTTTTTTGGTTTGCCCACTCCGGGCAAGGTCCGACTGGGAGAGAGGAGTGCTGGATGTTGGATCTGCTAGTCGCGTGGCAGGACAGGGACTTGGCAGGATATGGATGGGTCTGCATGGCGAGACGGGCTTGTGATTCGGCATTCTGGGGTATGCGGTGAGAGACCCGCAGCCGCAGGAGGTCAAACGGGTCAGCCCACAGGAGATTCGGGCTTTGCGCAAGCCCGAGGCCGCAGGCGGTTGGGATTCCGAACCGACCTGCTATGCCCCTCTCAACAGGGCGGGATCCGGCGGGGAAATGCTGCGGTTGTCAGAACAGTTCACTAACGCGCCCGAAGAGTGCAACAATGGTAGCTTTTCGCTGATCACTGTCGAGAGATGTGTACAGAACTTGCCCTGTCGATGAATGTTGCATGCACAATGGTAGAACGTTGAGCCGATCTGACGCGTCCCGCCCCTCCATGTCGAAGAACAGTGCCGGCACATTATGTCATGGGCAGCATCAATGGGCCGCCAAGTCATGTTTCGACCAGAGGGGAGTGCGCCCGAGTCAACGGTGGCGGCGAACGGGGTGCTGGGAATTGTGCGTGGCGTCGGCAGCACAGGACTCTTCCTTCAGTTCAGGTTTTTCCACCACGGCACCAATCACCAAGTTCCTCGGTGGCTGTGCGGCTGCATTTGGGCTGAAGCAGCGACCCCTGCATGGCCTGGGCACGTCGCCTGGCAAGGTTGTCCGTCGTTCGCCCAGTTCGCAACGTACGTGGCTGGATGAATTGGGTGGCGAGAGGATAGCGTCATGGGCATCAGGGCGGGTGGTGGGACTCAACTTTTGTCCACTCCTGGCGGCGATGGGGTCCGTGACGATCACTCGTCTTCGACATTTGATAATAGCATGACTGACGCCATGTGTTCTCGCTTGTTTCACGTTTCCGTGACAAGGGGCCCACGGGAGAATGCGTGCGTGCGAGTCCTACGCGAAGAGCAGCGGGGAGCCAAACCCCTTGGGCCTTGAGCCCCCGCCCTCGTTTACCGACCACTTGCCGTGACGAAAAGACCGATTGAGCAAGCAGGTCACAATAGCGACATAACTCTCTGCGGATCGGTGGCCTGCCGGTCGGTTTCTGGCATAACCGAGCCGGTGGGCGGGCGGGCGGGCGGACTCCGCTAGGGGCGGGCTTTGTTCGTATGCACTCGAACGTAGGTAAGTTAGTATGTGCATGGGTTCGGTGTTAGCGTTTCTTGGAGGCCGCCTCCCAAGCTCAGCTGCCGTCGGATCACAGCCGACGCAGACCTGACGCTGACGAAGATGCCGTAGCCCCATCCCATACTCTCAGGTGTGCCAATACGGACTTCCCGCTCTCAGTTTCTTGCAGTCGCCCTGGAAACGATTAGCACGTGACTATCCGTACTCTGTCATGTACTTACCGCTGTCGAGATGCCATACACAAGCCTTTGATGACGGGTATAAAGTAGAGCCAGCGCATCAGTTGCGGCTGAGGTATCATTGATCAGAGTTGAGCTCACCAACGTCGTGAAGCAGAGAGTCATGAATATGTCCAACCGCATTGCAAATCGGCCCGTTGGCCACTTCCTCTTACATCTCTACTGCTGATTCAGTCGTGCGCAGGGAAGAAATGGGGCCCCTTAGGAGACAATTCAGTAATTTCTTGAATTCATGTTGCTACCCGCCCTTTTATGTCGTCAAGGCAGCAGCAAAGAGTTATTTCTGCGTGACATCGGAGTCGTAACGAAAGGCGAAAGCGTTTGTCAAAATTGGAAGCCTGATCACGTATAAAGCCACCATCAAGAGTCTGCTCTTAGGAGCAAGTTAGCGACAGCTTTCTCTTCGCGGCACTGACTGCTCCTATTCCATACACACTCCATCCGAACCCTCTCAAGATAGCACCAAATGAATTTCGGCAAGCTTCTCCTCCTCGTCGCCGTCTATGGCCTCGGCAGCGAGGCCACCGACAAGACATGCGTGTGCTTGAACCACCAGAAGCAGAACGTGGGGGACGCGACTGAGAGGTGCTGCAACTACGCGCAGAAGGCGGATTTGGGCCGCGCCTATGTGCCGAGCAGCAGGAAGTGCCGCTTCGACCGCATGAACCAATGGCCGTTCGCCAGCTGCTGTGAGAGCTACGTGGCACAGTCGTCCTGCCTTGAATAAGTCCCGCGCCAAGCTGGCAATTGGGGCTCGTGAGTCTCAATTATTGTGATGGAATCTGGAGTTATGTTGGAGGTATCTTGCGACGATGAATCGAAACTGTGGTTCGGCGAGTATTGCAAGGAGAAAGATAGAATGTGAAGAATGGTTGGCTCAGTTGGGGCGAATTGTCGACATGTGACAAATGTGCTGTAGGCAATTGGGATACAATCATCTGTTGGGCGAGATGTCGACGAATATTGGCCAATGGACTGAGATTCGTCATCTGTTTTGGCTGAAACAGGGGAGAGCATTGACGTTTCTAGTCGCAGCCCAGGGGCTGCTGGAGATCCGTTTACAATCTTCTGTATAGGCTACACACACCTTGATGTACCGAACGCAGGTTTACATATCATAATGGAAACCCAAGCTTGGTTTGATTGAGAGTCTTTTACGCGCGGCAAATAAGAGACAACCTGGACTGCAGGTCTCAATAAGAGACGAGCCCACGCTCGCCTCGATAACCTTGATCGTCATGCCTGCTCGCACAGCCGCTGCTATGTTGCTGTCCACGTTTTATACCGCCAGCGCGGCACTTCTCTGCGAGGCCGTCATCGCCGCAGCCACGCCGACTCGCGCAGGCTCGCCGCAAGACGCAACCCTTGAAGCTCGCGGACACCCTCTCTTCAAGAGCCCCTCGTGTACTTACCGCATCGAATGCCCCGAGAGGGTGGTCCAGGACGTAATCCTGTACCAGAAATGCATGGCTCAAGGAGAATGCGACGGCTACCAGTATATAGCCACCTGCGCGGAGAAGTGGAAGCCCAAATGCGCCGACTGCAAATGCTTCAAATCCAACGAGTGGTACTGGGAGCCGACAGAAACTACTGCGAAGTACATGGGCCTTGTCTATCAAATCCCCCACCCTGAAGCACGAACGGATGGCTGACCACGGCAGTGCAGTGTCCCACGGCCCGCAACGTTTGTACCTCGTACGATATAGCCGACGGCCCGGGGAAGTGTAGATGCGGAGTTGCAAGAAGAGGAAATTCGTGTGGCAACTGGCAACCCACATCCCGAGGCCGCTGACGACGAGTCCCCCGCCAAGCATCCAACCACGAGAGGCGCTATTGTCAACTGGCGGGCGGGCCGGCCGAGCCTCATTGTCCGCGGGAAGTTCGTGGCCCGGGGGGGCAGGGAAAGAAAAAAGTCAATCGTGGCCCGCTGGGAACGGGGTTTTGTTTGTTCATGCTTTGGGCTTGCGAAGCGTGCCTTAGCACGGGGCGTTTTCGCCACTCGTGGGGGAGGGATGGAGAGAGGGAGGGCAGCCACAAAGCACGCCCGCCTTGTTCGCGGATAGTGGCCCTCGAGAAAGTACTCGTACTTGGACTTCTTGTGTGCACCCATCCACACCATGTGCCTAAAAGTGAGTTTGGCAGCGGCATCTCGGCAGGCAAAGGCTGGCGGGCGGGGGGTGTTAAGGCCACAGGGCCAGCACCGGGGTTTGGGCCGGGGTGGGATGCCGGGGCTGAAAGTGCAGGGTCATGGAGGGGAGTGTAAGTGTGCCTCATGGCACAGGCATGCGTGTCGCTGGCACATTCGGGTTTGCCGTTCTGACGAAGAGATGGATAGGCGTGGGGCGTGTGTCTTGTTGTGGTTTAGAGACGATGTGCTTCGGGCGCCAGCGCGAGAAAGACTGCTGGGCATGGATTGTTTGGCGATGCTCGGCATGGTGTCCCTGCAAGGGTGTCCGTCCACGAACCATGGATCGCGACCATAAGGCACGATTGCGCGTGGGAGCTTGCGGCTGCTAGCCGCCCGAACAAGGCATACTCTGGACGGCACACATCTCCTGTTTGCCTCCAGCGACATGTATTCGTCGTATCAGAGCGTCGCAGGGACATGAAGCACGGCGTATTGCCCACGAGCCGCTTTCATTCCGGCGCCACTCCGTGCTGGACGGCCAGCATGAAAAGCGACAACACAACCCCGAAACAGCCCGCCGGGGTATCGCGCAGTTTGTCGCGGTCGGCAAATATGCCAGCCACGGCGTGGAAGTTTGCGGTCCGTCCTGGTGTTGCCGACTTCCCGGGGTCGAGGAACGCCGTGTGGCGCACCGCCGCCATGTCACCGTCGACATTCCACAGGATCGCGAAGCGGCATCTGGTATGGCATCCACTTCTTGAAGCGGCCTTTATCCCGCGGGTTGGGGAAGCAATCGATCACGTTGATGTGACAAGCATGTATTATGTAGGGTCTTGGCCTATGCGTCGCCAGTTGGACCCATCCGCACCAAACGTAGTTCCCCGGAGCGCTCTTGCACTGCACACCGCACATCTCGTTCGGGAAGCAGTTGGCGAGAGCGAGCAGTGGCTCCATTTCGTCAGCCTCAAAAAGCGCCGTGAACCTGTCCGGCCATCCTGGGTACTGGGATGCTCCCCGTGTGGCGCCCGCGGGATCGTTGGGCGCGGGTCTTTGCCGAGTTTCATCACGCTGGCTGGGCGTGTAACTGCTGGCGAGTCTCTCTCTTGTCTACCCCCCAGAGTCCAGCAGGTCCAGGAACTGGGCAGGATACTTGGCTTATTCGGTCGCGGCAAACTGTTCAACCGTCTTGGACAGGGCCTTGGAAAAGTAGTTGGTGCACTTTTTCCTGATTTGGCTTGTTCAGCGGAGAGGACGGAGTGACGTGAGGCGTCACGCGGGGACTGTCCTCGATGAACCTGAAGCTAGAGGCGAATATGCTCCACGGGTGGTGTGATCCTGATGCATATTGACGATCTCGAATGGACTGGTGGCTTTTACCCAACCTCAGCTCCTTGCGTCTCGAAATCGCATCTGAAGCCATGAAGTGCGAATGGGCCTGTCGTATTCCGCACCGGGATACGCTCGTATGCCAATGCGAAGCCATGTTCCCTGATGGCGGACCAGTTCGCTGGACGGGGCATGAGCCGATGACAGGGTCACCCCAGAACGGCAAGAACGGGCACCAATTGCGCCGGCAAGTGTGGGGCTCCCGTGCTTGCCGCAAGATTCAGAAGGGCAAGGCAACCACCCCAGCCTTACGGGGCTGGTGCAGCCACCGTGTGGCTTGGGCAGCACGGTTGTGGCGAGTGAGCGTGAAACGTGATGCTGGTTGTGTGGCGGGTGTGGCGGTGCGTTCATGGTGGGGATTTGGTTTTGGAAGTCAACCAGCCGAGGAACAGCGAAAAGTTGCGTGCGGACTCACTGCCGACGGCTCACTCAAGCCAAAAACGAAGGGAACAACCTCATCGTCCAGATTACAGCGAATTGTATTCGTAATACGACGGCCCAAATACTCAATCACCTCCTTATATCTCCGAAATCCCGGCTGCCCATCTGTCGGACATCTCGAGCAACCCCTCGGCTGCGTCGGTGCAAAACGACCAAGCCGGTTCATCGCCGGCACACGTCACATCACTTCAGACCAGGAGAGAGACATACTGGTGTTCCCTGCTGTATTGAAGCAGCAAGAGCAGCCCCCGGAGATATGGCCTTGAGTCGGGTAGAAGGGGAGGATGCGCTCTATGTGGGCGGGTAAGCGCTCCATTGCGTCGTGACCTTGCCACAAACAGACGACCGCCAACTGACAGATGCTCATGTGCAGCCTCTGGGCTCTCCGTCGTTCAGACTCGCTAGCAGAGCGGCACATCACCCATGTCTTGTCTATGGTCGCCTTTGACCCGGATACCTTTCGCAACTTCAAGGACGAGCTGTGGTCGGACTACGGCAAGAACTTCAAGCATCTCACCGTTGATGTCACAGACGAGGACGACACAAACATCCTCGTCGAGTTCCCCAAGATAGTTCGCTTCATTGATGAGGGCCTCCATGGCGCCGCCAAAGGTCAGGGCGCAGGCGGGGCGCCTCTTGAGCAGCACATGGACGACATGAAGCTCGGGGCCGCAAAGCAGGCGACAGGACGCGGCAATGGCGCCGTGTTTGTCCACTGCGTGGCTGGCAAATCCCGCTCCGTGTCTGCTGTCATAGCATACCTGCTCTGGAAGTATTCGAACCGTTTTGACCCCAACATTGTCCCCCCATCCGCCTACGACCTGTCTACCAAGAACCAAGGATCTGCGAAGCTACCGTCAGAAAACCAGTCGACGTCGGGCTCCAAGAGACCACGTACAGAAACCGGCGATGATGCCGTCAGGGCCGCGCTTGGCCTCATCCGACGCACAAGACCTATGGCTGAGCCCAACGACGGTTTCATGCACCAGCTCGCGCTGTGGTGGGAAATGGGCTGTCCCGAAGATGTCGAGTCAAATCACGTGTACCAGCGCTGGGCGTTCAAGCGTGAGGTGGAGGAGCATGTCGCCGTGGGACAGGCGCCCAGTCGGCTGCGGTTTGAGGACGAGGCGGCGCAGGGACGCAAGGGCCCATCCGGGAGCGGCGACGGAGCATCGGGGGTGAACCTACGATGCAAAAAGTGCCGTCGAACCCTGGCCACGACGCCGTTCATCCAGAAGCACGCGCCTGCGCCTCCCAAGGCGAAGCCAAACTCATCGCCGCCTCCGCAGCAGCCATGCCCACACTACTTCATTGAGCCCTTGAGCTGGATGCGTGGCGAGTTGGAGCGCGGGGAACTGAACGGGAGGCTGATGTGCCCAAACGAGCGGTGCGGCGCGGCGGTTGGCCGGTACGACTGGAAGGGGATACACTGCGCCTGCGGGGCTTGGGTAACACCCGGCCTTTCGCTGCAGCGGGCAAGGGTCGACGAGGAGGCCAAGAGGACAACGGCCGGGGGGGTTGCTGGTGCGCAGGCCGGGGCAGATCAGGAGGCGGCGAGGAGGGCGCAGCTCGGCATCCGGATGCCGCCCGGAGCGGCTGTCACACGCGGTGGTGGAAACTTATAGAAATACGAGCATCGGAGGCAGTGTCTGCGGCACATGAATGATACAGAAAGCACTGCTAGGCGAGCTTTTCGCAATACTCGACATCATGTATGACACGAGAGGAGACGCGTGCATCGCTCACACGTTAGGATGTGTACCACGGCGGAAGTCAGCCGATCCCAGCGTGTCAATGCTTTACCTCCTCATTGGAAGGCAGACCTTTACTGCATACGACGGAGAGGAGGTCCGATAGCTGCCCGCACCAAGGTCGTGACGCGGCCCGTCGATGGCTGCGCCACGATAGACCTCCGGGGGATGGCACGCTGCGCTGCGCCGCGAGGTGTCGCAGCGCCAGCTGGGACGCCGAGAAATACAGAAGCAGACAAGTGTACCTATACAAGAAACGCAGCATAGCCTCCCCAACAATCGGGTAGGTGATTTCCACAAAGTTCAGCCTTGTCTAATTTCTGGGGTGTGTGAGCCATCCATGTCGGTCCGGTGAGTCGGTGGGTGTATATATTTCGCAAAGTACACTCCTCGCATCGCAGCATCGTCCCACCACTTCCCGAAGTATTATGCATTTCTGCGGTATAAGTTTGACGATTGCCGGACGCTACCTTACCTGACAGTGCGCGTCTGTGGATTTATCCACGGCTTTTGGGGTCCACCTGATACAGCTACAATGAAGCAAGGGCCTACGCAAGCTTCCGCGAGTCGTGTGCGCTCCCGAAAACATCTCCTGATCGGATCACGGCATTTGGCAAGGGAATTTAGCCGCCGTCTTTGCCCACGGGTACTTCCAGGCCCTTAGCTCCGTGGACAAGAATGGGGAGAGGGGCAGTCTAAGAGGGGGAGTGTAATCAGTCAGAGCTCACAATTGGTTAGTGTCTGCCGGAGCTGTCCCATACTGTAGAGTTGATGGCGCGTTTGTCAAAATATGGCGGCGCCGATATGCGTGATCGCCGAGACAATGCGGGCGGGATGCCGACGTAGGACGCGTACGCCGTCGTCGTGTTTGTAAGTCACCGGGCCGGTGTCGACCCCGTGATGAGTTCCCTAGTTGATGGAGTGGGTATTGCTGATGTCTCACGATTGAAGCATTGTCGTCATGGCGGAAATAGAGATTGCTAGCGCAGCCGCGCTGCTCGCAGTCGAGGAACCGGCCCCAGCTCCGGGGCCGGGCCGGATAAGTTGTGGGGCCCACGGCAGCTCCGGGAGGCCGAACCACATCACGCATCCAGTTATGCGGGATGTCCGGGACGACTAATTGCCAGATTCTTCTCCTCTGGAGTCTTGGCGACTGGATTTCCAGCACAGGTCTATTCGACGTTTCGTAACTGGACACCCAGTCAATCCACTCAAGTTGACTAGATGTGCTTAGGGCGTCTCACAGCACCGACTCAACAAGTCCAATCCGACTACGGCCGAAGGGGTGAAAGTAGTTCTCTTTCACAGTTTTGATGCTTAGGCTTATCCAGCAGGCCTCCGCTGGCGGCCGTCCGAGCCAGGTTTCAACTCTTTGCCGGTCGCTATCCTCTCAGCTACCCCCACGTCCCAGTCATCCTACAGCTTGATCATCCTCGTGTCTGTCAGCTTCTTCGGTGACATTCTTCGCGGCTACTGAGGCGAACAGACGGCGCAGTCCCTGCAACAGGCCGTCGTCGCCCACGGCACTCTTTGCTACCCGGGAGGAGATTTCGTTTCTATCGTTAGCAATGAATGTCTCCTGCGGCTGTGTCACTTACTAGGTCCTTAAAACCAGATGCTCAGCTGCGCACATGTGCATCTGGTCGTTTATCGCTTTCCAGTAACCTTTTCAAGCGACTCCCCAGATACTGATTCCACGATCCACTGCTTGCGAGGATCGAATACAGAAGCTACAAGGCATTAGGCAGGTGGGTGAATGCAGTGCCGTGCGTACCTACCTTGGGACCCAATCCGTACTTGGACCCAATATACATGTACTCCAAGGACGCCACCAAGTTCGTCGCTCCAACGATTTGGTGTATGGCTTTGACGGAGCTGGCGTTCCCCAGTTGCCCAGTGTAGTAGATTCTGCTGACCATGAGCTTCAACATAGGCATGATAGTATCGAAAACACTCCTTTGCCCTCCAACCCAGATCTAAGACGTCTTGTAAGCAGTGGAGAAAGTTTTAGGGCAATAATGAGGAGCGGTCAAAGCTCCAGGTCACAAAGCGTGATAGTTCACATACAGTGAGCTCTCCTTTCTCTGCTTTCGCTGGCGAGCCGGACATTGGAGCCTCAAGGAGGCTAACCCCAGCATTCAATTCCGCCAACTCCGTTCGGACCGTCAGGACCAATTTGGGAGCCATTGTAGTCAGGAGGACTATGGTCAGCGATGTGAGGTGCTGGCGGATGGTCTCCTTGATGTCTTTGGTGATACCCAAGACTTGTTGGCCGCTCTGGACTACAAAGAAGACGTGCGAAGCATCCCGGCATGCGACACTCAAGCCGGTCACAGCTGAGACGTGGGAACCCTGGAGCGCGTCCGCTTTCGCTGCGTCCTTGCCGTACCCCATGACGTGAAAGACACTGGTCAAAGATCTTGCGATTCCGATGCCCAGGAAGTCCAGCCCGATGACGAGAGGTCTTTCCTCCCTCGTACAAGCTTGCGCCGATGGATTCGTGAAAGAGTTCGGTACAAACGAGTGGAAATATCCATGTTGACTTGACACATTCCGTGGCCGTCACCCGCCCCGAGTTCTTGTAGAAGCAATAACTGTTTAATCGCCAGGTCCGTCACTGGTGCATAGAAGTGATTGCGAGCGCATATGCCATTGCCTTCGCTTATTTTGCGACGCTACAGCTCCCTCGGCCTGTCGGTCCGGCATCATAGCGGGTGAAGACTTCAGATTCGAGGCACGGGCCGGATTGAGCAGCAGCGTGCCTGATGATCCAGCATTAGCTTTGGATCCAAGCCCAGCTTTGACGCGAGTGCCGCCGCGTTAGAGGAGCGGTCGACTTTACAGCCTGAAGGAACTCCACGAGACACTGAAGGAACGATGCATCCCCCAATTGCCCCCCGGTTGCTTCAACGCCATGCTTCCAGCGCACACACCCAGAAGCCAAGGGGCACAATTTGGGCTTGCTACTGGCCGCTTGAACCTCGAATTTCGCCATCACTAGATTTCCCTACGTGAAAGTCACCCTCGTCTCTCAATTATACCTTGCGCCCATCACCGAAGATGGGGTCCTTCTCGTCATACGATTTCGCCGAGTCTTGTCCAGCAACAAGAAGCAAAAGCACGCCCTCTCCAACACTTTGATCAAGCAATTACGGGAATGTGGGTTCGTGAGGCTTCGAAGTCATGGCATTGCGACGCAGACAATCTTGCAGGCATTCCACTCCGTCTGTGACGCCTTCCCATATGTACTTATCACTCGTGTGCACGCTAACCACCAATAATCGAGCAAGTTCTTCAAGCTAGACATGGCCGAAAAGCTCACCGCTGCGCATCCGGAACAGCCGAGCCCGCATCGAGGATATAGTTACGTCTGCCAGGAGAAGGTTTCTTCCATCTCGGGCTTTTCAGACAAGTTTCATGGGTCGATAGACATGAAAGATTACAAGGTGAGGATTGGGCTTTGTGCAGACAAGCACTCAGCAGGCGAAGCTGATAGTCAATAGGAAACCTTTGGTATGGGTTGGCCCTGAAACAAGGACTTCCCGAACCGATAGCCGTCCGCCAAGTCGCAGCTTGAGTTCAGGCAGAACATGGAAGAGGTCTTCGATACCTGCCACTGGGTTCTCTCGCATGTGCTGCAGGCCATTGCGCTGGGCCTGAACCTCCCGGCGCAGCAGTTCCTGCCATTGCACGACGCGCGCCATCACGAAATGAGGCTCCTACACTACCCTGCTACCGTCAGATCACAAGCTGAGCAATGGTACTTCTCATATCGCGGACCACACCGACTTCGGCTGCGTCACGTTCCTACCAATTTCAGGATAACACTGGCGGCACGGCTTCAAGCCCGGCGACCCGAGGGGAACGAGTATTTCGACCTGAACTCGTCCTCGGAGGACATGCTCGTCATATTAGGATACTGTTTCCAAAGGTGGACTGGAGACCTCCTGCGGGCTGCACCGCGCCGGGTGACTATCCCCTCTGGCCGCTATGGGACGAACCACGAAGGTGACTTACCGGAACGTTTTCCCATTGCATTCTTTGGGAAGCCAGACGGCAACGTTCGTGTGGGAAATATGGACGAGGCCCGGTACAGTCAGAACCCTCTCAATGGGGCAGGACTGCCCAGCCATAACGTCCTGGACGGAGCCATGATGCAAAGGCCATGACAAGTCGTGCGTAAACGAGTCGAGTAGTTGTCTCTCGTTAGCCAACCTGAAGAGTTCCTCGCGCGCAAGTTCGGGGGAAATCTGTGGTGTTCTCAAGGTCGCGGTGCGTGCCTTCATGTTCCCGAAATTAGGCTAGACTCCAAAGACTGGTATAGAACAGACACGAGCCACATGTTCTCCCCACCAAAGCATTAAATTGCCTGGGGTCTAGGAGTCTAGGTCACTCTCTAGGTTGACGAGATGTAAGACAGGTTTACGGTAGAGACCTGAGAGACATCCATCATTCCACGGTGCACCGCCATGCAAGCGTCAAGCGAGACCAGGCAGCCAGCGAGCGCAATTGCTCAGAAATTCCACTTTCCTCGTCAAAGTTTCCAGTCCCATGTCAGATCCCTGATGGGTGTCTCATCTACCTGCCTGAGTAGGGGATATTTCGCCTGGTAATTAGCACGACAGCAACGCTGCTCGGGCGATCTACGGATCCTCGGCGACGATGCGCTTTGCCCCAGTGTATATACTCGCAGACAGTGAGTTACCTGCCGGGTACAGAGCAGCTATTAATAGTGTAGCACCTGGCCAAAAGTTAGCATCAATCTCAGGGCGTGAAGAAATCCGCCTTGCTGGGCCGTTCTCCACTGCCGTGTCGCTGGGTGACGCATAAGCTCCACGCCATTGACATCAGCCCCAGATATACTCGCTGCTCTGGGAAGCTTGTCGAGCTTGATAGCTGTGTGGTATGAAGGGCTTCTGCCTGATGCTCGAAAAAAACTCTGCAAAAGTATTTTGTTGACTGCCGTTGCATGCGCGACAAATTGCCTCGGAGCACAGTCATCCATCCGGCGACGTCGGGCTCATCGCCTAAAAGTATCGGGGCGTTGTAACCCGATCTGATGTGCAAGCTCAGAGCGCCCAATGCCATTCACGACGTGGAGCAGTGGAATAGAGTTATGTCGCGTTCGCAACCTCAGATGGGATGAACGGTCTGCCTTACGATGCTCCGCTTACCGGAAGTAAGGCCCTCATGTCGTGTTTCGCCCTTTCGAGACACCCGGCATCCAATAAGCCGGCTGTCGCCTTCCACTCGCTCGGCTTGCGCAGTCAGAAATGACCCAGATGTGTCTGCGCCGCAGGGTCGCGTCCCGGGCGCGGTGTTAAAAATCACCGCCGCTTACGGGACCCAGACGCCGCAGAAGTTAGTTGTTTGAGCTCCGGTGCCCGGTCCGATGCCGCCGGTCCGGCCATCGGAGCTGGCGGGCGGCGGCGGCGCGGAGGGCAGGGCAAGGGAGGGGGAGGCACGGAACGTCCTCGTATTTCCCCTTCTGGCCAGGCCCTTTGCTCTTGGGGCCCTGTTGGATTCCATGAATGGTTTGTTGGCGTTTACGAGGCGGCACGCCGGCGGTTTTGCTTCCCATTGCTCGTTTTTGGAGCAGGGCTCGATACGACGTGCACCTGCGAGGGTGCGCGTGCTCGTGATGGACAAATGCACGCGAGGCCGAAGGTCCCGAGGCGGTGCGATGAATGACCCAGCTCGACGCGAACCAACACCGTCGACGACATGGGCTTGGTTCGTGGTAAGCAAGCCAAAGCTGGTGCTGTACCTAGCAATGAGCTCGAGCTCCATGTCCAGCTGCCGCGTCGCGTCGCCTTGCAGACGGGTCACGCCATTGGCATTTGCATGGTGCCCATCAGGCCACCGCCCGCGAGCCGCTGGGCACCCATTGATCGAACGGAAGCAGCGGGGCCTTGGGCGGGAACGGAGATGGGAAAGCCCACGTCAGCGCCTGAGAACATTGAGTGCCGGGCAAAGCGGAGACGACGGCAGCATCGTCCCGGCACTTGAGGTCATGCGAGCGAGCTGGAAACGTCTGCGCAATGCAACGTACGAACGTGCTTTGCTTCGTCCATTTGCCTCCCTCCCTGCGACTTGAGACGGCGGGCCTGTCGGATGAAGTGGGCACATTCATTCGTGATCAACATAACCGCTGTCATGTTACCCGCCGTCTCTCGTCACCCGCTGTGACGGGCAGGAACCCTGGCGCATCGAGATGGGGCCCGACAAGGCCGCCGCCGCCGCCGTCCGAAATGCGCTTCGTTTTCTTTTTGGCCTGCCCGACGAAGCGATTGGTGTGAATCCGGTGCGCGAGCAAGGCGAGCTATCTCGTAGTGCCGGCCGTCAACAGCGGTGCCGCCGCCCATCCGTCCGTCCCTTGCTGGCCCACCGCATCCACACCCACCCTGACGGGCAACGGAGACAAGGCGACACTTCTCATCCACCCACCGCCTCTTGCTTGCCCGTGTGTCGACTCATGATGCTTGTCTTCTTTTTTTCTTCGCCTGCGCTTGCGCGTGCAAGTTTTTCCCCCTTGCTCCCTGCTCCCTGGTTTCGTCCGATTCCTTGAGTCTTGGGCATCCATCCATCTTGGCAGTGACAGCCAGCGGGAACCCAACCCCTGTCCATTGTTTGATGCACGTGGCTGACGACGATGATGGGCTCAGCCGTTGGACCATACCAGGCCGGCAAGCTCGCGCGCTGACCTTGTGCCCTCTGCGTGAGCTGACGCGAGCTGCGAGGTAGTTGGCAGCCACGCAGCCACGCCGTGTCCGCTGATACCGCCATCCAAAAGTAGCGTTGCTGTTTCTGGTCACAGCATTCAGGGACCTCCGGGACCAGACCAGAGCTGTCGCCGTCTCTCCCGCCCATGACTCCCTTCCTTTTTGTGGGTTCTTTTCGCTTCCCAGTTAGTAAACGTAAGGTCCCAGCGGGCAAAAAAGCTTGCTCCTGCGACCCTGACATCTTGATTGAACCCTCTTCGCCAGGCGGTGGGTCAGAGGGGCATCATCGCATCGGTTGCGAAAAAGCCAAACCCAGACGCTGGCATGGATGACAGGGAAAAAAAGGAGCCAAAAAATGGCCCCTCGCTCGCTAACAAGGGGATGAGGGAGGGTCCACAAGTTGCGCAAGGCAGAGAGGCGGCGGCATGGCGGTACTCTGCCGATACATGTCCCGTAAAAGCCGATGCCGCGATCCCCACCCCTCCCGAGTGACTGAGACATGGATGGGTGATCGACGAGGCTTGCTTGACACAATCCCAGGCTGGGCCTTGCCGTCGTCGCAGCAGTGGTAGTCGCGTACGTAGTTCGGTGCTCACGGGAGTAGGCCGGTCGGAGCCCAAGGGCCCGGCACCAAGCGGTTCGTTCGCCTTGGCTTGACTCGTTGTCGTCGACTTGGGTGGTTTAAAAGGGTCGCCGAAGCTGCACACCTTTGGGTGTCCCCATCTGACGGATGCCCGCCTTGCCCGCCTTTATCGTGTGAGACGAGCTACAGTCTTGAGACAGACAGACTCGAGCGCATTGATACCTTCCGGTCGCTAATACAGCGCACCCGTCGTCGACTTCACATCGAGAGGAAAGAGGAAGAGGACAGAAGCCATGTATCAGCACGCCACCTTCCGCCGACGCTCCTCCTCGACGTCGTCCACCGCCTCAACGGTATCGTGGGCGTCTGATCACCATCACGACGAGAGCGGCCGCGCCGCCCGCGGCAGCCAGGACTTGAACAGCGCGGCGTCTTCCCCGCCGCCGGCCTCGACGAATGCGAACGTGCGCACCTGCGAGGGCATGACGGCCGACGAGACGCGCGAGCTGTGGAAATGCATGCTCGCGCTGCAGCAGCGCTACGGGTGCTACAACTCGAGGCGCATCGACCTGGCGGCCAACGCCGGCGACGATGGCGTCAACTTAATGCGTGAGTTTGCACCTCTCCCCCTCAACTCTTTTCACCTACACACGTTGTTTTCTTCTTCTATCCTCTCTGTGGCGCTCCGCGATGCCGCCGCTACGGTTTTATCGCGTGCCTAAAAACGGCCGCCCGGCTCGGCAGGTGTTTGCCGGAGCAGGGTAGGGCGACGGTGGTCTGGCGGCGGCAGCGGCGGCGGCGGCGATCTACCAAAGAAGGATGAAACAGGCGTGGCGAGATAGTGAACATGGATGGCCGCTAACAACGTCACAACAGCAAATCCTTTCATCATTGACACCCTCAACAACTCTGTCATCGACCTGCCCGACGAAGGCTGGGAGATGCTCGACCGGTGTCTGCGCGGCCACCACGACGATTCCTGCGCGTCCGCGTCGCCCGCCGCGTGCAACGAGCGCGCCGGCAAGGCCAAGTGCGAGGCAGTGGTGCTCACACGGCAATGACCAGACCGCTCATAGAACGAACGGCATGACATGGAGCGGCCACGGAAACGTATGACACGATTGAAACGACGATGCAGCATTGGGATAATTCTCGTGGAGAAATTGGCTTTGCAGCATGGGAGACGACGACATGATGAGTGGGAGAGAGAGGAAGGCAAGGGCACAGGACGTGCGTGGCGTTGGGCATTGGGAGCGCAGACTCATCGCTTCACGCGCCTCACTTCACTTCTCACCGTGGAGATCTTTACCATTACCACATCTTTTTCTGTTTTAATGCTTTCTTAAGCATCCTCGATACCCCCATTTACATTCAGACTGAAAAGCAACCTTATACAGCTATTGAAACCTTTGCTTAACATCGTCGCTTTTGTCAGGCGTCTTAAGTGAACAAGACATCGTGGGCTGAACTCTCCACAACGCTGTGCATCAGCTCAGCCCGCATCTCAACGTCAACAACATCAGACTGTCTCAGGTTTACACAACTGCTACGTGCGAGTCTACGACGCGTGCGCTGGATGACCGGGGCGGTAGTACATGTTGCGTGCACCGGCATTGTCCTCACCACATCTCATCGGTCCATGTCTCGGATCTCCGCATCCTCCCACTTACACGCAGCAGGGCAAAGACACAATAGGCCACGTCAATTCTGCAATGCATGGCGGGCCACACAAGATGAGCGCCCTCTGACCTCACGCGCACGCATCCGTAGCCGTCTGTTCGCCTCGTTCAATTTGTCAGCCGGAAGCTCTCCGCAGCCATGATGGTCTGTCCAATCTCAACTCCAGTACCGCGCATCACCCCCTCCACTCGCGCTGCTGGGGTCGCGAGGACCCAAAGAATGGAACACGGCCCTTCCCCAGACTGGAAGACGTCATGCGCGCACAAGCAATCGCTCGCTCCCCCGCCCCCACCCCAGTAGTGAGCGCTGATCCCAAGGACGGCACCTCGGGACGCTCTTCCAGGCGGCAGATCGCATCGCGTCCGCGCAATCCGGTCAAGCGCGAGCGAAACCGCTCCGCTCATCGGTGTCCCTCCGCTACTCGCTGCAGACAAAGTCGGAGGCCCAGCGCCGATAGTATTGCACTCGTCTCGCCGGTTAGTCAGAGGCAGCAGAATCTTGTGCATTGTCATTGCGGTCGACCCGGCCCTTGCGTCCGCTTCATGTATCCGCCATGTACCACCGAGCCTTCACATGTTGTTGCCGAGACCCTGAGCCCGAGGCCAGCTCAACCTGGCAAATTGCACACCGGCTGCTACAAGTGCTGCGTTGCCCACACCTCAAGTAGCACGATGGGCCTGGTCGCCTGTGGTCAATAGGTTCACGCGCCGGTGAGGGCGTTTTAACTGGAAGAGCGTCGACAACACTGGGCAATGAGGACATGCCTGTGCAGTGGGAATCTCGGCCGTACAGTGTTCGAATTGGAAGCCACGCATCGACTTTGAACTCGACCGCCGTCCGTCTGGGCCTAGCCCAGGACCTCGTCCTGAGGTGGCCTTGCCTCTCGACTAACTTCTAAGTATGACCCCCCGGTCAAATAAATGCAGTCATATACGTCCTTCACTCAAGTGAGCGTATTTTTCATGAGATCATCAAGGTTGCCCTGCCATTTGTGACCTAAAAGCCACACTTCTTACCTCCGAACCATTTTCTCTTGGGCGTCAACATGAGAATGACCCAAGACACTGCCGTGGCATGTAACGATCGGCTCAAAATGCAACCTCATTCACGCGTCAGGCCGCTGGTCGTTGGCCGGTCACAAATGCCCTGCTTCACGTAAGTATGTCTCGTAAACCCCAATCAGACGGATGACTCACGTATAGGTATAGACGTGGATCCGGTTGGTCTTGAGTTCCTCCCTGACCAAGGCCAAAAGTACCTGGACCTCTTCGTTGGTCCAGTTACCCATCCGGGTGAACATGGCCAAGGTGTAGGCCTCGAGAGCCATGTTCAAGAACTGGTATCGAAACCACCTCCCAAGCTCCTTGAGCACGGGGTCCTTAGGCCAGGTCCCCAGAGGGACAATCTTTTGTGTGAATTTAACGTCTTGAAAGCCCGTGTTCTTGAGCATTTCCGGAAGCTTTGGTGCAATGTCAAACCCGAGAGGTTCGCTAAGGCGCCGAAACTCTGTGAGCCACTTGTACGTTGCTGTATCCTCCGTCAGGGTGTCGTCATCACACCAGAAGTTTGGCCTGCCCTCGGAGATCTCGACTCGGCCCCCAGGCTTGATGTGGTTGAAGCACTGCCCGAGCAGACCAGGCCAGTCCTTGATGGCGCCTGCGAGTGTTCTCGCGTGGATGAAGTCAAAGTAATTCTTCTCAAAAGTCCATTCCAGAGTCGCGTCGTCGATTTCGAACTTGACGTTTGGCGGGACCCTGCCCGGCAAGGTCAGCTGCGAATTCTGGGTGTATATATGCCCTGAAAAAAGGACTCACCATTCGGATTGTATGGGACTCAGATCGGTTCCAATGACCTCTGCAGATGGATACAGATCGCCCATTGTGATTGCCTGGATGCAATTGGTCAGGTTGCGCGGTCACCATGTCATTGCACGTTGTTGCTCGCAGTCGCTTACCCACATGCCGGTCCCCGTCCCCAGGTCCAAGATCGAATGGGGATCGTGCAGTTGGGTGACGCACGGGGCCCCGTCGAGCGTGAGCAGGAACACATGGTGAGTCAAGTCCAGGCGCTCTTGTTCCAGCTCGTCATTTGGGAGCAGGTACTGGCCGGCGCGGTAGGAATGGTACGTCCGGCCGTTCTCGTAGACGTATTCAAAAATTGAAGACCGGAGGCTCTCGGTCTGCGATGCCTCATCGGAGAAGTCGGAAAAAGCATCGTCGTCGGCATCCTCAGGCTGCAGTACTTGCAAATCAGTTCAGGCCTCCCCGACTGGAGAGCGGAGCAGAACAACGCACCTCGGCTTCCAGGGGCGCCGCTTGGCCGTCCGGGTCGTGCCACGCTCGCGACGGGTCGTGGTCCCCGTGGATAGGCTTGCATTGTTCCGCCATGGCCTCGATGGGGCTCGCTGAGGGGTTGTGGCCCGTGGGAATCGTCGGCCCCGGGCGGGACGGCTGGTGCCGCTCCGGAGTGGCGTGACGGCCCTGGGCGGGCCGAGGAAAATGCAGGGAATCCGGGGGCAGCAATGGTCGATCGGCACAGCGGCGCGGTCAAGGCCAGGCACTGCAACTGCAACTGCCGCGTTGTGCGTTTGCATCCAGCACTGGGGATCTGGTGCTGCAGCGTGTTTGCTTTTTGTCGTTTGTGTCGGCAAAGAGGTGGGGGGTTGAAGGGTCCTCGAGTGACTTGCGACGTAACGTAATGGCGCAAGGCTGCACTTCGCTCCTTCCCCGTCGCTGTCAAATGTTCTCGCAAAACGAAGTCAGCTCTAGGGTCTCAAGAAGGGAAAGCGCGTCCGCGGACGCAGGGCCCTGCCACCCGCACAGCGTGGCTCATCAGGCCCGGGCTGTCAGTTCAGTGTCCACTTGCAGCACTGGAGCACCCTGCACACCAGAGTGCCACAGGGCAGGCGCACCTACCATAATGAGGGGAGTCAGGGGACCTGGAGCAACGCGGAGGTGGCTCCGTCGGAACCATCCCGCCATGATTGGTCCCGGACACGCAGGCTGATTTCAGGCTGGCGGATCGCTTCAACCACCTGCGAAGTCTGGGCGCCATCGAGTTTGGCTTGGCTGGCTGGCCGACTGCTCCGCAAATTCATTGATACTGCTAACCGAGCCCTGCCTGGTCTCCTTTTTAGTCTGCCGCCGAGACTGCTTCCCAGCTCGCCCGAGGCCCAATGGCAAGGATCCGGAGGTCATCCGACAAGCCTGGAGGCCACTTGCGGTCTCCTCCGCCGTGACGGGCTGCAACGCGACGCTGCTGCTGCCCGTCCATTCCGGCCGGTCATCCATCCATGCACGGCTCCGTCCCAGAACCACGGCCTCGGGTCCGTCCTGCTGCTTCCTGACGTCCCATCGATGATCAAGGCGGCATGGTCGGAGGCCACTGAGTTTGCTGCGCAACCATGAGCTGGCAAACGCAGCTGCTCTCTTTCGCGGCCGCTGGGCTCGCCTATCTCGTCTTCACAGCCATCCACCGGCTCTACTTCAGCCCGCTGGCCGCGATCCCCGGCCCCAGGTGGGCTGCGCTGTCTCTATGGAACGAATTCTACTACGACGTCGTTCGTCGCGGGACATTTATGTGGCAGATCCAAGACATGCACAAGAAATATGGTGCGTGCGCGCCATCCCGAGTCCACGGAGCTGTTTTGCTGACCTCGTGTCTCACTCAGGCCCCTGCGTGCGCATCAATCCCTATGAGGTTCACATCCTCGACCCCGACTTCTACGACGAGCTGTACGTCAACACGAAGCGACTTGACAAGTACAGGTGGTGGACGAATCTCGCTGGTGCCGACGGAAGCTCCTTCTCCACAATCACCCACGATCAGCATAAGCTTCGGCGCGGCGCAGTCAATCCCTTCTTCTCAGCTCGCTCTGTCACGAAGCTCGAGCCCTTGCTCAGGTCCAAGATCGACAAGCTTAGTGCGCGCTTCGATGGCTTCGTTGAGTCTGGCGAGGTGTTGCGCCTCGACGCTGCCTTCATGGCCCTCACCATGGACATCATCTGCGACTACGCTTTTTCACACGACCGCAAATACCTCGACGAGCCCGATTTTAAGCTGCTCTGGAAGCAGACCATCATCGGCGCCTTCGAGGGCGGCGCACTGGGCAGGCAATTCCCTTGGATGCTCCCCTTGATGAAGCGCCTCCCGGTATCTGTGGTTTCGGCGATGAACCCGTCTGTCGGCCACCTGCTCAGTTGGCAGGCCGGCGTCAAAGAGCAGGTCAGGCCCATATTGGAAGGCGTCGATGAAATAACATTGTCGGGCGACAAAGACGCGTCTTCCAGGACAATCTTTCACACGCTCCGTGACAGCGACCTGCCACCAGAGGAGAAGACTCTGCAGCGCCTATGCGACGAAGGCGAGATCCTGACTGGAGCTGGCTCAGAGACCACCGCTCAGACCCTGACGCGCATCCTGTTTTACCTCAAACAAGAACCAAAGACTCTGGCGAGGTTGCGAGATGAGCTTGATGGCGCTCTGTCAAAGCGGACTGCAGCTCCTTCGTGGACCGAGCTGCAACAGCTGCCGTATCTGGTACGTCACGACTCCCCATAGTCGGGCAAAACGTGCTGACCAGTGCAGAGCGCTGTCATTAAAGAAGGCCTGCGACTGTCTTACGGAACCACGACCCGCCTCCCACGTATCGCGCACGAGGATATACGCTACAAAGAACATGTCATCCCGGCAGGAGTGAGTGCCATCGAAGCAACCCGCCGACGTGTGGCTAACAGTCTCTCAGACTCCCATTTCACAGACGCCGTATTTCGTTCTCATGCACGCGTCCATCTTCCCAGACCCCGCGTGTTTCCGACCAGAGAGGTGGCTAGAGCCAGCAGCAAAGGACATGAAACTAGACAGATACCTCGTTTGCTTTGGCAAAGGCAGTCGCCAGTGTTTGGGCTTGAAGTGCGTATCGCCTGTTATGGCCTACAAACGCAGTCACTGACCGTACCAGTCTCGCTTACGCCGAAATGTACCTCACGATCGTGGCTGTTGTCCGCCGATTCGACTGGGAGATGTACGAGACCACTCTCGATGACATTGTCTGCAAGCACGACTTTTTCGTAGCGGTTGCCAGCCTCGACAGCAAGGGTGTGCGTGCAAGGTTGTCAGCGAGGCACTTCTAGGCAAAGCGGCTCAATCAGACTGGGCATGTCCTGGCATGCTTTTGTATAAGATCACGACTGAGACGCAGCGTTCAATTAGATCTATAGCGACTGACATAGCGCCCCGAATGGAACGTTGAATCAACATGCATGTCAAATTGTTGGCGCATAGGCAACCACCGTCTGTCGCGTTGGCTCGCAGTGGGCTTATAAATCGCGGCTCTCGCCGGGTCATCGATCATACCGAAACGGCGGAACTGCTCCCGAGCCTGGTGGCTTGAAGCCTCACAAACCTTCGAGTACAAAGGAGCTGAAAGCTCTCAGAGCCATCAGTTTTTTCAGCTGGGGACACATCCATCGCACTTCTGCTGCTCTCGATACCACCGACAGCTATACACGATGACGACGAACACATCTCTTTCTGGCCAAGATGTCTCGGTGATTGGGCTTGGTAACATGGGAGTCGCGATTGCGAACTGCTTGCTGCGAGCTGGAGCCACAGTGACCGTGTGGAATCGTACCGCGTCCAAGGCTGAGCAGCTCATTGCCCAGGGCGCCCTCCTCGCACTGTCGCCTTCTGCCTGCATCTCAGCCAGTCCCATCACCATCATCTGCCTCTTGTCCAATGCCACAGCCGAGCAAGCCTTGTCCGACGTGCAGGATCTCTCGACGAGAACCATCATCAACCTGACCAATGGCTCGCCCGGGCAAGCCAGGCAAATGGCAACGCTCCTGCAAAGTCAAAAGGGCGCGCGGTATATCCACGGAGCAATCATGGTGCCGCCTTTGCTCCTCGGGCAGCCCACCTCCGTGACGCTCTGCTCTGGCCCGTCGGACGTCTTCCACGCTTGCACGTCCGTCCTCTCCGCGCTGGGCACTCCGCGTCACGTCGGCGAGAATATATCGCAGGCCTCGCTGCTCGACAATGCGCTTCTCAGCCTCATGGGCGGGATATTCGAGGGGTGGGTGCAGGCGCTGGCGATTGTGCAGCGCGGTGGCGTGGACGAGGTCGAGTTCGCGACGGGGCTGGCGGGACCGTTCGTCAAGGCCATGGCCGACTGGCTGCCGCGCATAGCTGAGAGTGTGCGCGACGAGCAGTACGTGGGTGGCTCGCCGCTGAGGATGCAGCTAGAAGCGCTGGATAATATTGCTGTGACGGGAGAGGAGCTGGGCGTGGGGGTGCTGCTTGGGGAGTTGAGGGGGGTGATGGAGCGGGCGGTGACGCTGGGGAAAGGGGAGGAGGGTATTGCTGGGCTGGTGCCATTGCTTACGGGGAAGAAGTAAGTAGTTTATTCGTGCTGTTTGCCAGGGGATGATGACCACTTGCAAGGCATGTGTCTCTGTTTGTTTGCAATGTCAAATGCGAATCTACGTCGCCAGTGTTTCGGGTGGTCAAGCCTTCTCATGTGACCAAGTGAAGCAAGACGCATAAAGCGAAGCAAAGGGGCACAATGCGCACCACGGACGTCACGGGCATCGTTAGAATCGTGAACACTCCGATATCACAACCGCTGTTCAATCGTGACATCGGAACTGTTGTGGTTGCCCAGCGCCCTAGGTACTTCCACCAGATGGCCGGGTCACTCACCCTACCCAGAGCCATGCCGACTCCTGGAAAAGCATAAACGATTGACTATGATCGTGGTCCCGCACCCTCGCCGCCGGAATCGTGGTGCACGACTGAGACTTGCGAGTGAGTTCGTGGCCACGAGCTGGCCACGCGCCTGTGCCGACGACAAACACCGTATCACAACCCCCGGGTGCCAGAAGCGACTCGCTGCAAACACCGAATGGCAGACACCGGGCCTCATCTGTCGCCCGCAGGCGCGAGCTTCGGTTCATCTGCTCACAAGCGTTTTCTACCAGCTGTTGCCAATCCGCGTCGTCTACACAACGTAGTGCAGAGGCACAATCGCATCATATGAGCGATGCGTTTCGCGGCGCAACAGAGCATCTGTTTGCTCTATTGTGCCTGCGGCTTTTTCCGGACGAAATAAACAATGCAGACCGCGCGCACCCTTCTATTGTGAAGTGCCAGGCAGCTGTGCGCAGCCCGACGGCCACGCACGCGAAGAGTGAACAGAGCACAGCGCAGCAGCTCGGTCTGTGATTCACGGGTGTCCCCCCAGTAACCGAGATGCAGGCTCCTCGCGCACGCAACAGCTGTTCAGGGCAGCTGTCTGCCATTCACGGTAGAAATGGGCTCTCTCCATCAGGCCCCATCACGTTACTGAACTTGCTGTCTGCATCTCTCACGCGCCTGGCTGGCCACGACCTTGACAACCCGAGGCTGGCCGCGCACGCGGCCCTTGCCCAACAGCTACGAGCATCACCTCTGCTTCCGTTTCATCCTCTTCACAGCTCTTTAGAGGGGTTGCACAATTTCCGCGGGAGCACAATTTCCTCTGGAGCGATGGAATCGACATCGCCAGTGTCACACAACAACGCGGACATCATGACGCACGAGGGGAGACCCCAGGAGGCTGTTGCCGACACGCGCGACGCTCACACCACCCTGCGATGCACAATAGCGCATGTGCGCCTCGAGCGAGAGCAGCCGAAGCACCGACGCATACCGAAGCGTTTCCGCCGCTACGTGCCCTCGCCGCTGGTGCAGTGCTGGAATCAGGACAGCGTGCCCACGCCGCCGGCGTCAGAGCACAACTCGGCGTGTCCGAGCCCAAATGGTGACAAGCCATCGCTCGCTGTAGCTGACAATACCCCTCCTGGTGTTCAACTTGACCAATCCAAGGTGTTTCTGGGATATGCACCGGTTGTCGGAGCAGACAACTCGAGTGTTATTGGGGGTGGTCTGCGCAACGAGGGAGACATACAGGGTACGGACCGTGGAGGGGAAGTCATACCGCGACGGAGCGTGGGCGAGCTGACGATGAGACCGGAGATGGACTACGCGACCGTATTTCACGAGCTATCCCTGCTGGAGTGGGAGCAGAGACAGTTCCAGCACCAGCAGTATCGCCACCATCACCATCACATTCAGCACCCAGTGCCACGACACACTCAGCAGCGATCTATGGTTCTTCAGCCGCCCATCGGAACGGGTCGACCCTCCAGAACGCAGCCCCAAAACGAAACAACGCACTGCCAGCAGCAAGGCAATACCTTCTCGACTGACGCCGCAGAAGCTGCTGCGGAAATCACGCGACCCCTGGGCCCAGTGCCGTCCCTTCGCCACCCATCAAACGGATGGCCGCAGTGCCCTACAAGCGCTCCTTCGCTGCAGCAAGGCCAGTGGCAGCCTCAGTTTGGCCAAGAGCAAGTGTATCGACTGCCACCTTGGCATGAAGGCATGGCTTCAGATGGGATCAACACAGAATTCGTCGGCTTCGGTGCTGGTCTCGGATTGACTGGCATCCCGAACACACAACATGGCTCTGTCATCCAGTCTGCGGATGGAGAAGAAGAAGAAGAATTTTGAAGAGACCGTGAGCCTTTGAGCGACTTTCCCCGAGGAAAGGAGGTTTTGGGAAGGTTTGCATAGACGCGTTTTTCTCGGCAACGGCGTCTCGGCTTTTGATGGTTATGGCGAGGCGCATAGTGGGGAGCATGGGTGGAATTCTGGCTGACGTCTGGTAGTTGAACTTGCATTTCAGGCCTTCTCAGCAATTTTTGAGAAACGGTACGCCAGTGGCTCCGTCTCACTGAACGAATGCAAGTAGAACTGACTCCTCTCATTGCATCGTGAGCCGGTGAGCGACTGTGTCTTGTTCCCGTACGCAGAAATTTCTACTCGAAGCTGTGAAGTTGAAGCCCCCCTGTCCCTGTTTACTCCCGACTACACGTGCGATGTACTTCGTAAGGTACTTGGAGCTGGCCAAGACTTAGCTGAACAAATACGGTCGCCATTAGTTCAAGATGTGGGTAGTTGCAATGTCAGTCGATCAGCATCGAATGATGTTTGCCTGTTTCCTGCCCAGAACAAAGACGGGTGACACTCGTACGAACCTGTCCGTCGCTCCTGCAGCACGTGTCGCGAAAAGGACAATCGCAGTGGAGCAACAAGGGTATCCTTTTGTCCAGTCTCCCCTGCTCGCTGGGAGTTGGGCATGAGGCAATGATGTAGACGCTGACGGCCACAATGGGCCTCAAGACAAAACCTCACCTACACCTGACCAACAGCTAGCATCAAAGGCTTCGGCATCGCTCGTCAGACACGACCGACCGACTCTCCAGGGCTGCGTTGATGAACAGCGACGACCCGGTACCCCAACATTCCCCTCATTCCCCGCAGAGGACACGAGGTGGGGGATGCGGAGCAAACCTGCTTCACGAAAACACCCCCTGTCGGTGGGCTCTCCGAAGGTTTACATGGCAACATGGACGAGATTGCCCCCTGCTTCGACGGCCCCAGCGAAAAGGCCTGGTGCCTCATTGCACACTGCGTATCACTTCTTGGCATGCTGCTGCTCGGTGGTGGCGCCCTAGATCCATGCCTGGTCCTTGTCGATATCGGTCGGTGGCGGTTGTGGCGGGCACTTTGTTCTCGGTCAACGCCCGTCGTGGCGCCGCCTCCGCCGCGGCCAGGCTCGCTGACCTCAACTCGGTGGTGGCTTGGCTAACAGTGACGAAGGACGCTGAGGCAGGAGAGGCTGTATGAGGCTCTGCGGCAGCGTCTGCTCTATTTCGTCCGCTCGAACAGATTTCCAGCAGTATTGAGAGGTTGAGTGCCTTCTCGCGTCACGACGTAAGTGTAGTAGACGAAGTACGCAATTTGGCAATCTAGTGACACCAGAGCCACATCACCGGATGCGACGTCCCCCGCGACTTTCCCCGCGGCTTTCCCCAGACTCAAACAGACATTTCTCCAGTATGATCGACATTGGAGGACATCTCAGCCTCGGTTTCAAGAGCGACAATTCGTATCTCCTTCGGGAGCCGAGCCCAAACACCGAGCTTCCAGTTCGTCAAGCCACGACAGACGTTCAGGCAATTTGCTCCGTCCGGCACATCTCATCCCGACCTCTCAGCTTCACCGCGCACTCCGTCCCGGTTTCCCCCGCGGGCAGCACCCATCGCGGCCGCCCTAACGGTGCCGGGGGGCTGCCTCCACCATCCGTCCCCATGGGATGCGGGACGGGCATCCCTACGGGTGGAGCTTTGACTTCGGGCCTTTGGCTGCAAGAGCGCATCTCAGATGGGGTGGCTGTCTGGCGGCGGTAGCTCCCCTGCGCCACGAGAACTACTGCTAGTAGTCCATATGTGTGAATGTGACACGCACTCGTGGTATGCATGACAGTTGCCTACTAGTCGATTCGACGACGCGCCGGCGCATAAACGCACGAGGGAAAGGTGAGACGGCAGTACCGGGCCCTTGGCCCTCCCCGCCAACACACCCCCTGGTCGGTGCATTAGCTGCTTGCGTCCCTCGAACGACGAAGGCTTCCGGACTGGTGTTGTGGATTCCGGGGGCGACTGATTCCGGGCCATCTCGAGGCCAATTACCCGGCGGTTGGCCGAAGGCGAAATAAGCTTACTGTGAGGAATCACAAGATACGCGAGATTCCGGGGAAATCTGACATGCTGCGGGTGAGTACGGGGAAGCTCACAGCAGCATGCTGTAAGCGCACTTTCCAAGTGTTGTCCGTTCCAGTGTGCACTTGGGAAAAGCATGGTTCACAGTAGTGGTGTATTTGTGTGGTATACTGAGTATGTATCTCATGGCAAATCGTCACAAGTCGCTCGCGACTCGCTTTACACGTTAATCGTCTTCTCCACATGCTGCTGCGTCCCGCGCTCCTCCTCAGCGATGCGCTGCTTCTCGTCATAGGCCATGTCCTTCTGCTCGGCGTCCCGGTTGCCGTACAGACCAATCTTGTACCACGGAAGGTCGAAGAGGCGGTCCATGCTCTCGAGGCTGCGCCCGCTGGTCTCGGGAACGGAGAACCAGACCCAGATACCGCCAACGATGGTGACTGTTCTCAAGTTAGCGTGGGCCGCGCGCGAGTGTCACGTGTCGAAGAAGAAACTTACCAGCTGCAAAGCACCAGAAAGTGCCCTTGGGGGAGATGCCACCGTCGGAAACGGGGAGCAGCATGTTGGGAACGGCGCGAGAGTTGCCGTATTGGTTGGCAAAGTGCAGTGTCATGGCCCAAGACGTAGCCAGGGCACGGATCCTGAGAGGGAACAGCTCGGCTGTGAGGAGGTACTGCATGGAGTTCCAGCCAAGGGCCCATCCGAAGCCAGAAATGTAGATCATGGCGATGGCGCCGCGGCTCGCGCCCTTCTTGTCGGCGGGCAGCACAAAGTTCTTGACTACGCCCATTTCGGGGACGGCCGTCAAGAAGCCTGCGACGTAGATCATGGCGATGGCCTGGAGGGTAATGCCCGTGAGGAGAGCGCGCTTCCGGCCAATGACATCAACAAGGAACAGGGCACACATGAGCGCCGCGATCAGCTTGATGATGCCAAAGACCGCGGTAACGAGCAGGCCCTCCTCGCTGCCGGTGATGCCCAGGAGCGCAAACAGATCGGGCGCGTAAAGGGTGATGGAGCCAGCGCCGGACCATTGAGAGAGGAGCTGGACCATGGTGGCGAGGTAGACACGGTAGAGGTTGCTCTTGTCGAGGAACATCTCCTTGATCTTGCCGAGCCAACCGACGCCCTTGGTGGCCTCGAGCTCGTGGTCGAGGGCGGCCTGAATGGTGGTGATTTCGCCAACGACGTAGTCGCTGTCGACGGGGAGGTGGCGGAGCTTGCTCATGACATCGGCGGCCCGGTCGGGCTTACCCTGCTTGACGAGGAAGCGCGGCGACTCGTACTGGAAGAAGGTAAGAATGAAGATGATGCCGGCCATCATGACGTGCAGACTGGTGGGCACGAGCCAGCGGTTGTGACTGTTGGGGTCAATGTGCAGGGCGGCGCCGTAGTTGGTGAAGTAGGCGAGGACGATGCCGATGTAGACAGCGCCGGTGAAGAAGCAGGTGCAGAGACCTCGAACGGACGCTGGGGCGACTTCGGCGATGTAGACGGGCCTTGTGAACAATGTTAGAGATGTTCAAGAGTGATGGTGTTTGAGGTCACGTACCCGACGACGGGCGTCTGGCCGACACCGAGACCGGCGATGAAGCGGCCTGCATAAATGGCTCCCAAGTTTCCATTGACACCTCCGACCATGAAGATGATGATGCCGAGGACCCAGAGCGCGCACAGGACGCGGGTGGCCTGAATACGGCCGATGCGATCGCAGATCAAGAAGGCACTGCGAGAACCGTAAGCACTTGGTGTTGTTGTGTAGCCAACCGGGTCGACGACTTACATCAGTGCACCGCCGACGGAACCAATCTGGACCATGGCTGAGACATTGGCCTTGATGTTGGCCTGGGCGACCTTGGAGTAGCTAGAGTAGTGAATCGTGTCCTTGAAGTCCGGGGAGTTGAAGGCGCCGGAGATGAGGCCCTCGTCGATGCCACGCGCCGCGCCGAGCAGGCCAAAGGAAACGACGGCGAACCACAGGCGCCAGTTGAAGACGCCCGCGGGCTCGCCCAAGTCCTTGAGGCGGAAGATGTTGACGGGCTTCTTGACACCGCCTGCCATGGTGACTGCTTTGTGACTCTTCTCTTATTTTCTTCTTGCTTGGGCGGGAGGTGAGGTCGTACAAGTGAGACACAAAAATGGGGAAGAGAGAGAGAGAGGGAGAAGAGGACGGGACCGGGGGAGGGGCGGATGCGGGATGCGGAGGAGGAGCAGTGCTCGTGGCCGTCAGTGCGAGGGCAGATCTTCTTATGTATCCGTCGACACGAGCCCACGACATGGCGTGGCCGTCCGGGGCTCGCCTCGAGCTGGAGGAGCGGCCGAGTACCGGCCGGAGCGCGTTGGAGGAGGAGGGCATGTGGGGTATTGAGGGCGACGGAGTGCGCGCCTCACCCACATCAGGATGCAAGCCATGGTGGATGCATGGGCAAGAACCGGGGGGGAACAAGGATGGCCTGGTACTACGGCCAAGGTGTCGTGGGGAACGGAGATGTGCATGCGACTACTTCGTGCATGGTGGTGCTGGTTGGGCTTGTTAGTGGTGGTTTGGCGTGTTACTGGTGGAGGGAGGAGGGCTGGAGGGTGGAGGGAGGGCGGAGGTGGATGTGGCAGGCAAGGCATGGCAGGGTCGGACGCTCCTGCTTGATGCAGAGCCAACGGCGGCGGGCCCTGCCCAAGAGGTTGGAGAATTGCCTGCCCGCGGATCTGCCAGCGAGGATCATCCGTCGTCCACCTGGAACCTCCAACTCTAAGCGCACCCATACCTTAAGTAGGTACGCACCTCGCTCTCTGCGTGTTGGCTGCATCGTGACGCAGCTGGTGCAGGCGAGGCGAGCCCGGGCGCAAGACCACCACCCGTTACAACCAACGGGAAGGTCCCTCGGGAGGCGAGGTACCTAAAACCCTAATTACTCGTCGTTCCTCGTGGCTTCCGCTCGCAGGATGCATTGATCCACCAGACGGATAAGTGGTTTCCTCTCCCCTCGTTAGAAGCGTGCGTGCCTCGTGGCTGTTGCGTTGCGCCCTTGTCCCGGTTCAACTTCGTCCACTGCCACCATCCGTCCCCGATCGTCCCCTTGTCGTGATTATTATTCTTGGCTTGCGCCGGCGCGGCCGCACGGGTCCATATACATCACACAGAATGCATGAACCGGCAAAACAGAGGATACTTAACTCGCGGTGCTTCGTTCATGCTCTTACTCTGAACGCACGTCACGCGAGTGCTTCAGCCTTCAGCGTCGAGACCGGGAATTGAGCATTCCCCGCGGCTATTGATCCCTCCCCTCTCACCTTAAATCCTCCTGCCGGCTCTACTATTAGACACCGCAGCTGGCTCTGGTGCTGCAGCGTAGTACCTGGTCATCTCGTCGTCCACGTTTGGCTGCGCTTGACTGGACGACTGGGGGTCTGCTCCCGCCACCAACTCCGGCAACTCCGCTTTATACAAGTTAGCGCCAGCCCATCCCATCTCCAGTGGCGCAACGCCCGTGGAAGCAGCCTCAGCGGGTTCCTCCCCGCCCTCGACTGCCGCGCGAGGGGCAAAAAAGGCAGAATATGGGGGCCGCATGGGGACGAACCCCGGCCCTGGTCGCAAGCCTTGGCCGAACGATCCCTCGACAGTGGAGGCGCGACGGCTCTCACCCTCACCTCACCTCGCTGCCTGGCCTGGCTTCGCGGTCAGCTGGTCGGAGGTTGGCCGAGCGAGAAGTCGCCCATTTTCCACCCCGAATTTTTTTCACCTTGCGATGCGAGTGCCCGTCGCACGCACGCACGACTCGTTCGTTTGCTCTGCCCGCCTGCGCGCCAAGCTCACTCCACCGTGTGCGACGTGCGGAGAGCACGCCGTGGGGGCATGGCGCGGAGGGCGAGGGCCTCAGCGCGAGGGCCAAGGGCCGCGACGAACCAATTGCCTAGAAAAAAGACAAAGTTGGTTGGCCGGCGTGCTCTCGCCTCGCCCTGCCCGAGACGTGTTCGTGATCGCCCAGGGGTTCCGTGGCAGCAAGACGGCGTGCATGCTTCGTAGCGCAGCCTGCCATGGCACGAGGACCGCTCCCGAGGATGGATGGCATGGGCACGGATGGGGGAGATGCGCGCGGGATGGGGCCAGGGCGAGCGCGTCCGGGGCAGCCCCGGGTTCGTCCTCGCCCGGCAAATGGTTTGCCTACTATTTGCAACCGACAAGTCGGCGATAGTCGGATCCCCCGCACGCCATTGAGTGCTTCAACCACTTTAGCCGCGCCCATGGTTTTCCCTACACGATCTTGTTGCTGGCCAGCGCATCGCAATCGTGCTTCAGCAGCCTCCAGCCGTCGTCAATTGTGGCGCCGGAAGCACGGCACAGCGGTCGCCTCGGATCTCTGGGCCAAGCCGGATGGCGTTCTGGGCATGCAAGCCCAGCCATGGCACGGGCGTCGGGAGGGCCGGACCTGTAGGGTAAGTACATGTTGGCAAATAAGCCTCGTGCTGTCATGCAGTGCGAATAGCATCTGGCCGTGTGGCTCAATGGCAGAGCGTCTGACTACGATTGGATAATCAGAAGGTTGCAGGTTCGACCCCTGTCTCGGTCAAAACTCAAGCATTTGCTTTTTTGTCTTTTTGCCAGTGTCATAAGACGGTTCTTGAGTCTCAGTGACGCCAGTCAAAATTTTTGCACGCCAGGGGTTGTCCTGACAAGTTTTTCGACGTGTTATGTGCCATGCGCTATACCGTTCTAGCGGCATTCCGAGCCTCGTCCTCATACCGCGCACCGGCATGTATTCACGCTATGTACACGGCCAGGTCACCCACAGGCCACGAGCAGTGAAAGACTTTAAAGCACAGCAAAAAGAGAACACCAGGGGGGCAAAAAATTGACCGAGACAGGGGTCGAACCTGCAACCTTCTGATTATCCAATCGTAGTCAGACGCTCTGCCATTGAGCCACACGGCCAGTTGTGAATCACGAGCCAATTCGGAAGCGAACCGGCTGATGAACGTCCGACGCGCTATTGGGCTGTATGAACGCGCAGGGGGGCGGCAAGAAATTGCTTGGGCAAATATATTGCACAGCTGTGCACTGCAGTGTGGTGGTGGTACAGTGTTGTGACCCTTGCGCGAACCGAGTGCTCCGCCGTGGTGGGTTCGTGGTGGGTTTGCTTCGTCGGGGCCTTGGGGCCTCACTTCGTGGGACGAGACAGAGAACGATCCATTTGCGTACTGTTCCAATATCATACCGTACAATATATAGACTGGTTGCTGTAGATGTAGTTGATAGGCTTTGCGGGTGCCCGACATACAGTCTGGACAAGCCAAGCAAAGCGGCTCGCCGCTCAGACACTGCCACCTACGGCGTTCATGTTACACGGCGTGTCCATGTGCACATTCCTCACGTCCGTGAGTTGGCAATAATTCCCCATTGCGGCCTGGCACCAAGGCGAGTGCCACACGCGTCGTCGGCGTCCCCAGCCAACCATGGCGCGTTCCCGGCAGCCAGCCCGCGCCAACACCAACGAATTCGGTGCCTATTCCCGTTCTCTCGAGCTTCGACAGGGTGTAGATATTGGCAGGTGACGTCGCCCAGCCATTCAGTACCGACCAACCGTCGTCGCCTTTGGCTCTTTGGGCAGTCCGTCCGATCTGCAGCCTAGCCTATGTGTCAAGCACCAACAGGGGCAAACTGATCGCCGAGGGTCGCAACCACCGACCGCCTGCCCACCGCGGGTACTACCCTGCAAACCATGAAGCTCACCCAGACCTCGACCGTCAGCACGCGGGCACGGCTGATGCAACCCATCTTCATGGTGTCTCTTCTCCAGCGGCGGCTGCCACTCTGCGTGGGGTCCTACTGGCCTTGGCATACCCCATGGACAAGTACATCGTGACGAGTAGGCGAACATGCCGGTGTGCGTTGGCAGTCGATTTCACGCATACAGGGAGTTCGGATTTGTGCCTCGCGTCATATTCTTCCAGTGATGGATGCCGCGGGTCGTAGGCAAGCCACCCAAAGGGCAGCGTCTCGGGACCCCTCTAGAGGCTTCTGCAGCATGATGTCCGGCAGCAAGTTGGCTGCTTGACCAACATGCCCGCCTCTCATGTCCAATATCGGCCCCATATCTTGTAGTCGTCACGGCTTCCCCGAAACCTGAAGTCGACCTCGGTGATATCCTGGAAGCCTTCCTTGATCTTCGGCTCCCGGTAACGAGACGCGAAGCCGGTGAAGGCCAGCTTTGGAAGTACCTGTCTCGATTCCGGATTCAGCGCCGCATTGTGGGCGCGGACCGCATCGTTGTGCTCGCACAGATACAGCGGCGTCCGAAACCACACGCACCGTATCGGCACCTTGGCCCTGTTTGCCGCCTCCACCCACACGGCACGCGTGTCTGGATCGGCGTTGGTGTTGTCTGTTGTTGCGTGTTAGCTTTTTCATCTCGCAATACGCAGAAGGAGAGATCTACCTATTGCTATGGACTCTCCTCGGGCCAGCATATCCTTGGCAACCTGCAGACACTTGTCTCGGCTTTTGAGCGTATCCTGGTTTATCCTTTCGTACCCGAGAGGCTTGAGGTAGCTCCAGTAGAATGTGCTCTTGCCGGCTCCAGGAGGTCCACAGAACAGCACGATATCTCGGTCGTTCTTCTTCTCAAACACGGCTGGTGTCTGTGATGGCGCATCCTGGTCGTAGGGATAATTGGCCAAGTCAAAGTCACGCTGGAAATCTCTCGGCTTGTGTTCCAAGAAGAACTCCTCCGGAGTTTTGTAGTCGATGCCGATGTTGTGCGCAAAGTTCCTGTCCGAGCAGCTAAAGTCCTTGGCTGTTGCGGCCACGCTACCGCTGCCGCCGGTAAGCCCAGCGATGCGGCCACCGGCATCGCCGACGAAGAAGCTGTTCTTAAGATCAACCTCGCCTTCTGGGATATCGTAGTCCTCGCACACTTCCTTCCACATCCCTGTCCTAGGCTTCCTGTATATGTCTCGCCCCGTGGCCGCGTAGACGCTGGTCGGAAGGTTCAAGCTGTTCAGGATGGCACTGCATTTTTGCTTGAAGTCGCTGACGCGCTTCTGCGCCGATGCCTTGGGCCCTTTGAATCCGGGTTCGAATTGTAGCGTCAGACCGGCCTGGTTGGAAAGTATCACGACTTGATAGCCTTGATCGTTGTACAGCTCTCGCAGCCGTCCGGGCACGGCGCTGTCCCACCATTTCCAATCTGTTGCTTCGCTGGCATGTTTCTTGCCGGACGATGTGGTAATGAGCGTCGAGTCGAGGTCGAAGGCTGCAATTTTCCGTCGCGCAGGTGCGCTGGGGTCGTGCTTTTCCGGTACGAAGGTGCCGACAAGTAAGGTTGCTGGCACGTCATCACTCGGTCCCCGTTGCGACCAAGCCGTGCGGTCCTTGGGTTTCTGCGACGCCGGGGTGAAGAAGTTGGCGACGGCACTTTCTGCGTTCCGTCAGCGCCTCGCAATCAGAGTTGCCGAAGGCCGGTCTTACTCGTCGTGTTGCTCTGTAATGCACGCTTGACCGGAGGCGGGGAGATGGGCTTGTCTGCGGCTTTCCGCTTTGCCGACGGGCCAGCCGGCGCCATTGTGACACTTATATTCTGCCACGAGAGCCGGGAGAAATGTCGCATTCCACAGGCGAACGATGACGTGCAGCGCGATCGAGAGGAGTATGGGAAGGCTGAAGGCCACGATGACACGCGCTGCGCAGAGTGGGACGCGGAAATCATAACGCGAGATCACGTGCATCCAATACCCATTCAACGCCCCGCCATGATCGCAGCTGTTTGGAGCTTGGAGCTTCTGGAAACTCACCTCGCGCTCACCAACAAGTTTTCAATACTGAAGAAGGGATCCACCCCTTGCACCAATACCATCAAACACGACAGTACTCCTGGCAACGCGGCGCAAACCAGGTGCCAACGGAGCTCATCTGGCCATTCCGCGGCACGCGATCCGATCGCCATTGCTTGGATATCATCACCATGTATGAGCTATTTCTGACGGCGCTTGTCGAAGACGCCGATTTTCAGGCGGCATGTGCCGTTCTGGGCGGCTTCTGCGCCATGCCGCCGTGGGAGACGGTCAATCGAGTCCTCTACTTCCAAGGCCCGCCGCGGCCAGCGGGCATCTCGAACCAGAGCTCCATTGACAAGCCCATGCGCAAGGACGTCGCGTTCCTATACAAAGACCTGCATCAAAACCTTAGCCGCCAGTCATTTGTCCTCCAGGCGCGGTACGAGATTCTCAAAGATCGCGACATGGGTCCCTCATCAGCACCCCAAGATCTGGACGCCGCGGCAGGAATCCTGAGATGGGCCGACTTCCCCGATCCTCCTACCGCGAGGCCTGTCCTCACGCAGCGTAAAGTTGTCGAGCTGTGGGAGCAGAAGAAGCTCCCATCGGTGATGCGGGACAACAATTACCAGTGCGTCGAGCCACGTGTCTGCCGTGCCAGCACCTACTGACCACGGCCACAGGTTCAAGACAGAAACGGTCGAAGAGCTCTATCGGTTTTTCCGCGATGATATCGAGTTTTGCCTGAGCAGGCAATACTTTCTCAAGCGCATAAACGACTACATGCCGCTCGGGCCCACGCAACATAACACAACCGAGCCCTTCCAGACCCTGCCGGCGTGGGATGCGCTTACGCCGATGGACGGCCAGAACCGCTGGGTTCTCCAGATCAAGGCGCACGTGCTACAAGACAACAAGCCCGACGAGATCCGCAAGGCTCAGGACCAGCTCATGGCTATACGGGGCGAGCTCGACGGCGTCTTTGACTTTAAGACGATCGACCGCAAGGTGCACGACACGCGGCTTGCGATGCAGCAGCAAGGCATCCAGGCGCTGCCTCAAAGAGTCATGCTGGGCAAGACTTGAGCAACTTGTTGGAGGGTCACCAGGCGTCCGGACTTGAGATTGAGCAGCCTGGGCCTGTGCGGCCCGGTCTGCGGCAAAGGATTGCAACTTAGACAGCAGGCGTCCTCTTCATTCACAATAGATACCCGATTATTCCGATCACTCGCTTAGACTCGCTCTGCAGATCCGATGTCGCTCCTTTGCTGCACGCGGGGTGGTGGTACTAGCCCGGAGCGCCGTGATTCTGTGCGTGCCATCCCGCTGTGTCATCGCGTGAGTGAGTGATTCACTGCTCTTCTCCCAAGCTCGCCTTGCACCGTGGGGCCCCAACCCAGTCCTTATTATGCTCAGGTGAGCTCACACACAGGGCCTTCCAGAGGTGCTTACGCCTGTTCTGTGCCATGTCGGCCATCCTTATTGGGCTAGTCGGAGCGACCGTTCACGTGAACAGCTGCGGGCAGCTGGGAGAATGGAGCCCCTGCGCCCTCGGCCGTCGACCTTGTTTACACGCAGAGCCACCCCATGGCCTGTTCAATCTCCCCTTTCCATCATCACAGTTGCCGCACCATTCAAACGCACGACGACCGCCTCTCTCATCATCTCCCCATACCTCCTTCGTAGACGCGTAGGCATCTCTCACGGCCTTTGTACACTGCCAGGGGTATATTATGAATACTTACAATCATCCACTACAGCACCACCAATACCAAGATGTTGCAAGAGCCGTGAGTCGAAATCATCAAACGCGACGGCGATCATCCTACTAATGTCGCCTGCAGGTTCGACTTCGCGCGAGGTACGCAAAATCCCAAGCGCAGCCACGGCCGTCGACGAACCACCAGCTCCCCTAAACTCCCCGCTCACGTAGGCGGCGATACGATACAGACTTTCAGCCAGACAAGGGCATCACGGCGCAGTGCTTTGACCTGATCATCGACCGCCTGCGCAAAAACTACCACATCATCCAGCTGTTCAGCTCAGCGAGCCACGCCCGGGACGAGACCAGGGGCTCGGCCTTGGAGTATGACTTTTACGACACGCTTTACAGGCTGACCGTGAACTGGCGTGAGTAAACTGTTCCCTCTCGCGGATCTTCAGGGAAGCCTTCGACTTACCATCGTCATTGGAAACACAGCGAGAACCGATACGCTCACGTGGGCAGACTACGAGCTGCGGAGGGAGCTGGTCAGCGCCTGGCTCGGATACATCCTCCCCTAAGTCGAACGCCTGCTGGAGCTTACGCCTGCTCTACGATCGAGTGCCTTTGTTCTGCTGGCTTTGTTCATTGTCCTGGTAGGTGGGCAGACTTTCTCTCCAGTCTTCACAACAGCGGTGATAGAGGCTTACGACGTTGCCAGAACGGTTCGAGTATAATTTTCGCCGCTGCCCCCTTTACGACTGTCTCCGAGTATAATACACACAAGTATGGCTTCGCAAGCAGGCCATCAGTCCTCGGAGTAGAACTCCTCCCTTCCGGAAAGCGATGCCGAAATTCATGGTCATCAGCCAGTCCACCCGACCACCATGACGCAGTCAAGATCACTCACTTCATCCTTGGGCTCAAAGACATGTCTCCGACGCGATGATGCCTTCGCGACGCGCCCGCCTGAAGACCCGTCCAGACCACCTGCCGTGCCACCAAGCGCCCTCGGGAAGCACGAACGATCAACCTCATCGCGGGGAACGGCGCCACAACGCCCAGCTGTCAACGCACCTTGCTCAAGCACGCACGCCCCCTCCCCTTTCGCCGCCAGCCGCAGCGTCGCACTCGGCAACGATCCGACTATCTGATCATATATCTCCTGACGGAGCCGCTGGAACCTGACACATCTCCCCTTCCCCTCCGCGAACAGTCTGCGCCATCCACTTTCCACCCCTCCTTGGCAGTAACCCCAGATTCCGAAGGGAGATGCAGCACGACCGTCGCATCCGCCGCCGCTACCGCTGCTGCTGCCGCGCGCCTCAATGGGGGGAAAGGACCCTGCGTGCGGTGTTCAGATGATGAGGCCCCCTATCGTGGACCCTCGTCCACATGCAGTGGCACACCACGAGACGCGTCGCGCCGGATTCGAGAGCTGCCTGGCCTTCGCCCCTCCTTTCTGTCATGGAGAACCCTACCTTTAACCCCCTATCAACTGAGATGATGGCAGCTCTTGGCACACGGCCGTCGTCAAGGCAGCAACACCGCCAGAGTGCTGCTCGTGCGACCGCACCGCGCTGCCAAGATCCGGGCCCAAGGCGACACCTGCTTGATCTGTGCCGCGGGGAAGAAGGAGCGAGTTATGACAAGGGAATATGAGGACAAGGACGAGGAGAGGAGGGGGGGGGGGTCCCAGCACGCGACTCGCGCCAATAGAAGAACTTCATAGTGCATCGTCGTTCCATGACAGTTCCAGCAATCGTGTCCCGTGAGCTCTCCGTCCCGTCATTGCCGAGTCTAGAAGTGCTGGAGGCGTACGCGTGGTGGCTGCAGCCGCACGAGCTGCCACTCTTCGTCATCAGCCGAGGGCCGTTGCCGGCGTCGGTGGCCGCGCCTCGCCGACATGTCTGTCCTGGCCCTCTATCTCTGCCTGCATGCACAATACTGGTTGGTGGTGAAGCGAAGGAGGGGGCGGCGCGCAGGCGGGTGGGAATAGCTTCGGCTTTTCTCGGCAGCGTAGCACAGGTAATTTTAAGAACCATTCTCGACAGAGCTTGTATCTCGCTTGGAGACGGCCTGCTCTTGCACTAGGAGTGGTGTGATACGTACGGCCGGCGTCGGCTGATGGAGCGGACGGTTGTGACGGCGTTGACGAGGCATTGTAACTCAGACGGACGTGGTATATGCCCAATCAACTTGAAGCGAACGGCGCTGAAGCAGAACGAGGACTACGAAATGATGATGCACGTGGCTTTGTATGCCCGATACCATAGCCGTAACACCCGTATGGCTCTATCCTTGCCGGCCAGGAAGAAGTGTCCCTCCCCTTCCTGGTGGTGTCCAGTGTCCATCCTACCCTACATGCAGCCCGCTGGTTGCCGGCATCCGCACTGCAGCAAAGGCAGTGTCCGTGCCATCTCCGTAGATTGGAGAAAGACGCCGAACAACCAAGGTGCCACGTGAGTACTAGGTAAGCGGAGGGTCCCTCCTCAAAGTTGTCAGAGGCGAGCAATATCCGCTGTGACGAGTGGCATGTATGCCGCAGCTCTCGTCACCTTGACCGCAACTCGCGCCACGTCACCAGCAGGGCGCCTTGACCGGGCGACTTTGTTCCTTTCCTTTCTTTTCTACCCCTTGAAGGGCTTCAGGCGCGTGAAAAAGACACTCGTCACCGCCAAGAAGGAAAGCGCGCATGCAGCGCAATTCGCTGCCGTATGTATTCTCGTGCAACGGGTGGCCTCAAAGGGCAAGGTATCCCTGCCGAGAGCCACGTTTTTGGGATCAGCAAGAGGCCCGGACGACCCAACCTGGACAGCGTAGGGCCCATTGTCGAACAGCATCTATACACGTCTCTCGCTAGGGAATCAACGGACCGCTCCCGGCAACCATAGTTCTCAGAATAGAAAAAAAAAAAACAGGACGCCATCGCCGCGGGACCGCGCCGCGTCCAGTGCACGGGGGCGATGCGATGCGCCAGCCACCATCCCCATACCTCTAGTATGTACGTGTAAGCCACGCGACCAACCTCCCCCCACGGCGACACCGCCTGGACCTGCATCGTAATGGACCGCAGCGAGACAAGCAGGCGGGCCGCAAAAGGACAATATTGTATCGTGCAGCCCAGTACATAACGTTACCTAGTAGGGACAGAACAGAGCTAAGGCGCCAACGGAGACTTGTTGGAGCAGCCTGGGCGAAAAGGCCAGATACAGCCGCGCGCATACTCCCTCCAGCTTTGCATTTTATGCCCAACCTGGAAAGCTCAGGGTAGAATTATCGTGGCGCGTACGGGGCGTAACTCCGTAGCTTGGGGGTTCAACTGCTGGGCGGGCGCTGCGCAACCTGACATATCGCCAGCCAAGATCCGGTTGCAAGCCATGGCAGCAGCCCGGGAACATGAAGCGCGTCGAGGGCCCCGACCGAGTACCACCGCCTTGCTTTGCCGCGAGCGTCTCCCGGAGGGCCAGCGAATGAGCGCCCGCCACACGACGCCGCGCTCTGCTGTCGGGGGCCTAGTGCCAGCCAGCAGCGAGCATATCAAATTGGACCTACGAAGTACGTATACGTGGTTCGCTGATGCTGCTGGTGCTGCTAGTGCTCTTGCTGCAGAGACGAACCCAAGGGGTCGAGTTGGCCTCAGCAGCAGATAGAAAGGACGTGGGAGGGCTCGAGTCGTGTCTAGCCTGGCACCCATCAACCATGCCAGGACAAGATGACCAAAGGACTTGCAGGGCGAGGGTCTGCGCAGCAGCCAAACGGAGCTTGCTGGCGCCCTTGTGGAACGGAAGGGGTACGTAGGAAGCGCATGCCTGGTTGGACTTGTTGCCATAACAGGCAGTGAGAGAGAGGTGTCGCAAGTCTACGAGGCCCTGCATGTCGTACACGACGGGCTTGCGTCGACCCTGTGGCTCGAGAACAGGCCAACTTGTTGGGCAGCATCTCATCTTTGGCGACCATCTACGTCTCACGATGAAGGTGCTGCAAATCGCTTCTCGGCCGTGGTTGGCCAGCGCGGGAGGCGTGGGCACGGAGAATAGCCTGTTGTCGAGAATACGAGGGCAGCTTGAGGACGGGGCAGCGCCCAACGAGCCGCCCAGTGTTGCGGAGTGCTACCTCTCTTACGCTTTACAGTGGCGATGGCCTGTTCGCTGCAGGCTGTGTGACACAGCCTGGGACCTTCCCACGGCTGGCTCCTGATGGTTCGCAGCACGACGTTCAGCAGTGCCCAGGTGGGTGAGTGAGATGGGTGACCTCCCGTCTGGAACAGCTCTGCCCGCTGGGCATCAGTAATCCGTCCGCAGGGCAAACAGCAGGCCGCACAGCGAGTGAATGGGCGGGCAACCCAGGGCTCGATCCCCGCCGGAAGGTCAGTAAGCAGCGGGCACGGGGCAGTGCTACATACGTGGTGGAAAAAAGGCTCGCGGAAAAGCAGCCGCTGCAACTGCGCAGACAAAAAACTCCCCAACGGCGACGGATCCCATTTCAGGCATGGCGCGCTCTGGTAGACGTTGCAATGGCGGAAAACTTTTTCACTGCTCCGCTGTGCGCCCGCTGTGACTGTCCGGCACTGAGCGACGGAAGAACCACGGCAAAGCCCTCCGGTGGACCTCCCCCACCAAAAACGCGGAATAGAAGCCACTCGGACAATTGAGCCGGCTTACCCTGTACTCGTACCTGACTTGGTCTGCCGGGCGCCGGTCCCGCTGGAAAATTGTGGTGTGCCGTCATGTCATCCCCGTTTGTCAGACTCGGCGAGTCACCACCACAGCCGGGCATCTCGATGGCGGGGATGGCAGCACGGAATCCATGACCATGGTGTCCGCCGAACCGAACCGGGGCCCAGCCAGCTCCGCAGAAATCATGTGAACCGCAGCGACTGCTGTGCCCACCAGCTCGCCCACCAGCTCGCCCACCAGGCCGCTGCCAGTGCCAAATGCAAGCGATATGCGCCGTCCAGGCCTGCCGGCGGTCGTCGTACGAGTGCGTCCAGGGCGCGCGAGCCAGACAATGCCATTCACCCAACAAGTCAGCCCGCTGCGGGGTCACGACTCCTCCCTCCCCTCTATACGAACGGTCCGCCATGACAAAACACGGGATGCGACGATGGCTGCCCAGAAAAGAAACCAATCAAGTGGTGACGAGATAGCAGTCGCCCGCCTTGCTCCGCCGCTGCTGTTGGGGCCCAGAGGCGGCAGCAAGGATCCCAAGTCGCTTTCGTCATCCACCACGGCACGGCGCCCTCGCTGTAAGCAACAGGCTGAAGTGGCGGCGGCGGCGTCATCCATCCGTCGTCAGTCAACCGTCCAAATCGTCGATGGTCCATGCTACGCTGAACCTGCGCTGACGGTTCGTCTGGCGTGCGATCGCCCCGCGGCCTTTTCCGGATTGTCGCCCGGCTCTGCACACCCAGCAGCTGGGGCCCCCAACGAAGCTCCAACCGTGCTGCCGAGCGCAGCTCTATCTCTCCCATCGCAGGAGTCTGGCAAATGGCGCTGTGCGCCCGCCCTCCTCCACGACAGCTGCTAATGCAAGGTACGCCCAGGGTAAAATGCCTCGCATCGCTGCTGGTACTCCTCCCTCCATGCCTCGCCCCCCTCTGCTTCCGTGAGCCCGCTCTTGACAGCGGCTGTGCCTGGCAGCCATGCCACGCCATGGCCTGGACGGAATGGCAGCCCATTGACTGCCCGTTGCCCAACGTTTCGCCTGTGGCTTGCTCGAGTCTGTCTTTGCATGTGCTGCAAAGAACCATTGCTCGCTCGTCTCGCTCCACATGCTTCACGAGCATGTGTCAATGGAGCCAGCTCTGGATGCTCCCTTGCCCCGCCATTGCTGTTTCGTCCCGAAGCTCCGTGTCCTGGTCTACCGCTGCGTTGCCACTGAGGTAAGAAGCTGCTTTCTTGTAGAAGACGCTTGCAACAGCAATGATGGGTCGACGGCAGTAGAGCATCTACCGGATCTCATAAATCAGTGTGCACAATCTGCGCCCGGCTGCAAAAGAACTGCCTACGAGTTGCTGGCATACGTCCACCTTTGAGACGTCCGTGTCACATGCAGCCGTTCATCTGTTCAACTGCGGCCAGTGTCCCCGGTGCGAACGGCGCAGAACTTACAATCGCGGCCGCCGGCCTAACCTGCGGCTTGTCCCCAACGGATTGCGTCCTGCATGCAGAAACTCAGACCCCAACTTCCGTGCCGTACGCGGCTTGTACGGCTGATGTCGTGATAAGGAGGGGTTAGACTATATGGGGATGAGGGCCGCATGTCGACTGTGATCCTGGAGAGCTTGTGCCGTGCCCGTGCAAGCATGTACGCATGTATTTGCAGCGTAGGCCACATGCTGAGATTCCGTGTGGACTCACCATGACAGTCGACCGTGCCGTCGGTGGAGCCCAGTATGAGCGGAGTCGGTGTCTAATCTGGCCAAGCACTCAAATGATTTCATGGAGACGCGCACGCAGCCAGCCCGATAACCCCGAACAGTGGCGGAGCTGGACGGGTTCCGCGCCACAGCGAGGCATGATCAATGAAGCAGATGTACGTCAAGGGTTGATAGCCTCGCGCCTGCGATGCGCGGGCGCGCTCCCGTTCTGTCGTCCCTGCAGGTAACACCGCAGCCAACACTCACCTGTCAGGTCGTGGGCTGAAGCCATGTCTTGCAACCCTCTACCTGCGATTCGAATCTCCGTCCAGCGCGCCGGTGATACGGCAACGGTGACATGCCTTGCTGTGTCGCGTACTGGTAGCTTGGGGCGTCGACATTCGCACTGGGAGTTGGGCCTGTCTGGTGGGGAGAGGGTGCGCGGTCAGAAGGAGTTGGGAGGCTACCGGTTGTCAGACGGCCTCTAGACTGCACGTCTCCGCGAGGTCCGCTCCCCATGCTGACGGTCGTTATGCCGAGCAATTCCCCGCCGTGTAGCAGGCAATACTTGGTAAAATGTGCCAAGTATCGATCTTCCTGCGAGAGACATGGAAGCGGGCGAGCTGGGGCAGGGCCCGAGACACATCTGCATCTGGAACAGTTTGCCTCCCAACATGGCTGCGCCAAAGATCAGCCAGGCTGAATGCTGCATGGTAATGGGCCCCAGCGCCAGGTCTGAACCGACCAATCCGGCCACGAAATGTTCAACGATAGTCTTTGCACTGACAGCAGAACGAACGGCTCTGCCGCAGGGCAGACACAGGTGCGCGCCGAGAAGTGGTAGCGGAACGCCAGTCAGACTTGCTCGTGGACCGAAGCAGAAACGATACGCCGTCCACGGAAATGTGATTTGCAACTAGTCAAACACGCGGCAGATTTGACTTTGCAAGTCAAGTCCCGCCTGGATGGTTCAACGGAAGCGGGCAGCGGAGCCGGGCGCCTATGACGAAGCGTCGCTCCGAGAATAGGCAAAGTGCCCTCCTTCTTTACGCCACCACGAGGTCGTGAAGCCACGGCGACTCAAAGTGGTAACCGAAGCCCGTGTCTTGAAGTTAAAAGACCCTCAAAGGGTGAAAGCGATTCGCTGGGTCCTTCGGGACCCTTCGGGACTCGAGGCGCCTTGCTTCCACATATCCGCGCGGGGGGCGCGTGGTAGTCGCGGTCAGTAGCGCCAACTCTATCGCCTCGCGGCTCCTCAGTCCTTGGGTCGTTGAACGGCGAAATCCCGGTTGTCCAGAACCCTAAGCTTCATCATTCGGTTTGGGTGCTTACGTTGAACTTGCAAACGTGTCTGGGGATGCGGAGAAGGGACGCGGAGTTGGACACCGGCATCGAACATCGCGGCAGGCCTGGATGACAGGTATGGGGTGGTGCAAGAGAGCAAACGCTTGAACGCCTGTTTGACAAGCCGATCGGCCTCTGGCCAACAACAGGGATGGCGGGGCTGCACAGCCTTGGCCACGAGAAACAGTAAAGTCCGTCGAGTAAGAACGTAGGACAGTACTGTAACAAGTGGTCTGTTTGTCGATCCTGAACGGGACCACCACTCACTGCACAATGGGTCAGGTAGCTCTGAGAAACTCCGACGCGACATCTCGGGCGTTGAAGGTGTTTGCGGTGAGAGGGGCTACCGCGCTGTTGTGCGACGGGGACATGGCGGATGCTCTCAAGATCATTCCAGGTTCAGGGTTCTTCACCGAAGTGGAAGCTCGAGCGTCCCAGGTGAGTGCAGGTAAGCTTCCTGTCAAACCGGGCCCGAACGGCGCGCTACATGGCAGTCCTGAAAGGGATGGCGCTGCAGCTGCACCTTGCCATGACGGGCAGGCGATGAGATAGCTCTTTGACGGGTACGTAGCACAGGACTTGATGATGATGCCGCACCTGGCCTTGCTCTCAGTTCGTTTGCTGCTAACTGGCGAGCAGATGAATAGGAACAACGACTCCTGCCCTCGAAAGGCGTTTCACCGCTCAGAACTCGGTGCATCCGATCGCGGGACAAGGATACGCGACGAGAACGCCGAGGCCCTCGCCCAGGATTCAACCCTTCCTCCATGGGCCATTGGCGGGCTATCAAGGCACCCACAAACCGAGTGTTCCGAGAGCCAATTATGGCAGGCCGAAGAGCCGGTTCCTGAGTCGAGGCAGGGACATGCCCGGACAGCACGAAAAGGAAACAAGGCTGGAGCGGTCATCCGGGGAACCAAAACGTCCAGGAGAACCGACGCATGGAGGCGACATGTGCTGGCCCGTCGCATGACGTGAACCATGCCCGACCTCAGGGGCGCACCTGCAACTGCAAGTCTTGCCAACACAGAGCATCATGGGCGGATGGCTTAAGTGCATGCGTCGTCAGGCAGCAGCTGGCATGTTTCGTGACGAGTCCATTTGCGGGCGTGTATGTCTTCGCCGGCTGCCTGCTGGAGGCAGTTTACCTGCCGCGCTGTCCCGCCCGCCAGTCCGTAGCTAGCCATGGGAGCACGGGTCTCGACAGCCCGATGCGGTCGCGATCCAAGCTCTTGCAGCGCAGGTATCAGCCAGAGCCGGGCGGGCGCGATGCTGCTATGTTTAATTGAGTGCGTCTTTAGCCGTTTCACGCACGGCTTGGACCTCTGGGTGCGCCATGATCCGTGTCTGGAGTTGAGCACGGGCACGCGGCCGCCAAAGCCGGGGGAGTGGGATTGCGGGTGCGGCACGGACACGACACGACACGATGCAGCAACTGTGCCTCGGATTCCGCTGCGAAAGACAGGGTGCCCCAAAGAGGGCGCGAGCGCGCGCGGGGCGGAGAACAGGTGACGGTGGAGGTGAACTGTTGGTCCGCCCCAGCTTGGGAAGAGGGAGAGGGGGGCTGGTAAGCACAGTGCAGAGCGGATGGACGACGGGGGGAGGCAGAATGTTCCAAGGCCAGGTGCGCTCCGCTGCGCCGCCCCGGCCAACCTGCCCGCTTGGTCTGCACCCCTGTTGGAGGCGGGAGCAGGATCAGGAAGCGGTACCCAGAGTCCAAAAGTTGGCTGTCAGGCAGCTCCTGCCTCGCGTGGACGAAGCCTTGAGTTTGGTCGGGTTGCGCAGATACCTCGCTTGCGCGATCGGTAAGGCGGCGGCGCAGGTCACTCACCTGCAGCCGGTAAGGCACTGAGCCCTGGACGCGCCTCGGGCAAGGGCCAGCAAGCGGGCAGCCGGTGGGGCCGCCAAAGCAGCGTGGCCTGTGGGACCCGCTGTACCTCTTTGGTCGTAGCCGCACACACCGGCGGCGCCTTTGGATCGAGCCTTGTCCCCAAAACCTGGGAGCTGGCGAGTGTTTGCTTGTTTGCGAGGAGGGACCCATGCCCTGGCTTCGGAAGCAGACGCGCCTCTTGTTTCCTCATGCCTCTGAGTGCCGGGGCGCGCTTCCAGCACCTCGGCCCATTCACCTACGTGTACGTACGTATCCAAGCCGCAAGAAACCTGAGCCTGGACAGCGAGGCCGGGTGCGCCAGAGCGGCACCCGGTGGATGCGCGCGGTTTGAGGCCCACGACGAGGATGCGACGTGTGCACAGACCGAGCGAGCGAGCCCTTGCCGACCAACAAGCGCGGATGGATGTGGATGTGACAGCCTGGGGAGCCCACATGGCCCGCGGATGGCATGGCTGGCTTCCGTGCTGGACAAAGCTTGGCCGCCCTCGTCTCTGCCGGCGTCCATGATAAACCGCTGATCCGACGCGCTGCTCGTCGTTCGCGATGCCGGTCGTCTCGTCCGCTGTTTCTCTGTCACAAGTTATCAATTGAACGCCCGAGCCTCCCAGGAGCTTGATTGGCGGGGTGATTTGACTCCCGTGCCATCTATCCGTCTTTGCATCTACCTTGGTCGTCGCAAATCCCGAGAGGCGCTCGAGCAGCATCTGGCACCAGAACCAGTCAGGAAGCGCATCTCGGTCGAGAGCCCCCCCTGGCAGCTCGCGCCCCAATCAATCACACGGTGAAATCCATCCATTACCACATCCCCCGCGCAGCAGAACGGACGGTGCGCGCTGGAGCAAAACAGGCCTCTCCACCGGGCACGCAACATCGACGGCTCGGCTGCTGCAAGTCGGGTCGGCATCATTGGTTCGCAGTCACCCTCCACCACCACAAGTTACAACCATCACGGGCTGCCTGTCGCCTGTGAAGCTGGTGCTGGCAGCACACCACACCCCCCTCCCCCTCCCCCTCCCCTTCATCGCGCTGCACAAACAGGTTCGAGCAAGCAGGCAAGCAGACGCCTGCAGGCGACATCTCGGGACACACTCGTACGCGCCCCCCCCAAGCCCGTGCCTTGCGCAGCCAATATACTCGGGGACGCGCATGCTTGTACATACATATGCGCCGTTGCGTCCAACCCGATTTAATCATCCCATCCCATCCCATCACATCCCGCACCCGCCAGCCAGCCAGCCAGTCGGCTACACAACAACACGTCAGACGAGCGAGGCAGAGCCGCGACGTCTGCACAAGCAGAGTAGCGGACGGGAGCAGCAGCAGCAGCAGCAGCAGCAGAGTACCGGCGGCGGCAACAGCAGCAGCAGGTCTCACGTGCCGTGCATCGTCACATCTGCCCTCCGCCCAGTCGCCCACCCGGCACGACGCAGGACCCTTGACGGCGCCGACATCCTCATCTTGGAAAGCGCCTTTGTGACTGGCCGGCGAGCGCCTTGGAACCGCCGCGCAACGACGCAGCACAGGCGCGCGCGACAGCACCCTCGCTGGAGAAAAAGAGAGGAGCATTCGTGTCGTGTGTGTGCCTGTGTGTGTGCTGGCTGTCACTTGTCAGTCCGCCAGTCATTACGCCAGTCAATCAATCAGTCAGTCAGTCCGCCCACATCCACAAAGCTGCCGGGCCCTTTGCGCCCAACCCTCCCTCTCGGCGGCCCTCCCTCGCGCTGTGCAGACCAGGCCGGGCCAGGCCAACCACCGGCTGCAATCACACACACACGGCCATTGCATACGACATCCAGACTCCCGGCCCGTCAGGCGTCAGGATTCGTACCCTAATCCGACGCACTCTCGAACCCTGTTGGCATCGCATCATCGTTGCCGGTATAAGAGACGGGACATGCCCACCGCCGCCGCCGACGACAACTAGGACGGGCTAACAGCAACAACCGCGCGCGTCAGTCGGGTCCTGGGACTCATCAGCACCGACCATTGCCTGCGGCACCTACACGGCACAACCTTGGAACGCCTTGCGACCTGAACCTTCAGATTACGGCACAGCACTGTCACAGTGGCCCTGCAGCGCAAACAAACACACTGCCACGGTGGACACCCACCCACTTCACCCATTGTCATCGATAGCCTACCCACCTCAAGCCTGCCGCTCCCACGAGCAACCGATCTGAATCAGCAAACAAGCTAAAATAGGACGAGAGACGCCCTGAGAATTTCTTCAACTCGCCCCGTCCGCCCCGACAAAGCCCGTTGGCTCAACTGGGCCTAGCACGAGCGCTCGCCCAGTCCACTTTTTCCTGAGTCGACTTGCACTGCCAGCCCGTCGGCTCAACGCCCCCACGCCACCCGCAGAGTCAGTCTGTTCCAAGTGGAGCGCGAGACAGAAGGGCACAGAAGCCGACAGCGGTCCAGCCCCGACTGATCCAGGCGAGGTACCCGCCCCACCACCGGGCACCAGCACCAGCACCAGCACCAGCACCAGCACCAGCACCGGCACCGCTGCACCAGCACCAGCGCCGCCCGCTGAAGTGCCCTCCAGCGTTGCCGCCCTCCACCCACCCACCCATCCATCCACCCTCGTCACTGGTGCCCAGCCCAGGTTGTTTTGTCTGCCCGTCTCTCCTCTTGCTCCCGCCGTCCCTCTCTTTTCCACCCTTCCACATCAACACCAACTCGACCAATTCCGACGCCCTCCGCGTTCCTCGCATCGGCACAGCACGCTTTGTGCGTTCGCAGCTGTTGCGCGGTGAGGCATGTCGCCGAGACTAAAGCCACTGCTGCTTCCGCAGCTAGTGCAGGAGCGACTAAACAACCATGGCGACGCCGCCTACATGCCGTACAACGGCCTCGACGCCATCGACCTCTCACAAGTCTATTACACCACAAACTCCTCATCGTCCGACGTCGCATCGCCATTGACCCCGACCTTCTCGCCCAGGGGCCACCAACGCTTTTCAAGCTCGACTTCATCGCTCGAGCTGCCGCCGATGCCCCAGGACGCCCCGTCCTCGCCCTCCACCTACACGACGAAGCCGACTGAGAAGCGCACGCTGCCCGACGTGCAGGAGGACCCCATGGAACGCTTCGAAGAGACTTTGGCATCGTCGGTCGACCACTTTGGTCTCTACAGCTGCCTGTGCGACACCCCATGCGAGCACCGCAACAGTTCCGAAGGCCTGTTCCCTGGCGACATGGTTGGTGACGACTTCGACTTCGACTACGACCTAGGCTTCCTGAGCGACGGCGATGTCGCTCGCGACTACCCCAGGAAGAAGCGATCCGGTATCGAGTCGCCATTTGCAGGCCTGACGTCGCGGCTCGGTTCCCGCCTCCCCACCATCAGGCGGTGGAGATCAAGCAAACGACCCATGGTCAGCCTGCGGGCATCCCCGACCACCGACCTCAGCCTTGAGAATGTCCTGTCGCGCGGACCTTCGAGTCGCTCTTCATCCATGTCAGCGCCTAACCAGCAGCTGGGAGATCGAGTCCAGGATTCATCGCCCATGGCTTCGGTCGTGTCGTACTACGACGTGGGCAGCGCCGACAACCTGAGCCGATCGTCGGTCCTCGAACTCACCCCGGAGGAGCAGCTGAACCTTGAGCGCGACCGTGCCATGGCCACAACGCCCCTGCTTCCCCCACTTCTAACCGACGCTCTGGCATCCCCGCATCACGAGTCGCCGCTGCAGTCGCCGACCGTCGCAATGACGCCTTGTGCCAGCGCCAAGCCCTCTCCGCCCTCGATATCTTCGGCGCAGTTCCCTCGGCCGCCTCTCAGTACCAAGCCCTCGGTCACATCGCTTCGCCATGTTCCCACCGCGAACGATCTTCCACTGCCTCTGCCAGCTATCCTGCAAGAGCATGACGCTTGGTCGGACCGCCTTGGGCACGCCAACTTTACCATCAGTCCCCTGCCCTATGAGGTTGAGGCCGTAACGACAGAGACGGTCACAAAGTTCCGTGAGGACTGGGACACCGCACGATGCAACTACACCAAGCATCTGGTTCGCACCGGCGAGCACTATGGCCAGACGAGCAAGATCTACGCGCTTACCGAGGCCAAGTGGGCCGAGACGGAGCGCAAGTGGAAGAGCATCTACGACGAGATGATGACGCAGAACAGCCGCTCGGCGCCAGCATCTGCCAGCCATTCGCGAAGCCACAGCCGGGGTCGCGGGCGGGGTCGGTCAAGCAGCTCCGTTGGAGCTCTTGGCCGCACGCCTACCAGCGATGCCACACTAGGCGACCTGGAGTGGCGGCGCAGGGACGAGTGCCTCCCGAGCGCGGTACCACAGATGCTCGAGTCGCTCGACGCCCATGGCAAGTTCCCCGAGCGAGGTGACGAGGACATCGTCGGACCCATGCACCGCGACGCTGTTATGATCCGGGCTCGCAGCGAAGATGCAAAGGGCCGCTTCTGGAGGAACCTTGCCGACAAAGTTGGCTTTCGCAAATGAAGTGCTCGCCTCTATTTAGCAAGCGATGCTGCGATTTACGATTTTGAGATTTTCTTCTCACGAGATTCACGACATAGACATCATCTTCGATGACGCGACTTTTTTCTTTTTTTGTTTGTTAATGTTCGAGATACCCAACCTTTGTCACTCTTTATCGGATCACCGAACTACAGCCTCGACGGCACGACAGCCAATGCGCCGCGATTGGGACGCATTGGCTACGATTTTCTTGCTACCACCTAGACCTGTACATGAGAAACAACAAGGACGGCGTTGAAAACTAAAACGGAACCCGCTAGGAATGCGAAGGGAACGAAAACTTTAGACGAGGGGACACGGCTTACCACGGAGCACAGGACGCAGAGGACAGCGTCAGGACGGGTAATCGGAAGCAAGGCCTCGTCGGAACGGGAGAGCCACACATGGGGCTTTTTACTTGGTCTCGGGGAAGGTGCTGCGGAACGGTGCCGTGGGAGGACTCGTTGCACAACAATGGGGCCACCTGTCTGCCGCTACTGTGGGCGCGCGGTGGCGGAGGAGGAGGGGACGAATCTTTGGTCGTGGCATTGGGACACGGCCCTCCGGCCTCGGTGAATGAACCGGGGCGTCGAGGAGACGGCAGACAGGTTGCATGTAGATCGACTCTGGATACTCTGTTCGGCGGCTCGAATCAATATGCAATGAAGCACCTGACAAGGTTGGTGGTCAAGATCGTGCGTGAGTCGTGATTGTGGCGATGCGTCGGGCATGATGCTGGGTTGTGGGCGCATTGTCCACGCAACGGGACCGGACGGTTCCAAACCCAAACCTTGCGGCCCTCCACAACGCGACACCACAACGAGAGCAGAGCCAATCGACGTGAAGCCATGTCGCGGGCACGGCCGATCGAGAGCCGGACGTCGCACGGGTCTCGCTTTGACGTTTCGCTTCCCCGCATTGTCACGCCACGCACGGTCGACACTGTTTGGACTCTGGCGCTTGCCGGCACGGCACTGGAGACGACGGGGGCCGAGCATCAGCGGAGCTGCTCGTAGCGGATAGGGCAGGGAGGATATGCAGGATGGAGCGATATCCCCAGCGGGCATGGCCGTAAGTTTCCGGGGAAGGTCGTTTCAGGTCTTTTTCACTCGTACGATGCGGGTGAAGAGAAGCTAGTAGGTGACGCTGTAGCCGTGGACTGCCAGATGCATACCCGTCAATTTTGCGGCAAGCAACCAAAAAACGAGAACCAGCCACCACAGTCGGAGTGCCAGGGGTTGGGCTCGCACACCGAGGATTGTCGCTCCTGAAACCATTGTAGCTCGTACTCTGTACAAGGCTTTTGTCTCTGACGCGTCCACACCACAGATTTTGCTGCCATGCTCCCCTTGGGGCGGGACGTGGGTGAGTGGACGAGTGGGTTGAGGGTAGTCCACCACCCGGTCGTGAAACGAAACACAGAGGAACGAGCATGTACGAAGTAGGTAGTAAACATGTAAGGCATGATAAGTGGGCTTCCCCTCTTGAGCCCGGCGAGACGATGCCACTGCTTGACGTCCTTGGCCGGCCTGAACAACCCAAGGTATCTACACGTAGATGCAGGCGGGGAGGCATAGCAGACAGATACCGTGTAGCACCGCGCATTCAGCCCTGCGGCGAGAATAAATGTAAAACTAAGATCAGAAAGATTTTCCCCCCTGGCTCTCCCCCTCTCTCCTTCAGGCTCTACACAGCCTGCTCCTCTCCCTCACTCAAACTTTTTGGTCCGAAAATCTCAGTGACAGTGGTCGGGGTTTCACCGCCTCAGGTTAGATGTAGGACCGGACGGTGACGGCGTCGGCGTCGTGCGTGCGGGTAAAGAGGGAACAGGAAAAGGGCGACGAAAATGCCGCGGCACATTGCCGGGGAAAGGTCAAGGATCCTGGACGAGGATTGCGAGCCATGTTGCAGTTTGATGCTCCGCACGAAACCAAGTGCGAACTACGGAGTAACTTACGTAGCCTGCCTGAACTGTGGTTCTTGTCAAGGGGCGGTGCGCTGTTCCGCAGGGGTCGGGTAGATGGAGGGGGCCAGTGACCCTTGGCGGTGGCCCAGCGCCGCGGGACCGGGATGTTGCGCAAGGGGGCAGAGGCTGTAGAAACCCTTGCTTTTCCCTCCTTCCACTACCACGCACACGCTACTCGTACATCTACGTTTGGACTTTGCGCATAAGCCATCCCGTGCAGCGACGATCGAGTGCGATATGACGGAAAGAGGAATTGGTAGAACAGGAGGGCAGGCCGGCAAGACGAGCACCACCTCCCCGGGTCGCGAAGAGGCGCAAAGAGCGGTGGGATGCGGCCCGTGGACGCACAGAGGGATGATAGGACCAGAAGGGCGGGCAGCCTCGCACGGAGCGGAAACAGGAAGCAGCAGCCGCTGCGGACGGGCAAGCGAGTGAAGCTGCGGGTGCCCGTCACGCCTCCGGAGATCTGGTCCGCCGTGGGGTTGGGAGCATTTCTGCTCGGGATGGCGGGCCCAGTGAGCTCGGGCCGCGGCATACGGGGGGCGTCGCACACGGGCCAGTGCAGGTGGCGTAGCGGGAAGCTGCGTCCGGACGAGCGGCGTAGTGAGGGAGGGAGATGGGTGACGTTGCGGGAGTGCGTGGGACGGCGACGGGGTAGCGTAGTAGACGCGAGGCGGGTAGGCGGGAGCCCGTTTCCCGGGCGTTGTGTGACGGATGACGACGACGACAACGACGCGGATGGCGGGCACACGGTGTGATGGCTGGAGATGCGGGCTTGCGTCCATCTCCGCCCGCAGTATGGCGCTCCAATGTTTCTCTGCGTGAGTGGCAACCGCGCAATATGCTTACCTGCCACGTATGTACGGTGGCCGCCCGAGGGAGGAGGCGTGAGGGGCATGCAACTTTTCCCCTCTCCGAGTTTTGTCCACGCATTGTGTCTTTGAAACAAACAGGGCCTAGAATGGCGCGAACCCGGAATGGGGCCCGAGGAGGAAAAGGCTCGTTGGAATGCGTCGCCGCGTGGTCTGGTGCTGGCTGGGAATGTTGATCGCCGTTCTGGGCGGCGGGACGGTCCGGACGGTTCGAGACCCGGCGGCAGCGGAGGCTCGACCGGTCCTGGGACCCACTGCCCGCGTGGCGCCCGGTCGGCGGCCGGTGCGGCCCCGGGCTCGGGGGCAAAGAGGCAAAGGGGAATGCAAGGGGCATCAAGTATGACACTTTTGCCCGGAGACAGCCGGAGACAGCGGGTGAGCACACTTTAGAACAGGGAAGTTGAAATGAGTCCTCTTTTGCCTGAGGATAGCATTGTCCCTGTGGATTTGGGATCTCATTGTGCGTTTGCAGAACTCTCCACGGACTGCATGTGCCAGCGCCCTACCTTATGTCCCCACGTGGTTCCAGCCACGCTTCATAGTATTTACAGCCACTATAAAAAAAAAAAAAAAAAAAAAATTCAAGGCTCAAAATTTGTAGCTGATATTGTTTCTATCTAATCGTGATTGTCGGGCTGCAGGAGCAGACGCTTTCCGCGGCATACGTCCTCTAGGGTGGGCATGGGTACGGGCTGCTTCATACAAATTGCCCTCAGGCAAAGAACGCAGCGTCACGATATGCCGGCACTCTGCTAGATCCACAAATAAATAGAAAAAAACAGAAGGAGACCGAAAAGAGAAAAGAAATGGTGCACGAGGACAGCGCCTGCAGTGTCATTGCAATGTCAAGTTTATGCGGTGGCCCAGTGCGACCAGGCAAAGAAGTGTTACGCAGGGTAAAGTGTGAGGAACACACGTAGATAGGGTCATTCATGAGGCCACTTAACAGATCAACTCTAGTATTGTGATCGCACCTTGCTCTGTGGCGGATGATTGTAATTGCGTTATCCTTCCTCGCCCTCTGTAATAGCCCAACAGGTACTTTGTAGGGACGTTGACTCGGCAGGAGCTCTCGTTTCCTTCTGGCCGTGGATGCCTCTGACCGTTCATAAGTGAAAGACAGTTCATAATGGCAATACTTCCTGTGATTTGTGTTTACGCCTGCCTCTGCTGCTGTGTGGCTAGAACACTGACCAGCCCGGCATACCATTGCGCTGTCCCGCATTGAGAATCTCTCGTTCTTGATTTAGCATCTCAAGACCAGTTTTGTCATCTCATAAGGGGGGAGAGGGGGTGTCGGTTCAAGAATCGCTCTGACGGCACAGCGCCGGACACGAAGAGCTAGTATCAGGAGCTAGCCACGGAGAGCCTCCCCGAAGTACTCCGTGAGACACTCAGATTTTGAATTGCCCGGAAATAGATATGGGCGTAGTCTGGCTCGGCTCACCTTGGGTACTGTACTGCCATTTCTCTGTGAGTCTCCTAGCTCATACATAACAGGTGGTGTTGCAGTTGGTCGACATCCCAACAAGGCTTCTGGTGCTGTTTATGACAACGACCCTGTGGTACACCTGAAACCGGACGGAAAACTGCGGAGCAAGATCTCTGATTTGGCGCTGTCGGACGTGCGAATTATTGCTCACAATCCACTTTGACAATTGCGTAGCACTGTACATGTACGGTACTATTCCCCGTAGTTGACCGGCAGCTGGTTGCTTTTTTCCGGAAACCATGTGCCAACACACCAACCGCAGCCTCCCGCCGCCCAACGACAGACCGGTCTCACTTCGGTGTCGAGAAAATTGACACTTCAACGGAATTCTGCAAGCCCAACAGGAGCCCGCAGACAACGGGCAGTAGCTGGGTGTTGCGGAATCGTGTCGCCCACATGAGGAAGCTGGCAAGACGAGACCCTGGAGGCCTCAACTGCCGACTTGGAACTCCACAAATTCCCCTGAATATCCCCAGCTATGGGATCGACACTGTCCATGAAGCCTCTTACACCGACTGCAGCGTTAAGCGCACAGCGGGTCCATGGCGTCAATCTTGTCGCGGCGGGCTCAGAGCTTCACGGGCACTCAAGCTTGGGCCCGCCAGCTAGGAGACCTTCACAGTAGATGCCTGATGATTTCTATCTTCAGATTCTGATGTTGTGTCCAAAACCACGGAGCGACATTGCACTACGAGGCAAGCCAACATCATGTTGCGCGGCTCCCACTTGCCGACCCAAGTCCCACGGCCAGCCTTGCAGCATGGGCCAAGCCAATTAATTAATCTCACCTGCGGGTTTGACGATTGAGTCCCAGATGCGCGGGGAGATGCAGTGTTGGGACAAGCATCATCTGCCTTGAACTGGGTAAGATTATGGTCATCCCAATCTAGACGGCCGGGATGGGGCCGATCGCTGCTGCATTGAGACCGCGACGCGGGACGAAGGGGGTCGCCGACCCTCTCTCGAGGTCAAAGCGGCAATTGCCGTCAACTTCCATCAATGCATTTTCGACAGTCATTTAGGCGGACGGGATGAAGCTAGGACGCAGCCACGTGCTAACGATATGCAGTCCCTTCTCCGCGCGTGAATCTGCGACAATCTGCATGTGCGGGGGAGACCACATGGGCAACTGGACGCAAGATGGTTGTGGCTTGCCTGCAACGACGAGAATTACAAAGACCTTGCTCCGCTCAGCCTTGTTGGCTCCAAGATTCAGTCTTGGGTTCGGATGCTCGGCTTGCAACTAACTCCCACACTTCGTCTGAACAGCAGAGCAGCTAACCCATACAAGGGATGCTAGCAAACAATCTTGCGGAACCAGGAGATGTGGCGAAGTTGGTTGGCCATGTACATCCTGCACTCCGTACAGACCGCGGATGGCCCGTGTGGGACATGACGATTGGCACGGTCTGTCGAAGAGGGGGCATTGAAACGTGACCGGCGGATGATCGCGCTGATAGCTGCAGGAAGGGGTCCCAGGGTGATTGCGGTCTCCTGGAGATCATGCCGTCATTGCCAGAAACTTGGGAAGCAGCAGCCCAAGCCCCAAGAACCGTGGCCAGGGTGTAAGAGCCCTCTTCGGCCTCAGATATAAGAGGGAGACAGCCACTGTGAACTCTCCTGCTCCCTCTTCCCTCTCTATCATTCGATCGTCAGTCACTCCTTTACCAGTCGCTCCTTTGCACGTGCAAGCAACGCTACACCGGTTATACCCTCTTGATATTCTCTTATTACACCGAGTATCTCACACAGCCAGCCAAAATGCGCTTCACCATCGCCTCTGTTGTCCTCGCCCTCGCCGGCAGCGCTTTCAGCGCCCCCATTGGTGAGCGCAATGAAGCAGAGCGAGACAGGTTCTGAAACTAACCAAACTCCAGTCGCCCGCTCTCTCGTCAACGAGGTTGGCAGCGTCGTCAGCGGCCTTCAGGACAACGTCCCGTCGGCCCAGGTCCAGGTCCAGCTGCAGGGACTCCTCGGCAGCGAGCTCAGCCAGGTATGACTCCAATGAGATCAGGTGACATGGGCGTGCACTGACATAGAACAGATTGAGAGTGGCCTCGGTGGTGTTCCTCTGGCCGACAAGCTCTTGAGCCTCTTCCAGTCTGGCGACCTGTCCGGCAGCGCCCTCACTGCCGTCGGCGAGGCCCTTGCCATGCTTAAGCAGGGAACCCCCCTCGATGCCGTCAACTCTTACCTCAACGCCGCCACCGGCGGTGTTGTCAGCGACCTCGGCAGCACCCTGGGTCTCGAGGATCTCGTTGGCCTTCTCAGCGGTGTCCTGGGTAACATTGGAAACGTCGGCAACCTGGGCAACATCCTCTAAGCAGCGCCTGTAAGGGCCATTGGAGTCGCAGGAGGAGATACCGCGCCGAGATGAGGCACGCCAGTCGTGTGTTGTGGCATTGATGAACGGCGCTTGCTTTCGGCTGTCAAATATATTTTCGTGATTCTTCTGGACTATTCTTTTGGACTGCATGGAGAAGGCGTGCATTTGTGTACATGTAAGGAGAAGCGGCCATCAAGTGCGTCATGACTGCGTGCTCATCAGCGAATCCGGTGGACTTAGTCTGGCACTCCAAATTCCCTCTTGACGCGGTGATTGCCCTACAGAAGTCAACAACAGGGAGCGGGCAAGTGGCAATGTGGTCTTGTGTCGAAAGTCGCCCATTGGTACTTCACTACCAATTGTACATGGTGACATCTGAGTCACTCGTCGCCTTGCTGTGACATATTTGCCTGCTCGGTTCCTCACTGAGCTTATGTATTGTCCAAGGCGCGGAGCCTTGAAGGTTAACGGCGGTGTCTTGTGATGTCCACGCTTTGCAACCTTGGAAGGCGAATGTTGAGAAAGCCGGCAGTGCCGCTGGCCTGTGTATGTAGCCGGGAGCCTCGGCGATCCATTCGGCGGTTTTGAAACATAGCGATGCGTGGTCGTTCGAAACATGATACGTGTCGGATTGACCCGTTGAGTAGTTCATGATGTAGCTGTGCGCATAAGTCTCTGCGATATGGAATCAGAAGGCTGTCTTACAGTTTCCCACTGGTGTGAGATGTTGCATCGACTCTCACGTATACCTGATCACCTGCCCTGACTGGTTTCGCGTCAACCCTTCCAACCCTTTACCAGCACTGAATTACGCAGTGCTAACACCTGAATGAAGTCGTAAACTGGAATTTACCAGTGGGGGAGACTTACTCGGGATATCGGGGTAGACTGGAGCAGCTGGCCAGAACTCGTACCAAGAGAAGACATTCACACGACCATTTCTGATCTAGATGGGTGAAGTCAGCAATTTCTATTGAAAAGCAGAATTATCGGAGGCATCATGTACGGTATGGCCGGTGCCTGCCTGCAACAAACCCGGACAGTTGTTGGTGCCATCAATACCGACCTGCAACGGGCGTCAGTCTCGACGTGAACGCGTCGCGAAACCGCGTGGCTGAAAGCGTACCCATTGATAAAACCAGAAATCCCCTTCGCTGGATCCGCCTCGCGGGATGGCTACGCTTGGAACAACCCAGGTCGCTTCGATGGAGGTGATGTTGTTTGATGTTATCACTGGACCACACCAGTTCTCTGAGACAACTTCCCGTATAGATAGCGTGGTGGAGCGCCTGCTTCTGGGTCTACTGAACGCGATTTTGCTATGTGCATGGGCTATGCTCGCGAGGGCTGCGACGGCGACCGAGATGGCCTTGCTAAGGAACATTGTCGGACGAGTCACAACTCCATTGCACATGGGTTTTGGATACGCACTGGCGTTGTGAGCTCGAGGGTGGCGAGATCACAGGCGCACTTTATATCACTACTTTGCAATGGAGCACTACAGACTATGACAACAATCCGCGGATAAGTCAAGCCTTGTTAGTGTTGAAAAGCACATGAGTGGACTGTGAGCAAAGGCGGCCTAGCGTTGGGCTTCCAACAGCCAGTTCCGAGACATCGAGCCGCTTTGGGCTGGGGGAGGGATGGGCCTGGGCCACGGGGCATACCAAGATTCTGATACACAATGTCCGGTACCAGGCCCGAAGTCTTATGTAGAGGATCGGCTAGAGAAAAGCCTAGAATATACAATTAAATCTGTTAATACTGGCGATAATTGAATGCAACAGCTTGCAGCCAGCAGATCAAATGGTCGGCGACGCTGACAGTGGCCATACTCGTGTGAAAAGCGACGGCGAGTATGAGGCCGGAACAATAAGACACAATCTTGGCAAGGGCACAAGCTGAATCGCCTCATTCCTTGGTCAAATCTAGAACGAGGGCGGCCCGAGGAACGAGACCTGGGAGCTACGACAGTACTAAATACAAAGGAGAGTGCCCCAGTATTTGCCAACTTCGGCGCCCAACTATCACCTTGGCATGCAATCCGTAAATTCGTAGCTGGTGGCACGCGCTTCCCCGTCTCGCAATTACACCTGATTGCGTTTGAACTTCAGTTCAATGTGGTTCATGCCCAGCATCCGGGGTTAAACTAGTCTCTTGAACCATGGTCGACACAGGAGCAGGACGCGAGCATCGCCCCATGCCAATTTATTGCGCACTCCTTTCACTTTGCCGACGCCCAGTGCTGGCGCGGAGCACTTGTCATACCAGCGATCGGAACTTCGCGACCGTAGCGGCGGTTGACGTAGTGGGGGGCTGGTGCTGGGGGTGGATAGCGCGATGACGACTGAGGCCAACCCGAGCTTCATGACGTCAACATGAACCCATAGACAATGGTCAAGGCAATTGGCGTAGGGGGCCCCTACGTTTGGGCTAAGTCGATGCAGTCACATAATGGACCCGAAGCATCTACTGTTAAGCTCAACCGCGGCTCCGTTCCTGGACGAGGAACTTCATCATCTCGCTGCTGTCGGGACACCTCGACTCAACTGCCGATCATGGATACCCCTGCGGTTGAACCGGGAGCTGGTGGCACTGGCTACACCAGTGAGATACCCGAAGATGCTGAGCCAAGAATGGTCGAACACCATGAAGACGATGCACCGACAGCCAGCCATGCTCTTGCTGACGAGAGCCTCAACGACGAGTCCACCGTCCAAGGAGCCAGTCAGGTCGAACACGACGATGTCGAAGTCCGCAACCTTGGATGGAACGAGGAGGCGCCACGTGTGCCTCGCCCTGTAGTTGGAGGATTGACAAACGAGCAACTCTGGACGTTGATCCGGCGCTTTGACAAGCAGGTGTTCCACGTCAAGAGTATCGATACGCCGCCGCTTGCCAACCTTGACATGAACATAGCCGATGAGGAAGAGTTTTCGCCAGACAAGCTACGCGCAAACCTAGAGCGGTTGTACATCACTGTTGTGGTGCCGGTGGTCTCGTTCTGGAAGCACATCGCCCGACTCAGGTCCTGGAAAGAGTACCAGCGGACCTCCGCATTCCTCGCCATATACACAGTCGCTTGGTTGCTGGACCTGCTTATACCGACTTTGACAGCTTTCGCTCTCGTCCTAATACTGTATCCGAGCTCGCGAGAGACCTGCTTCCCGCCTGCACCACCAGCCCTCATCGACTCCAAAACCGGCGGGGTTCAGAAGCCGAAGGCGGGTGTCTTGGCGACGGATGACACCCTCACCGGAGCACCTGAGAAACACGAAGGAGAGGCGGTCGAACAGGAGGCTCACAGCTTCGTCAATAGCATCGCAACGGTATGTTTGTCTGTTCCTGAAATACTGCCGCGCGTGGTGGACGAGTCGGGACTGATCATCTTCTCTCCAAGCAGGTTGCCATTAGCACCTCCGCAGGCAAGCATCCACAAGGAGATCCCCATGATGACAGCACCGCGCCCGATCCATCGCAAATCACCGAAGGTGTATCTAGCGCGAAAGAAAAGAGCGACGGGAAAGAGCCCAGCACGGCACATGACAAGACCAAGAAGCCAGTCTCGCACGCTGTCTGGAACAAAGCTCGCCCGACTATGCATCTCATTGCCGATTTTGTCGATACTTGGGAGCGATTTGGGAATGCCCTCAGCCCAGTCCCCCCGTTTCCCAAGTTGCGCCCTCGATTAATTCTAGCAAGCTGCCTTGTCCCACTTCTACTGGGCTCCTACTTTATAACGCCGTACATGCTCCTCAAAGGCACTGGCTTCATCTTCGGCTTCACCTTCTTTGGCGACCCTATCTTGACGCCACTGCTTGACTTCGCCAACCGGACATATCCCCGATGGCAAAAGTACGTCGAACTGCGCAACTCGGTTCTCAAAGGGGTGCCCACAAACGCGCAGCTTGCCGTCACGCTGCTACGAATTGGAGAGAGGAACAAAGCACCCGTGCCTCCGCCGCCCTCGTCTGATATGCCGCCGCCTGCTGAGACAAATAAGGATGCCCTCCAGGATCTGGACCACCTCGGTAAGCAGAGCCATTGCCAAGCAGGGTGAGAAAGGGGTCCAGCTGATGATTGATGCAGGTGCCACAGATGAAGAGATTGAAGGGGCCGCCGAGCCAAGCCATGGCCTTGAGTATGACAATGAGGACGACAAAACAAAGCAAAAGCCGAAAAAATCAAGGCGCATTCTCAATCTGCTCAAGGGGACGACGAAGGGTGGCGTTGAGACTGTTCTTACTGCGGACAAGGCTAAAGCTGCTGCTGGAGAGAAGCACGCGCGCGACCGACTCGGCGTCGTGAAGCAGCCACGTTCCCAAGCCGTTGCCGGCCCTGTATCATTCCCCGCCAGATACGAGGGTCGCAAGGGTCACGCATATGTAACGGCAACGGCTACGGCGCCCGCGCTGAGCTGGACGTCGGATCTTGAGGATGTGAACCCGGCGTGGACCGTTGCAATTGCGGATATCCAGGAGCTCAATAAGGTGGGCGGCTTGGGTTGGAAGAGCAAAATCGTCGTTGGTTGGGCATTGGAGAAGGAGGTTGTGGACGGACTCGTAGTGCGGACGAAGACGGGGGATGAATTCCATTTGACAGCCATCACGGTTCGAGATGAGCTTTTCAACAGGCTCATTGCCATGGGAAGTCAAATGTGGGAGCTGTGGTAGTGTTCGCTAGCCAGGGGCAGTCAATGATAATCTCAGCGCGCGAGAATGCGATGCACGACTTACAATGCAAAGTGCCGACCCCCCACAGGAACCTTGTCACGAGCGTGCGACAAATTCGTGCATTTGGCTTGCCCACACACCGCTCGTCCGTCGCACAAGGAGCGATTGGCGGTCATTTTCGAGCATGAAGCATCGTCGAATACTTGTGCCTCGAAATCTCGGTGCCTGCTTGGCGACAAGACGCCAAGCCCCCATTGCCAGTGGGCATCGCCGCTTTCATGGCTTCGTGTTGGCCGTGGGGTTGTCCGTCGCAACGGACAGTCTCCTCAAATCCATGTAGAGACTCCTGGCGCGGCGGTCAGAGGTCGGGCAGGCTCTTTGTCGCGCAGAATTGATCGCAAGCTTCTGGGCCGACCAACTGCTGTTCCTTGCGGCCTCTCCGGTTGCGTTCGTCGGGCGGGTAAATATTCGCCTCGCCAAGCTCTGGTGTTGTTTCCAAGTTCCACGCCACCGAGAGGAGAGACATGCTGCACAACTGAGCTGGATCGAGTCTTTGGCACATGCCCTGAACAGCTGCATAAAACTACTACGTGCCCTCTTTCGTACACTGTGGTTTGATGCATACGTTGTTGTCGCTAACGAAAACATGTCAACTAGTCGTACTATATACTGACCAAGTAGTATGGCCATGCTTTAGCTTCTTAGATCGATTATGCATAATACAAATTTTCCTTTTCACAGAAGTAATTCCCAATTGTAGTTGAAACATTTGCATGAAGGGGCTCATCACCACGGTCTCTGGCAAGTCTGGTGCGTCTTTTCTTGTGCCTGTCTCTTGGATGTCAACATTGAATGGGTGTGACGTTAGCCAAGAGGCTCGGCGACGCACTTTAAGCTTACTTGGCTTAAGGTTGCCGGGTCCGGCAGCGCGTGGCGTCGTCAACCCACCACTCATAGCCTGTACACGTCGACTTGGCACCGGCAGCGAGATGAAATCCCAGTGCCAGGCGGACGATTGACTGAATCATGGCTCGGCACAGAGGGCGGGTGGCTGAGGGCAGCGATCTCGATCGACCCGAGCCCTGTCCGAGACCGACTCTCCCGGCTGTGTGCTATTTACCAGTGCACCGTTTGCAAGTACTATTATCACGAGACCGGGAATAGAGTTCACAAAACAAGTCAACAAGCTTGAATTGCCACATCCCATGGAGTTGCGCAGTGCACACACTCGTTGGTATTTCATCGCTCGTGGGTCTTATGTCCTCGTGAGTGTACGCGTCAGCCGGTGCAGCTACCCGGTTTTTACAACGCCTGAAGTATGATGCTTTGGCAATTGTTCTTGTTGTTAAGGCTACCTTATCCGGTATTCTTGGCGGCTCATCCCTCGCGTCCCGCACCACCACCGTCTGTGTTCGCCGAGCCCCTAACGCTCGCCATGTCATCCTCTGTCTCCGCTCCCGTGTACTACATGTAATTGTCAGGCGGAATTATGATGGTACCCCGCGGTTGCTTGGCAATTCTTGGGGTGGTTTGAGTTGGTCCACTTCTCCGCGGCCTCCACATACACCTATCCTTTACCCCAGAGGTTGACCCAAGTCTGCCCAGCATTGATAAGTCTCGGCTTTCCCCAGAGTTTGTTGACCATGGACGGGGACCTGACCACCTTCACCCTTCAATGATCATTCTATTTGCCTAGTTCCGGGCTCTCGTCATCCATTGCTAACCAGGCTCCGCGCCACTCCTCCAGTCCTGACAAACCGTCAAATCACAAGTCAGCACCAGACACCAGAGCTGGCAAAGTCACCATGCCTGTTCCAAATCCAGATGTTGAGACTCCACAGGGCGAGACTGTCCACGCTGAGCGCAGGCAATCAAGCAGCAATGGGACCTTCAACGGCGAAAAGTCGACCCGCAGGGCTTCCACAGCTGCCCTTCTTCGCAACCCACTGACGGGCATGACTCGAGAGCAAGTGATTGCAGATGTTGACGGTTTTGTCGAAGAGAAGGGTCTCACCGAGCACCGTGAGATTTTCCGAAAGGGAGCATTGATCGCACAAGTAAACAACGTCAAGGATGGCTTCGAAACCATTGATGCCCTGAACGAGGCTGAGAAGGAAGTGATACGCATGGAGGAAACTCATCGCTGGCACCAGCCCTTTATGCTTTACTTCTTGTGCATCTTATGCGCCGGATCTGCCATTGTACAAGGCATGGATCAGTCTGCCGTGAATGGGGCTCAGGTATGGCTTTCCTGAAGCCACGCAGCTCATGAGACGCAAGCTCACACAGTATTCAGGAGTTCTACTACGAAGAGTTCAACATCCGTGATCCATATCTGCAGGGGCTGATGAACGGAGCACCATATGCTTGTTCTGCACTGATCGGCTGTTGGTCCAACCCTTGGCTTAACAAGATCGGCGGCCGTCGGTTCACAATTTTCTTCTCTTGCGCAATGTCTGTCATCACTGGTATTTGGATGGCAGTGGCAAACAAGTAAGTGAACATGCTCTAGAAGCTTCTGTCCTGCGCTAATCCAACAGCTTCGCGAACCTTCTTATCGCTCGATTCTTCCTGGGGTTCGCCGTGGGCGCCAAGTCATCTACCACTCCGGTGTATTCTGCCGAGTCGGTGCCTAAGACTATCAGAGGCGCCCTTACCATGATGTGGCAGGTTTGTTCTGTCTATGGCCCTTGAACCCTGATGATGGCAATGGTAGATCCCATGCTCATATTATCATGGTACAGATGTGGACGGCATTTGGTATCGTCCTTGGCTTTGTCGTGTCTGTAGCGTTCCAGGGTACGGACTTCTTGGGAGCAAACTCGCAATGGCGATGGATGCTCGGCTCTACCAGCATACCTCCATTGGTCGTCATGGTCCAGGTCTATTTCTGCCCGGAGAGCCCACGCTGGTACATGGAAAAGGGAAAGTATACCCAGGCGCTCAACTCTTTGACACGCTTGAGAAATCACCCGGTGCAGGCGGCGCGAGACATGTACTACGCGCACAAACTCCTCCAAATTGAGCGACAGGAGCGCGAAGGACGCAACTTGTTGAAAGAGTTCTTTATGGTTCGTCGGAATCGGCGGGCGGCTCAGAGCGCGTGGTTCACCATGGTTAGTGCTGCACTCGACCCTCAAGTGTCCATGTCGCGAAAAGAATCGATATCGAGCGTTCTTGAACAGCTAGCTAACATATCATGGGACAGTTTATGCAGCAATTCTGCGGCGGTAAGCACACGGCCACCCCAAGCTCTCCTACGCCCAAGCACCTTTTCGCTGACCGCACCAGTGAACGTCATCGCATACTACAGCACCAGTATTTTCCAGAAGGCTTCATACACTCGGTCACAAGCGTTGCTGGCGTCCATGGGAGGAGGCTTGATCAACTGGATATTTGCCATTCCAGCAATCTACACCATCGACACTTTCGGTCGGCGCAACCTTTTACTGACCACATTCCCACTCATGTCACTGTGCCTCTTCTTCACCGGATTCGCCTTCTATATCCCGAATCAGCAGGCTCAGCTAGCTTGCGTCACTACGGGTCTTTATCTTTTCATGGCTGTGTACTCTCCCGGCGAGGGTCCGGTGCCATTCACATACAGCGCCGAGGCTTTCCCGCTTCACATTCGTGACATTGGGATGAGTTCCAGTACTGCGATCACATGGGGCTTCAACTTCATTATCAGTTTTACTTGGCCTCCACTCGTGGAAGCGTACGGCGATACCGGTGCGTTTTGTTGGTACGCCGCCTGGAACCTGTTTGGCTGGGTCTTTGCGTACTTCTTCCTTCCGGAGACAAAGAGCCTTACGCTGGAAGAGCTCGACAATGTCTTCAGCGTCAAAAACAGAGAGCACGGGGGCTATTACTTGCGCAAGTTGCCGTGGTACGTCAACAAGCACTTGCTGCGCCGAGACGTTGACACCTTCCCTCCGCTGTACCAGTTTGCAGAAGAACGAGCGCAGGCAGGGGATAAGCACGCATCTTTTGGGCAACAAGGTAGCTCCGACTCAGAGAAGGGCGTACGAACTACCGCGCTGGAGTAGAAAACTTGGGTGCGCGGGATAATAGTATGCTCCAGGTGTGGGCTGAATCTTGGAGCAGTTCAATGTTGTCCGCTGCGGACGTACAGTACGAAGGAGGTACTAATGTTACCACATATTCCACTCGTGCGGAGTACCAACGCACAACATCGACAATCAGACGGATGTGGTAAGCACTTATTTGTGTTGTTGCAGTCCAGAGACAATTTACCGTCATTTTCCGTACGCACATCCACGGCACTAAAAATAGTTGACGTCGCACAAGGGTACCCGGCTCTGTGCGCAAGATGGAACCCCAGTTCATTTCCCGGCGATTGCCGATCCTGTTCGGAAAACCGGTGGATGCCTTGTTGGCTCGTGGGAGGCCGAAACTGGGCATTCGTGCAGATGCCACGCGGTCCATTGGGCATACGCATATTCTATATGGGAAGCCGACGGTATATCATGGATTCTCCAGATACACAGCGCGGGAACCGACCTTCTATGCAACTGTCAAGTCACAAAAACGCGATACAGTCATGTCTCTGCCAGATCCTCGTCGAATTGTCACAGGCCACGATGAAGCGGGCAATGCCATCTTCGTCGCCGACAGTGCCATTCCCATGGCTCCAACCCCGGTTGAGTGCGACTTCGCGGTGTTATACGAGACGCATCAGTTCCCAGCATCAAATGATACATGGGAGGACCCAATGTTGACCCGAACCAAGAGCCTCGCAAATGAAAAGGGAATTGTCCTCCGCTGTGTCGACTTCAGACCAAATACGAAGACTGTGCGTGAAGCGACTTGACTTCGGAGATTGAACGACGCCAGGTGTGAGACATTGCGAAAGCTGACTTACGTCTCACCCACAGCTGTTCCACCGCACCGAGTCTCTGGACTTTGGGATTGTGTTTTCGGGCGAAATTGTTTGGCACGTATCCGTCCAGGACGCCTCTGTAACATGATGTCGTCTAACCGATGCTCATAGCTACCTAGATAACGGCGTCGAGCTGACCCTCAAGGCTGGCGACGTCTGCGTACAGCGCGGCACCATTCACGGCTGGGACAACAGGACGGACGAGACAGCACGTGTCTACTTCGTGCTTAGTGGTAAGTGCTTCGAGCAGATCACCTAGGTCACGATCTCTAACGCTGGGATTTAGCTGCCACGCCCGTGAAAATTGGGGACAAAGTTCTAGGGACATGCGGGTTTGATCCCAAGAATGTTGAATCTGGTGGCCAACATTAGTCGCAGTTTACAGTACCTGCGCTCAGCCATGGCTGGACCGGCTCTTCCGTAGCAACTTCAGGGTATCCAGTACGTAGGTACAAAATGGGGGCTTCGAGTGCGTGTTGGCTGGCCAATTTAGGATAGAACCAACAAGGCATTTGCACCCCGCTTGAGCGTCTCTCACGGACTCTTCGGAAGCTCGCGACTCGGCCCTTCGCGGCTCGGGAAAACAATTAGCGGGGTCGAGCACACAACGATCACTTCTGTTCCCACCTTGGGCTTTGCACTCGTATGCAACAGCCGATTCAGTGAATGACTTGCATGCCATCAAGGATCGTGGACGGCTACGAGATGAATGTAGCACACAGAGGCAGCCGATTTACCCTGGTGGAGAAATCAGCCGGGCGGCCGAGGACAGCCTGTTATCGGTGCAGTGCCCTGAAGGTAGGCCCGGCCCCATTGCGTCGAGCTATCGAGCCGTGTCGCCCTGACTTTTCACCGTACCGTTACAAGCTGACGCACTATCGTCCAGGTTCGCTGTACCGGTGAGCGGCCGTCCTGTCATAGGTGCACCCGTCTCCATCGACGATGCATCTGGACTAAAGACGACAGCGGCCTCAGCAGGCGTGATGACGCCAGCCTTAGTCCCGGGTCCAGGGAGGCTAATAAAGCCATCGATGAGTCTACATCAGGCACATTCGGCATTCCCTCCAGTCTTCTCCCCAAGCTCGTTGACTTGTACTTTGCCCACGTCGACAATGCATCTCTCCTACTTCATCGGCCGTCGTTTGTTCAGAGCCTATCAACTGGAAGTGTCACAAAACATGTTGTTCTGAGTGTGTGCGCTTTGGCCGCATGGTATTACACCCTTCCATACCCGGTTGCCACGTCAAGCTCGCCCTCAACTGTGCTAATTTTTCAGTTTCTACGACAACGGAAATCAGTACAATACCTTGTTGGATGAAGGCTTCGCCCGTGGCTGGGCCGAAGAAGCGGGTCGACTCGCCTTCTCCCAGGTTGAGAACCCCACGGAGGATAACCTCGTCACATTTCTCAACCTTACGCTGTTCTGGTACAGCCAGGGCCAATGGCAGCGAATGATTGTCTACGAGGGTAATGCCGCTTGCAAGTCTCGCGTGCTTGGCTTAGGCACCAGCCAGTCCTTAGCCCAAAATCCTTCTTTCAGTGCCGAGTTGAGTCGCAGACGGTTTTGGGCGTGCTTTTTGATCAATCAGTTTGGTAACGAGGCTGCGAGATGTCCGAAAATGAACCTTGCGGACTTTGAGGGTATCATGCTTCCATGCAACGAGGAAGACTTTGAACAGGAGAAGTTTCCACCTCGCCACATGCACCCCGGAAGTCGCGAGCACCAGCATAGAGAAAGCTACTTCGCAGAGCTGATCCGACTGGTGAGCATATGGTAGGTGATTTCTTTTCTTTCGGATAGTAGAGGTTGTATGCTCACAGCCGTTGAAGGACATCAGCCTGCCAAATAGCCCAGGACGACAGAACAGATATTCACATCAAGCTTCTACACATCCAAGAGCTTGATACGAAGCTGGCAACCTGGCGAGCAGAGCTCTCCGAAACATTTGACCTGGATACTCTCAATAGCCCGTCCCCAAGGAGCACCGCACGCGCGATTTCTTTAAATATCTTGTATCATCAGATCATGAGCGTCCTGCACTCGTCAATCGTACCCCTCTTCTCTTTGAATCCAGTGGCAGCCGAAGCATGCGGCTACTTCCAAACGGCATCCGCGCAGACCGCCCTTGTTCATGCTCGCCAGATTTCATCAATCTTCCTGAGATGGGGATTCTCTAGCCTCCCGCAGGCCCCTGTCTCGGTAGGGTTTATCGGCTACGCCGCGTACTGTTCTTGTGCAATCCAGTTGCCATTTTTGTGGTGTACCAAAAGCACCGTGAGCGAGGCTGCGCATGCAAACATCAAGGCCAACCTGAAAACAATGCGCTCTATGAGCAAACACTGGAAATTAATTGCAGCCCTGGTAAGCCCGCAACGATGTCCACTATGCTACTGATCAACTAACATCTGCGGATAGACAGAATTCGTACCGCTGCTTTACAACTATCACAAGAACATGGCATATTCACTCGCAGATGAGCCTCGAGCTTTGAGCGAACACGAGCTGAACAGACACAGGGGCGTTCGAAGCCGTGCCAAGGTTTCGATACTTGGTCACAATGGAATCATCTGGAATAAGGGAAAAGTCATTGACCCAGGGGAAGCCCCAGGGTTAGACCTGGACGTTACTGAAAAAGAAGGTGATGAACAGGTACAAAGCGGAAAGGCGACGACTGATTCCATTCACCTGGGTCATGGTGATCAATCATGCTCATCAGGTTCACTTGGAGGTCACGATGGAGACTCTGAACTACTATCAGACAATCTGGACAGCAGATTGGTGACACCGGCAATGCTGGACGCGATTGCAGCGTATCAAGAAGGACTCTGTTTCTTGCCACAAACCCATTTCCCAGTGTTTGACACGACCCTGTACTGTACAACGGATACGTACGGGTTCCAAAACATGTTTGGGCAAGACCATGAGGGGCTTTAGATGTCGCAATTGTAGTTCTGTGCTAGCGCAGTCAATGATACATGTACTTAGCTGGGAGCGATCCACATAACCATTCGAATGAATAGAAAACACCTTAAGTCAAGGGGTTTGAATCCATAGTGAATGACAAGACGGGGGCGGCGTGCAATTTCGGAGCGTACTGTACTGCGACTGGGGCGGCGCTATGGTCACTTGTGGATGTGGAGCAACTACGGGCGACATATCTCTGCCGCCCGCTGCGAGCACGGAATATACGGTAAATTCTGTTAATGGATACGGAAAATACGCAGAACAAAGCCGGTATGCCGCAGTTTTTAGTTGGAACGGACAATGCTCTAATTGGTCACGGCAATGCTTGCGCGGAGCAATTGGTCGAAGTCACCTCGGTCGGCATCACTTGTAGTTGTCATTCCAGTGATATATTTTTGACAGGAGCCTAGCAGACAGATGCTCAACCTCAAGCCTAGCAAGCCGTCTCCCATCACAGCAAAAAGTCATCCATTTGAGTCCAAGATGTCGGCCTCGTCCCGCAAGGTTCCAGTTGACCTGGATGCAGGAGTGATACATACCAAGCCGGCCGCGCCGACACAGTCTGCCGCCTCGGAGTGGCCGAAGATTGATTCAACAAATTTCCCCTACATATTCGAGAAGAACGTCACTGTAAATCTGTCTAACGGCTCATTCATCCGGTGCAACATCTACAAGCCAAAGACCGAGGATCCGAACGCCAAATTCCCTGTGCTCGCGACCCACGGCCCGTACGGGAAAGATGTCCCTTACAGCGTGTAAGCTATGGCCTAACTTTTGGACCATTGTTCCACGTGCTAAATGGCTGTTGTAGCTTCCACCCCATGAGCTTCGCTGACCTCGAGCCGGACCATCAAACGGAACACTCAGCTTGGGAGACACCCACGCCTCGTCATTGGACCGCACGCGGATACGCCATTGTTCGGGCCGACGAAGCTGGCTCCGGGCAATCCCCAGGTTATCTCGACATTCTCTCCAGCGCCTCGATCGACGCTTTCTCTGAGCTGATCGAGTGGATTGTGGAGCAGCCATGGTCCAATGGCAAGGTCGGTACTTTGGGAATCAGCTACTACGCCGCCTCGCAATGGCAGCTGGCTGCGCGCAAACCCAAGGGCCTGGCTTGTATCGTCCCCTACGAGGGATTCTCCGATCACTACCGCGATATCTGCCGACACGGCGGCATCCTGTCCAACGGGGGACTGAATGTCATCTGGCACCGGCAAGTCGGTTCGAACCAGTACGGCCTGCCAGGGCGGGCGGCAAGAAATTGGGGCGACGACACCATTGAAGGTTCGTTGTCAATTGAGGAGCTTGCAGCCAACCGGGTCTCAATCGTCGATGCGGTGCGGGCTTACCCGTTCCGAGACGGCGAAAGATTCTCCTCGGTAGCGTTCAATCTCGAAGACGTTGAGGTTCCCGTGCTCAGCGTTGCCAATCTCGGAGGCATTCAGCTGCATCTTCGAGGTAACGTCCAAGGCTTCCTACACGCCGGCTCGAACTTGAAGTACCTACGCTTCATTGTGGGACGCCACGACCTCCCTATGTATTATCCGGAAGAAATTGCTATACAGGAGAGCTTCTTTGACGCGTTCCTGCTCGGGGACGACCGCGATGGGTGGTCACGAAAGGGGGAGGTGCCGCCCGTCAGTCTGGTTCTGCGCAAAGGCAATGTCGCACACAACAACGTGAAGGCCGAGAAGCAGTTCCCGAGGAGAAACGAGAATGAGTGGCCGCTTGCCAGGACGCAGTATAAGAAGATGTATCTTGGCCCTGACGGTACCATGGGCTGGGAGAAGCCTGCCATCGACGCCGCTCAGAAAATGCAGTATGAAGCGTTCCCCGCTGATAAGGCTAACGGCCTTGTGTCCTTCACAACCGCACCTTTCGAGGTTGAGACGGAGATTACAGGCCATATTGTCGCACATTTCAACGTCTCCATCGGCCGCCACAGGTGGCAGAAATCCACGCCCACTGACATGGACATTTTCGTTGCCCTCCGCCACATCTCACCCAATGGCGAGGAGGTGTATTACACCGGGCCCGCCGGGGAGGCATCGCCAGTCACCAAGGGCTACTTGAGGATGAGCTTCCGCAAGACAAACCCGGAGCACGCCCGGCATCGCGAGTGGTTGCCTTGGCGCGACTACATGCCCGGCGACGCCGCCGCCATGGTGCTGAACGAGGTCTACCCAGTTGACGTGGAAGTTTGGCCCACAAACGTGGTTGTAGAGAAGGGTGGTCGCTTAATTTTGGAGATTGGCGCGGTTGAGCTGCTCGGTGCGGGTATTTTCCAGCATGACGATCCAGTTGACAGGTACGCTTCAACAACGTGAGCGGCAGAAACTGCGGAAAATGCTAACTGATACAGGCCCGAGGCAAAATTCAAGGGCACCAACACCATCCATTTTAGTCCGAACTACGACAATTACCTCACAATGCCCGTTATTCCCGGCACCAACTAACGGTCATGCAAAATCTCCGCCGATGAAGCCAAGGCAGCAAGCATTACACTTGCGGTGTGGGACTTGGGACGCAGGGCCACCGTTGTCAGTTTGGCCTAGGACTAGTGTGCATCGTGCAATGCTGCTCATTGCATCGAGATGTCTGTCATAGCTCAATGAAGGCAAACAGTCACTAGTCATGAGCACAGTGATGATTTGTGCACTCGACGACGCGACATGTATTGTTGCACAAGCAACCCTGAATCCTCATCTACATGACGACTCCCCACATTGAGTGATTTGCTCACTCAGCCTTTAAGCCGATCTCCTCCTGCAACTCCCGTTCAATTTCGCCCACATCGACACTAACCTTGCCGGTCCGGACGTCCTCGATGTTTGGAACCGTCGAGCGCTTCGTCTTGTCAAAGAGCGCGTCAATCTCCTCCAAACTCTTCCCTTTCGTTTCGACCCAGAACACAGCCTAGAAGCACGGTCATGAGTATAGATCCATGGTCTCGGGTGGCGTGCGTGCAAACTCACGATCAAAATAAAAGTGACAATATCCCAGCTGCCATTGATCATGTACGTTTTCCACCCGATGTTCGTCAGCGCAATCGGCATGATGAAGACTAGGAGGCAACTACATTCAGGGTCAGTAACCGCAATGACGAAGGAAAATATGCGAGAAACTTACGCAAGACCGTTCAGAGTGTATTGGGCGAATGCTACGCCGTTGGCTCGAATGGGATAGTCCATGACCTCCGGTGGATACAGGGTGAGTAGAGGCGTCCAGGCAATGGAATAAAAGCCCTGGAACAGGAATATGACAGCGACGTCTCCGTAAATGAGGGCTTTAGAAGTGCCGTCCGGGTCCTCGCCATAAACCTTGGTAAGAGCGCCGATAATGAACAGGCATACGATGAGAAGACCTTGCGACAACAGCGCGGTGGGTTTCCGGCCCCAAGATGCGGCAAGCTGCGTACCCGCGAGGCAGCAGAAAAGGCACCACACATTCAGGACAACATTCTAACACCCGTTAGCCTTCAAGTTCTCACAAGGAGGGATATATCGCGAAGCTTACAGCCTTTAGCTGATCATTCGAATCTGTGATTCCGGCTGTGTCAAGCTCTTGGCCAAGGTAGTAGGACGCGATGATGTTTCCAGCAATGCATGAGAACGGGCCAGCAGATCCTCCAATTAACACTCGCTTTCTCGCCGTCGGCGACTTGAAGAGTTCCTTCATGCTGAGTGTGCGACCTTCCTTTTTTTCCCACTCGAGAGAGTCGACGATCTCCTTGTACACGGCCATGACGACCGGGTCCGTCAGATCGCTGTTGGCATTCGTTTGCGCAACGACCAGTCGTGCATCTTCAAAACGGTCCTGCCGCACAAGCCACCTCGGGGATTCTGGGACCAATGGCAGTATGGCGATGCATATGATGGAAAATAACGCTTGCATGAAGGACGGAGCTCTCCAGGCCCAGGTCGAGTCCCATTTGCCTGTCCCCAACGTCACCCCTGCCGCAATGAGGGCCCCGACGTAGTAAAAGTTATTTACTAACTTTGAAGCCGGTTTGTCAGTCCTTTGTTGAAACATGCCTGGGATCCGTTCGGGTAGAGGGTCTCGCGCTTACCCCAACAGTCCACGCTCGCCATCTGTCTGGGCTTGTCTCGCTCAGGTACACCGGTGCTGCAACGCCGGAAACACCATTTCCGAACCCAAGAATGACTCTCGCCACTACGAACATGGCCACATTCTGGGCCGCGGACTGGAGGATGATGCCAACGAGAATGATGACAGAGCCCCAGAGCAGTGTCGGCCGCCGACCGAGCCTGTCGCACATCAGGCCCGCAATCATTGGGCCAAAGAAGCCCCCGATAAAAACAGACGCAGTGTTGAGGCCTTTCGTAGCTGGCGTAAGGCGGAAGTAGTCGGTATACGACGGCAGGATGTTGAGTCCATTGAGCAAACTGCCATCAAAGCCGCCCGTGGCCGATTGAATTACGGAACAGCACATCAGGAGGACGGATATCGTAGCCGTGGACTCTGGAACCCAAGCGGGTAACCAGGTCCCTGTGGGCGTTTTGCGGAGCATGGCAGGGAAGTATGGCGAACGCAGAATCTGACCACTGTTGAGCCACAAATATGCGTGCTCGTTTGCAAGTTGGGAGAGAAGCCTTATAACATTGACCGTAGCCGGGAAATATTCCTTCTGCTGCGATTTACATCAACATCATCCCTTGCTGTGTCCGGTGACATCTGATGCCCCCCAATCTCACGATAGGAGTGGCGCGCGGCGACGGTGTAAGACTGAGCGGCGAGAATACATCTCCTTTAGGCAAGTCGGATGATCGGCAACGAGGGGCTCCGCCAGTAGCCAAGCAACGTCCGTGAGCACTTGCAACCCTCAACGGAAACCGCAGCCGGGGCGGGGAACATGCGCGGGCAAGGAGCGGGGAGGTCCACCGCTGCATGGTATCACGGCAGCTCGATTCGCTGGCGTTAAGACCCGCGTCTCCGAACTACTTCCCATCCCGTCGAACCCGTATTGATGGAGATTGTCGCATGATTGCACTTGTCATCTCTTAACCTCCATTGTGGATTCCAACGGCCACGACGAGCTGTCAGAAGGTCCGATGTTACATCAATCCCCGCAGTTGGTTGCCCCACGATTATCGGTTTTCCCTACTGCCCCCGACGTAACATCCGACGGCAATTTAGGACGACGCGAAGCGCCGGCGATATAACACTGCCCACTGCCTTGGGAGAAGATTGCCTAAATCTCGGACTATTCTCTGAGAAAAGAGCCAGGGGGCCGTCTTCATCAGCATGTCTCACCGCCCGGTCATCGCAGTTGCTGGGCTTGCGTGCGAGACCTCGACCTTCACCCCTTCTCGAACCCTAGCCCCGGCTTTCCATCCCAAACGAGGTGGTGAGATAAACAAACGGTATGAATTTCTTCACGACGACAAACCGCTCGCGAAGCAAGCCGAGTGGAAAGGCGCCTTAATTGGCCATGCCCTCCCGGGCGGTCAAGTGACGCGAGACGCGTTCGAGACACTGGCGGCAGAGATCATCACCCGCCTTCGCGATATCGTGTCCGATGGAAATGTTGATGGTCTGTGGTTCGATATACACGGCGCCATGGTAGTCGAAGGCGTGGAAGATGTGGAGGCGGAGCTGTTGAAACGGATTCGGGAAGTCATCGGCCCAGATGTCATTGTGTCGGCTTCAATGGACTTGCATGGCAACGTATCTCGAGAGCTCGCGCACATGTGCGACCTGATCACCTGCTATCGCATGGCACCACATGAGGATGCTATGGATACGAAGGAGAGAGCTTGCCGGAATCTCGTTCGGCTCCTAGCCAACGCCCCTGCTCGTCGACCGCTGAAGGCCTGGATACCGGTTCCGATACTGTTGCCAGGCGAACAGACTTCTACCCGCATAGAGCCGGCGAAGCATATTTACGCCGCGGTGCCGGAAGTGGAAGCGATGGAGGGCGTTATTGACGCGGCAATCTGGGTCGGCTACGCCTGGGCAGATGAGCGCCGGAATAGGGCCGCCATTGTCGTTACCGGCTGGGACGAGTCGGCGGTATCTCAAGGTGCAGAGAGGTTAGCAAACCTATTTTGGGACGCTCGTGCAGACTTTGAGTTTGTTGCGCCCACGGGTTCCTTTACCGAGTGCCTCGACGCGGCCATCAAGTCGCCCTCGGCGAGAAGGCCGTTCTTCATCTCTGACTCAGGCGACAACCCTACCGCTGGAGGATCCGGCGATGTCACCTGGGGACTGACGAGGCTACTTGAGCGTTCCGAGTTCAAGTCTGCCGACGGGGGATACACGGTCATTTATGCAAGCGTCCCAGGACCTGAGGCCATCGAAACAGCCGTGGCGGCCGGTGCTGGGGCCACCGTCACCGTCACCGCGGGGGCGGAGGTCGACAATCTCCACGCCCCGCCGGTGACCTTGACAGGCAGGGTCCACTCGATCAAGCACGGGGATCGCGATGCCGTGACGGAAGTCGTGGTGCAGGTCGGATGCGTCTACGCGATACTGACCAAGCTGCGCAAGCCGTACCACAAGGAGAAGGATTTCACGGACCTGGAACTGAAGCCGCGGGATGCGGACATCGTTATCGTCAAAATCGGATACCTGGAGCCTGAGCTGTACGATATGCAGAAAGATTGGATGCTGGGTTTGACCCCAGGCGGTGTCAACCAGGACCTCGAGAGCCTTGGTCATCAAAAGATCCGACGCCCCATGTGGCCTTTTGACAAGAAGTTCGAAGCGCCCCCGAACTTGAAAGCCCGATGGATAGCGATGTCCAACGATGTTCTCACTGGGCCGGACGAGTAGAAGAAGGGGCTCAAGTTGAGACGAGGATGCTGCATGAACACCGCAAGGTGATGAACGTCAATATGGTGCAGCTTGTGCCTTGTTTCCAGCTTCACATCATACACAAATATCACCGTCGAAATGGCTTCGACTTTTCAGAAGCGATGCCTCATGCGAAGGTGTAACTTGATCATTCCATGTCATTTTCTCATGTACGTGTCCAGAACACCAGCCGGAAAAGCGCTGTGAATATCGTATTGCGGCACATTCGTACTCTAGGGTACCGGAGCTCACTTGGGCTGTGGCCAGCTGTCCTGGTTGGTGTCAGCGGGGGACAATCGTGATGCGTTGATGACGCCTCCAGTGGCATGGAAGCGGGAGGTCATCACCCATCGACAGTGCTACTACCCAATCCGGTTCCTCACGAAGCCCGTACGTCACCGGCGCGACAGTCCAACCTCGAGACCAAGCGGCTTCCTCAGGAAGCCTTCCCTCGTCTGCATCTCCCCCTGCCTCAGTGATATGGAGTACCTTCGAGCCCATGTGGCCGCAATCAGCTTCATTTCCATCTCGGCGACGTTTCTCCCGACGCACGCCCGCGGCCCGTGGCTGAAGGGGATGAAGGCGTTCTTTTGACGCGGCGTCGGAGCCTCCCACCGCTCCGGCCGGAATTCTTCTGCGTCGGGTCCCCATATCTCGGTGGAGTGGTGGATCGTGTAGGTAGGCACACTTAGGACCGTGCCAGGAGGAAAGTAGTGGCCCAGTATGGTCACGCCCGGTGAGTCGGCTGGGACCTGCCGCGGCAGTCCGATACCAGAGGTTGAGTGGTGGCGGAGCGTCTCCTGGATGACGAAGCCGAGGTACTTGAGGTCCCGGACCATGTCGTAGGTGGGCACATCAACGCCTTCCGGGATTGCGGCATCCAGTTCCTCCTGCAGCTTCTTCATCACGCGTGGGTTTCTGCCGAGATAGTTCATGAGCGCGCACGACGAGTTGGAAGTCGTGTCGCTGCCCGCGATGAGCTGCGTAAGTGCCTCGGCGGTGAGCTCCTCTCTGCCCAGCGGCTCGCCTTTGTCGTCTCGCCCCTGCATCAATCGCGCGAGCAAATCAGTGCGTTCCTCGCACGGCGGGTTGTCCACCCTGTCCTTGACTCTCGCGATCGCGATACCGGCGAGGTTCTGGACTGCGTTGACGCCCTTGCTGAAGAAGGGATCCGGGAGATACTTGGCGTATGGCTTCAGCTGCGGCAAGCATCCCAATGTGGCATTGACTTCCCCGCGTCGGTTGAGGATGTCCACGGCGGGCAGGTACACGGATGGTGCGTCCGGAGACAGCTTGACTTCGGTCAGGTCAACACCTGTCCGCAGCATGCCTAGCGGCTTGCCAAAGGCCAAATCTCCGATGATGTCGAAAGCGAGGAAGTTGAACCATGGGAGGCTGTCGATGTGCGCCTCGTTTGTGCCGACAGCGTTCCGTGATGCGCTCTCTTCGATAAGCCGGTCGAGCTGCCTGACAAAGAGCCGCAGGCTCTCCTGCACATAGGGTTCAAACTGGAGGACGGACTTGGCAGAGAAGGTGTGCGAGACTAGCTTGCGCTTGCGTGCGTGTTCGACGCGCGACCTCGTCGTGAACAGGCCGGGGCGAATTGACAGGAACGGCGCGTAGAAGTCACTGTAACAGGTGAGCCTGGCGTTCTTAGCGAAACAAGTAGTCGTGGCCTACGATTTCAGGAAGCCATTCCCGTGGCCGTAGATGGCGGTAATGGCCGTCTCATCGTCCTGGATGCTGACATGATTGGGCTGGATCCGAATGACCTTGCCGTACTTTCGATGAGCGTCGTCAACGGTTCTGTACCGCACGCCCCTGCGCGCCGCGGCAAGCAGCCAAAGGTTCGAGAACTGTGCTCCGAAAGGAGCCGGAATGTCTCGGAGGTGGCCGTACGTGACAAAATATGAGAATAAGTAGGAAGCGACGACGAGAGACAATGCCGCTGGGATGGCCCAGACGGACAATAGGTGCTCAAACAAAGCCATGCTGCGCACAGACTGCGACGGATTCGGATTGAAGATTTCTTCGACGACCAACAAAGTTCAAAAAGGCCCGTGCCGTTTTCCAGTGACGCCCCAGAAAAAGCTGCGGAAGTCGCGGGCTAAAAATACTGACTCAAGTCCGTCAACATCTTAGCAGACATTCCCCCTCATACCCACATTCGACCGCCTCATCTTCGATTACCCGTCAACGGCTCGTACCCCGCAAATGGCCTTGCCCCGTTGACCTTAGCCGCTCGGCCAGGACGTCGGCTCTTGGAGGATGACACCTCGCTTGCCAATGACGATACAGGTGATTCGCGCCCGTCATCATCTGCTGCGGCTGTGGATGGCACGGGGACAAGGGGTCCACGGCGGGACGCCACGGGGAAATGGGGGCGGGTCGAGGCCAGGATCAGAAGATTCTCGATTGTCATGAGTTCGGGATCCATACTCGGCAGCCATATCGACGGCCATCACATTCGAGAAACCCCACGCCCAGTCACGGCATTCCACGGGTCCTCCATGGACGCCGTGCGACGAGACGCCTCATTTACGGCACAAGCCCGGGAATAAGTACCACTGGAGGCTTCCCGGTCGTGATGGGCACATGCGGTGCAACCAAGGGTAGGCTTGATGTGACGTCTTTTTGCGTCGACTTCCGTGGCGAGCGTGCTGCATGCGAACAGACCGCTTCTCGAGAATCATGGGCACATGCATCGCACGGTATTGGAACCAGACTCGAGTATATCGCATCAAGGACGCGGCAACGAGCGAGCTGGATACAGAGGCCTCGTCACCTCGATGCCCCTAAGCCCCCGAGCCCCCGACACACCTCTCGGGTAAAGTCCACATCCCGGCGCAGTTGCCGACCAAGATGCGGGACAACTTCTTCGAGTCTGGGCCGCTAATGCAGCTCATGGCGGCTCCGGCGAAGCTAGTACCTCGGCGATGGAGACGGTATGGGCGTCGGCACTTCACCATGGCAAGAGCTGGAAATTCCTTGTGTGTAGAGAAATTGGTGTAGTCTGGCGCCTGCTGCATCCGCTCCGGGGACACGGCGTCTGCGCAATTTCGCTACTGATCTCGCTGTGCCTCCAAGCGAATCGGCCATGGGTGAAATCCTTGCCCTCCGCAATACAGATGCCGAACTTCTCGATCTGACAGAACCCTTTGTTCTTGCCGCCCAAGCCCCAGTCCTGTGCCAACAAGTACATGTGCCCCAAATCGGCCGCAGCTTCATGCTCAACCTCGTGTCAGTCGCAATCCTCTCCCCCATCATCCTGCGGCCAGTGTGCCGTTTCAATCTGTACAGGTAAAAACCTCCAGCTTCCAGGACAGACGTCCGTCGGCCTAATGCAGCCATCCATCACTCTTCTTCAATGATGGACAGTCCATAGTCAGAGGACTCGTTCCAAAGGTGATCGTCCTCGTGACTGTCCAAGGATGCTTCGTCATCGGCATCGGCATCGGCGACGTCTCGGTCACTCGCCAGCTCCTTTTGAAGTATTTGGAAGTAATCGGTAGTCGGCGTGAACAGTTCCTGCGCCTTGTTCATCTGTTCCATGTCGGGATCGGCAACAACCTCGAAGCTCTCGTCCAGACTGCTGTCGACGGCCAAGCAGCGGTCGTCGTCTGCCTCGTATCCATCCATGGTGGATGTCGTCGCCCCGTCCACGGCAAAGACGGAAGAAGACGCCGACTCGACCCATTCGTCCACAGAGCAGCAAATCTGGGCTTCTATGCCGTCCATGACTTTCTCTCGAAGGGATGGGAGGATGGGTGCATGGTTGGTCGCGCTTGGGGTAGTCCGGCCCGGGCGACCGCCGCTGAGGAGTCGAGTGACTGCCTTGACACGCTTCCACGCGGAGGATATGGTTCGTTTGGCCTTTGTAGCCGGGGACGCCTTCTTCTCAGTCAGGCGGAACGCCTCGTCGCTGGTGATGCCCGTCGCGACGGCCCGAGTCTGTGTCCTGCTCTTGCATTTACTGCGCGAGAAGCCTTGGTTCATAAGCATCGTGCTCTGTTCCATATGTGCGTGAACGAGCGTACCGCGGGACATCATGCTCGCAAAGCCCATTGTAGGATTCAACAGCACGTTGATTGAGCTCGGGTGGGTTGTTTGATGGATTCAGTTCAATGTTGAGCTTCGTGCCGCGCTCACGGCCAGCCCGCCGACGCAGGGCAGCAATCGGCCACAGAGTCAAGCTCGAGAGCGGAATGCAGGGGCAGCGTCAAAGGTCACAACTTGGCGCGGGGATTGAGTGCTGGGACGTAGGAAGAGTATGGTCTGGTCTGCAAGGAGGTTGCGAGGAGAATACGTCTGTCATGTTTGCATAGGATCACGAGTATATTAGGGGGGTAGTCGGGGAGAGAATATGGAAGATTCGAGCAGCTCGAGTTTTGCTGGGCGGCTAGTTGCCGCACGTCGGGCAGTGAATATCTCGTCCAAAGAAATGGCCGGAAAGGGGCCGCTCGACGGTTCAAGTGACTGGACGGGATGGCGCTGAACAGAACCTGGGGAAATGAACAACAAAGGCAACCACCCGTGGCAGAATATAGACCCAGGTGACTACAATGACCCGCATCACTACAATTGTACGAAATGCCAGTGAGTCACGATCTCGAGAGGCTCTTGTTTGCTCATGCTGGACCATTCGGCGCCAGGTGTGGTCGTCTGGTGCGACAAGATGAAGGTGCCCTATATACACACTTGCTAGCCCCCCGTGTACACACTGTGGCGGCTCTAGGCTAGGCTCTGCTTCAGCAGGTCCGCAATCTGGCGCACACTCGTTTCGGATGTCGTTTGGCTCGTCATCACATACAAGACGTTGCCGAGGACTCTCGAGTGCACGTTCCATGGCCCACCCTCGCTCGAGTCCTTGCCCTTGGCGAGGACTTCACGCAAGCCTTGCGCCGCATTGCTGCTGTACCCTGTGCCGGCGGCGTCGCGAAGGTGTATCGCCAACACGCTGCCCAACGCCCAAACGCCCGACACTCGCTCCGTATTGCGCGAAAGCTCTTCGATAAAGTGGCGCGGCCACGAAGACCATACTCGATCACCGGGACTGCTCTCTGAGTGGGAGTCGCTAGAACTCGTCCATCCCTGGTTCTTGGCCCAAGCCCAGTCCCCACGCTGCTCCATCGCCTGCATCTCCTTTACGGACTCCAGGGCAACCTGGCAGCCTATGGGGTGGGCGGTGTAGCTGTGCCCATGAAGCAGCGCGTCGGTCTTGTCGGTGCTGCTAAACACGTCAAAGATGTGCTCCGATGCTAACGTCGTGCAGAGCGGCACGAGGCCACCAGTCAGCAGCTTCGCATGAACCGAAATATCAGGATGGACTCCGAGGAATGACGATGGTGTGAAGCGACCGAGTCGATACAACCCGGTGAAGACCTCGTCAAATATGATGGGCAGTCCACTCCAGTCCTTGCCGTCCTTTGGCGCGGCATCGTTCGATGTGCGGAAGAGGTGCGAAGAGCGGCGGACGACGTTGACGAGGGTACGTTGGAAGAGTGGATCACTGCGATTGTCAGTAAATGCTCGACAAGCCAAACCAGGGAACTTACACAAGCTCCATGCCGCCCGCACCGAGGACGATGGGCTCGATGATGAGGGATCCAAACTTCTGTCCCCGTTCTTGTAGAGCTGCCAACGTTTTGGTGATGTATTCTTCATATTGGTGATGCTCGCCACGCTTCTCCCTGCCCTCCACGTCGAAGATGTCGCTCAGGGAGGCGTACGATTGGCCCTGCCCAATGTCTCTGGACAGCGCGTCGTTGACCGTGACAGACCATTTGCCGTCGGCGCAGAGGACCGTCGGGTAGTCGAACCAGAAGCCCTTGCCCTCGTACCACTCGACCTTTTCGTTGAACGCGCAAGGTTCGGCCATGTCCATGGCGCCGATCGTGTCACCGTGGTATCCGCCCTTGAGCCCAAGCACACCGAGCTTCTGGTCGGTTCCCCAGCCATAGCGGACACGCGCGGCACGCAGGCCCATCTTGACAGCGACCTCGGTGCCCGTGCTGCCGTTGTCGGAGAAGAAGACGCGGTTCAGGCGTGGGTTGCGCATGCCTTCCAGGAGCGACTCTGCGAGGGCCATGGCCGGCTGGTGCACGGCGCTGGCGAACATGACGTGCCCGTAACGACCGGCGGCGTAGGCCGCAGCGAGAGTAAGCTGCGGGTTCGAGTGGCCGAGGCCTTGCGTCCACCAAGAGGCAGACCCGTCGAAGGAGGAACGAAGAACGGGCTTGTTTGCGGCGCCTTCTCCGGGCACCAGCGTCTGGAAGTAGTCACCATGCGCAGAGTCGATGGTCATAATGTCCTTGGTGCCAACCAGGCTCTGCTGCGTGAACGGGTACCAAATATGCTGATGCGCCTTCGTGGCTAGTGACTCGATGGAGGCGATTCGCTGGGTATGGCGGCGGTCGAGGTGCTGGAGAACGTCGGCGGTGATGGCTTCGCAGTCTTTGCGGGCATAGTACTCCGACATGGCTTCTGCATCCTCCTTAGCATCCTCAACCCGCTTGGGCGGCTCGAGCATGCTCGTCACGGGGACGCCATGGTGCTTGGTGAAGTATTCTGACAGGTACTGATAGTTTTCATACTTGGCGTCCTGGAAAAGCATGATTGACTCGACGTCATAGCCACGCAGACGGAGTGATTCGAACGCTGAAATGGTTTGCGAGATGCCGCCGAGACGAGAGTCTCCGATCAGGACAGTCGGGGCGCGAAGAGGGATGTAGATGTCGGCTTGCGTGTTTCCAGAGGGCCCGGGTGAGTGGACGCCGCCGGCGGTCTCGACAAAGAGCCAGCCTTTGCCCTGGGCTGCGCACCCGGCGGCGAAATCGCGACATTTTGCGAGCAGCGCATCATCAGATGGAATAGACTACACTGTCAGCAGGCCGCATTGACTCGGCAATGACAGAACCTACTTGTCCCGATGCGAGAGCCGCCGTGTGAGGGCTCACGGGAATGTCATATTGGAAGAGTGTCTTGTGCGCGACGCCGTCTGCGAAACGCCGAATGTGGCTGGAGATAACAAGGACACGATGTGTCAGTCATTTGTGCTTCTCTTCGTCGCCCAGGAAGGAACATCTGATATCGTCAGTCATCTGCTCTTGCGCGCCTGGCCGGGAGTGGAGGCTCACACTTGTCATCGGCTTCATCCGCCGACCCCGTCGACACGGGCTTGAGAAAGGTCACGCGCTCATCGTTCCACCGGCGCCGGGCCGTCCTGCCGAGCAGCGTCGTGAAGACGGTCTTGCCCACATCAGTATTGGCCCCAAAGACCTGGTACACCCGAAGCGAGCGCCAGAGCAGCGAGGCAAGAGGCGCCTTCATCGTGCTTCCATCCGCCGAGTATGTTATCAATCAGCGTCAGGGACCTCACAACCAACACAGCTCTCCGATCGGGGCATGGGTGAGTGGTCGTTGACGTTATAGCAGCGACAGCCCGTCCGCCCAGTGCCGCGCGGGACGGCTCCAATTGAGCAATGAGCGGTTTTGTTGGGACCCACGCATCCATCCCCGACGCGGATCCAGCCAGGCCAGGCCCAGCCGGGAAAGTGATGGCTGGATGGCTCATGGCGAAGTCGGGGGGCGGCTGGGACACCGACGAGCTTGTCCCAACCGAGGCCCAGTGGCTCAACAGCGTTTAAGCCGGGCGCCATGCCTTGAGCCGACGAGACCCAAAGTGTTTTGCGGCCGTCCGGCACGGGACGGAACTCGCTGGGTGCTGACGCTGGAGAGGCATTTACCGCTGCGCCTGTCAAGGAGCCAGGGGGCGATAGCGTCCCTGCAGGAACGGGCGGCCCTGACACTGATTGTCGAGAATGCCGGGCTGGCTGGCCCACCCCATCGTTTGACCCGTCCTCCGTAGCCAGGGCTGTTCCGAGCTACGGCGCGGCCGCTAGCCCAAGTCACGATGCTCGCAGTCTGTACTGGCGAGGCATCGTAGACTCAGTTGTGGTTGAGAGGCTCTCGTCAATTGACGCCTGCCTCAATCGACTCCAACCATGGGGCAGCATCTCGACGACGTCTTCGCCTCCCTGCTCGCCCGGCGCGGTACGCAGGGCCGTCTGCGCCGCCTGACCCTCCCATCACCAGGCTCAGTCGATTTCTCCTCCAACAGTTACCTTTCTCTATCCTCCAACGCGGCCGTCCAAGCCGCGTACCTCGAGCGTCTTAGGCACGCATGCAAGCAAGGAGAATTCTCCCTCGGCTCGGGGGGCTCACGACTGCTCGACGGCAACACGCCCGCGGCTGAGGCCCTTGAGCGAGAGATTGCTGCTTTCCATGGCGCCCCGGCCGCCTTGCTCTTCAACTCGGGCTTTGAGGCCAACACTGGCCTGTTCAGCTGCGCGCCACAGAAAGGGGATGTGATATTGTACGATGAGCTCATCCATGCAAGTGTCCACGATGGGATGAAACTCAGCCGCGCACGGAGAATGCCCTTCAAGCACAACTCCGTGCGTGGTGATACCCGCGACATTCGGCTCAGGAGCCTGGACGACGCTTTGGCGGAGCTCACAAGCGGTCAGCAAGCTGAAGAATTCAAGGCCGGAAGGTCCAATGTGTTCATTGCAGTGGAGAGCGTCTACAGCATGGATGGGGACTTGGCGCCTCTCAAGGACATCGTCGAGTGTGTGGAGGAGAGGCTCCCCAACGGCAACGGATACGTCATTGTCGATGAGGCGCACTCAACGGGATGGATTGGTGAGAGGGGCCAGGGCTTGGTCTCCTATTTGGGGCTCGAGTCCCGTGTCTGGGCGCGAGTGCATACCTTTGGCAAGGCCATGGGCTGCGCTGGTGGTGAGTGTCACGTACCTTCCGCAGCTTGAGCTGGGCCACCATACTGACATTGCCAGCTGCTGTTCTCTGCTCGCCGACAACCCGGAGCTATCTCATCAACTATGCCCGTAGCCTCATCTACACGACTGCAATGGCATACCCCATGCTTGCGGGGATCCAGACCGCCTACGAGTACCTCCAGGGCGGGCAAGTCGAGCAGCACCTCAGCCACCTAGGACGGCTCATGAAGCACACTCATCGTGTCCTCACGTCTCTCATTTCCCGCCAACGGCCGACAAGAGAAGTCTTCCACATCAATGAAGGGCTGCCGCAGTCGCCCATAATACCACTGTTCACTTCGAAAGCCCGAAGCCTGGCCCAATACTGTCAGGAGAGAGGGTTCATGGTGCGCCCAATCGTCGCGCCGACCGTGCCAGCCGGGACAGACCGTGTTCGGATGTGCCTACATGCTGGAAACACAATAGAAGAGGTAGAGCTGTTTTGCAAGGCCGTCGAGGCGTGGGTGCAGCAGCAACAGGACACAGGGACGCATTCGGAGGTCGCAGCCAAACCGTCACGGCAGTCAAGTAAACTGTGATAGAAATCAAGCGAGCTATTTTATTTTCCTTCTACATTCCCTCATGTTCATTGCCTCGCATCCACGTCACCAGCCTTGGCGGGCGTCTTGTCGAAGCTCTTCATGGGTGACAGTCCCCAGCGTCCAAACATTGCGCTATCCTCGTCCCACCCGTTGCAGTCCGTCGTCAGCATCTTTTCGCCAGTGAAGATGGCGTTTGCACCAGCCATGAAGCACATGGCCTGCTTCTCCTCAGACATGGTCTTGCGACCGGCGGCAATGCGAATGATGGTTGCTGGCATCAGGATACGGGCGGTGGCAATGGTGCGCAGCATGCTCGTAAACGCAATAGGCGTCGTGTCGCCCAGTGGCGTGCCCTTGATAGGCACGAGCGCGTTCACCGGAAAGCTCTCGGGGTGCGACGGCAGCGTCGACACCGTGTGCAGCAGGCCGACGCGGTCCTCCGACGACTCGCCCAGGCCGAGGATACCCCCCGAGCAGACATTGATGCCCGCGTCGCGAACGTGGCCTAGGGTCTGCAGGCGCTCGTCGTAGGTCCTTGTGGTGATGACGGACGGGTAGAACTCGCGGCTGGTATCAACGTTGTGATTGTAGGCCGTCAGTCCGGCCTCCTTGAGCTCCTTGGCCTGCTTGTCGTCGATCATGCCGAGCGTGACGCACACCTCCATGCCCATGGCGCGCACGCCCTTGACCATCTCCGTGATGTTCTTAAGGCTCGTCTTGCGGCCGCGCATATCGCGCCACGCGGCGCCCATGCAAAAGCGGGTGCTGCCGTTGTCGCGGGCCTGGCGCGCGGCGGCGAGTACCGACTCGACGCTCTCGACACGCTTCGCCTCGAGGCCGGTGCCTTTTTGGTAGCGCGTGGCCTGGGCGCAGTAGGAGCAGTCTTCGGTGCAGCCGCCAGTCTTGATGTTCATGAGGGTGCACAGCTGGACCTCACCAGGGCTGTGGAAGCGCCGATGCACGGTGCTCTGAGATTAGGTCAATCAGAACGAACCGTTCATTAAAATGTGTGTTCAGTGGATGCGACTCACAGCCTGATGGGCCAGCTCAAGCAGAGGCTGGTAGTAAATGGCGGAAATCTCCTGGCGCGTCCATGTGTTTCGCGGCGCAGTCGCGGCGACGGCATCGCGAAAGATCTTGTTGGCGTCGGCTTTTCGCGACGGCTCAATGGCCTCGGGAGGCGCGGCGAGGTCGTGTGCCGCCGTCGGGGTGTCGACGAGCGTCGCACCGCCGCGGCTCTGGAGTTGAGCTGCTGATGTTGTCCAGGGCGCTTGGATCGAAGGCGTGACCCGACGTCCCGCGCCGCGGAGGGGCGCCAGGGCGGCGACTGTGCGAGTCCTCATCGTCTTGACGTATCCTGCTATGAGAGCGACGACTTGTGTAACCAATTCGCCGCGCGCAGCCAAAGCTCAAGAAGCAGAGTCACGAGTTCGAGTCGGTCAATGGATGCGATAGCCCGTTGCCGAGGACAGGATACACCCGCTCAACGTCGGCTTTCCTGAAGCGGCGGCACGGCTTCTGGCGAAGAATGAGGGGTCGGCTCAGCGACCGACTGTGAATGACAATGATGTGCATGTGTATGGACGGATAAAGATCCACTTGGCGGTGCCACTCAGAGCAACGATGTGCCTGAGACGGCCACCGTGTGTCACGGTATTTGGTGCCGTTTTGGCTGCGTGGTTTACGACTCAACAAACAATTGGCTCGACAGGGAGCAGCTGGGTGGTTCCAGACCAGCCAAGCTCTCGTTGAGCGCAGGGGACGGCAGAGCGGCGCCGCGTCGGGACGGGGGATGGGGGGTGATTTGGGGCTTGGGCGGCTGGAGGGGCTTGAGGGGCCATGATGCCATCCTGGGCAGTCGTCCGTGTCTCCGCCCCTTCGTACTTGGTGCGATGCCGCTGTGGGTAAGAGCAGCCCTGGATCGATCACTGAAGATTTCCAAACGCCCGTGTGTGCCGAAATCGGTCCACAGGAGTCATCGTGCTGGACGGAGAGCCAGGGGATGCTGCTGCCCCTGATCAATCGAGGCCCGCCGTGGACTGGCCAGCGTTGGAACTGTTGACCATGTGCGCATTGCCGAGACCTGACTCAGCCTTACGCGCCCCAACAAGGCACCGCGCGGCATTTGGCGGACTCGGTTCGGAGCTACTGTAACGTGCCGTGCCACGGGATCTCCCTCCCCTATTTTGGCGTTCCTGCGACAGGACAGGGCCGAGCAAACGCGAACCCCTGATGCCCATCGCAGCACCTTTGGAGCATGGCAAGGTCTTCAATCCCGAGACAGACGGCGGATGCCGTTGTCGTCGGTGCGGGAGATTAGGGGCGCAGGCGCATGCGTAGGATGTTGCCGCCGTGCTGACTGTGAGTTTGTCGCTTCATCCCGACTCAGGAGCCTCAAGCCTTGCTGTACCCGACCGGACAAGCGTCGCGTACAATGATCGACTTGTGACCGCTTTTGGTACCCTCTTCGCAATTTCCCGGATTTTCAGGGTTATAACATTAGAGATTTGCTCGCGGTAATGGCATACTTCGCAGCTTGCCCCCAATGTTCACAGAAACGGCCACCATGACGGTCCAGCACTCCCGAAGCCGTACGATGTCCTGATTCACATCCTTGTCCCGCGAGCGAATGCTTGTCACATGCTTCCACGACTCTGGTTGCAGATACCGGTTCAGCTCCAGCGGCCGACAGTCCCGGTAGACAAGCCTCTGATTGTCCGGAGGCTTCCTGGAAGCGATACTCGGTCGACAAATACACGCCAAAAAAGACAGCCGACCACGTCCGACAATCTCGGCAGAGTCCGCGGGCCACAGCCCAGCGATGGGACCGACAAGCCACCGGGACCGGCCGTTGCCTGATGCCCGCGACTCTTCCCGACGAGAATTCGGATGCGCTGCTCGCTCGATTAAATCGTCGCCCCGGGCTCACCCATGAAACAAAATGAAGTGCACTTGGGCTACATCCTACCCAGCTATCTGACATGCTCGGATGGCGTCCCGGTCGCAGCTGTCGCCAGGCCCATTGACAACGTTCTGTATATTTCCTATGGCAGCAGACGAACGATTGTTTGTACCTGGTAGCTCTCGGCCGTTCAGATAGCGGCAGAGTCGAAGTAGGAATGGGTATCCTCCTTTCTGTTTCGCTAGGAGCATTGTCAACTGCATGACGCCTTAGTTCCCATCCGACATCGCGTCCAGCAATTGCTTGAAAATGAACATCGTAATGGTGGTGTCGGGCTTCTGCATCAGTGACCATCGGCTCCATAGTCGGTAAGATCGTCAATTAGGGCCTCCAGAATGAAGCCGAATCGACGCGACAGTTCCCAGTGTCCTTGTCGACGTAAAAGGTCCGCAATCCCATACAGCGAGCTTGAATCGAGCTGATGGACTGCGGCAGCGGGCAAGTCTGTTGTGTACCGCAGCTCGCTCGCTCTCACCTCCGCAATGTCAAAGTCGCCATGAGCTGCTGCATCACCCGAGCGAAGCTTAACGTGGCAGTAGATAACCAGCCCCGCATAGAAGAGTGCTTTGGGGACGTGGATAGCTGGCGTGGCACTGATGGGCAGCCCTTGCAGGCGCTTGAAGACGAGGACTGCGTGCATCAGGCAACGCCTCCCTTCCACCGTGTTCACCCAAGCACGTACTCGGCGTACATCTTCCTCGCTGACTTGCGAACCCTCACGCCCAATCACGCGCTCTAACAGGTCGAAACTTATGTAAAGCGCCATGAATGCCTCGTGCCAAAGAATGGCAAGGCAGAGCGTGTCGCGACTAGATACGCGGATGCTTGGGAAATGCGTCTCGTACCAGGACGTGAGGCGACGTCTGATGTCAGATGCCGTTCTCGAATCATCCAATGTCGCACCTCGCATCTCACATATTGAGGCAATCTGTCCCGCCAGAAGTCCGTAGGCTTGCATGAGCGGCGCTTGACACGGAGGATCGTCCACGCTTTTACCAACAGGGGCTTCCTGAGAGGTCGTCGACACCAGCATCGCGTGCCACTGAGCTGCAGTGGCGGCGGCAAAGAGTGGTTCCGAACAGCAGCGAGGTAGCCTTTCGGGGTCGTGTCGCAGGAGGGGCTCGTGATGAAAGATGACCGCAAATTCCGAGTCGTGAACGTGCAGTGCCAAGACGACCCGAGCCGTTTCTTCGGCTTGCGCCCAAGATCGCCAGGCCGACTCAAGAGTGCCGGGGTCGGTCAAGTTCCGTGCATTCACTACTTGTAGATGGTCGGGACTTCCCTTACGGAACATCCCAGCCTGGCGTGCCCATGCAATGATTGTTCCGTGGAAGCTCTCGGTCATTAGCAGATCATGCGGGTTTCCCGAAAGCATCCCGTACGTTTGGCCCAATGTAGCTGCTTGTGCCACCGCCAATGCCTCACGACCGCCTTGGTATAGATATGCTTCCCACTGGCAGTGTTAGCAGTGAACGCTATGTGTGGATCTGATACTCACAGATGCCAGGATTGCCTTGTTCAGCTTCATGAAGATTGCTCTGCCGCGCGCAAATGCCCCGGCGGACCCTACGAAGAGAGCACCCAAAGAACAAATTGACAATAGCACCAGCGCGCTTTCTGAGGACGGTCGGAATGACGCGGCGTGAACCAGCGGAAAGATCGGCTGGAACTTGGCAAAGTACAACTTGATACACAAGTTCTTCACACTGTCAGCTCACGAGTACATGCGGTGAGGTCAGACGACGCAGAGCCTTCTCCACCAAACATACTCAAGGATACTAACCAGAAAGTCTGCCGATGGTAGTGCGTTGTCATGTGGATGCGCTGCAAGCCGACTTGAAAGGCCGGTCCGGTATGTTTCGTCGACCTGGTCCTGATCCTGCAGTCTCGTCGGCCTGTAGGGGAACCACCCACTCACAGTTGGCCGAGTGTGCCACCGTTCTTGAACAGTTCCCTGAACACTAGAAGTGGATGAACACATGTCCCCAGCACTGAGGATAGGGTGGACAGAATCGGAGGCCCGCTGTTGCGAAAAGCCTGCGGTTGCACTCCCATAGAGCCGGGGGGAGCCCGGGGCCGAAATTGATGAGTTTAGGGCATTGATGTCAAAGGCCTCCCCCAGAAGCCAGAAGGGCTCGTGAGTGTTTCCTTCGAAGCTTAGCAGATCTAAATCCGCCGGCAGTTCCCAAGTGTTGCATGTTGTCTGTATGCTGGTGCTTAGCGAATCGGGCTGTGCGTATCCCGAGGAGAGCGTTGAAGGTGAGACATGAGAAGGGTCAGATTCGACCCCGGAACGGCGATTCAACGAGATGTTCTCTCCCATGCATACGTCGGCCGAGTCGACGAGACATACAGCTTCGGTCCCATGGTGAGGAGGCACGATGCCCTTGTCCATGTCTGGCCGTCGAGAGGTAGGCGGCACATCCTCCAAGTCAGCTACTTGACAAGGATCAGTATACGGTAGCGATACAGAGTAACGTCGTAAGACCCAACTACCTACCTGTACCCGGACTGGAGGCGCGTGCCTGTTCTAGCTCTATGATGTGCCCCCCTCGTAGCCTTGCATGAGATCGTGCATGACGAATGAGAGAATCGCTGCAGCAGCAACGGTATCAGCGTTTGTGACGAAGTTAAGCCCCGATACGGGAGAGGCGACAGAGTCTTACCGCCTCCCAAAGGCCTTTGGGCAATGATCACAAGCAAACGGCTTTTCCCTTGTGTGTGAGCGGACATGGCGGATCAGATGCTCCTTCTTCTTGAAAGCGTGGGCGCAGTGGTGGCATTGCCAATCCCGCTGCTCAAGCTGTTGCTGTTGCTGCTGCTGTTGTCTATGTGATCTCCGCTGCGGTATACCATCAGAAACACCTGTATTGTCGTTGCCATCTCGGCCTCTGCGGGCGGGTCCTGGTGCTGTCACCATCGTTGCCAGATTCTGGGGTAGAGGGATGGGGGCCCGATCGAGAATGCGGGGTGTGCAGGTGGTCGGGCATCCCCACACATTGAACTGACACCGTGCCACTTAAGAGTTGAACCAACGACTGGAAATGAGAGCCCAGTCACGCCAAGGGGCCTGGGGTCTCGTTGCGTGGCGGATCAGAAGTGGTAGGGCATTCCGTACGGAGTATTTACTGTACCGCGGGGTTCTTGTTCGCGCTCGTTACCCGGCCCGGGAATTCTACAATCCTCAAATAAGAAGCCAGCTCAATGAATGGCGTTAGTGAACAATCATCCGGGGACCGTCGTCACAGAACAGCACGTGCTGGGGGCTAAGGCGCAACATGAACATTGAAGTCACGCGTATTGACTTCAACGTCTCAATACCGATAAAGCCACCTCTGTTCAGTGGCAAAGGGCAATCTCCACTGTTCCGGATCAAGCCCCGGCGTCTAGAAGTCAACTTGAAATTTGGTCCGTCTGGTGCGACCGAACCGCCCTGCGCCCGAGTGACCATCGAACAAGTGAGAAGCCGCAGCAACCAACCAGCTCAGCACCCTGGCGTATCTCACATGCCCCGCAAGACATACTGGAAGGCCACACCGGACAATGATAGCGGGGACTGATCCCCGCAGGATGGCCACCAGTGACCTGCGGGGCGTTGGGGAGCCGACAGCACCAGATTGAATGAACTTCCCCACAACTTCCACATCATCAACCGATGTCGAATGAGCCGAGACTGGGGATTTGGCAGAAGACGAACTCCAAACACCAAAGCCTGGCAGACCCATGCTCGTGAATGAGATGTGCGGAGCATGTGTGAATCCCATCTCGTGACTGTTGCAACATTCCCATAAAGGTCCAGCCCTCCATCGTTTGATACTGATTTCACGCTGAATGTGCGATGCGATTGTACATTTGAACCTGTCATCCGTCCATTGATGCTGAGCTCTGTGGTCTCAGCACAATTGCCTCGAACAGTAATCCCCTTTGGCCCGAAACTGACGGCCGTTGAGGCGCGTTTGAACTTCATCGGTTCGCTCTAGCCATGGGCTAAGACAACCCGATGGGAGCCCCGCGTTGCCTAACATGAACCTGGGATGCCTGGGTACACGGGCCCCGTCTGGTTCGCCCCGCGACTCCCTCACCGTCCCGCATTGAGCCCACATGTGCAAACCGTGCAGCCGTGCCGGCATCAATCTTGCCATGGTAAGGTCTATTTGAACAGACGCTCAGCTGTCCGTGGCAAACCTCTACGAAGTACCCAGTTTCACATTGCATTCATCGATCTGGTATGACGCAAGTCGATGGTATGGAGACCACCGACATCATTGTTTGCGGGTGCGGCCCCACTGGCGCCATGGTGTCGACGCTGCTGAGCCAGTACGCCATACCTCATGTCGTCCTCGAGAGGGATGCCGAAGTGACGGCAGACCCTCGCGGGATTGCGCTGGATGAGGACGGCATTCGTTGTCTTCAAGCCTGCGGCATCTACGACAAGGTCTTTACAGAGATAGGCCAAGGTTTGTCACTTGGTACGGTGTAGAGTTCCGGAAGCATTGCTGACACTCGGCCCTTGAATGCTGCAGCTATGGGAACTTTCAGGTTCGTCGGGGGCGTCCATAGCAATCTATCTCGAAAGCCATTCATGGCAATGGACTACAGCACGGTGTGTGTTATGCTCATACCCCCACACCCGCCAAGGTGCCAGACGTCTAACCGGGCATCTTCAAGTAGACTGAGGGTGGCACCGGTCATCCCGGCTTTTTATGCCATCGCCAGCCACTGATTGAGTCAAACCTCAGGTTGCGCATGAAAGAACTTGGTGTGGCAGATATTCGATTGGGTGCCTGCGTTGATGCGATACGTGAGGACAGCGAATGGGTCTACGCTTCTTACACCGTTCCTTCTGGTGACACGCACACCATCCGCAGCAGGTTCCTTGTGGGCGCCGATGGCAAAACTGGCTTCACGCGAAAGAACTACCTGGAGCCGCGAGGCGTAGCCTTGGAAAGAGAAGCGAGTGCGCCCTACGACAAAGTATGGGTTGCACTCAACTGGAGAATCACATTTCCGACTCAAGCGACTCACCCGGAGTTTCCGTTGTGGGAGAAGGGCTACACGCCAGAGCAGGTCTACAATGAGTTCTTCCCTAAGAACTTCCGATTCTTGTGCAACCCTACTCGCGCGGCCGTCTGTGGTCGGTTCGGCCTCGAGAGCGACCGCCTGTGGCGCTTCGAGTTTGTTGTCCTGCCGGGAGAAGACTCGACCGAGATGGCAAGCCCGGCAAATATTGCCAGGATTGTCTACCCGTACATAACCCATCCTGGATCTCAATACGGGCTGCCCCAGAAGGAAATCATGTTCCCTCTGGACTGTATTGACGTACTTCGCTGTCGTCCCTTCCGCTTCGCAGCAAGAAGCTGCAACAAGTGGTCGCTCGGCCGGGTGATACTTTGCGGCGACGCAGCGCATGTCTTTCCGCCATTCGGCGGCCAAGGCATTGCCTCGGCCTTTCGCGATGCTTTGTCGCTGGTTTGGCGGCTCCGAATAGCGGTTAATCGTCCCTCAGGGCCTAATAGAGTAGATCACGAGAAGCTGCTCGAAGGCTGGTACTCAGAGCGAAAACAACAGCTCGAAAAGTCCCTCAGATCAACCGTCGAAAACGGAGATTACGTCACCGAATCGAGCGCCGTCAAGATATTCGTGCGTGACTGGTATCTTTGGACACTTCAGCTTGTTCCCAGCTGGAAACACTGGCTTCACCTTGGCAACCGCAGGGAAGGGATGGTCAAATACAAATGGGTCGACGGGAAGGGCATGGCCTTCGTGCCAACTCTAGGGGGTGGCATCAACTTTCCCCAGGTGTATGCCAAGCGACTCGCTGGCAAGCAGTGTCAAACTGAGCCAGTTCATCTTACAGACGACGTCATATTTGCTTCCAACAAAGTCGGTCTGTTCCAGCTTGTCGTTCTACTGACTCCAGTCAATGGTCACAATCCAGTGTTCGACTTTGGAGAACTGGCGGGCTTAAAAGAGGCGACGGGTGGTCATCTGAGAGAAGGTGAGGCGTCTGTCTTTCTGAACGCCACCGGGCCCGCTCAGTTGGGCAGCGAGTCTGAAACCGCATATCGCCTTGCAACAGCCGACGAGTTCGCAGAGGATGTCCTCTGCGCCAATAGGCCGTACCCGAGAGGCTACGACCCTTTCCGCATGGCCAAGGGGGTTGGATCTCGCAGATTTATTGTCTTGCGGCCAGACCGCTTCGTCTTCGCTGCTGTGAACACCACGGCCGAGCTGGTCGATGTGGCGAGAATGATCCGCAGCCTTGTGGACAACGGGAGGTTGAAATAGAATGTCACTCCTCAATGTAATCACATTTATACCCAGTGTCCTTTTGTGGAACTCGGTGAGCTTGTTCCTTTCCTCGTCTTCTCCTACATGTAGTTGTCATGTTGTCATGAAACAGCACGTCTAGTCATGATCTGGCGGAGTGGTGTTTCTGCTTTCAATGCACGACCACTCCGTGTCTATTTTATTTTATTTTGGTTGCGAAAACTCTCTACTGCTCGGATTCGTTCTGCACTAGCGAGCCCATTCAATGCCCCCATGCACCTGTCTCTTATACACATCTAGATGTGTATAAGAGACAGGTGTTTCTGCTTTCAATGCACGACCACTCCGTGTCTATTTTATTTTATTTTGGTTGCGAAAACTCTCTACTGCTCGGATTCGTTCTGCACTAGCGAGCCCATTCAATGCCCCCATGCACGGACTGGATCATAGCCTGGCTTCTTTTTTGGTCCTGTTTCGACTTCACTCCATATCCTTGTGCATGCAAGCCACAATGGTTGTTTCGACTGCTCAGCGCACCGTGTTCCCGCGTCTCCACCATTCTTGCCCCCCTCATCTGCCGCTACAGACGCCATCGGCCCCTTCCTTTCATGTTACAAACAGTGACGGCTTGTAGATAACACGGATATTGCATTATCTTAGTCAAACACGTGCATGACGTGATATCCATGTCGTGGGCATGAAATCACGACTGTGTGCGAGGCCGAGAAACGGGGCCGGCGCCCCCCCGGGGGGGGGNCAACACCATAGATGCATGTCCAGCATCCAATTTGAGAGTGCGAGAAGGAGAGTGCGAGAAGAGCTTGCGACTCTATCGGGAGCTCTCCCAACCGCCATAACTGAAAATCGACTGTGGTCCGTTGGTTACTTTGGCGCTCGCGCCAAAGGCCCAAAGGCTCGGGCTGATTGACAGCGCTCAGGGCAGGCTACCACCGGGGCTGCGGGGCAAGGCGTGGGATCCCCAGGCTTTGGGTCGTCTTGCGGGGCAGCTCGGTCAGTAGCCCATCCAATCAAACGCCCTAACGTTGCCAAATTGGGCCTGCTGCCCAAGGTTATACTTGGAAGTTGGAACGTTGAGTCGCAAACCTAAAGTTGGAGTCACCCTGAATTGAAGATGGCGATGAACCGACCTGCGTCATTCGGGGCGATGATCCAGAGCAGGTCTAAAGACAGTGATGGCGACTCCCATGACTGTGTCTGTAGATTCGTAAACCTTCCTGCAAATCACTTGACCGTCTCAGGGTTCCGCGTTGAGCCGGCTGATCATCGACCTCGGGGCAACTCAGACCCAACCAGCCGAGAGAGAATACATGCACATAGACGAAGAGCGATTCATATGCTATGTGTTACAGTACAGTACTGGCGGGCGCAGCTGTACAGTATTGAACTTGCACACACATGCCGGTGGGGATTCCCGTCGCGGTCTGGTCCGAAGCTGTGTAACGCCTGGCCAAGGAGTAGGGAGACGCACTATCAAGTCGTTGGGCCATGCATGTTGACATGTCACAACCCTTCCGCCCGCACGCGTCCTGCCTCCAGTCAGTCGTCACAATCTCCCCGCTAAAACGCGAAAGCCGAGCACGTTCACCTTCACCTTCAATGTGCCGATAATCCTTCAAAGCGTTCAATAGGAAGCTTCGAATCAACATGCATGTGAAAAGGCTTCACAATACTCAGTGACTTCAATCTACGTATTCATACAGTACCACGGATTCAATCTGCAGCGCAAGTACTCCGTAGACTGTTGCACACACGTCGCCAGCCACCAACAAAGAATCCATCCAACGCGGAGACTTATGTCTTAGCCGAGGGTCCCGCTGCCCCGCAATTAGTGACACGCGGGAAAGGCACAGTTCGGGATCTATTAAGTTGAGGTCCATAGCCACCCCGAACGTCAGTGCTTCGAGACAATGACGAGTGTATCATCGCCTATCATTCACGGGTTCATCCCAACGCATCTTCGACTGGCACGCAAGACGACCCGGCTAGCTTTGACAATTAGGCACTAAATGCAACCCTATCCAAGGCCATAAAATGTCGTCGGATACGCGACCACCAGCGGATACCCAGGCCAAAGAGCCAACGGTGTCTTCCGCTCCTGACGGCATCAGTCGCGACAATGGGGTCCATCAACCGGCTCAAGGCGAGCCCGAGGCATCATCTGACTCCAACTGGGACTACGAGGAGGACGAAATTGAGCCCGAACTTCACGCCCGAACCTACCTAGCTCTGGCCGCCATGTTCCTTCTGAACCTGGTTCAGCTCATTGCTCTGCAAGGTCCGCCGACAGTTGTGAGTTGCCTTCGTCCGTAACCAGACGCTGTATGAATATTGACCATGTCCCCCGCAGCTGACTTCCATTGGCCGTGACCTACATAACCCGGAGAGGCAGGCGTGGGTGCCCACGTCTCTATCTCTGGTACAAGCTGTCATCGGGCCGGTCATTTCGTTCGCATCAGACACTTTTCAGGCCAGAAAACCCATCCTGGTTTGGACTTCTGTCATATCCTTCGTCGGCTGCGCCATAGCGCCGGGCTCTAAGGACATCTACCGGCTCATTGCCGCCCAAACACTCATCGGCTTCGGGTTTGCCAGCGTCCCCTTGGCGTACTGCGTGCCGAGTGAGATTCTTCCGCGACGATGGCGACCAAGTAAGTGAGCAATGCAAACACCTGGGATGCTCGAACTAAACGTAACAATTTGCAGTGGCTCAGTCTGCGATGAACGTCGCCGCTTCAGTTGGAGCCTGTGGAGGACCCCTTGTCATTGGTGCCTTGACGAAGCGGGACGAACAGAGCGGGTGGAGGATGTTTTATGTAAATCAACGGCCGCCTCTGAATTTTGGGCCTTTGCTGACAGCCTCTTCTCTCAGTGGTTTCAAATGGCAATCTGGGGTCTCACCGCCGCTGGTATCCAGTTTGGCTATCAGCCACCGAAACGTCATACCCACTTGGATCAACTGTCCCTCTGGCAAAAGCTTGCGCGGCTGGACCTCGCCGGTACCGCTCTGTTCACCACAGGGTTGACCTTGTTCCTGGTGGGACTCAACCTGGGAGGCGAGCTGTTTCCGTGGACTGCGGCGCCACCTCTGGCAACTCTGGTCACAGGCATCGCCGTGTTGATCGGGTTTGCTGTTTATGAGTGGAAAGGGATTAGCACCGGCATCCTTCACCACAATCTTTTTGGTCGCGGGAGAGAGCGTGGTCAAACATTCTCCATTTGCGTTGGACTCATCTTCATTGAGGCAGTCCTACTCTTCTCGTATATACTCTTTTACCCCGTCATGTAAGTCTAGTCGCCAGCAATTGCCAGGCCGTGACCACGATGTCTTGCTGACCACATCTCCACAATTAGGACCACGATGCTCTTCGAAACCGATCCGATGCTGATGGTTGTCCGTCTTCTACCCTTTTGGATTGCCAGCGCCGCAAGCACCCTGGTCTTCGGATTTGCAAGCATGCGGATGAGAACAATCCGCTCACCATTGTTTGTCGGCTGGCTGCTCTGGACTGGCGGAACTATTGGTTTCGCCACCATTCAACCAGGTCACTCTACGCGCGCGATCATATTCGCGACCTTGTCCGGCTTTGGATTCGGCGCGCCGCTGATTCTCATCGTCGCTGGAGTCCAACTCTCGACGCCCCATCACCTCATCGCTACGGCTACCGCCGTGACCACGAGCGCCCGTGCGGTAGGCGCGACGGTATTTACGTCCATCTACGCGGCTGCCTTGGCGAAGCGTCTCGGCTCCTACATCCCCGGGTATGTTGCGAAAGCTGTCACTCAAGCTGGGCTTCCTGCGACGTCTATCGGCCCTTTCATTGAGGCGCTCAGCGAGTCGCCCGCCAAACTGCAGGCAGTTCAAGGAGTTACACCGGCCATCATCAGCGCTGGATCTCTAGCCTACAAGCAGGCATACGCAGACGGGCTGCGTGTTGTCTATATAATCGCGGCTCCCTTTGGAGTGTTGGCTTGTGTGGGGTGCTTCTTCTTGGGCGATATGAGAAAGACGATGAACTACCATGTGGACGCTCCGGTAGAGAAGCTCGTGGCGAGGGCGCGCCCGGGAAAGGAGCATGAAAGCGCTTAAACGCTGGCGCTTCTGACATCTGACTGGCGGATGTGGCTTGTATCCTTGGGGTCCATGATATCTCACAACAGCCGGGATGCTTCTCTCTTCCACACCCACAATGTACGAAGCACAGAATATCAGATTACGAGTTTATCTTGGTGATGCGGGGATCTGAGACGCCTACAGGTAGGGAACCGCGACCCTACAACGTGAAGTTGCGGGGCAGTGCGGGGAGCGGGGAACGGAGGAGGAATCGAGGCACTGCTCGGGTGAAGGATAAAAGTCCATTAGCCGCCGGCTTCATGCGTTTTATGACCAAAGGACTGCCTTGCAATTTGTACTGTATTGTCAGATAGTGGCACACATTGTTTTGCGGCTGGGTACGTAATCGAATTCATCGTCATGACAAAAGCTCTCGCTACATATTGGGAGGACCACCTTGAGATTCGCAGCCTCATTGTGCGGGAAAGGTACTACAGGGACACCGGCCAATGGTCCAAGCTGCGGGGCGCCTACCATCCAGATGCCTCAAAAACAAAAGTGCGGATCAGCTGGTAGGATAATCTCACAGCTTCTCACTTGCCTGTTCTGCTGCTAATGTACAAACATTGAGGTTCAACGGAGACATCAATGGCTTCGTCGCAGGCTCCGAGACCATGGCCAAGGGTGGCGCAGCTGCGATGCACACCATCTGCCCGATAGAGATTCTCGCCAATGGAGACAAGGCCATCTCGGAGTCAACTGGGTCCATCATGATACGCTTCGAGCACAAAGACGTGCAGTTTGACTGCACTTCCTATACGCGATTCGTCTCTCGCTTCGAGCGCGTCGACGCAGAGTGGAAGCTCCTGACGCTGGAAGCCATCTACGACAGGGACACCATCACTCCTGTACATCCGGGAACCCCAGAAGCGGTCTTCCATTTGGACGAACACCCTAGACCAAGTTATAAGTGCATTTCATGGGTTCTCGCCCAGGCGGGCTTTACCATTGACCCAGATCTTCCGGGATCCGACGTTGCCGGCTCGGCAGAGGCGCTGACAGGGTCGAATCTCGCGTGGCTTGAGGGCTGACGGACATGCGCGACAACTTGCGGCGTGACGTACGAAGTAACGTTCAATTGGAATCGATTGAAGTCTTGAAGCTTTAGGACTTGCGCCATTGCCGAGGTGAGCTGGCGTCGTAGCATGAACCGCCTGTGTATGCGCCTGCTTTCTGTGTTCGCCCATTCTCGCCTGTGCCAGCGCGATGCATGTGGGCTTCATGGTGTGGCAGCTGCAGCATGTTCTGTGGTTGCCACCAGACGACGATGCAAGACCGGGCACCCTGGATGACGTACTGCAACGCTCGACAGGGTGAGTGCGCCCTGCACGTATGAGCACGAAGTAACCGGCGGCTTAATAGGTTATTCCCCGCCAAAGCCCTCCATCATCAACCAAGTTCCGCTTCTGCAGCAGGATGAAATGGCCCGACGATCAATGCGTGACCCCGGGGCCAGTTCCGCATTCACGGAATTAATTGTAGAAGGCAACTTCTCGTCACGCGCAATGCCGCGTCACATGTCGCCCTCTCTCGAGGCCGACGTGATACCAAGTCCACACCGCTTGCAACACTCACGACTGAGAAAATCCTTGGCAACGCAGACTGCTTTCCGAACAGTCCATGGCGGCGACAAGCCAAATGACAACAACGTGACGAACGCGCTCACACCTGCGCAGACTCTGTAACATGTGAAGGCGTGTCCCGAGCGACGACATTGGACGGGGCCTCGTGGCGGCGTAACGCTGCGCCTTGCAAGGCAAGCTCCGGGGTGGCTTCACCAGCTGCTCACTCACGCTCGCACAGTCAAATCCCGCGCGCGCCGAAAACCTGCGAGTTGCGTCATGGCCACTCGCATGGCCCGGCAAGGGATGCGATCTGCGGGGTAGAGGAGGGCTGTGTGGCAGGATATTTATATCCGGTCGGCTTATCTCAAAAAGCCCATGGCAGCGCCGCCCGTCTTTGCGATATCGATGCATTTGTCCTTCTAGTGCTTCTAGAATCCCAGCTTCCTCAAGCCGTAGAAAGTGCTAAAGAGACACGCTTTACGTCAGTAGGCGAGAACACATCAATCATGGTGAGGCCAGGCGCACACGGAACCGAGTAAGCGCAACGCACAAAACAAGTTGTTTCAGCTTGCACGAATGAATGGCTGCTAACCTTGTTTGTCGCGTCCGTTGAAGCCTCGCCGAGTTGGCGAGCTACCTCCTCCAGAATGGCCCGCGCAAGGTGCACCACACGTCGCGGCGCGTGCGAGTCGTTCTCGCTCATCGTACCATCGTCGACACGACAGCGGCTGTCCACGTCTGGGAACACGATGCGTATCCTCAGTACTATGTGCCGCACGGGGAGCTCACGGCTCGAGGCTGCACCTTGCGAGACAAATCGCTCGTCCGCAGTGATAGCGTCACTCGCGCCGCTGTCGTGGAGCTCATCGTTCCCGCGAGGGATGGTCTTCGCGAGTTCCGGACCGACCGGGTGCTGCGATTCACCGAGGACAGGAGCCTGGGGGCTCTGGCGGGGCTGGTGAGGCTGGAGTTTGGATCGATGGGTAAGCGCTCTATCGCCGAGGTGTGCACGCGTTCAACCGTGACGTGACTGACGTCCTACGCGTACAGATCAATGGTTCGAAGAGGACTCCGTCATATACGTTCACCCAAAAGACCCCTTCAAGCGGATAGACATCCTGCCGTCATCGCGTCCAGTCGAAGTCAAGGTCGGGGGCAAGACGGTAGCCAAGGCGCCCAACTCCGTCCACCTGCTCGAGACGGGCTTGCCAGCAAGGTACTACTTGTCGGCTGGTTCCGTGGATCAGTCGGTTCTTCGAAAGAGCGACCTCGTGACGCGATGCCCCTACAAGGGAGACGCCGAGTACTACCACATTGTTATTGACGGGAAGCAGCATGATAACTTGGTGTGGTACTACCGGCTCCCGACGCACGAAAGCGCGGGGATAGCCGGGTTGCTGTGCTTTTACAACGAAAAGGTCGATGTGTACCTGGATGGAAAGCTGCAAGAAAAGCCAAAGTCGCCGTTCTCCTAGCGACGGCGGCCAGCATGCTGTCAATGCTGCGCGACTCCAGTAGCAATCATGACAAGGATCCAACTCGTTACGTGTTCGCAGCGGCGCCCTGCAGCGGCGCGCAATAGTCTCTGTGCAATCCTCCAAGTCGTGTGCCGTCCCCCCTGATCTCAGGAACAGTCCCCGACGTCCCGCAAGCCAGCGCACGACGAGCTGTCAGTGAAATGACATGGCGTCGCTGTTGGTGATGGATGTCAGCCACAGGACACTTTCAGCAGGAGAGGCATGTTGAGGCGCTCGGGCCGTCCTAGGAGGCGGTCTAGCCCGAGCGAATGAGATGTTGGCGGTAGCATCAAGTCGAACCCGAAGGTTGACCTGAATTGACGGCGCTTGTACACTGGCATGTTTGCGGCTACTCGCATGGGAGATGAGCTGCTGCAGCCATGTCACGACTGCATATCGATGATTGCAAATAGTGCCGCTCTGCGGTGTACGAGTTGGTCTAGCCGCTCGCTGGGTTCAATAGCCCCTCGCAGGACCACGCCAGCCGAATCGCGGTTTTGGTCAAGTTGGCACTTTTCCTGAGCAAATCTGCGCTGTAAGACAACGAACAGTTATAGACCAAAACTCGGCAGAGATGGGAGTGCAAAGCTCGGGATACAAATCTTGAATTATTGCGCATCCTCACAGAAACGACTCGGAGGCGGCGAATGAGTTGCATTGGGCAGGGCCATAAAGGAGATTACAATGGCGGCCAGCTGAGTTGATGAGCATCGCGGCTTGCAACTATGTCGGGGCGGTTGGCCCACTAATCGTATCACATATTCGATAGCTCGCGGCGGATGTTGTTGGTGGAGGTTTCTGAGATGTGAAGAAACACGGGCCATGAGGCACTGCGCATGACACCGCGCCATACGAGTCTCGACACTCGGAGTACTTGCAAGCAGCTCGCCTCGGGTCACAGGGCCTTCGTCCTGAAGCGGGTCGTGAACCGTAACACCACGTTCGAGTATGAGCGACGTCAATATCACAGCACCGCCACCTCACACGACAGCAATGTTGCTGTTGTTTGTCACGCCTTCCCCATGCACGCCAACAAGGGAAGTGCCCAGCGACGTCGCACACAGCATTGCCGTGAGCTGAGACCAGGATGGGCCTGACTCCCGACACCGCCTCGACGGGAGGCGCCTGCAGAGGCTAGACTCTTCTCGCGCCAGGCGGCTGAATGCTACCGGACCCAGGCGTCAGGTACCGGCAGGTGAGGCGTTCGAGCCTCCCGGCGTGCGGGCGCCAGTTTTAGTTTTTTTGCTTCTCGCCAACGCGGCTGGAGAACCGTCCGAGCGGTCCCCCCCCTCTCCCCCCGGCAGGGCTGAGGGCCTCCAGAAGACAAACCCTTGCACCGGGCGCCGTGCCTGACGCACCAAAACGGCTGGTTGCATGCCGTGCGGCGGCGGCAAGACGTCGACCCCATAATGTGGCAACGGCACTTTACGCAGGCGAGATCTCGGGTCGCGATATGCATCGGGATGCGCGAGGACGCATTGCATGTCCAGTTCGGGCAGCCCATCAGCCCGACAACGGGGTGATATGGTACAGACCATGCAAAGACTATCACAGCCCGCACTGAGGCTACGGAAAGATAGCGTCCCACGTGGGCCAGGGCTGGAGTTTCGGGTCTGACTTCCACGAAAGCGGGCACCCCGACGGGGGCCTGCGGGGCGGATCGTGCGAAGCAAAGCAAAGCGAAGCAAAGCATCGTGAGCTGGAGGACGAGGGTGTCGGGAGGCGAGAATCAAAGTCGAGGCCAATATTGGCACAGCCGCACCACAGGGCAGCACCTGATTTGGCAGTCAGGCGACACAAGCAGCAGTACGCGTGGCCGAATCGAGCTGCAGCAGGGCCTCGAGCTGGCCGGAACAGAACCGCCGCGATTCATCGGCGTGGGTGTGGCTTGCTCGAGCCCTGCGAGGACCGGTGCCGCCGGAGCCTGCCGGCCGCGCGAGCGCCAGCGCAGCGCGACGCGGGTCTGGAATACGAGGCGATCGATGATCCGTCACGCTGACAGACAGGCTACGAGCGCTTCGGGAACGGGGTGGGCACCAATGTTCCAAGCGTGGTAATGGCCGTCGGGAACGAGCTCCAGCTCCTTTGTGTTGTTGCTGCTGGTCGTGGTGGGCGAGAAACAAAGCATTGTTCGTTCTCGCCCCGGGTCTTACTGCGGCGGCTGCGGCGGCGCCATGTCTGAGATGCGATGCGACGCTCCTGTGAGACCTGCGGCAACGAACGATGTCTGTTGCGTCGACGTCGAGACGGTGATGGGCTCACTCGGTCGTGCTGGCCAAAGCTTCAACGTGCAGGATGGAGAAGCAGATTCGCAAACTCGGCAAACCCACCGACTACTTGGGAGCTAGCAAGCCGATGGGACCACCATATCGTCGACCTGGCGGGTCCTCTGTGAAGAATAAAGCAACACGGGAGAGGCAGGCAGAGAGAGAGAAAAAAGTTGAGTCCCAGCGCCCAAGTCGGGGACGCGGGCCCTTCACCTTGCATCGCACCCGACGGGCGCACGAATTTAGACGCAGCAGGTCCCCTGTCCAGCGCCTCTTGGGCTGCCCAGAAGCCGCTAGCTCGGTGCACTAGCCGGCTCGGCGGGTCGTCGCAATTGGACGGGCCCGTCGTTAGCACCACCTGCAACGTGTGCCAAGGGCACCGGGGGGGCACCAACAGGGCCGGGACAAGCCCAGCGTTCACCGACGGGTGTGCCCAAATGGCGCCGAGCTCCCAGGGGCGCGCCGGGGCCACCAGAACGCCCAGGCACAGGGCCTCGGGGGGCGGCGCCTCAGTGGGGGCGCCGTTCGTCCCGAGCTGGGCAGGCGTCCTTAGGTACCAACCCAGGTGGCAGGCAGTCAATCCCCAGCGGCTGGGCCGGCAGCTCGGGGGGCCAGGCCCGGGCGCGATCAGTGTCACCTCACCTTCGTCGACCTGGATGAGCCGCAGCCGGAGGCCCACACACTCAGCGGGCGCTGGGCTTCACCCGCGTCCACTTGGCACACTTCCTCGCCGGGCAGTAGCCCGTAGGCCCCGTACCTCTGCTGCCTCCACTACCGTCCCTACCATCAGGGGCACAGCCCGGCTCGCTGCACCCGTCGCCTGCAGGCTTGACGAATCGAGGCTGCAGGTGCCAGGTGCGTCCCGACGGCGAAGCCCCAACCCAGAGCCCTGGTCGCTGCAAATTTCCCGGCACCCACGCGCCGCCGTCGAGCTTCCGCAATGGTCGACGGTGCCATCGCTCGGGTCGCCATCCGCCCGAGCGACCGCCGAGAGAATAAGACGGCGACACGGCCCCGTCGACACCATGGCCGCCGCCGTTGGTCTCCCCTCGCTCGCCCATCCTGCTCTTCGTTCGTTGTGCAGAGTAGGCGACGATATACTGACCGCTCTCCCCTCCGCCCCCGGGAGGACGACGACGTCGACGACAGCTTCGCTCGCTACACCATCCTCCTGTCGCCGTCGCCAACATGAAGGCCGTCTGCGCCGTGCTCGTGTCCGCCCTCGCGGGGTTGGCTCGCGGGCTGGCCTCGACGGACACCATCACCTGGGGAGGCGACAACACCCGGGCTGGTTACCAGACGTGAGCCCTGCTCCCGCTCGACCTCAGGGGTCGCCACTAACAGACATGGCTCAGGAACCACAATATGGACCCGGCCATTGTAGGGAGCTCTCAGTTTGGCCAACTCTTCAAGACCAAGCTCCCTGGGGCGTACAATGGCAACCCGGAGCAGATCTTCTCCCAGCCTCTCGTTTACACCCCCAAGAGCGGCACCAAGCAGTACGTCTACTGGGCTACCACGCAGAACAACATCTACAAGCTCGACGCCAAGACGGGCGAGATTGTCGCTTCTCGCAACCTGCACATTCCCTTCCTGACGGCTGATCTCGACGGCTGCGTCGACATCAACCCTACTGTCGGTATCACCGCCACTGGTGTCATCGATCCAGACAGCGAGACGCTCTACCTCACGGCCAAGACGTATCTCAACCAGAACGGCGGCAACGGCGCTCAGGGACGCCCCAATGGCCGGTACTATGTCCATGCCATTGACATTAACGACCTTTCTGAGAAGCCTGGCTTCCCCGTCGACCTCGAGGGACTGATCGCCCGCAACAACCCCACCCGAATGTTTACCGGCGGCATCCACCATCAGCGCCCGGGCCTTTTGCTCACCGGCGGCTACATTTACGCCGGCTTCGCGTCTCACTGCGTTCAGTACAACTTCACTGGCTGGATCGTTGGCTGGGATAAGCAGGGCAAGATTGTCGAAAAGTGGGCAACCGAGGGCCAAGGTGTGCCCAACACCATCAAGGGTGGTGGCATCTGGATGTCGGGCGGTGGTCTGGCTTCCGACGACGCCGGCTCCATCTGGGCCGCCACCGGCAACGGTTACGCCTCTCAGCTGGCCAATGTCCCCGTCAAGGGTTACAACCCGCCCACATCCATGGAGGAGGCCGCGATCCACATGACCCAAAACACGGACGGCAGCTTGAACCTGGTTGACTTCTTTATGCCATGGGAGAAGCAGGCTCTGGACGGTGCTGACAAGGATCTCGGCACGAGCCCCTTGGAGATTCTGCCGTCGGCTTTCTCCTGCGGCGATGCCAAGCGGATCGGTGTCGTCACGGGCAAGAGCGGCAAGACGTACTGGCTCAACCTCGACAACCTCGGCGGTTATAGGAACGGCGCCGACGGCCTGGACGACGTCATTCAGGTCTACCAGAACCCCAACTCGGTCTACGCTGGCGCTGGTGTCTACCCCCTTGAGGGCGGATACATCTACATCAACGTTATTCAGTACCCTACCGCCGTCTTCAAGTTTTCGTGCAACGGTGGCAAGGCCTCTTTCGCCAAGGTTGCCGAGTCGCCCGCCGCCAACGCCTACATCCTCGGTGTCAGCCATGGCACCGTCACCTCGCTCAACGGCCAGCCTGGTACCGGTCTGCTCTGGGTCACGGATGTCCAAGGCCTCAACCTCAAGATCTACAACGCCATTCCTAAGGATGACAAGCTGGTCATGATCAACTCGTTCAACATTCCGGGCACGACCAAGTTCACCCGGCCCGTCTTTGGCGACGGCATCGTCTACGTCGGCACGAACCAGGGTTACGTCTACGGTTTTGGCTCACCCGTCAACGTCCCATTGAACTGCACCTCGCCCGTCGACTTCGGCAACGTCGACATCGCCAACAGCAGCAGCTCCCAGCCCATTAGCTGCACGGCCAACATCGACGTTACCGTCACTGGTGTCGCGCTGGACGACACCACCAACTTCCAGGTCTCCGGCCTCCCTACGCTGCCGCTCCAGGTGCCCAAGGGCCAGTCGTTCACATTCAACGGCCTTTTCAAGCCCACGAGCGTCGGCTTCATCTCTGATGATATCCTCGTCAATACCACAAATAGTGTTGCCGGCTACAGCACAAGCACCCACGCACGGCTCACTGGCACGGGCCAGAGTTCCGGGGCGCTCCTCGGCCTCAGCCCCAACACTATCACTTTCAAGGGCGTCGTCACTGGAGATGATCCAAGTGGAGTCTCGGAGACGTTGGTTGTCTCCAACAGGGGTAATGCTCCTCTGTCCATCACGCAGGTTCTGTACTCGAGCACGAGCTCGACTGGCCCGTACACGCCGTGGAGCGGTCAAGGCGACCTTGTTGTCGGCAAGTTTACATTGAAGCAGATCCCCACGACCGTTGCGGCGAACCAGGGTGCCACCGTCAACGTTGTCTTCGATTCTTCGACCAGTGGTACCTTTTCTGGCTTTGTCACGTTTGTGACCAACGGCGGCAACGCGACCGTCTCAATTGCCGGATCATCTGGTCCGGCCGCGAGTGCCCTGCTCGAGTTCCAGACGCCCGACGGCAGTGGCTGGGTCAGGTTTGACAACAACACCGCCTTCACGTTCGGCAACGTCACCGAGAACACATCGAGGTCCCTCAAGTTCCGCATCACCAATACCGCTCCCGCCGATGGTGTCAAGCTCTCCCTGACCGTGTCCAAGCCCCCGTTCGGTGTCGCCGGCCTCATCCGAGCCGCCAACCAAATCGACCTCGCCGAAGGCACATCGCTGGCTCCCGGCGAGAGCGGCAACGCAACTCTCACTTGCACCGTGCCCAAGTCACAGTGGAACGTCGACCCCTACAACGGGACCGCGACCTGGACACTGAACACCAATGACCCCAAGCTGGGGAAGCAGTTCATCCAGTTTTTCTGCAACGCTGTCGCCGAGCAGGCGGCTCCCCTGCTGCCCAACGGCCAGGGACAGTACCGCTACGTGGGTTGCTTCCAGGACAACACGCCGGGCCGCCAGTTGCCGAACCAGCTGTTTGGCGACGACGCTCTCACCAACGCCAAGTGCATCACCGCTTGTAACGCCAAGGGCAATGTCTTCTGCGCCACCCAATACCACCGCGAATGCTGGGCCGGCAACTCTATTCCGCTCAAGAAGGTGGACGACGTCAACTGCAACTTCTACTGCTCTGGTGACCTCCAGCAGACCTGTGGTGGCAACGGCGAGAACGAACTGTCGGGCAACACCTTCATGTCCTTGTTTGCTGACTCCCTTCAGTGGGATGGAAACTACACCAAGCCCCCCGTCACCGGTCCCATTGTCAACCCCGGCGTCTCTGGCTACAGCAGCATTGGCTGCTATACCGAGGCCACCAATGGTCGCGCTCTTCCCAACGGCGCGGCCACCGACAAGAAGACGGTTGCAAACTGCGTCAATGCCTGCAAGGGCAAAACGTACACGTATGCGGGTGTGGAGTACGGTGGCGAGTGTTGGTGCGGCAATGCCCTTGGTGCTGGTTCCGTCTCCGCGCCAGACAAGGACTGCAGCATGACCTGCAATGGTAAGTAACTGAGCCTGGAGCACCCGGGGAATTTGGCTGACAAGTACTAGATAACTCGACCGAGTATTGCGGTGGTCCCTCGCGTCTGAACGTCTACAAACTGGGTGGCCAGGTCTCCTCCAGCTCGTCATCAGCCCCCGCGACCTCCTCAACTACCGCGACGGATTCCAGCACGGCGACAGACTCGACCACGACGACTTCCTCGGCGACGCCGACCCCCACGGGCCCTTCGAGGAGGCAGACCATTGGGAAGTTCAGTCGCCAGGGATGCTGGACCGAGACCGCCAACGGTCGGGCTCTTGCTGACAAGAATTTCGCCGCCGACACAATGACGTTGGAGTCGTGCGCCACATTCTGCGACGCCTTTACTTACTTTGGCGTTGAGTATGGTCGAGAATGCTACTGCGGCAACGCCCTTCGCGCTGGCAGTGTCAAGGCAGACAACCAGGAAGACTGCTCTTTCCTTTGCCCCGGCGACAAGACCGAATATTGCGGCGCTGGCAACCGGCTCGAGCTGTACATGCTCACTCCTTCTAACCAGACCTCGTCCACGTCATCTAGTTCGCCAGTAGACACTGCCATCTCGGCGACGCCCACCGGCATTGACAGCACCACCACCACCACCACCACCAGCAGCAGCAGCTCGGCAGCTCCGACCCCGACCGGCCCGGCCATCAGGTCCACCGTCGGCGCATTTGCTTTCCAGGGTTGCTGGACCGAGGCGACGAATGGCCGGGCGTTGAAGGACAAGACGTATGCCAATGACTCCATGACCCTCGAGTCGTGCTCCGCGTTCTGCACTGGCTTCATCTACTTTGGTGTTGAGTACGGACGCGAATGCTACTGCGGTAACGCTCTGCAGGCTGGAAGCGTCAAGGCCTCTAACCAGGGTGACTGTTCTTTCCTCTGCCCTGGTGACAAGTCCACGTACTGTGGCGCGGGCAACAGGCTGCAGCTATATATGCTTGCGCCTGCGTCGTCTACCACGAGTTCAGCAGCGGCTACCAACACGACCACTTCGTCAGCTGCACCGACGTCGACCTCTTCCAATTCGACGACGTCTACGACTTCGATCACTTCGGATTCCTCTACTCCTGCGCCGACCACGACCACAATCTCAAGCTCCACGAGCAGCACGAGCTCCAGCACGCCCACCACGCCGACCACGTCGACCACGTCGTCCGCTCAGACGCCGACCACAACCACGTCTTCAAGCTCCACGAGCAGCACAAGCTCCAGCACCACAAGCTCCAGCACCACGTCGCCTACCTCCACTACCACAACTTCCACCTCCACCACGTCGGCATCGCCCACGCCTACCGGGCCCATCGTGTGGCAGGGCAACACCAACTTCACGTACTACTCTTGCGTTCAGGAGCCGTCGTCGGGGAAGCTCATGGACAAGCAAGTGTACAACAACGGCACCAGCATGACCATCGAATTGTGTCTGCAGAAGTGCTACATGTACAAGTGGGCAGGCGTCGAATATGGCCGCGAGTGTTGGTGCGGCAACAAGCTCAACCTGGCCGGCAACACGGGCGCCACGCCGGGCAAGAACGTTACCGACTCGCAGTGCAGCTTCCTCTGCCCTGGCGACAAGAAGGTGTATTGTGGTGCGGGCAGCAGACTTCAGCTCTACTCGAACAACGCCACCACGATATGATAGACTGGTATGAGCCGTAGAGGGTTCGCGGCGACACATGGCTGCACAAGGATATGGTTTCTTTGGTACATATATTGGCGCATCGGGATATAGCATGAGCATTGGACATAACATGGCATACAACACAGTGTCTATTAGAGGACAGATCATATTTCGCAAACATCAGTAATCAATAATCAGCGGCGGCTTCGGCCTTTCGCTCAAGAAAAAGGTATCTAAAAGTAAATCGTGTCCAACCTCGGGCGCGTCAAGTGACTGGCCTGTGAATAATGGGTGGTTTTCAAACGCCGGCTAAGCCCCAAGCAAAGATCATCTATATGTGGAAGTGTCCATCTCATTCTCGTCATCAAGCCGCAGCACATTACTGTTCCCTCGTCCAGCTCAATCTGTGCGCCGCGGTTCGTTGGCTGGCGTGTCCGCTCAAGCGAAACCCAACACCTGCGTGAGCGACTTGGCCTTGTTCCGAGCGCTAGCCTCCGCCAGCTGCTCGAGAGCCTCGTCCACTTGGTCGACGTAGGCCGCCTGGTAGAACTCTCCCGCACGCAGCTCGGTGTGCATGAGCGGCACTGGGATGAGGCGCACAGACGGCAGATCGTCAAGCGTGAGACCAGAGAAGGGGCTCCAAGCTTGGGCCTGGATGGTCACGGAGCCGTCGCGCCCATCGGGGGAGGTAGCCTGATCGTAGTCAGGCAACTCGTCGTGTGAGTCGGGGCTCGGCACAGAGTAAGCGGGCGGAGGCCGGCTGGCGATCTCTTCGAGGCGCGCCGGCGGGACTGTAGCCTTGGCGCCAAAGGCATCCTGCAGGTGGGCCATGCGCGCGGCGAGCGCAATGTCAGACTGGAGCATGTCGCCAACGGACTCCTTCGCCTGGCTGCGGTGGCGCAGCGCCTCGGCCTCGGAATCGACCTGCAAGACGCTGAGCAGCTTTGTCATGACGAAGTCGAGCATGACGATGCGGTTGGCGTCCTTGGCGAGAGCGCGGGCGTGGCGGCGGCACACGTCGACGAGGAGGGGGGCGCTGTTGCTGTCGCCGTCGCCGCGGGCCTCGCGCTCGAGGTCGGCGAGGCGGGCGTCGAGCTCCGACACGGTCATGGCGGCGGCGGTGAGCAGGGCGACAACGAGGTCGACGTCAACGAGAGCGGCGCGGGCGGGGCGGTCGAGGCGTCGCAGCTCGGCGCGGCGGAGGTGCTTGTGCAGCAGCTGCGTCGTGAGGCGGAAGTACTTGAGCTCGCGGGCGGGGACCTCGAGGGCGCGCGTGGCGGACAGGGGTTGTGTGTTGAGCGCGGCGAGGGTGAGCGTGGCGCGAGTCGAGGCGGCGAGGAGGCCGACGAGAGCGACCCGGACAGAGAGCGGGTCGGCGTCGGCGCGGGTGGGGATCGTGAGGCCGGCGGATCCGCGGGCGGTGGCCGGGGCCGGGGTGGAGGTGCCGGAGCGGCAGGAGGCCTCGTAGGAAGGTGCGCGGCTGCCTTCAGACGCTAATGATGACCGCGTGCCCTCGGCGAGGGTGCGATGTTGGATGAACATGTTGTTGTACCGGTCGGAGGCGGCTTCGCTGCCCTTGCTGGAGTCCTTTTTCTTGGACTTGGAAGAAGAAGAAGATGTAGAGGCTGGTGGAGAGGGCCCGACGAGCATGCCGGCAGGGGAGTAGTAGGACAGCAAGGCCTGGGCCTGGGACTGCTGCATGCTCTGGCGGACGGCCGCGCTTTTACTTGTAGAGGAGCCGGGTGCGGCATCTCTTCTCCTGCTGCGAGAGAAGACCCGCATGGTTGGTTGTGGCAACGGCGGGACTTGAATGGACGGAATGTTTGGATACGGTGTTCCTGGTTGGACACCTAAGTCGATGGGCTGGGCCAAGGCCAGGCAGGCAAGGGGAGGTGTGCTTTGTATTGCAATTGGAGATGGATGCCTGGGGACGACGGAGGATCGTGCTTTCCGTGACTCCGTGGAGGGTCCGCTATTCGTTTGTTCGTTTCCTTCGTCGTGGGTTGGCGGGATCGGGAACGCGGACTGGGCTGGATGGCGTACCCGTGTGGACGTGGCAGCCTGGGATGGTGATGGGGGCAGATGACGTGAGTGCAACACGGAGGAGGAGGAGAGTGCGGCTGTTGGACGTTTGTTGTCGCCTTACAGCAACAAACAGGCACGGCAGGATAGCCTGAGCGTGAGCAATGGGAGTCGATGCGGTTGGGTCTGATTGCTGAAAGCACATCTGGGTGCCTGGGGCGCGAAGGCGTTCACTTATAACTCCTCCCATCCTTTGGCGGCGTCTGAGTCTGACGTGTGTGCATGTATGTAAGAGCCTCACAATATCTATCCGCGGCGGGTACCTCCCACACACAGGCCAACCTCATTCGGGGCTCCGCCTCGCTTGTACGTACCGAGTGAGCCAGCAGGGTGGGTGGGTGTCAGCCGAAGGGAAGGGAAAAAAGCTTCTTTTTTCCAATCACCCCTGCCATCATCTTGGTGTTGCATCGGACGTGGCCCGGCGACTTCCTCGTTTGACGCCGCGGCCGACAAGGCTGCCAGAATTGCAGGGCAATCAACGGTTGATGACGATGCGCCGACGGGCAATCTCGCCGCGTGGCTGCGTTCGTACGCACCGTCCTGCAAGCGAGAGAAGAAGAGAAACCCAACGGAACGCCTTGCAGAGTTGGGAAACCGTGCCCTGGCTGCCCGCGTTCCAGAGCGCGCGCGGGTAAGGCTGGCCCGCTGGCGGGAGGAAGCCCCATCTCGTTGTGCACATACGAAGGTACCTACGCCACGGGAGGAGCAGAAGACACAACAACACGCGAACCGTTGCGTATTGCACCGGACGTTACGACGGCACCCACGTACGCGACGTGCGAGTTCGAGAAAAGAGGGTCCAGTGACTCCAGGCTTTACCCAAACGGCAGTGTGTGACTCGGCCGTGAGTCAACGGCCACAAGGCCAAATCCCCCAGCGCCCAGGGGGGTGGGAAGGACGGGCGGAGGACGCGCGGGGTGGCGCTCGCTGCGCGCCGCCATTGGAACGTTGGGCCCCCATGCCGGCGTCTCCTGCGGGCGGGTAGCAGGGCTGACGCGCACTTGGCTTGCGTGTGGCCGCATCTCGGAAGGATCCAGGTTTGTGGGCAGAGTTCACGACGGGCATGAGAGGGCGTGAAATTGGCGCGCTCGAGCTTGACGCTTGAGCAGTCAGTGTTGGCTGTGTGGTTTGGTGTGCGGCCCTGCAGGAGATGATGACTCCCACGGGCGCAGGCGGTGCGCTCTGCCTCGAGCACGGGACTGGTCGCTGTTGCACTGATCTGTCCAAGCGCAGTGTACAGGACAGTGAAGGACAGTCCGCCTGCTGAACTAACATCGAAGACGGAAATGAGTGAGCTGCTGTTCGGCCGCAGTGAGATCTAGGACAGCGCCCACCAATTGTCAAGCTCTGGCTCGAGGACTGCCGTGTCGAATACTGACCACATTTGCGATATTAGTGCAGGACATGTCCGCAAGCGTCCAGCAAGCGCCGGCGTCCTGCGACATGGTCGTCCTGAAGTCCTGACGTCCCGGCGCACGTATCATGAATTCGTGATCAACGGCCAGCGCAGGCAAGCCGAGCGAGCGACCCGCGCCGCGATTTGCGTCCCGCAGGTACACGCGGGGGGAGCCGGCACCCACGCCGGGGCAGGCCCCACATGGGCCTCCGGGTGCTCGCTGCGCCCCCCCTCGGCCACCCGGCAGAGAAACCCGATGACTGTGTCGTGTCACACTAAAACGACTCTAACCTTCTCGATCATGGCCTGGAGATGAAAAAGTCACAGGGCTGGTCCTTTTTGAGGACACGACACAGGAGACCATTGGCAGAGGTTTAGCAGAGCCTTGTCCGTTGATTCCTCAGCTGCGAGACATGCGTCAAGGTTGATGGCTCAGCGCCGCACCGTCGCAGCCCGGAAGCTAGCAATTCCAACCTCCGGGCTGTTCTCCACTGGGAGACCCGATATACGAGGATGAAGGACAGTCGCTGTGCCTTGCCAGTGACTCTCGTCGGCTGGACGGCAATCGTGGCTAAGCGCAGTTGGTGGCTGCACGAGGTTCACGATCCTGGCCAGATTTGGGACGTACCTGACGCCCGCACAGTCATGAGGCCACCTACGTATAAGCTGAAAGAAGGACCAGAAAGACTCGCAAGACCGATTTGGACTGATCAATCCTCCAAAGTTACTTGTCATGAATATCTAGCCTTCAATATAGAGAGGCTTTGTGCTTCGTCACAAACGCGCCTACCCTGGACCAACGTAACAGGTTCGAGGGTGCAGGAAATTGGTTCTTCTGACCTAGATTAGGACTGATTATATTTCGGCGTGTTGGAATGCATCACTGTGAGTAGTGACTGCAACTGCATGGTTCTTCGCGTGTAGATCGCATCTCTTCCTGCGGTTCAATTGTGCCAGAAGACCTGTCTGCGTACAAGCTCATAGCACACAAGCCGCCGTTGTGCGGGGAGTTTCCCAGGACCCTACATGGGAGCCAGGTCCGTCAATCGGGCTGATGCTTTGCAAGCCAATGAAGCCCGATACATTAACGCAAATGACTGCTGGGTGAGTAACATGGAAGCAGCGTCGGGAGTACCCCCCGGGGGCGTTGAGTCCAGGTGGTGGCTGGATTAGAAGCAGCGAATGGCCAAGTCACTGACGAAACGCCCTCCAGAGCTACATTGCATGTCGTTCCTGGGCGAGAGGCTGCAAGGAATAGTATCTTGCGACCCTCAACATTGAAATGAACCGCTGGCTGAGCGGTACGGGACTTGAGTTTCCCACCTACTGAGCCGTGCTGGCATCATTTGGCGAATTCAGATTTGACTGACATAAGCCACGAGACTCAAACATGAAGTGAGTACTGCAGCCTGAGAGAGCCGGTGTCGCTGGATTGGTCAGTTCCCTTGTGATGGTTCATCCGCCCGTCGACAAACCGGTGCCCATATGGACTCTGGAGATGGAGGCGGCCGAACATGGCAGACCCACAAGCCTCCCAGAGAGGCAAGTAGCTCGTACAGAGAGAGAGCGGATGGAATGGGGATTCTCGGTTGAGATGATATACGAGCATCTACCAACGAGTGATATCTCGCCTCAGATGGCTTTCGCTACCACAGACGTTTGCCGGGTAAAGGCTGGGGGTTAGGCCTAGGGTGTAGCTGCCGCCGCGAAGTACACATTCTGCGATTCGGATGAGTCCATTATGCCCAAGATTTGCAGCAATCTGTCGGCGATGAAGCTGGAATCATTGACATCCCAAACTGTGTCAACCAGGACCAACGTTTGGTGAAATGATATTTCGCAAGCGTAGTTTCACAGCACAGTGCAGTAACATCACAGCCAAAGAAAACATGGGCTGTGACGTCGACTCATCACGGCCGAGTCGGAGGGGGCCCATGAGTCACCAGGGCCCAACAATTGGCGCGCTGACTGGCTGCAGGAAATTTGTCTGCCACTGCCGACCCCGTCGCCGCAAAAATAACAGCACTGGAGAGGGAGGCACGGATCAATCAATCTGTCTGACGTCGTTGGGTTCCACACGCTTCAAGAGGAAAAGTCTACGATGGCATCTGCAGTCGGTGGACTATGGTGGAGGTCCATCCGGCCTGTGCCAGTACGCGATCGTGGCATCGTCGGCCGCGGGCTCCTTGCCACAGGGGCCCTGAGCACTGCAATTGACGAGCGATTTCGCCTCCCCGGCTGCTTGTTTCGCAGGCACGTCATTGGACTCGCGAGTGCGGGGCCTGCAGCAGAGACACGTTCGCCCGCAAGACAGGCGTGGCAGCAATTGAGCCGGTCAAGGTCGAGCCGTGCTTGTGGCGGCGGCAGAAGCAGCAGGCTGCGCTCGCCCAAGGAAACACGGATTGCAGCAACAACCCAAGACGCGGCACGGAAGCAGCTGAAGCCGACGCCGGGCATGTGAAGGGTGCTGCCGACCAGCACCTGCGCGTGTCATCCGTCTTGCGACGCCGCTTCCGGTGTCCGCGGCTACGGCCAAGCGTCGTGTACGGGCATGATTCCCTGGGAGACAGGCGGGTTAGGGTTGGGCGACAGCGCTTTACTGAGCACCTTCAGAAGGGGAGCTCCGGGGCTCGCTGGCATATGCCTGATTGGATCGCCAGCCCACACCGCCCTGGGGCAGCACTCCCCGCAGCCAATCAGCGGCCCAGGGTTTGCAGATTCATCGCCCGGCCTGTGCCAGGGCTCAGTACGTACCTCGGCCCCGGCGCTTAGCTAATACGCCCCAGGTGCAGCCAAGTGCGCTGAACCCCCTCCAGCCCCTGCAGCAGCAGCGCCGACGCAAGCAACACGCTTCAGGAAACAGCGTCACTGGTGGGGGGGGGGCACAGCAGCCAGTGCCCGCTTTGCCCACGTTACGGTACGCACCCTCAGCGTAGCAGCGTGCCTCAGATCCCTGGGCTTCCCCCCCGCTCCACCCCTCCCTCACTCGCCCCTCCACCGCTGCCACGGCCCCGATTGCGGCGGAAAAAGTCAAAGCAGGCCTAAAGAGGGTGATTCAGTCTGGGGACATAAATTTCTCGCCCTCGACTTTCTTCCCAATTGAATCCCCAAGACCGCAACCATTCATCCAAATCCCCGGACGCTCGACCGAACCTCGCTTCCCTGCGCCGAACGATTCTCTCGCTCCCCTCCAGCACTGCATTCTAGTCCCACGGATACGACAAATCCGCAACCATGTGCCAGACCGACAACGCGGCGTCCGCGCCTAATGATGTGCGTCACCGCTCCCCCACCGATGCAGCAGCGTGCCAGGCGGCCTGGTCCGGACTCCCGCGTGCGCCGCAGGAACCGCAGGATACTGGGAATTACTGGTGTTTTGGCCAATTCCTTTTGCCTGGTGTTCCCGCGTCGTCGTACCGAGTCTCCGGACGGCACGAGATCATCCGCTGGCCCGCTGCCTGACGGCCGTCATCGCTTCCCCTGGTGGACTTGGCTGACCTTGACAAAGCTCGTCGCCGTCGACTCCCGCCCCGTCACGCGACCCTCCAACCCCTACCAGCCCGTGGGCGACTACCTCTCCAATGTCGGCCGATTCAAGATCATCGAGTCTACTCTGAGAGGTCCGGCACTGCCCCTCCTCAATTCTGCCGCGGAACCCCTCGCTGACCCGTCCAATAGAAGGAGAGCAGTTTGCCAACGCCTACTTTGACACCGAGACCAAGATCAAGATTGCCAAGGGTACGATTGCTGCACACGAACCATCGTTTCATGCCGCTGGCTAACTCAATGCATAGCCCTCGATGACTTTGGCGTCGACTACATCGAGCTGACCTCTCCCGCCGCCTCCGAGCAGTCAAGACTCGACTGCGAGGCCATCTGCAAGCTCGGCCTCAAGGTGCGTCATATCCTGGCATTTTGTCCAAATAGCCAATGCTGACCATATACCAGGCTAAGATCCTCACACGTGAGTAACGCGACGAATAGTCTGGCGCCCCGAGAGCAGCCCTAACATGCAGCAGACGTCCGATGCGACATGCGCGACGCCAAGCTGGCCGTCGAGACCGGCGTCGACGGCCTTGACATTGTCATTGGCACCTCCAGCTTCCTCCGCGAGCACAGTCACGGCAAGGACATGGCCTACATCACCAAGACTGCGCTCGAAGTCATCGAGTTTGTCAAGTCCAAGGGCCTCGAGGTCCGATGTACGTATTGAATGCGGCCTCGCAATCTGTTCGCGCCGATACTGACCCCAGATAGTCTCTTCCGAGGACTCGTTCCGATCCGACCTCGTCGACCTGCTCTCCCTGTACAGCGCCGTCGACAAGGCTGGCGTCAACCGTGTCGGTATCGCCGACACTGTCGGCTGCGCCTCTCCCCGCCAGGTTTATGACGTATGCGACTGTTTTCCGTGATCATTTCGATGCATATGCTGACTTGTGCTCTAGCTGGTCCGGACGCTGCGTGGCGTTGTCTGTACGGCACCACCGTGAACCCTGTCCGCTGGATGCTTGCTAACGGCTCATAGCTTGTGACATTGAGACTCACTTCCACAACGACACCGGCTGTGCCATTGCCAATGCGTAAGTGCATAGCACCGTGACAACTCGTCCCGCCACTGACTTGTTTAGCTTCTGCGCCCTTGAGGCCGGTGCCACCCACGTCGATACCAGCGTTCTCGGCAGTGAGTATCTTCTTTCGCTTGAACGAGTCGTGCCCGTCTAACCCGCGTCATAGTTGGTGAGCGTAACGGTATCACGCCCCTCGGCGGTCTTCTGGCCCGCATGCTTGTCACCAGCCCCGATTACGTCAAGAGCAAGTATAAGCTGCACCTGATCAAGGAGGTGAGTTTTGCGCCGTCACTGCATGTACCATCAGCCGTGTACTGACCGCTGTGCAGATTGAGGATCTCGTCGCCGAGGCCGTCGAGGTCAACACTCCCTTCAACAACCCCATCACCGGCTTCTGCGCCTTCACCCACAAGGCCGGTATCCACGCCAAGGCCATCCTCAACAACCCCTCGACCTACGAGATTCTCAACCCCGAGGACTTTGGCCTCACCCGCTACGTCCACTTCGCCTCGCGTCTTACCGGCTGGAACGCTGTCAAGACCCGTGTTGGCCAGCTGGGTCTTGTCATGACCGACGACCAGGTCAAGGAAGTGTACGTTGACATCGTGTATCTCTCGTATGGATTGGTGCTGACAACCTGTAGGACCGCCAAGATCAAGGCCCTCGCCGACGTGCGCCCGATCGCCATCGACGACGCCGACTCTATCATCAGAAGTTTCCACCTGACGCTCCAGAACGGCCACGACGGACAAACGAATGGTGCCGCCCCGGCCGTGACTGCTTAGGCAGGGGTTGTGATGATGTGAGATTGGAGCTCAAAAAGAAGGACAAAAGGATAGAAAAGTCCTCGGTGTTGCATTTGAGCCTATGTAGTGTTTGTTCATTTTGGCGCAAAAAGCAAGAACTTGCCCATTTTTCCGAAACTGTTCATTCCACAAAGATGGTCCCGGAATGGCGATTGCCAAACGGGCACTTCTCCATGCAACGGTCGTGATGTCATAGAACCCCAGCACTTGATTGCATGTGGAATCACGATTGTGGAGAGTCCTTTAAAAACCCCGGCACTGGCTGCTGATCGGGTTTCAATTTGTGCTGACAAGATCGTCGCGTGTGAGTGGCGCCCCGGGGCAGTTCGCTTCACGACTTCTTCCCCGGGGACGCGCTGTTTCAGGGGCCCCGGGGCTTGAGCGACTGCATTCTTGAAGCGTTTTGATCCAGTTTTGCCCCCGCGCCGTCCCTTTTCTTCCCTTGGTCCCCGAGTCCGCCAGGATGTCGACGAGCGCGTGTCTTTGCTGGTTCTCAAAGACTCGTGTGCCCTCCCGACTCGTCAGCCAAGCATGCATCTCGGCTGCAGACGCGTTAGACGAGAGGTGGTCGTGGCGCTGATTGTCCTCGTCGGGCTATGGCACTTTCGCGACGTGATATGGTCGGACCCGACCGAGTTTGAGCGGCTCGAACGATGGATGAACCACGGCGCGATACGTTCCGACGCTCACGAGAACTTTACCGAGAGCAGCTTCGACTGGAGTAGCATCCGACACAGCTACCGCCCCGGCTCGCTGACGGCACTGCCGAAGCCTCTACCCGACGACGCGATACCCCCCGTACAGCACTGCTTCGATGAGGAGACGACCGACGAGACCATGGTCCGCGTCGCGCGGCTCACCGAGGTGCGGCAGCTCTTCCAGGCCAACTGGGCCAGCTATCGGCGCTTCGCATGGGGCAAGGACGCGCTGATGCCTGTGTCGGGCGGCGCCAAGGACCAGTTCTCTGGCTGGGCCGCGACGCTGGTGGACGCGCTCGATACGCTCTGGATAATGGGCCTGCGGGACGAGTTCGACGAGGCCGTCGCCGAGGTGGCGCGCATCGACTTTGGCCGGTCGACGTCGACCCGCGTCAACATGTTCGAGACCAACATCCGTTACCTGGGTGGGCTCATGGCGGCGTACGACCTCAGCGGCCGAGGCGTGCTTCTGCGCAAGGCCGTCGAGCTCGGCAACATGATCTACGCGGGCTTCAACACGGAGAATGGGATGCCCGTCGACTTCATCGACTTCGAGGCCGCCAAGCGCGGCGACATGCTGCAGGTCGAGGAGCGCGTCGTGTCGGCGTCGCCCGGCACGCTATCGCTCGAGCTCGCGCACCTGTCGCAGCTGACGGGGGACGACAAGTACTACGACGCCGCGTCGAGGGTCATGGATGTCTTTAACAAGGGCCAGAACAGCACGGAGCTGCCCGGCGCGTGGCCCATGTGGGTGTCGATGAAGCACCAGAACGTCACCACGGGGGGCGCTTTTACGCTCGGCGGCTCACAGGACTCGCTGTATGAATACCTCCCCAAGATGCACCAGCTCTTGCAGGGCGGCGACGCCAAGTACGAGACCATGACGAAGACGTTCCTGGAAACGGCCGACAAATACTTTCTGTTCCGGCCCATGCTACCCAGCGGACAGGACATTCTTCTCCCGGGCAACGTCAACGTCATCGATGGCGGCGCAGAACTTGACCCGGAGACGGAGCACCTGGCGTGCTTCGTGGGCGGCATGTTCGGCCTCGCGGGCAAGCTCTTCGACGCCCCCGAGGACGTGGAGCGCGGGGCCAAGCTGACGTCCGGGTGCGTCTTCGCGTACCGCGCCTTCCCGACGGGCCTGATGCCGGAGCGGCTCGACACGGCGCCGTGCGCGTCGCGCTCCCGCTGTCCTTGGAACGAGGTGCTGTGGATGCAGGAGCGCGACGCGCGGGCCGAGTGGCAGCAGCACCTGCCTCTGGGCTTCACGACGGCCAAGGACCCGCGCTACATCCTGCGGCCCGAGGCCATCGAGAGCGTCTTCTACATGTGGCGCCTGACGGGGCGGGTTGAGTTCCAGGAGGATGCGTGGGATATGTTTCGCGCGGTTGCCAACGGGACGAGGACGGAGCATGCCAACGCTGCGGTGCTGGACGTGACGCGTGAGGCAAATCCGTTGCCGATGGAGGACTACATGGAGGTGAGTGATGCGCTCGTGTTTCCCTGGCGAGATCCCTGGTCGCCGATTGCCGGACCGTGTGAATCACCATGATGCTGACTTGGAGGTGGTGCGCAGAGCTTTTGGCTGGCGGAGACGCTCAAGTACTTTTATCTCGTGTTTTCGTCGCCGGACGTTGTTAGCTTGGATGACTTTGTCTTCAACACGGAGGCGCACCCATTTAGGATACCCAGGTGATATCTTTGGTTAGGACTGGCGACCGCTCTGCGATCGGATCTCGCCTGGTCGTGATGTAATATAAATTAGATGGACCGCACGGCGTTTCCTGGAGCCCGAAAGGATCCGCTTGCCCGGAAAGTGTAAAGGGTAGTATATATAATATCCATTAAAACCGTAAATATCTCTACTGACTACCAGCTCAAAACATGGTACCCTTGTTCTGCTTCTTGTCCACGCGATAGTTCTTCCACACGGCAATGGCAGGAATACCCAGAGTCAAGACCGCCGTCGCGGAGATGGCGCCGAACTTTTGGCTGTTGCCCCAGGCATAGTTGATGGCGTCGCGGATGGGCGTGCCCACGGCGTACTTTTGGTGCTCGAGGTAGCCGCCGAGGTAGATGGCAGACCACTTGTCCTGAGCATCGGCGGGAAGCTTGGCGCGGAGGGCCTCGGGGAAGGTGCCCGCGTAGATGGCCGCGGAGACGGCGTCGCCAACGGCGCCGCCGATGCTGGAGAAGAGGCCGAGCAGCGAAAGCATCATGGCGACACCCTCACGGTCACTGGAAGCCATGACAGCCATGTCATTGCCAATGACGAGGGTACCGCCACCAAAGGCAATGAAGATCTGGCACATGACGACGTATCCAATGTCCGCCTCCTGGCCGCGGAACTTGATCATGAGGCCCGAGCCGAGGATCATGAGAGGCAGGCCAAGGCACAGCACCGTCCACTTGAAGTGCTTGGTCCAGCGGACCCACAGCCCGAAGACGACGCCCCAGAAGCAGGAGCCGACGTTGTAGATCTGCGTCATGTACCCAGCGAGGGAGACGTCGAGGTTGTACACGACGGTGACGAAGCTGTAGAAGTTGAGGTTCCACGAGTAAAAGGAGAAGAAGGAGATGGCGGCCATGAAGCACGCGCCGAGGACGGTGCGCTGGCGCAGCAGCTCCCATCGGATGAAGTGGGTGCGCGCGAACCACTTCTCCCAGGCGACGAAGACGAAGAACAGCAGGAAGCCGATGACGACCATGGCGATGAAGGTCGCGCTGTCATAGGTGGCGCGGTTGTAGCTGACGAGACTGAAGGGAAGGAGGAACAGGACAAAAGCAATCATCAAGAGCAGCGCGCCGACAACTAGAAACGAGTAGATCAGTATTCGAAGCCTTTTTAGGTATACAGCAACAGAGGAGGGAAGTGGACAAGGGTCGTACCGTCAAACTCGTGAATGTAGTGCTTGATGAACTGTGCCGTCGTTCGGCCGCTGTCTTCGCGCTTGAAGATGCCCATCTTCTCCGCCTTGCGCTGGTAAAACTTGAAGACGACGGCAAGGGGCACAAAGACAAAAGGCTGGATTATGGCGAAGGAGCCAATGGCCCAGCGCCAGGTGCTGTGCTTGAGGAACGACTGCGCGGCGAGCGGGCCGGTAAAAGCTGTGCAGATGAAGGGCGTCGAAGCGAACCCAAAGGCGAATGCACGGTTACGGAGGCCCGACGTGTCGGCCATGAAGATGTCGAGAATCATGTACAACGCGTCGTAACCAATCCAATAGAGGACATAACCGGCGGCATAGCCATCCGGTCCGTTGCAAGACGCGAGGACAATCATGCCGAGGAGATAGACACCGAGGAAAACGAGGTACCCCTCGGCGCGGCCCCAGATGTTGAGGGTCTTGGCAATCGGCAGCTTGAGGACGCCGCCGATGATGTTGGACAGGATCGACGCGGTGGTGATGGCCGGCGCCGTTTGGAAGTCGGCGTACGCGGCAAAGGATGCATATCCCAGGATGCTCTGCTGCAGAGCCAGCATGAAGAAGCAGACCCAGATCCTGTCAAAGCTCATGTCAGAACATGCAATGCCTTTAGCGGTGCCAGTGTCAAAGTGGCTCACCATGCGTAGGTAGCCAGGACGGCCTTCCTGCTCCAGACAAGCGCCGCGGCCTCGGCTTTCTGCACACCAAGCTCGGCACCGCGAGTGACCTGGTCTGGGTGCAGCTCAATCTCCTTTTCGTTGCGCGCCTCGAGACTCAGTGTGTCCGAGTCGCTCGTCGCCTGGTCGGCGAAGACGCCGGCCTCATCCTTGCCCCCGGGCTGGCGCTCGGGGAAGCCCGCGACCGCATCGGCGGTCTGGGCATTCTTGCGGTTGCTAATGACGTTGAGGAGACGCATTGCAAGTGCGACTGCGCGAGGGCAGCAGAAACGAGCTGGGAGAAGGGGAGGAGGGAGGATGTTTTCGCGCGCACACCGTCAGCTTAGGATCTAGCCACGCATCGTGGGCGACGTGTCGCACATATAAGTCGGCACAGCGTCGCATCGAGTCGCCGCTGAACAGGGTCGCAGAGACTCCTAGTCGCACAGACGAGGCCCAATGTCCACCACACACGGCACGAGGTTGCCGGTGGCTCTCCACCCGCGAGATGGTCCGTCGACACATCCCGACGAATCACCGACGTCGTGAGCCGACGGGGTGCGGATCTGATAAGATTTTGTGGCATCAGACAAGCGGCCGGGCCGGGGAGGGGCGTCCAGGGGCGCAAGGGGGGGCCGCTTTTCGCTCGCGCCGATTATCAGCCAACGCCACGGAGAGCTTCAGAGAGCAAGAGACAGAGAAAAATGTTGGCGCCCGCCGGTTCCGGGATGGCGACACCGAACCCGTGGTTCCATACTGGACTGGACTGAGTCGACTGATTTATTGCCAGGCCGAAGCCCTTTAGCCAGTTTGCCAGGTCCCATGGGCCAAGAGGCTACCAGACTCCATCCACCGACTCCCCAAGATCGAGCCCAGTGCCCACCTTTACCATACCCTGAGAGGCCTGCCTTGCCTCTTTGCAACCGGGAATCTTACATGCAAAAACCGGTCGGCTCTCCCACGCTAAACAAAGAGACCGTTGGTTCCGGTCCTCGACCTGTCATCACTAGCTCTGACGGAGTCCCCGAAGGACGCGCAGGAACAGGCAGAAGGATTTTTTTTCGCGCTCGTTCGCCGACCAACGATGTTTCTCTGACCTTGCCCATCTTTCGCGTCTGACGTCCCTTTCGGGAATAAAGCTTGAACGGCCGTTGCTCTTGTGGGTTAAGACGCGCCCACCAAGGTCCTTTATTGCTGTTAAGCTTGCCGCCGTGCCTCATGATCTTCGCCGAGGATCGTCGTACTTGCAGTCGTTTGCAGCTCACAGCGTCACACTGGTGAGAACGCCTGTCGTGGCGCAAAGAGCTCTTTTGCTGGATCTCGCGGCATCTGCCGAGCCAAGAGGCTTGGGTAGGGGTTCTGCCGTCTGAACCCCTGAGCTGGCCGGTCGCGGGATGTGGCGGCCGAGGGTGTCCGCACACGAGGGCCCGCCCATCTCGGCGCAAGGCCCGAGGCTCGGTGGGCCGAAGTGTAAAAGCCTCCGGCGGGACAACGACAGCTCTCTGCAGTCTGCACTGCCGGCATGGGCGCACGGGATCTGAAGATTATTTGCTCACGGAGTGGGTTCGTGTTGGGCAAGGAATATTGAAAAGGACCAGGCGCGAAGTGCATGCTGCCAATTACTGAGTGCCAGCGGCCTCGCCGCCCGTGGGTGCACAGCCGGCATCGGTCACGCAGCATAGCACTGACTGGCCGGTTCCAGGGCATCGGAAAATGGAATGACATGATGTGGTTGCGCAAAGTGACCAACATGCCAGGGTGGTGCCCAACGGCGCGTCGCACAGCCTGTAACTTGCTCCCGGGCGTGCGTCGTCCATGCCCTCGCTATGACCTGTGGCTGGCCCTAAACATGGAAAGCGGTAGCGGTGATGAAGCAAATGATGCAATACCATTTGAAGTCTGTCATAGCGTCAGAGAGGCAACCCGGCCTCGCTCGTGAGGCGGTTTCGCCAAATGACAAGATGAATATGGGACTTTTGAGCTGTGCAACGTACATACGTACAACACCTCCGGCCGTGAGCTGGAGTTTGCAACATGGTACAGTATGAGTTTCGAGCGTGCGTTGCGACCGCTCAACGCAACTGAGTAACAACTTGAAGCAACGGCTCTCATGTAAATGACAGTATAAAGTCCAGTCCTGATCAGTCAACTCACGGCCAAGACGGAACCGCGCACTCAACCTGGCAGTCATACATGCGGCCACACTGCCCTTGTTGTATTTCTTCAGGTAGAGTGGAAAGATCGACCCATCGGCTTCCTTTGCTGAAGCAGCTTCACATCAATGGCGCACTTGTTCCAGTCCGGATGGCTGTGCCGGGTTTCTGGCGTTGGCGAAGTTTCCCCCGTGGAGCTACTAAGCTTTGCGGAATACTAGGTATTATTGCAACGGAGAAAGGCACCATTTGACTGCAAGTAGCAGTTGTCAACGTCTGGCGCATGAACGCATGCATTCGAAGAGGGCATGGCACAGCGCAGCACGACTCAGTGAGTCAGTGTAGCCATCGTTATAACTACAAACTCCACTAGAAAATTCTCTCTTGCGGTAGAAAAGCGCATCCAAAACTGGCCGTCACCGTAGAATACGAGGTGCTCGCACATCCCGTAGGGCACGGATCATTGCACCCATAGCTCGTCGTCGAGGTGGGAACCGGCCAGGGGCAGTCGTTGCGGAACGACAGAGTCTCAATCTCGACACACAGAGGCCGCACGCACGTCTTGCAATGGCCGTGAGTAGCCATCACCGTCGGGCAAGGGTCCGTCGGGGTCGGACCGTCCGTCCGAACGATCGAGTATGACGTTGTTGCGCAGCCCTGGGGGCATCGGTGTCCGCAGCAGGGGAAGTAGGTCATGGACGTGGCGATCCGCTCGGGGCAGTCATAGTGATTGGTGATTGTCTCAGTGACCGTGCAGTCGCTTACGCAGCATGTCGGACAGATGTCGCATGTGGCCGTGATAGTCGGACATTTGCCCTCAGCGGCGACGAGCGACGCAGCACTACGCTTGGTCACTATGTCTAATCGCAACGTAACCTTGAAGCCAAGGGGAACTGTACACATACCTGAAAATTGAAAAGATGGTGACAAGAAGATGCATCTTGAAGACTGAAGTGTTGTTGGCTCTGCTAACTCGGGTCTAAATAATGTTGAGAGAGTTGAGTTCAGATACCATGAACGTCCAGTCATCATCATTGCAAATGCCAAGAAATCCTTTTGTTATATCTCTCGCCGCTCAGCGAGCTCACCGTCAATCGCGATGCAGCATCGCAGTTGCATAAGACGGCCTTTTCATTGCCCGACGGGTAAGCCTCCAATCAAGCCAGTCCAATACATGAACCTTGTCCAGGCCACAGAGATTCTGACCTGTGCGATGTGGCTTCGATGAGCGGCCGAGTACGAGACACCAGCGAATGAGAGCTCCCCAGGGTTCGTATTCAGCTGGTCGGCTGACTTATTGCCTATTCCAGCGACTGGCGTGTACTGGTGTTGTTGAGATCTCTGACCTGGAAGCGCCACCGAGGGGCAGCGCCTGCTTGCCGCCTGGTGGCAACGACCCGAGAACCGAATGCAACTCTTGACCATTCTCTGTTCAATGCATTGACTTAGCATGGCAATCTTTGCATCAGAGGTCATTGGAGACGGCTGAGTAGGTCCTATCCAGGGCTTCCGACTATCATGTCAGAGTGCGCCCTTCTTGCTAAAGACTGGAGCTGGCGCGAAGTCATAGCCACAAGAATATGTCGGCGTTCATGACAAGTACCTGATCATCGCTCCCAATCCTTTACAATCAATCAGTAACGGTGATCACCACCCGCCGGTATCGTACGAAGAAGCAAGCTTCTCCCCAATACGGTCTGAGTCCGAGCCGCAGCGGCCATCGCTGTATCGACGCTTGCCATTAGTCCGCACAGACATCAGTTTACACCGGCGCGCGGGTATATGAAAGAGCGACAGCATCGGGCGGCGGCCGTGGGAGCAGGTATGTCTGCGGGACTGGACTGCTGAGAACGGGGTCTGAGGCTAGTGCCTCAACTCTAATACCCAACATCTTGGCAAAGTAAACGGTGTTGAAGCGGCTGCTAAGGCCATTGCTCAGTGAGCGTGGACTTGTGCTATTGTATTGACATGTGATGGGTCACGCCTTCAGTGAGCGTACGGACACCCTGAGGAAAAGGATGAAGCGCCAAAATGGCGCTCATCGGGTCCTCTCAGTATTCTCACACCTTGGGGCAGTATCTGCTGCCCAACTGAACTTGCACGCATCAGAGGAAAGGAAACATATTGAGGGGTACAGTCTTGCTGGGAAGAGGGAAGAAGGGGACACAATCGACTCAATAGAACAGCCAAAGGGAGCCGAGTCAAAGGGAGCCGTGATGTGAACATGTTCAACATCCAAACCAAGTCCGTACTCGATTTGTGAATCTAGTGAATTCGCTCCCTCTAAAATACAGTCTAAGATTTTGGTTTAAATCCCCAATCCCCACATGCACTGCCATGCCCTTTCGATATCACCATGTTGCCGGCCGTCCACGTAGACGGTCCATGTGTGCCTTGATTTGAGAGTCGCGAGAGTCCACAATTTAGGGCGTGGATATAGACCAGACCGGCGGCAGGAGAACGAGCTCAAATCCAGCGACGTGGGTGATACTCTAGAAGCTTCGTCTTGACCGCCCTGACGATTCCGCATTCCACTGCACGGTTCCAGACATCCTGTATCATCGCAGCCGAGTCGTTACTGCCCCGGCTCCTATGGTTCTTGACAACGTCACTGCAGATGACGGAAAAGCCTTCCAGATGGCCAGACTCCATGTCGCCCTTGAACTCTAGCCTCTGAAAGCCGCGCTCCACCGAGACGTCGTCGTAGCATTGTTCTTGATAGTCATCCACGTCCAGGACGAAGAGCCAGCCGCGGCCACTCACGTCTGCCTCGACGTAAGGAAAGACCCTCGGCACGTCACCGGGGCGACTGAAGTGACAAAAGTGAACCGTGTAGGGACTCATGATGCGAAAGGTACTAGAAATGGCAGAAATCGTGGTCGATTGAGCGATTTGCTTGTGTAAGAGGATGCTGAGTTGGAAGAGGAACGATTGCTCTTATATATACATAAATGCAAGCGAACAGGACAGCGAGCTCGTGCTCAATGTGATTCAGACACGACCCGTGAAACGATACTGCAAGTGCATTCATCTGCTATGCTCACGTAAGATCTTTTGAACATGAATGGAAGTTGAAATCGGAGCATCTTGCCCGCGGCGCACAATGGTCTTGGTTGACATGCCGGGCGGCGAGTTCGCATCTCATGTCCGAACCCTCTGTGGCTCTAGAACTTCTCTGACTAATTTCCTAATAGCCTCTTTCTGTTTGAGGCACGCGCACGGACAAGGCGCCCGAAAGGTCAACGTCAATTCAAAGTAGTCGGCCCCGTAATGTCTACGCCCCCATTTCTTCATCGCGCCGTACAAGGATCCACGGCAGGCGCGGACTTTGTCAACCGCATTTAGGTAACCAAGCTCAGGCCGGAAGACTTTGTGAAGATGCGCAATTACGTGGTTGCCTTATTGCCGCGTGGATGGGCGCGGAGAGGACGGACGGGCGCTGTCTCGGGTTCAATGGGGACTAGGACACAGACACTGCCGTGAGCTTTAGGCGTCCAACGCCTCGACAAGAGAACGAACATTGGAGCGCTCAAAATAAACTACAAAGGGCTGAGATTGTGCCTGCAAGGTTGTAGACAGCTTCGGGGCAACTCAAGAGTGGAACAAACCGTGCTTTGTACACGTACGTGGCCGTGCGTTCTGGAGGCAACGCTCGAGCATGGTGCAGTTGCGTAATCTGTAACTAGCTGGCGGGCACCGTTACGACGCCGGCACGAACAGTGGATGAATGGCATGCTTCCTCCTAGCAATGAAGGGTCTCACTGCCTCCGACTCTCACCGTCTCCCCGTTCCCATGAAGCTTCTGCCCCACGTTCGTCTAGTTGGCCGGTGCAAGTGAGGGTCCTTCGACCCCACCTTGGCCCCCACCGGTCAATTAACGGCTCAGACGTTGAGGTTCGGTCAACAACTCCCAGCTCGGAGAGAGCACAGTTCGAGAAAAGGGGACAGCCAATTGAAGATGGTATCAGATCCAGAATAGTAGAACGAAGTGATCCCAAGATTCAGCTTAATTTCCCGCAATAAACGAGTGCGGTGTCTCGCGGCGGCAGTCACGACCATCCACGTGAACGCGCAAAAATGCCGGACCGAAAATTTTTGCCCCTCTATCGATAAGCGGCGGAGGAGGGGCAGCTCAAAGTGAATTTCCTCTGACGCGAGCCGGCCATCATTCTCGCGCCTGTTGGGACGCCCTTTCGCGACAAGCCTTTTCGCAAAGGTTTGCGGTCACTGCCCCAAGCCGGTCCATTCACCACGCCCGCCATGCCTCACGAGATCTTGGTCGGTAGCTCCTGCTACACGGCGTCTACCGCCCAGGAGCTCAAGGCTCGCGCCAACAAGACCAGCCAGCCCGCCATCAAGCAGATTCGCGGCCAGTGGGTCTACTACGTCGACCTCGTCAACCCCAGCAAGGCCGTCCTCGATCAGGTCAAGGAATTGCTGCAGGATGTCGACTCGGAGCCTCTCCTCGCTTCGGAGAGCGGCGGTAACTCCACCAGCATCTACGTTACACCGCGCTACCTCTCACCCTGGAGCTCCCAGGCCACCAGCATCGCTCACGTGTGCGGCCTGAAGGACCATGTGCGCCGCATTGAGAAGGGCCGTCTCATTGTCGTCGACTTCGAGACCCCCTTTGAGGCTGGCCAGGAGGCCTCTTTCCGGGATGTTCTTCACGACCGCATGACGGAAATATTTGGCCTCGAGAAGCCGTCCCTGGACGCCATGTTCCAGGACGATGCGCCCGCCCCTCTCGTCGTTGTCGACATCTTCGCCGATGGCAAGGATCCCCTCAGTATCTTGAAGCAGTACAACCAGGAGAAGGGCCTCAGCCTCGACGAATCCGAAATGCAATATCTCGTCGACGTCTTCACGAAGCTCGGCCGCCCTCCTCACGACGTCGAGCTCTTCATGTTTGCCCAGGTCAACTCTGAGTAAGTCGACGTGTTTAAGACGGCACGTTTGGCACCGCTGACAAGACAGACACTGCCGCCACAAGGTCTTCAACGCTAGCTGGACCATTGACGGCGTACCGCAGGACAAGAGCCTCTTCGAAATGATTAGAAATACGCACAAGAAGACTCCCGACTACACCGTCTCGGCCTACAGCGACAACGCCGCCGTTCTCCAGGGCGAGTCTGCTCACTTTTGGTCCCCGGACTACTCAACTGGGTCCTGGAAGCTCACACCCGAGGTCGCACATGTGCTGGCCAAGGTCGAGGTTAGTGGTGTATCGCCACACGTTCGATGCATTGAATCATATTGACGTTCGCTATGCCAGACTCACAACCACCCGACCGCCATTTCGTGAGTTTCCACTAGGACCATCACTGTGTGACCGACTGACCACTTTCTAGTCCCTTCCCTGGCGCCGCTACCGGCTCTGGCGGTGAGATTCGAGACGAGGCGGCCGTCGGCCGTGGCTCAGTCACCAAGGGCGGCCTGTGCGGTTTCTGGGTGTCTGACCTCCTCATCCCCGACCGCCGCGCCCCTTGGGAGTCGGACATTGGCCGTCCGGCCCACTATGCGAGCAGCCTTGATATCATGCTCGAGGCCCCCATCGGCAGCGCTCGCTTCAACAATGAGTTTGGCCGACCTTGCCTTACAGGCACCTTCCGCACCCTTCTCACCCCGGCGACGTCCAATGGCGCCGCCGAGGATGCCAAGGAATGGCGCGGATACCACAAGCCCATCATGCTGGCTGGTGGTGTCGGCACCGTCCGCCCCCAAAATGCCTTGAAAGAGGAGCGATTCGTCCGCGAGGGAGCGCACGTCATCGTCTTGGGTGGCCCGGCCATGCTCATCGGCCTCGGCGGTGGAGCAGCTTCCAGCAACGCGTCGGGCGAGGGCAACGCTGATCTGGACTTCGACAGCGTGCAGCGTGGCAACCCCGAGATGGAGCGACGCGCCCAGATGGTCATCAACACCTGCACGGCCCTCGGCGAGCAAAGCCCAATCGCCATGATCCACGATGTTGGCGCCGGCGGCCTGTCCAACGCGCTTCCCGAACTCGTTAAGGACGCCGGATACGGCGGCAACTTTGAGCTTCGGCAGGTTGAGAGCGCGGACCGGAGCATGAGCCCGCTCCAGATTTGGTGCAACGAGGCCCAGGAGCGATATGTGCTTCTGATCAACCCCGAAAACATGAACCGCTTTACCAGCATCTGTCGCCGTGAGCGCTGCGGCTTCTCTGATGTCGGTGCTGTCGCGTCTCGGGACTCGAGCGGCGTCTCCAAGCTGGTGCTCACCGACCGAGAGTCCAAGGAGTACCCGCGCCCCATTGACTTGCCGATGGATGCACTCTTCCCCCCCAAGCGCCAGCAGGATCGCACTGCCACCTCGATCAAGCCCAGCTTTGCTCCTTTCGATGCCATGGCGTCTCTTCGCAAGGAGTTCGGGGAACTCGGCAACTCTGATCTGCTCAACAAGGCCGTCGAGCGCGTATTTCTGATGCCTGCCGTGGGCTCCAAGTCATTCCTCATCACAATTGGCGACCGGACTGTCGGTGGACTCACGACCAGAGACCAGATGGTTGGACCGTGGCAAACCCCGGTCGCCGACGTCGCCGTCACGGCCACGTCCTTCAGTCTCGGTGGAAAGCAGAGGACCGGTGAGGCCATGGCCATGGGCGAGAAGCCTACCTTGGCGCTTGTCGATCCTGCCGCCTCTGCCAGGATGGCCGTTGCAGAGAGTTTGTTGAACATTGGCGCGGCCGACATCATGGGCGACCTGCGCCGCGTCAAGCTCTCGGCGAACTGGATGGCCGCCGTGAGCCACCCTGGTGAGGGCGCTGCCCTTTACGAGGCGGTCAAGGCCATTGGCATGGAAATGTGCCCGGAGCTCAACATCAGCATCCCCGTCGGCAAGGACTCGACGTCCATGAAAGCCGTCTGGAAGGAGGACGGCGATGCGAAGAGCGTCACCGCTCCCGTCTCGGTCGCAATCTCCGCCTTCACGGTCGTTGAAGACGTGCGGAAGACCTGGACCCCGCAACTCCGCCGTGTCGAGGAGGTTGGTGAGACGATTCTCATGTTTGTCGATCTCGCTGAGGGACGCAAAGCCTTGGGTGGCTCGGCTCTGGCCCAGTCGTTCGGCGCCGTTGGCAACGAGGTGCCTGACATGCAGAATTTCGATCTGATGAGGGACTACTTCGATGCCCTGTCACAGCTGCACGAGAGCGGCGTTGTGCTGGCCTACCATGACCGATCTGACGGTGGCCTGATTACTACGGTCGCTGAGATGATGTTCGCTGGCCGATGTGGCGTCGACATGATGATGGACGGCATCGCCAAGTCGGGTCAGGCGGGCGACATGATAGAGGCGCTGTTCAACGAGGAGCTCGGTGCCGTCTTCCAGGTCCGAGCCTCCGACGAGATCAACTTCAAGCGCTGCTTCGCTACCTGCGGCCCCCCGCCTGGCTTGATTCGCAAGTTTGGTGTGGTCAAGTCCAAGGGTAAGCAGTCACTGACGATCCGCCACGCCGGTGCTACGTTTGCCACGCTTGGCCGTGCCGAAATGCAGCAGTGGTGGTCCAAGACCTCTCACGAGATGCAGCGGCTGCGAGACAATCCTGCCTGCGCAGACTCCGAGTTTGCCACCATCGCAGACTCCGAGGACCCCGGCATGTCCTACAACCTGACCTACCCCCCCGCCGAGAACATTATGCCCCTCACGTCGTCCATCAGCGGCTTCTTTGGCAAGGTCCCGCGGGTCGCTGTGCTGAGAGAGCAAGGTGTTAATGGCTACGCCGAGCTGGCCTTTGCCTTCAAGGCTGCCGGCTTTGAGCCCGTCGACATCCACATGACGGATGTCTTGGATGGGAGGTCCCTTGCCGACTTTACTGGCTTGGCTGCTCCCGGAGGCTTCTCGTACGGTGATGTTCTTGGCGCAGGTCAGGGCTGGGCCAAGTCGATTCTCATGCACGAGAACACCCGGCGGGAGTTTACCGAGTTTTTCAAGCGTCCTGATACGTTCGCTCTGGGTGTTTGCAATGGCTGCCAGTTGCTCACACGCATCAAGTCTCTGATTCCCGGCGCCGAGCACTGGCCGACGTTTGTCGACAACACCAGCCAGCAATTTGAAGGCCGTTTCAGCATGGTCAAGGTCGAGGAGAACAGCAACAAGCCGTCCGTCTTCTTCCACGGCATGAATGGCTCGACTTTGCCCGTTGTTGTGTCTCACGGCGAGGGTCGGGCCAAGTTCCCGTCGCCTAACTCGCTGCAGGAACTGACCAACTCGGGCATGATTCCTCTTCGCTATGTCGACAACCGTCTAGGTGTCACGGAGCAGTACCCCTACAACCCCAACGGCAGTCCTGGTGGTGTTGCCGGTGTGTCGACCAAGGACGGCCGCTTCGTGGCAATGATGCCGCACCCTGAGCGCACCGTTCTTGCTGATGTGGCCAGCTTCGTACCTCGGGACGCCGTCGAGGAGTGGGGCGAGTTTGGCCCTTGGGTGCGCATCTTCCGTAGCGCCCGACGATGGGTGGGCTGAGCGGGTTTGATCTCTTGTCGGTTGCAATATTGGTGTCACGAAAACTATAGATGGGTATGGTGTTTACAACTGATCTCGCAAAGAGTAAAATTACGATATGAGCAGGTACCTTAGCTGGCTACAATTTTACAGGCATTGTCCGTACGAATAATCTCATCGCTGTCTTGACTGCCGATGGTCCCGCCGTCTCACATCCACGCACCATCTACAGCATAGACACTGCCACTCACAAAGGTGCTCTCGGGCCCGAGAAGAAAGGCGACGACAGCAGCAACCTCCTCGGGCTTTCCGTATCGTCGAAATGCTGAGGATTCGTCAAACGGCGCGTTGGTAGGCCGCCCAGTCTGAGCCCAGGCTCGCTCCATCATGGGCGTGTAGATAGCTCCTGGAGCGACGGCATTGACCCGGATCTCACGATCGCCAACTTCCTTGGCCGCCGCGCGGGTGAGGCCAACGACGCCGTGCTTGCTAGCTCCATATGCGCCGTGGAGGGCCATTGCTGAACACCAATCAGCTTGACTACTTTGCATGGTCGAGTTCACGTCGCTTGTCAGGTTCACAACCACCTGGCAAAAGTCTCCTCCAAGGTCGCAAAAACACGAAAGGGACAGCAAATTTCAAAGCAGGGCGCAAACAAAGGGAAGGGGGAAATAATACCGTTTGTTCCGTGTATGCTCGCCATATTGACAATGGAGCCGCCGTCCACGACGCACTTGAGCTCCGCGCGCAGACAGTACATGCACCCTGTGAGGTTCACCGCGATGAGGCGGTGCCACTCCTCGTCGTCGTCCGTGTCCGCGACGGAGCCTACGGAGTGATACCGCCCGATGACGCCCGCGATGTTGGCCGCGCCGTCGAGCCGCCCGAAGCGCTCCACGATTCCGGCGACCCAGGCATCGACTTGCGCGCGCTGCGTGACGTCGACGCGCGTGATCTCGAACCTGGGTTTTGCCTCACCATCATGACTGGTCTCCCCGGTCTTGGTGGGCGCGGGCGGGGCTGCGGATGGCTCAGAGGGTGTCGAGGTCGGCTGCCGCTGCTGCTGCTCCTTGGAAGGAGGAGGTTGGCTTGGCTGAGAGATTTGCGCCGTGAAGATTGCCTCTGCGGCGCCGAGGGCTGAGTCGTCCACGTCGGCGACGCAGACGGTTGCGCCGCGCTCGAGGAGGAGCTTAGAGGTTGCTAGGCCGATGCCGCTTGCGCCACCAGTGACAGCAAAGACCTTGCCCTGAAGAGCCATGACTCCTGGCACTTGGTCCTTTCGTTGCTTGTTCTACTTCTCAGGTACCAGCAAGGGCGTTGGTGGGCATAAATGAGTTTCCACTGGTGATTGGAGTCAGTAGTGGTCGTCTTGGAGGTTGGAGATGCGAGCCTTCTCCAACGACAATGGCTAGATATCTTGTATATGACGTCAGCCTGCCGTGAAAGCGCACATCAGCGGAAATAGCGTCAATATTGAATGAATCAAAACGCCGTCAATATGGTTCTCTAATCGCATAGATGGTGGCAATAGAAAGTGAGATGTGTTGTACCGGTGAACGAGCGACCGGGAAGATCTTCAGTCCGAGACGTAAGACGTCTTTGTGCAAGTCGGAAAGCGGGGGTCGCACCCCGCTCAGTTTACCTAGCAGACCATGCCGATTAGACGAGAAGATGCATGATGGGCGTACATGTAGATCCATAAGAGGGCTGCAAGACAATGTGCTGGCTTTGCCAGTGACTCCCTACATGTACGAGTATACAAAGGACGGGTATGTTGTATTCTCACACGAGCTGACGGCTCGTAGATGTTGCAAGTAAGGTATCTCCACCATGACTCCAGCTCATCCCAAATACAAAAAGGGAGACATCTAACTATACACGCGGATGCATCTCAAAGCTGACGCTGCTCTCATCGTCGGACCTCCCGCTGCTATTCCCCGGAACCTCTTGCACCCGATCTACCGCCTTCAGCTGCTTTTGAGACTCCACCAGCTCTAAGCTCGTCTCGACGAGAATGCCGCCGAAGCCCGACCCGTAATCATCCGGTAACCTGTAAAACGCGCCGCTGCCTCTATCCGGCCGATTGTTGGTTTCTGCTGTAGTTTTGAGAGTCTGGGGTGTGATGAAGCTGCGTAGGGGTGTCGCCCCACGGCTCTGGCTTCCGTCGTGTAGCTTGCCGCCGTTGGCGCTCTCGCTTCGGCTCGTCCCGTCTGCGTTTCGGGAGCTGAAGACACGGCTGAGGCCGAGCTTGGAGGCGGCAAGGCGGACGACGGGGCGCATGGTGGGCAGGCAGGCAGAGATGATGCCGGCGGACATTTCGATGTCGGACCACGCGAGCAGCGGGGCGAGGGTGTAGCTGACGTCGTGCTTAGAGTAGTTGAATAGGACCCATGTTCTGTAGGATGATGCGAAGACGGCACTGCAGACGGGTTAGTGAATGCTCAAAGCAGGGGAACGTCGGAGGGGTGGAAGAGTCTTACAAGAAACCCAAGCTGAAAACAAACGTCAAGCCAACCTTTTCAGTCCTCTTCAACTGCAGCCTCCATATTTGCGGAATCGGCAAAAGCAGGATGACGATATCCGAGAAGATTGTAGAGCTCGCATTGGCCAGCCAAACGCCAAGCTCGCTCACACAGTGGCCCGGCAGCTCGGGCCTCCATAGCTTCTCCACTGGGACGCAGATGAAGGTGAAGAGGAACGAAACGCAGATGGCCCAGGTCACGACAAAGGCGCCGACGCCAATGACCAGCCTCTTGAACATGGGGAAGTGGAAGATGCGGTAGTACATGAAGAGCAGGCTGAGCTTGGTCCAGCAGAGGTTCCACACGTAGATGATTTCCGTGATGAGCAGCCACCGCGAGATGTTGATGACGGCCTCGGGCCCAACGGTGGAGTCGTGGTAGCCAACGCCTTCGATGTACATGGCGAAGCCGATGCCGACGACGACCCAGTTCCATATCTATACGGGGTATGCTATTAGCATGGAGGCGCCATGTCGCGCCGTAACCACGTGGACCGCTGCAAATGCCTCGAGGACTCAAAGCACAACAGCTCATGAGCCAGTCCATTACACGCGAGGAGGTAGCTTACCATGGAGAACATTATCAGGTAGTCATCCCACCAAAACTTTTGCTTCCTTATATGCCGACACCATAGCCTCGCGGCGACGGCCATGAAGGCCAGAGTCGTCATGAAGGCGACGACGAGGATGATCCACCTGCGCATGCCAGCCGGCTCGTACCGCGGCACGCCGGGGACGTACGAGCCCTCGAGTTCCCCCATGGCTCTCGTCCGCGCGCCGGCGACCAGCGAAAACGCGACGATGACGATGAGGAATGCCGAAAAGACAAAAAGAAACGCCTTCACGCGGGCTCACGAGCGGCCCGCATGGGGGGAGGAATCTTCAACGACGAGATCCGGAGGAGCTCATGGGGCAGAGCAGGACAGGGCAGGGAACAAGGGACGAGGCGGGAGGAACTGGGGACATTTAATGCATGGACAGCGATCCATGATCTGCGCGCATCCTTCAGCCCAGCAGCCAGGGCGGGAGCGGGCCCCGGGACGTGAAGAACCTGGGGAAACTGGGGCCTGCCCGCGGTTTGCGTGGATGCACCACCGGGCGGCTCCAGACTCCAGATCCATCTTAGGGGGGGATGGGGCAGTTGAGCGTCGTTGCCAACTTGGAGGTCCTAAGTTAGTCAACGGTGCTGACAAGCCAGCCGGCCGGCCAACCAGCCAAACACTGGGAGGAGGGGACGGGCGGCATGGGGAGAGGGAGGCTTGGAACCCACGCGGCGGCGACCGCGAAGGGCCTCACTAAACCTGTTGGAGGAATTGCTCGTCGAGGCTTGTCTGCATGTGAAGTCGTAGGCGTTTGACATGTGCCCTAGTGCGGTAGAAGTGGGCACGGGCCATTGAACCAAGATGGGACGCAATCGGCGGGCCGTTGATTCTCGGCCGCTGTTTCGTCCGCGCATGACTTCTGCCCGCCGTCGCTCAATGCTAACTTGTCTTGACTACTGCGCGCTCGGTCCCTCGAACCGAAGCAGCTCCAGTGGCACACGACTCGGTGCAAGATTTAACGTTTCTGTGAAGCCCCGAACAAGAGGCACCTTGGTTTCTTGGTGGAATTGCCTAAACGGTTCTTCACTGCTACGCAACGCAAAAGCCACCAATGCTGCGCTTGCTTTGGCCTTTTGCTCCTTCTTCCCCGCGGCATGGGACGAGGACCGCGCTGGTGCTGGTTCTGGTTCGATATAGGACGTGCATGCATTTGATCGCACAGCACCACCACACAGATCCAGGCCAGGGGACGAGACGAGCCGCCCACGTACCGGAAGGCGCAAGCAACAGCAATCTGCAGTCCCTCTTGCACGTGCTGATCGGAGCTAGTGGTCAGCTTTTGGGACCGGGGTGTTGCTGCTCTTTGTTCCAGGCCAGGGCCAGGGGGTCGGTGGTGGTGCCGCCCGCCGGAGCCGCCGTTACCGGTCTCTAGCACCGGCGCGACGACAATGTAGGCATCGTCAGCTCTTCGCCTGGGCCCTGTCGATATTACGGGCTAGCACGTAGTCCACGGCGCGAGGCAGTCCGGGAGCAGCACTAAAATCGCATCCTTCGGCTCGTGAGATTGTCGGCTAGTGGGCTCGTTAGCTCATGGTGTTGTTGTTGGCAATGCACTTGCACTCGTGCAGAGATGCACATCGCCATCAATGATCCTGGCTTCAACTTCTCGAGTCCAGCAGGAGCGCGGTTACTTGCCTCTGGCACACCCACGAGCCTCACGTTTATATGCGCTCCGCCTTGCCGTGTAAATAGGGTGTCATGTCACACACGTGGTGCGTCACCCAGCCTGCGCCGAAACAGTAACCTGGCAGCCACTGCACAAGGAAGTTATGCACGTCATCCTAAAGCTGCCAGCCTGGCGACGCTTGATCAACCTCGATCCGTCGTCTTCGGCTTCTCGTTACAGCCACTTTTGCTCGCATCCGGGTGGCCTCTGAGGAATTACTTGACCTCCCTCCCCTCCATGCCCCTCCACTTACCACGTACCAACGTGAGCCATGCAACGCACGCTGCAGCAACCAGTTGTTTTGCCTCTTGCTAGCTCAGAGCCCCCTGCATCAAACTCTCCGTCTGATGTTCTGGTGTTTCTAGGTCTCACGCCCGCTCTTTCGCCTCGCGAATCTAGTGTCGCCCCTTTGCCGCGCTTACCGCACATAACGCACTCGCCTACATGCACAAGCGTGCGTGTGTGTGTGTGTGTGTGTGTTTCCAGATCTGCGAAGCGGCACACGACGCACGTCAAAAACTTGGCACGATAAGGAACACTAACGATCGGGAGGGGCATGACATGGCATGGCATGGCCTTGCGCATGCGCAAAACGCGGGGTCTGGTTCCCTTCCTTCGGTCTCTGCACCAAGTTAGCCCCAGGGGACTACTTGATGCAGCCGCAGGATTCAACCCCCTTCGCCTGTTTTGGAAAGGGGCCGCAGCATCGTCGCCGTGTAGTCCATACACATCTCCAGTCCAGCCGTGTCCGGATCTGGATAAAAGGGCTGATGCGGCTCGTCCTTGACGACGCCTCCTGCTTCTCCTCCTGCCCCAAGACGGTAAGCACCGCCGACCCGTGGCCACCACCACCACCACAGCCTCGCCAACATCGCCGCGCGCGCGCCACAGCGCAGTTACATGTCTCCAAGCGTGCGTGATTCGACGGGCGCCTCGTGCCGACATGCGCCCGAGCAGGACTCGGCTAGAGAAAGCAAGCGGCGCGTATTCCAGACGAGGTAATACGACCTTCTATACCTCCTTCCGATATTGTTGCTATGGCTTCTATAAGCGTTTGACAGGCCAGAGCAGCCCGGCCCCGTCCGTGCATCATCATCTTCCAATCAGCTAGTCCTAGAAGAATGCTGCCATGGTGACATGCTTATGGAGGTGACATAAAAGTTGGTACCAATGAATGCCTGCATGAGGGCGAAGGGCGTCCTAATGGTGCTGGCTCGTCGGGCCAACTCATCGCAAGCTTTCGGGAAGAGAACATCCAGCACAGCAGTTGGAGGATCGCCTGCCGAAGCCGCGAGCGAAAACGAAGCACTTGAAACTCGTCGCCTTCCTATTTTGATACCTCTCGTCTCCTGCGTCAGGCAGCCGCGTGCATCGGTGGCGAGACCTTCACCTAATGCACAGTCTCATGTGCCCAACCTGGTTCAGCTTTGGAAAAGGTCGGGGCAACATGAATCCGGCCCAGCCTTCGGACTGGCCGACGGGGAGTCTAGACGCGGCTTACACCATTGAAGAGGCAAGGCGGACTGGCCCTGGTTTTCATCACTCAACAGGCAAGGTGGTGATGCCGATGGATGGCGCCCGAATACTGTTCTGTATTCGGCCTCTTTCAACTCAAGAGGGCACGCATGTATGTATTCATTAAATCCGTATATCATGGGCAGATCAGTGAATCGTGCCTACAGCGCAGGGCCCTCCCATGCGTCTCTCCGGGACCGCACAAACCACGCCTGTTTGTGCGGAAACGAGACCTGCCTCTCCTTGGAGAATCCCAGGGAATCCAAATGTCCCAGCATCCTGCGCGATTGTTAGTTTGCCACTTCTCATGCTCAAGCCTGAAGGGGGGTTAGCGGCTCACCTCTGGTTGTCAACGCGCGGCTCCAGGCACACGCTCATGGTGCGGATGTCCGCCGTCCAACACCAATGCATCAGCCCCGTCAACCACGCAGATACCTTCCCCCTCGCCCACTCCTCCCCGACCATGATGTGCAGCCCACGGTCCCAGTCTCCAACATCGCCGTGGCTGCCCGCGACATGCCGTCCCAGGACATCCTCCTTGACCCAGTACACCTCAAAGTACCCAAACGGAACGCCGTTCCACAGCCCGATGACGGGAAACGAGTGGCGCGAGCGCAGCGCTGTTTCAAGCTGGCCGACCCCGTAGTCGCCCCAAAATTCACGCACGCGCGGGTTGGCGTGCCACGTCTGCAGCAACGCGGTGTCGCTGAGAGTCGTCAGGTTCTGCTGCTCCGGCGTCCTTTTCTCGGTGTTGGGACATATGGGGCCAAAGTACGGCACGGGAGACGGCGACGACGATGCGACGCGGAAGGACAGGTACTGGCCTACACTCGGGACGTAGCGAGTGTAAAAGACCTCACCCATGCGAGGCGGCTTTGGACGCAACGGGTGACGCACACCATCGGTCCAGACGTACTGCAAGGGGGCGGGCGGATAGTAGGTCGGCAGGTGGGACGTGGAGAAGAAGGGTGAGATGGGAAAGGGTGTCGGCCCCACGGTGGGCGTCGTGGGCATCGGAGCCCCGGGGAGGTCCGAGTTGAAGTGAATTTGGTGCGACGTGGGTGGCAGCAGCATCGGGGTGTCGACGCCGGGCGAGCCGGGCCGGCTGGGAGAGCTCGGGCGGCTGCCGGCGGGGGAGCCCGGGTAGGACCCCAGGCCCGGGGAGAGGCCGCGCATGGGCTGGAGGGTGAAGAGGAAGAGGTGGCCGGGGATCTGCCAGAACATGCGCTTGGAGACAAACATGCGGGCCCAGCTCTCGCCGGTGTCGTCGTGGCCGGTGCCGACGGCCGAGTCCTCGGAGGCGATGAGCCCCATGCGCTCGAGCTTGGGGATCAGGTTGCGGCCGCGCAGGACGCCCTCGCGCCGGATGTAGATCTTCCAGTCGGCGCGGGGCTTCGCGGCCTCGGGGGTGTCGCGCGAGTGGGCCGTGTCGACAGTGGACACGGGCTCGGGCTGGTGAAAGTACCAGTAGAGGGTGACCCAGAGCATCATGGCAATCTGGCGGGTCGGGCTGGTGGCGGGCTTGAACTCGGCGCTGGGGGGGTTGGCGATGGAGGAGATGAAGAGGGTGTCGTTGGTGAGCGTCGGCGCCGTGAAGGGACGAGTGAGCTTGTGGGTGTGTCTGGCGCCATTGGAGTCGTCGAGCTCGGTGAGCTCGCGAGCGGAGTCCTTGTGCGTTCTGTGGTCGACGTGATTGCCGTGCTCGCTGTTGAGGAAGACGCGATCCTCCTCGGTGTGCAGGACGGTGGTCCAGCCGGCGGGGTAGGGGTGGTGATGGGTGTTGTACTCGTGGCTGCGGAAACCGACGCCGGCGAAGACGGGGGTGACGTCAAAGGTCTGCCCGTCGGGCAGGTGCAAGATGTCGGGGGCCATGACGGCTGTCGCGGACGCAGGTTACGGCCAGCCGTCGAGGGAGTCGCGGAGTCGTGGCTGAAGGGATAAGAGAAACGGAGAGACAGAGTGGCGACGTTGGAGAAGCTCAGTGCCGGGTCTTCTGCGCGTGGTGCATGGTCTCGGCTGGTGGAGCGGGGCAGCGGGCGGCAGCTCCAAGAAGCTCAAGGTTCGGTTGGCAGGTGGACGATGGAATGTGCAAGTGCGCTTGGGGCAGCCCACTTCGAGAAATTAATACCGTAGACGCTTTGGTCGTTGAGGCTCGTCGGGCTTGCGGTGGCGATGGCGATGGCGATGGATGAGGCGGACGAGAAGCTCCCCGGCCATTGTCTTGATGATATACTCGGTGCTTGGCGCAGTCAAGTCAGTCCGTCTGCGCCGGATTGGGCGAGGCCAGCCGTGGGCGGCGCACGCACCAACGGCCCCGATGGTCGTAGCACGCGGGAGCGACCGGCCACCGCCGCCCGTTCGTCAATCGCTGTCGCCGTCCAACGGGGTCGACAGGCCTCGAGGCCCCAGCGGGCGCCGACAAGTGAGTCGATTGTGACGGAACCGCGGGCCGCCAATTGGCTGGCCCCGCGCAGCTGAGTGGCGCGACGGGGCTCGGATGGAGGCAAGCGGCAGCGACCCCGCGACGTGGGGTGACCTGTGTGCGCCTCGCAAATCCGCCGGGAGCTTTGGGCGGGGAGCAGGAGAAGGCAGCGCTGACCTGGTCAGGCCATGCGCTCAGCGTGGCGCTGCAAACGCTGGCTACAGGCTTGCGGCCCGTCCGGCCCCAGAGAAAAAATGCCGGGCCCGGCTGAGAACGGCTTTCAATGTTCGGGCTTCGGCATCAGACGGGCAGCCGCGTCGACGGGCGTGGACAAGACATTTCATCCCAGTTTGTAAACGACGTCGTTGACTGGACGAAAGGAAGTGCAGCTTGCATGTCGTCTACCAGGCCCGGGGCAGTTGGCGATAACATCTACAGTTGTGAATTACCTAACGGATCCACGAGATGCGCACGGCACATGTACCTGCACGTGGCCACATATGAGCAAGGCAGGTACACCCGACGACGCCGTTCCCTCCGTGTCTATGCTGCGCCAACAACTCCGACTCCAACATCATGCCCCCGGCCAACAGCATCACTTGGCACCCCAAGGACGGGCAGCCAGCCAGCGCGCTTACTTCTTGGCCCCCGCCGGCTCCTTGACCGTCGTGTCCTCCCTCACCTTCCGCTCGTGCCGCTCGTGCTCCTCCACCTCCTCCTCCTCTTCCTCCTGCCGCTCTCGCTGCCGCTTCGACTTCTTCTTCCTGCCCTCGTCCTCCTCCTCGAGCGCCTCCTTGACCTCCTCGCCGCCCAGGTCCCGCATCTCGTCCCACTCGACGTCGTACTCGGTCGCCACCATGCGGATCTCGCGCCGCAGCAGGTTGGCCTCGTGCACAATCTGCTCCCACTTCTGCGGGTCGAAGCCGCGCTCCTGGTACAGCGCCGTCTGCCGCCGCGACACCGTCACGTTCATGGCCGCCTTGTAGCTGAGGTCGCGGCTGATGAAGAGGAACCACAGGTAGCCGCCCATGATGGTCGTCAGCCCCGCCAGGTACGTGACGGGCTCCACGAGGTCCCAGCCCATCTCCGTGTGGAAGGTGACGTAGTAGACGACCCCCCACCACGTCGCCAGCGCCGCGAAGCCGCCCTTGGCCAGCCGGTGCGCGCCCTTGTGCGCGAGCTCGTCGCAGTCGCGCTTGACCCGGGCCATCTCGTCGATCTCGCGCGACATCTTGCGCAGCCGCATCCGCATGTAGTAGGTCCGGTCCCGGAAGCTCGGCACCGCCACCCGCAGCTCCCTGTCGTGGCCCTCGATGCCGATGGCGAACTCGCGCCCCCGCGCCGCGTCTCGGATGAAGTCGCCAACCTCGGTGCTGCTGCTCCACCGCACCCAGTTGGCCTCGCCGCCCTTGCTGGGGCCCTCTCGCCCGAGCCCCGAGTAGGCCGCTACGTTGCTGCCCTGCTGGTCCCGGTCCTTGCGTTTCGCCTCCGCCTTGTTCTCCCCCTGATCGTAGTCGGCCTCGGCGCGAAACACAATCTCGGGCAGCTTCTCGCGCCCGTCGACCCGCATCGGTGGCACCTCTGCCTGGATCAGCCGCTCCAGGTACGACAGCGGCTGCTGCGGATGCACCAGCAGCGCCAACGGTTCGACGTTTTCGTTGCTCCACTCGCGTCTCTGCTGCTCGTCGGCGTTGATGTATTCTTGATCGGGGTGGAAGGGCATCGGTAGAATCAGCTTGAGCAGCCGCGTTGGCGTGGTCAACACGCGGCCTGGACGCGCCGAACGTCAGCAACATGGCACCGAACAAAACTGCGCGAAGTCGGAGAGCGCCAACTACCCTTGGTCATGTCGCCCTTTGAAGGGTCGTCCGAGGTTGCCTCTGGCAGTGCATGGCTGCTTTCGCGCATCCACGGTCGGTCGTTGACCTTGCGCTGTGCGCTTTTGGTAGTCGTGGTCCGACTCTTGTCACCATTTTGTGTCCTTGATGATGCATCGCTCGCTCTTGTGGATTCGTCTCGCCGGAAAACCAACGCCGATGTAAATGCACGTCTACCCTCTATCGCTGCGGATCGCCTTGTGCCATGAAGATGGTGAGCGGTGAAGAGGGCGCCCTGGGTTGGTCGAGCCAGGGGCGGTAGGCGCAGCGCCGCCTGTCGAAAGACACAGCTCATGCTGTGCAGGCTCTCGGTTCGGCGCGCGTCGGCGTCGCGTTGCTCATGCGTCACAGTGTCAAGCCTGTGTCGGTGTCGTTGCCCATGGCTGCAGCGCGCAACGGGGACGCGTCTTGGTTTAGTACCTGGGCTTGATCAAGGTTTGGGCGGCCGCGGAAGCTGAGGCCGCCCGTCGGAGCGTCATGACGTCAGGCGGTCGTGTGTGCCTGTCTCAGCGTCACAGCGCCCGCTCCAGTGCCGAACGCCGATCTGGGACCCCACAATCAACGTCAAGCGCTTTTCGGTAGTTGGCTATGGGAAAACCTGATCTCTTGGCCGGATCTCTTGGCTATGCGGCTCTTACCGCTGGGCATGCGCGAACTCTGGGGAATATTCGCCCGTCGCTTCTGGTGCCGCATTGACGGCCAAGCAGTGCTTTTCGCAAACACACCCCTGATCGTCGGACCCATGTGCCAAGAGACTTCATACCAGGCCCATTTTAGGTGGTGGCTGGTGTAAGTGACGAGAGCATCGTCAGTAGTAGCCACGGCGCCCACGAGTCCACGACTGCCCGCCTCCTACAGAGCACTCCTCTCCGAACAAGCGACTTCTCGCCTAGCGCAGCAAGGCGTGACCCGTCATAACCAGATACTCTAATGCCAGCCTGTGAGACGATTGACGTTGAGTGTAGGTTACTAGATCACTGCGCCGGTGGCATGGGACTAGAGCTCTGTAATAGACGGCACATTCCTGCTTAGCAAGAGCTTCGAGCAGAATAGACCATCATCTAAGTTGCCTGCTTGACCAAGGCAATCAAGATGGAGGTTATCAAAATGAAACTCTGTCCGCGAGCACTGAGCACCCACATTTTCGACAAACGCTGGAGCTGTATCTCGCGGGATTGGTGCTCTCTACGTGGCCATGGCTGCTAAATTAATCCAGGCATTTACACGAACGGGCTGTATTGAGGCATCGTCCTGGCCCGGCTAAGGGCACTGGGTGCAAGCTTCCATGTCAAGGAAGCTCAGTCCGATGCTTCGACGGCCTAGGGCGCAGTCAACGGCAGCAGCCCCCTCGGGCGTAATACAGTTTGCAGCCAGCACTTGCCTACTACACGTCGCCACAACACCTATACCGCGCCGGCCCTCGTTAAGTCATCGTGAGGACTCCTTCAAAGTTCGTCTGCCGGCAAAGTCTGTTACGCGACACAGGTCAACAAGGAGATCTGGTCTTCTATAAAATGGCTGTGAATGTGAGCCCCTTCCTACTTTCCTTCTCACCCATCTTGCACTTCACAGTACCGTTCAAACCCCCTTTGCAGCTCTACCAGCATCAGCAAACCCGATTTGACACCCCCTTACCACTTCACACCTACGCCTTCCCAAGCTCATCTTGGGCCCCCTCAAAAATCCCACCATGAGCTTCATTTACCTTCCTTGCCCATTGGGCCCCAACCACCTCGTCTTGGGCTACACGTACGCGTACGTGCTCAAGTCGAAGTGGCGCGTTCCTCGGCCTACGCCGACCCCAGAGGTAAGCTCACAGCACAGATATATCCCTCCCTGATCTGGACTCGGTACTGACATGCTCTTTCGGTAGCCTGGCCCCGTTTTGAGGCAGCCGCGCCCCCAGAGGCCTCTCGTCGTCCAGGAGGCCCTGTGGGACATGGAAGACGAAGCCGACCGCGCAGAGTTGGAGAGGGAGAAGTCGGAGCCCTGGCTTGACTTCAGCGGCCTCGTGCCCACCAAGCCAACATGCACCGGTCCCGCCTGGGACATGCAACAGCCGGCGCCGGGCTATGACATCTGGGCCGTCTCTTGCCCAGCAGTACGTGCTATCATGCGCGGGATTCCCTTCATTGGCTATCCGAGCCCGCTCCAGCACGAGGACTTGACGACCCCGTCCGCAGGCAGCCCTTCTGACAACGCCGCCGCCGCATACGCCCCAGGACCGGTCCGCAACTCCCTGCCCCCTCGCCGCTCTGTGGACGACTTCTTCGACAGGTTTCCCCCCGGCGGGCTTCTCAACGACACCACCCCGTCGCTGTTCAACCCGCCGCCGCTCACGCAGGCCGGCGCCGACGACGCCTTCGTCACGACCGCCAACGCGCCTGGCCAAGGATCCATGGGGTTTCCGCTCGGCGTGCGCCACCATACCGGCCGCCGCACCTTCGCTCCGGGAGACGTCGTTTACTGGCGCGCGCGCTATCGGGCGTTTGACGGGTCCGCGAGCCCGACCATGCCGGAGCCTCCCAGTCCCCGTACGCAGGCCCATAGGGAGAAGATGCTGCGCCTCCTGCTGTCACATCCTGAGCAACGCAACGAGTTGGAGGACGATGACGATATTTATGGAGCCTGAATAGAGACGTGGTTGGTGTTTGCTGGTCTTTTGGGCGGTTCGAGCACGGGTCTGGTTGGAGGGCGATGATGATCTTAGGCGCTTGGATGGTTTTTGGCTTTGTGTTTCTTGTTGTTTTCCCGCCGCGACCACGAGTCGGAAGGCGATGATGATTTTGGGCGTCTGGGTACTGATTTTTTGGGTTGTCTTTCTTGTTTTTGTCGCCTCTACCAGGAGGGGAGGGACGATGACGATCTCAACGGGCGTCAGGATTTGCGGCCGATTCAGGCGGTTGAATCGGGTCATTCTCGAGTTGTTAAACTGGTTGGGTCGGGAGTTGGTTATAGGGTCTGGGTGTTGGGGTGTTTCGTGGGAGATGAACGTGTGTCGGAAAGATGCTTGCTGTCGTCCGGTTCTGTCATTCCTTACACCGGCGCAGGCACAGTGAATGCACAACGTTTGGCTCAATACTGCCATCGCCGCGTGACACCGTGTTTTCAGACGTCAAAGACGTCAAAGGCGGTCGTTGTAATGATCTATTACATGATTAAAGAATTCTCGCAATTGTCTCTGCTTCCTGATGAGTGTACCGAGGGCAACCTCGGCAAGGTTGCTGGCCGTAGGGTAGGCAAATCTCGTCTTGCCTGGTACGACACGATGCCGATGCGTATTTTCCTACCCCTGGCGGGCCTGGCCATTGAGGGAGTCGTCCCCGTCGTGCAGTGAACGTCCACAGGCGTGCCAGGGGTTCATGGCGGGGCACCAGCCTGGACCCCGCACTAGGCCCAGGAGCCCAATCTGATCTCCTTGCCGTCCGTCTTTTATCGCTGGCGGTGTGCAATTTCGCGTTCCTCCTTTCTGCTCTGCCGCCATCAATCAACTCCCGTCCCGGACCTCACGCCCGCGCCGAACGACTCGCTGAGCACCCCCCTACGCAATCGCATCTGGTATCAGTTCACAGAGTCGCTGCCTCGAGCCAATTGCCAGCATGGCGGACACCAAGGTCTACCGGGCCAGCACAACGGCGCCCGTCAACATTGCCGTTGTCAAGTGCGCCTCTCCCACCAGTTATTGGATTGACATCGACTGACGACTCCCTTGCGCAGGTACTGGGGCAAGCGCGACCCCAAGCTCAACCTCCCGACCAACAGCTCCCTCTCCGTGACCCTCTCCCAAGCCGACTTGCGGACCCTGACGACGGCCTCTTGCGCCACCTCATTTGGCGGCGACAGCCTCATGCTCAACGGCGAGCAGTCCGATATCTCGGGCGCCCGCACGCAGGCCTGCTTCCGCGAGCTGCGCGCGCGCCGTGCCGCCCTCGAGGCCGCCGACGCCTCGCTGCCCAAGCTCTCGACCATGGGCCTCAAGCTCGTCTCTGAGAACAACTTCCCCACCGCGGCAGGCCTCGCCTCCTCGGCGGCCGGCTTCGCTGCGCTGGTGCAGGCTATCGCGAACCTATACGAGCTGCCCGACACGCCCTCGCAGCTGTCCATCGTGGCGCGCCAGGGCTCCGGGTCGGCGTGCCGGAGCTTGTTCGGCGGCTACGTCGCGTGGCGCATGGGCGACAAGGCGGACGGCAGCGACTCCATGGCGGACCTCGTCGCCCCGGCGTCGCACTGGCCCAACATGCGGGCGCTGATCCTCGTCGTCAGCGCGGCCAAGAAGGGCGTCTCGTCCACCTCGGGCATGCAGCAGACGGTAGCCACCTCTGGCCTCTTCCAGCAGCGGATAGCCAACATTGTGCCCGCCAACATGACGACCATGGAGCAGGCCATCAAGAGCCGCGACTTTGCCAAGTTCGCCGAGGTGACGATGCGCGAGAGCAATTCGTTCCACGCGTGCTGCGCCGACACGTACCCGCCCATCTTTTACATGAACGACATCTCCAAGGCGGCCATCCGCGCCGTCGAGAGCATCAACGCCAAGGCCGGCAAGACCATCGCCGCCTACACTTTTGACGCGGGGCCAAACTGCGTGGTCTACTACCTCGACGAGGAGGCGCCGACGGTCCTGGGCGCTTTCTCGGGCGTGCTGGGCGGCGTGACGGGCTGGAAGGAGGGCTCGGCCGGCGTCAAGTCGAGCGTCAGGCTGGAGGAGGGCATCGCCAGCGTGCTCAAGGACGGCGTGAGCAGGGTGATTATGACGAGCGTGGGCGAGGGTCCCCTCCGGACGGAAGAGTACCTGGTGGACGAGAACGGCCAGCCTGCGAAGCGGTAAAGGACTGGCCGGCGAGGAAGGCACGTAAATACAGCGCGGATGCAAACGCGCAATTAATTTCAAAGAATTTCATCCATTCGCGCTGCTAATTTGGTGTCGCGGCGCAGTGAATGGCGGGACGTGCTTGATGGTCACAGAACCTTGGAAGCTTTGGCGGTCGCAGCGAACGCCGACCTCAGCACCGCGCCAGCTGCCTTCCCGCACCTGCACCTCACACCTTGCAACCGCAACAGGTCATCGTCCCTTTCACTGCCGGCATCTGCACACGCTTTGAAGACACATTTGTTTCAAAACGTGCAACACTACACCAAATCTTCTGCCTGATAGCCGGCTGTTCGCAAACCTCCCCTCTCAATGCTACTGCCTTAGCCCTCCGCCGCTGCACCATGCCGTCGTCTCCAGCGACGCCGCAGCTCAAGCTCATGGATCGCCAGCGGCGCTTCGAACTAACCGACTTGTTCCCCAAGGATCCCTACGGCGAGCCTCCGAAGCGGCATGGCATCGCCGAGCTGGTGAACTCTGGCAAGGCGGTCGAGCTGGTGGAGATTGAGAAGTCCGGCCACCAGGGCAGGCGATGGCTGCACTTCCCCAACCATCGCGTGCTCCGAATGGTATGTCAACTCTAACGGACACGTTTGGCCCCGACCATTTGCTAACTACCGCGCAGCGAGAGAACGAGCGTGACACGGGAACGCCAGCGAACCGTCGCTTGCTCGGTTGGCGCAAGTGGCTCTTCGAGGCGTTTGTGCCCGTCGGGTTCCCAAGCTCCGTGTCCAGCGACTACGCCGCCTACCAGACGTACGACTCCCTCCAGGCGTTCTTCTCGACCATCACGTCTCTGCTCGCCAACCGAGCGCTGCTTCAGGGCCTGGGAGTCGGAGACGCCAACTCGTCGGCCACGTACGCCATGCTGCTCACAGTGCTCAAGGACGCGACGTCCCGCATCGCCACCATCATCTTCGCCCATCGCTTCGGCCTCGTCATCGAGCCCGAGGCCAAAAAGTACCGCTTTCTCGCCGACCTCTTCAACGACTCTGCATTCTTCCTTGAGCTCTTCAGCCCGTACTTTGGCTCGTTTGGCAAGGCCGCAGCGCTCTGCGTCGGAGAGGCGCTGAGAGCAGTTTGCGGCGTCGCGGCGGGTGCGAGCAAGGCCGCGCTGAGTGCCCACTTTGCGCAACAGGACAATCTGTCTGAGCTCAACGCCAAGGAAGCCAGCCAGGAAACCGCCATCGGCCTGATTGGCCTGCTCGTCGGGACCATCATCGTTCACCTAGTCGAGAACCAAACGGTCGTTCTTGTCATGATGGTCGTCTTGGTCTACATGCACCTCCGCATGAACCTCAAGGGCGTGCGCGCCGTCCAACTAAAGACGCTCAACAAGCAGCGCGCCAGCATCCTCTTCGAGTGGTACCAGACCATGGGATACGTCCTCACGCCCATGAAGGTGGCCGAGATGGAGAGCATCCTGTTCTGGAACGGCAAGATCACCAACGCGCTGGAGGAGCCCGTCTGCCGAATCGACTACGCCCGAAGTTTCGAGGACGCCATGGGCCCTCTAGAGACTAGAGGAGAGGTTATCATTGTCGATGGTTTCATGCACACGAGGTTCGTGCGCCCCTACTGCTCGCCTAAGAAGCTGGCAGACATCAAGATCATCATGTGGGAGGGCGCAGAGCCTCAGCACGTTATCCTCGCCTGGTTTTCGGCCATGCAGACGGCCTACGTGATGGAGAAGAGCGTGCCCTACGGAGACGCCAGAAAGGAAGACTTTTACCGCTCCAAGGACGACAAGGGTCTGGAGAGACTCATCGACCAGCGGTATGGTGGCGCCCGTGACGAGCTGCTCTGGGAAAAGATGGAGCGGTACTCGTGGGACCTCAAGGCCGGATCGCTGGAAGGCGGTGACTCGGCTCGGATCAGCACGACTTGCTCCAGAGTCAGCGTGGATCATTAGGGCGTCAAGCGGGCTCGGTTGACATTGTTTTTGACGCCATGCGCTTTATGGCGTCTGCGGAAAGACTGGCTACGACATGTTGGGCATGTGAAGACCTAGGTAAACCGCATGTAGATAATACACTTTGCTCTCTCGATAACCTAGTGGTGCCCCTGGTCATGCTCTGAACTAGCCAACGAAGCGCTTGGGTGGCGTTTCCTTCCACTCGGGACAAGGTTTGTCTTCTGTCGGAGTCAGTACAGTGCCCTATCTGTAAGTCAAAGGCGACGGCACTGCTTAAGTACAGCACGAGAACCCTTGCTATTGTGTTCTCTTTGCTTGATTCCTGCACATCAAGTGATCAAGATCACTCTACATTTCAATACTCTGGACCTTTGCAAGCCAAAACACCCTTACCATCTACTACCAGCGAAGCTATCCCCACGCCAAACCACTATTGAACAGGCTCTACACCGGCTTCACCTGTCAGTCTCACCTCAACTATCCCGCCTTGGTCATCGTCTAACAGCAAACCAGGACCAGGCATGACGCGCAAAGCCTACCGTCACCTGCCTCTCCCCGCCGCCGCCGCCGACTCCGCCACGATGACCACCCGTACGCCCCAAACTTGGAAGCTCGCGGCCCTGTCCGGCCTGCTTTTCCTCTGGTCCGCAGCCATCACCCTCACCAGGGGCACGCATCGCGACTTCCTCCTCCTGGTGTTCGGTGTGGCCCTGCCCAGCGCGATCCTGGTCCTCATGGTGTTTATCCTTGCCCTGATGACGGGATCGAGGACCAGGCGCCGGGAGCACGCGCCTGTGGCTGACGACACGGCGGACCTGGAGAGGGTCTGGGTCCTTGTTGAGGCGAAAGAGCGGTAATGGACGCTCTCATGGCTTACCTTGCGGCAGCAAGATGAGGAGGATATTGGTAGGGGGATTGGATAAAGACGGTATCGGTCAGACGGCAAAGGCAATTCCGATACAGAGGGGAACTGGGATGGCGGCATGGCAGAGAAGGGTTTCAATTTCTTCAGATGCTATCAGTCAATACAGCCTATCCCATACGCCAGTCCCTATGCAATGGTATCATGTCCTACTCTTACAACATGCCAAGCTCGTTCACCTCCACACCTAAGAGGCCAGCGACCCTCACGCCAGGCCCGTCCAGCGCATGGCGCGCATGCGCACGCCCTCCCAAGTGTTGAGCTTGGGCCGCACGTCGAGATAGAAGCTTGGCCCGCCGGCTTGGCCGCCGGCGCGGCCCGCGTAAAAGTCGATTACATACTCGACGCGTGTGCCGCAGCGGTCGATGACCCAGTCGTGGCGGTCAAACGGCGCTGTGTAGCCGAGGATGGTGTTGATGCGCGCTTTGGGCGTCATGCGTGTGCTCTTGTTGGCAAAGGACTCGAGCTTGGGGCCGTCGCATCTGGAGGAACACTTTTGTCAGCACAAACTGCTCTGCCTTGAAACTGCTCTATATTTTTGGGAAGAGTGGAACGGGAGGGGGTGCGAGGGAAGAAAACGCACTTGGACTGCGCGAGGTACGGCGCCTCCCACTCCTTGATCTGCTGCCAGGCGCGCTCGTTGACAGCGTTGTGGATGGGGACCACGGTCTTCATATCGGTGGCGCGCGCGTCGTAGCCCTTGCGCTTCATGGCCTCGAAGAACATCTTTTCGGATGGGTACACCCAGTTGCCGGAGGCGTCGACGCCCGACTCGATTTCAGCGTTGGGCGCATTGGCTGAGGCGCCGTGGTCGACGGGGCATGCGGACGCCGCTGCCGAGCCGGTGGCCAAGCGCGGGATGGTCGAGATGACGCGGTTCTCGCCCAGCGCGCCCTGACCGTGCGGCGGCGCGGGCGAGGCAGAGGTCGCGGGTGCGGCGGGACTGGAAGCACCGGAGGACCACGGGAGGTAGGAAGTGAGCGTTTGCGTCCAGGACTTGGACGGCGGCGAAGCCTGCGATGTGTGGTCGACGGGACACGCTGCGCTCGGGGTCTGGGCCTTTGCGGCTTCGGCGGCGCGGGCTTGGGCGAGCCATGCATCGCGCGTCTTGTGGTCGACGGGACAAGCCGCCGGGTCCGACTTGTCCGCCATGGTGTTTGTTCGTACTTTTGTAGGGTGCGGCCGGGCGAAGGAGGACTCAGCAGCTGACGGAGTGGTTGCGATCGCAGAAGGGGTCAATGCTTAATTGATCCTGCTGGCATTTGGAGCACCGTGGTGCGGTGAAGCAATTGTCGCTCGTTCGAGATGGAGTCTAGTCACGATCTGCAGCAACGCAGAGCTCGAGGCGAAAGTTGATGCGCCGGCGGTTGCGAAATTTGGAGCCGGCATTTTGCCGCTCCGCCAGTGATGACTGCCTGTTTAGGAAGCCATGTCATCACTATCTGCGCTCGCTATTGGCAGCGACAGGTGACAAGCAGGTCTCAACGTCACGTTTATACGGGACAAATCCCGTGTGTTAGGCCTCGCTCTCAGCCCGAGAGTCTTTAAATCGCAGTGTATTACTGGAGGGAATATCTCAGCGACGATTTGAGCTGCACACGTGCGCATTACATCACTATGGTGGTGATTTCTCCACCGCCGGTGCCACTGTTGCGACTCGCAGCAATCGCCCGTAAGTCAGTGGAGATCGCGATCGGACAAGAACCTCCGGCGTCTGTCATTGCGTTCCCCATCACGGTCCACGACACCGATGCAGCGGACAGCTATCAGCGACTCTCAGCACACCCAAACACACCCACGCGGTCCACATGGGCTTTGTGTTCGAGCTGTTATGAAATCATAGGACCCTCCAGTGAAGTCATACTCCTGCCGTTGCAGCTAGAGTTGTGATTGAGAGCGCAGTATAAAAGACGGCAGAGAAAGCTTGCAAGATGGCAATCCAAATCTCAAGCCTCTTAATATCACAGTATATCCACAATGAACGACTACAGCAGACTCGCTGAGCAGGCCGCGGCCGACCTCAACACCTACCAGTCCAAGACGGGCAATGCCCGGCCGCAGGGCCTCGACGATGCCGGCGTCAACTCCATGGCCGAAAAGAAGTTTGACTCTGCAGAGGTCAACTACGGCGACGAGCTGAGCACAAACCGGGGCTTCAACAAGCGCATCCCCCCCAGCGAGGGTGGCGTGCTCGACGATCGCGGGCGGTAAGCATCTTCCCCGCTCGCACTTACACCTCATAAGCCATCACAGCAGCTGACAGAAGGCTGCATCAGACAAACCCGCGGACAGCACTTTGAGGGCAGCGGCGGCCCATTGGACAAGGTTGCGCAGTCTTACGAGCGCCAGCCCGGGCAAAACGACAACGATGTCGTCCCGGCGCGGGTACCTGAAGTTTTCGGCACGGGCAGCATTGACGACATTGCGACCCGCGGCGCACAGGCGTCGCGCACCAATGTCGGGAGCAACCCGCCAGGCCCAGGCGGTCAAAAGTACAAGGGCGCCGACTACTACACGCCCGAGAGCGTGCCTGACAGCATCTCGGCCGAGGGCTGGGTGGCGCCGGAGAGCGTGACGGAGGCGAGCAAGGAGAGCGAGGGTCTGCGATAGACGGATCTAGCGTTATGAAGTTTAAGCACTGCGAGTTTTGACGTGAATCTTACAACGTTTCACCGATCTGGTGAAGCCTAGAGCTTGCATATCTGCATGTGATCTGTTGTGCACCGGCTGCCTGCGAATGCTCGTGATGGTTCTCAGCGCTGTCTTCAAACATCACACGACGGAGCCATTCTCTGTTGGGGAAGGCATTGGGTATGGTTTAGAAGCTGTTCAAATGAGATATTGAGACGTGAATAGCAGTGCGCTCCGACACAGATACCAGAGGGCTAGAAACGGCATCACCGCGTGGGGTGCTGACTCCGGATCTTATCGATGATACTCCGTCGACTGGGGCTTCCTCGCAACAAGCTTCGTGAGCTCTTCCAGCGCCGCCTTGCGCTGTCCATTCGGTTCCCCGCGGCCGTCGTCGTCGTCGTCGTCCTCGCCCAGTTCAGTCTCCGCAATATCCCGTACGTGACGGATCCCCAGCGCCTGACCAGTCGAGTTGGCATACGAAAAAGCCGTCCTTAGTATGTTCTTGATGGTTCGACCCTAGGAGCACCAGTGTCAGCAGTACTCCATCGACGTTCACTGAGCCATCGTGACAAACATTCAATTGCAACTGCCCCAACGCTCGGAATACCTGGGGCGTCCATGAAGTGTCGACCTGTGTGGATGTCTTCTTTCGGTTGGCTGTGATCAGAGCCTCCCAGATCTTCGCCTGGGCTTCGGCAGTCAGGGACCGGTACGTGATTGTGACATGGATCCGGCTCTTGAAAGCGTCATCAATGTCATCTTTACGATTGGTGGTGAGGAAAAGGATGCCCTGGAAATACTCAATCTTGCGGAGAAACACTGTGCATTTGGTCAGATCAGCCACGCCCGTATCCATGCAGACCGAGGCAGAAATCTCTTACCGCCCACAATGGCGTTCCTCTGAATCTCAGACGAGTTGCGGTGGCAGAGAAGTACGTCAGCCTCGTCCAGCAGACACACCGCTTCCCACCTCTTGCCGAGGCGGGAAATTTCACTCAGCCTCTCCTCAACCCTGGCCACTTCAGTGCCCAATTCGCCACCGGAAACGGAGTAGAGCGGCTTCTCAAGGATGTCCGCGACGCTCTCTGTGCCGAAGCGGTCAGCACATCTTGCCCACTAGTACATTGCACGCTCGATGGATGCTCATCTTACCAGCCGTAAGCGTCTTGCCTAGACCTGGAGCCCTGAAGTAATGGCTATTTCAGCAAGTATACCAGAGCGGCGGGACCAGATCAAACGGCATGGAGGACTGGGGTGCACACCTACCCGTGAAGCAGAAAGATGAGTCCTTGGCCCTTTCCTTTTATCACATCGTCGAATGAAACCTCCATGTGGCCGCGGACAAGGCCCTCAACCAGATTCTTCGTCTCTGCCTTCATCTGGAGGGAGTCGAATGCTGTCTTGTTCCATTCCGGGGGTCGCAGCGAGTCACTCTGAGCCCACATCCACTTCTTCTCTTTGAGTGCAAATACTGGAACTTCGGCAGGGAACAGGAGATCAAAGCAATCTTTGGAGATGCCAAATTCCACTTCGACAGCGGTCTGCAGGTCATCCAAGGTATTGACGTCTCTCCTCTTCGCTTTTGGGGGCTCCATAGCTGGGACCCGGCGAGGTTGGTCAAATACTTGCTGCCCTGCAGCAATCAAATCACGGTCCTCATCCTCTTCATCCTGAGGCACATGCACTTGGCCTCGCGGCATCACCGTCTCAGTGGTCGGGGGCTCAGTGTTTGCAAACTCGTAAAGGTCGTCAGCTCCCCGAAAGTTCTTGCTCAGGAATGTCGCCCAGTCGGCCATTACGCGCTCGTTGAAATTCATGGCAGGATCGTCCTCCTTGATGAAGATCCCATGGTCAGCCGAGTCCATCGAAAAGACGAGTGAGGTTGAAAGAAATTCGCGATCCCACCTGAACCTCAGCCCTCCTCCTGGGTGCGGCTTGAGGCCTGGCCGAGTCTTCATAGTCACAGCAGTGGTAAGAATCGAGTCTCTCTCCAAGGAAGGTTTCAAGTGATCCTGCCCGCTTCTGGAGTTTCCGTTTGAGGTTGTCCCAATCCTCATAATATGCCATCGGAATGGCTGGCAGATCCGTCATGTTGAAAATCTGTAGTGGATGCGCCGGGAATCTGACTTGTCGCCTTACCAGGCCCGGCGATTTTCCATTGAAGCCGACCCTTAGGCCCGTAATCACGCAGAGCGGCAGCCCAATCTCCTGGGGCAGCGATTGCACGTTGCGACATATCCAGCATTCCTCGCCCCCCTCAGTTTTAACCACCATCAGGGTGTTAGGGGGGAACATGGTCCAGACAATGTCTCCAACAACTTGATTCTGCAGCTTGTACTTTTCGTAGTCGTCAACTATGCTTGACATCACTCCATGCTTTGGGATGAAGTCATGTAGAAGCTGCAGATCATTTCGGAGCTGCTGGCTCCTGCTCATGTCTTCAAGGGCCTCCTTGACTTTCGCGCGGTAGAAGAACAGCTCATGGAAAGGCATCCGGAGTTTGATAGGGCTGGTCTTGAGGTTTGAGCCCTGGTAAGTGGCATTGACCAGTTTCCTGAATTCATCGCAGAGAGATGGCGACTGTATCTCTAGCTCCACCGACACCAGGTAGGGAGCACCCTGCTGTACCTCTCGCCATACCCGGCGTAGGACCAGCGCGTACTCGCTGTACTTTTTCTCGAGGCTTTCTTTCTTCAGCCTTTTCCCCTCTGGGTGGAATCGGGTTGTTGGGATAATTTCTGTGTCCCAGCCGTCGAGGATCTTGCGTTTGATCTCGACGATGTCGATGTATCCCTTCCCGAGGGGTGGAACAGCCCTCCCGGCTTGCTCGACCTGCGAAAACTCTTGTCAGCCGTAGCATGCTCATAAACCCAAAGGACCCGAATGACATACAGCGCTGGACGTATCCCCGGCGTTGGCGCTCCTGGTAGGACAAACATTAGGGATAGCTGCTGGAGCTGCCGCCAGGTATTCTTGGAACGACATGGCAGTGCGCTGGCCGAACGCGAGTCGCACTTCCAAAGTAGTGCAAATGGAAACGAAGAATACTCAGCACCTTATGAGCGCGTGTTTTCAGGCGTGTAGTATGTCGAGGCCAAGACAGGGTAGGACATGGTGAGGAATGAACGAACAAGCACATGGGCGAATTTGTCAGTGAGCTGAAATGCAGCATTCAGCTGCCTTGACGCTGCCACATCATCTGCTGCATGACAGTGAGGATGTCTCGGCGAGTGACGGCAGCAGCAAACTCTCAACTGCGTGCTCATTGTGATGAGACTGGACTGCATCGCATATGCATCAATGTGCACTTTCAACCACGGGCCTATCAGTACAAGGTCGTAAGCGCTGTCAACTGGTGTCCTATATGACCGGTTGGGTCGGTTGAGCCCAGATTGGACCAAACACCGCAGATCTTCAAGTTCCAGCTCATGCCGGCCTGCCATGGATTCTCTTTTAGCCTCCACGCTTGTACCCCAAAAGAGACAAAAAAAGGAAAGTTTCTAGGACCCTTGCCGCGGGGTTCATGTTCCAGTTGAGGGAAGAACCATGCTGTTTGGGATACCACATGCAGTGACCGGCTGTCATGAGTAACTTTACAACACTACATTTAATCATACATGTACAGAAACTGATCTAAATACTGGCCCGAACGGGTACTTTTGTCAACTGGCTGACAGGGCCGCAGATGCCGGCACCGCCAACCGTTCAGGGAGGCGCAGGGCTGCCCAACACCGGCGCCTGAGAGTCACCAGCGAGGAGTTTGTAGATAGCTCACCGTTGCCAGGTAGTGTGACCGTTTTCAGGCGGCCTGGATGTGTATGCTACATGCGCGTACTACACATCTCCTCGCCCACACTACATGTATCCAGGAGAGTCCACCTCCCTTACTTAAGGAATGGTGTTATACCACTGTGACAACACATGTGCCGCCAGATTCTGTTTTCGCTTCAGCATCGGCAGCAGTCGCGGAATTTCCGCAGCCAACATTGAACTTTTCATCCTTCATGTTACATGCGTGGCAGAATAAAGGCAGAGTAGCGCTATCGCTCAACGACACGACGTCTCAGCCACCCTCACTTAGAGTTTTTATCCACCAACATGCATTTCTCACTTCCCCTACCTGCCGTTGCTCGGTCCAGGGGCAGTACTCGTGAGACGTCGACGTTGGCTCCCCTCGAGCCCTGGAAGCCTTCCACTATTGGGAACTCTGCGTCCCGGACTCGTCTCGCCACACCAGTTACCGGGCACCCGGGTGGCGGGAGCACAGAGGACGCGGTGACGGTGGATGAAATTCGTGATGCTGTTCGCATGCACACACGCTTTTCGATGCCTGCTCTTGACCCCCGCCTTGTCGTGGACGACCTGCCCACGTTTGACGACTTGGCCGAGTACGACGTCGACGAGGAACAGCAGCTTCGTCTCTGGGACATGGAAGTCAAACGACTGGTAGATGCCGTACAGCCCGGTACGCCATTGCAGGCGTTCAACGGGACCGAAGCGTTGAATGTCGACTCGAGGAGGTCCTACGAGATCCTCTCCGATCTCGCTGACGGACTGGTTGTGGCGTTGGCCGTCCTTGACCACGACGGCCAGAACTTGGTTGTCGACCACCAAAAGGGGCTCTTCGAGAAGCACCTTTTCCAGCGCAGCCGGCAAACATTGGAGCGGTTCTGCGATGCCGAAGCGGAACCCCACCACAGCGATTCGGATCAGCCGACTGCCAGCGCGGAGGACCGCTTCAGGTTTGTCGATCACTGCACAGCCGTCATTGCCAGGGTCCTACTCGCTGCTGCGGAGGGCAAACACTGGCAGATCTTTATCCTCGCAACATTGGTCAAGATCTCGACGAAGCTCAAGGTCGTGCTGGCAAAACCGGCTCAATGCGCCCGAGTTTCCCTTGACAACAACGCCGCAGGTCCATACATGGAGAAATTATCCATACCGGACCACGGGCATCGTGAACGACGACAGCAGGGGTTCGATGTAAAAGGTTTTCAATCGGACTCTCCCATGAACCCCCTCCTACAGAGTATCTTGGCCGCCCGTGGCGGCCAGCCCAACAAGAGCGACTACGAAGGGCGGGAAGACGTCCTGAAGACATTTTACTTCATTCAATGCACGAAGTACCGCTTGGTCATGCTCCTGATGTTCGAATACCTGATGGTACCCCTCCGGGGGAGTTACCGCCTCGTGAAGAGTTCTTTAACCTCGTTTGAGATATGCGCAATGGTGTACGAGACCGGATTCGAACAATTTCGTACCATGGTATTTCAAGACAATTGCATGGACCTCAGCGGATCGTCCGACCCGGGCATGATCAGCGTTGCCCATGGGGCTTTTGTCGTGCTCAAGGAGGCCATCAAAGCGTCGAAAGGTGAGTCTGCTACTCCATGTCGACGGGAAACGGGGGGGAGCGACCTTGACTTGCTCCCGTCCACCAGCTTACGAGATAGCAGGTCTTTCAGCCCCGCCACGGAATACTGGGGACAACCAAGCATCTCATGGCTCTCCGGGCAATGAAGCCACAAATGAGTCGGCGGGGACGCACTTGTCATGGAGCTTCTGGATAGACGAGACCGGGAGCCAGACAGTTCAGGAGCTTGATCTGCGCTCCATGAGCCAGGTCATCACTGTGCTCATACCCCTCCTGATGGCACGGCCGGAAAGCATCTACCAAATTTCGAAGTTTGTCAACATGGTAATCTTTGCGGACCTCGACGGCAACCGGCAGGACAACCCGGTCAAGCCCAAGACTCACGAGGCGTACACGGCGTTTGTATGTCTCACGACGAAAGACTTTGTCCTGAATCAGCAGAAAACCTTTGCGGATCACGAGCATACCACATCACTTTCGCACGCACTCATGAGGCGTACCAACGTGCTCGCCGGGGACCGCATCGGAGTTGTCAGGCGGACGTCGAGCTTCCCGAACCCGGATCAGATAGCTGAAGCAGAGGACCAGGCCACGATCCAGAGCCGGGTCAGAGCTCACCAGGAGGAGTTGAAGAAGGTCAGCGCGCAGATGAGCGAGTGGGTTGTCGAGGAAACGGGCATCATGGTCAACACCAAGCTGTACGTGACGTCGGTGATGGCCGTGGCCACGCTCCTCGTGTGCGGCGGCATCTCGGTCGGGGCGTCCATCGGGGAGCGCATCACGGGTGTGGACCCCTTCAACATCGCCACGTTCTGCTGGGTGCTGGCGGCGTTTGTGATACTCTTCTGCAAGACGGTCCGCGTGCACGACTGGCCGTGGAACGACTTCTTCCACAGGCGGGTGCTCTGCAAGAGTGTGACGGAGCTGTCGTCGGTGACGGGGGTCAAGCCCGACCTCATACTGGCGAAGCTGCTGCACGACGAGTCGCGGACGCTGCTCGAGACCCGCGGGCCGTACAACTGCGTCTTCAACCGCAAGAGCGAGTCCCAGGACGGATTCTCCATCAACGTGCCGATTTCAACCTGGACGATGCTCCTCAGCGGGCTAATCATGGTCGAGGTAGAGGGCGAGCAGGGCGGCGGCCTCGTGTGCCTGGACCTGAGGAGGGGCGCCAAGTTGCTGTCAGTCGAGAACCTCGGGTCGCACGACTCTGAGGAAGGAAAGAAGTTCATCTTCTGTGACCGCCTGCCGGGACAGGACGAGAAGCTTGTAAGTGGCGGGGGAGCGGATCGGATGCAGCTGAAACGAGGCCAGGAAATGGTCTGGATGCGGGCCGTTGGCGTATATGAAAATGCGAATGCCGAGTTTGTCTAGGTTGAGTCACGCATCTCGGGAGCAGCGCCCGTTGGGTAGATTTTATCAATGGTGGTCGTTTCCAGGCACTATCGAACGAGGGTTGTTGAGGTGCTGAGTTAGGTCCAGAACTTAGGTAGGTCTTGGGGTGGCTTAACAGTGGTGACAAGCTGCTGGAGCCGCTGGACACGTGGGGGCCAGGCGGTGCATCAAGAACCTGGAACGCTAAATGACCGTGTCGCGTGACCTGGGCCCAACGCGGCGACACGCATTGCAATGCGCTGTCACGCCCAGCCTCAACCGCCGCTTATCTCGCCGACAACACCTGTCTTGTTCCAAGCACTGCAACTCTTTTGCATCCCCACCATGCTGCGAGGCATCGCCGCCAGCCCGCGGGAATCATCAGCGCCGTCATGACGAGCCGCTCCCCTTCGGCCTCCGGGCTGCTGCCCATGCCCGGAGCGCCCTCGTCCTCGTGGGCTGCCTACTCGGCCCGCATGGCCGCCCTCGCCCGCCACCCAGACACCAAGGTCCTCATCGCCTTCTGGCTGCTCGGTGAGTGGTTTAGAGTCTAATGCGACGCGTGCGATGCGTGCATGCTAACCAATGCACAGGCCTCATCAACAACGTCCTCTACGTCATCATCCTCTCGGCCGCGCAGGACCTCGTCGGCACCCTCCCCAAGGGCATCGTGCTGCTGGCCGACGTCGTGCCGTCCTTCTTCGTGAAGCTCATCGCGCCGTACTTTATCCACCGCGTTCCCTACCGCGTGCGCGTCCTCGTCTTCATCGCCCTCTCCGCCGCGGGCATGCTCATGGTCGCCCTCACCCCGCCCTCTCGCTCCGTCGCTGTCAAGATGGTCGGCGTCGTCCTCGCTAGCCTCAGCAGCGGCGGCGGCGAGCTCAGCTTCCTTGGCCTGTCCCACTATTACGGCCACGTCAGTCTCGTCGGCTGGGGCTCTGGCACCGGCGCCGCGGGGCTCGTCGGCGCCGGCCTCTATGTCGTTCTCACCGAGTGGTGGGGCTTCGGCGTCCGTGACAGCTTGCTATTCTCTGCGTGCTTACCGGCCATCATGTTTGTGAGCTTCTTCTTCATCCTGACCCACGACCCGCTGCGCAGGGGCCCTGGCCGGAAGGACTACGAGACCGTGCCAGACGATGAGCTGGCTGAAGAGGAGGTTGAGGAGATGTCGCCAGGCGTGGCATCGTCGGCGCTGCTTGCCCCGGGACCGTCGAGCACGCACGCCGCATATTCGTCGCACTCTGCTCACCACAGCTCGCTCCAGACGAATTTGAAGCGGGCAAAGGCTCTCTTCGTCCCGTACATGGCGCCGCTGCTCCTCGTGTACGTCGCCGAATACACCATCAACCAGGGCGTGGCGCCGACGCTGCTGTTTCCCGTCGACGAATCGCCGTTCCGGGAGCTCCGCGGCTTCTACCCATTCTACGGGTTTCTCTACCAGCTCGGCGTCTTCATCTCCCGGTCCTCGACGCCGTTCCTGCGCATCCACCGCCTGTACATTCCGTCATTTCTCCAGATCGGCAACCTCATTCTGCTCACCCTCCACGCGCTCTACTACTTCATACCCTCCGTTTACATCATCTTCGTCATCATATTCTGGGAGGGCTTGCTCGGCGGCGCCGTGTACGTCAACTGCTTCGCCGAGATCATGGAGAATGTACCCGCCGAGGAGCGCGAGTTTAGTCTGAGCGCGACGACAGTGAGCGACAGCGCGGGCATCTGCATCGCCGGCCTGGTCAGCATCGTCATGGAGACGAGCCTGTGCGACTACCAGGTTGCGCACGGGCGGGACTGGTGTCGGCAGATCAAGGTGCACCACGACTGAGCCCCCGAGAACACCAGCGTTGCGCTGGGTGATTTACTTCATTTCGTTACAGGTGTACATTAACAGGATATTTGGGTATTAGCGGGTCGTTTAAGAATCTACAATATCTCGATAATGTCGGCGCTTTGCACCTCATGCACCTCGTCGACCACGCCGTACTCGGTCCTCGGCCAACGATTAGCGTCCTCGAGCTCGTGCATCAGCAACCCCCAGACTCTCCCCTGCTCGCCGGGCCTCTCCCTGACGCCCTTTTGGTCCAGCCACAGACGTATTGCCCGCCACTCCCGGTCTACGCGCAGCTGCATCCACCACCACCCAAAGCGGCACATCAGCCCGAGCCAGTACCCGAAGAGCCATACGGCGCGCTCGTCCTCGGCCTCGAGCATGTCGCGGAAGCGAAACTCCATGTCCAGCGCGCCAACGAAATTGACGTAGAGGAAGAAGCACTCGTCGCGCGGCTCCAGGTCGCGGACCTCGGCGAGCATGCGAGCGGGCTCGCGCAGGAGGTCGTATTCTCCAAGCAGATTCTCGCGGTCCAAGCCAAGAAAGGCCATCCAGTGCGTGGGAACACGGTCCATCCGCTGGTTCTCGCCGTAGAACGTGCCCTTTTCATCATCAGACGCCGCATACATCCAGGAAAGGATAGTGTCGTCGCGGTAGTGCTCCGTGGTCAGGAGTAGCGGCTTGAGCCCCAGCTGCAGCGAGAACCAGCTCAAGCGCTCCGGATCGTCGGGACGGAAGAGCCACGTGTCTTGTACCTGGTCGTCTTCGGCGAAGGAAAACGTCAGCAGGTTGAGGAACATCGACGTGAGCACAAAGGCGTCGGCCGTCTGCTGATCGAGCGTGAGGCTCTGCAGCGCGTCGCGAAAGCTCCGCACGGCGAGGGCCTGCTGGAAGTGCTCGGTGACGCGGCTCAGCTGGCGGCTCTCGGGTGCCCAGTGGTGGTGACGCAGGTGAGACGCCGAGACGGCGAGCACGGCCTCGAGCAGAAAGGGGCGGGCAAGGCCCAGGGCCAGGATGGGGTTGGGGTTCCCGCTGTCGAGCAGCTGCAGCTCGGGGTACAGGTTCTGGAAGTGCTGGATCAAGACGATGCGCGGGATGCCGTGATGCGTCGGCTCTTGCGACATGTCGAGCCCGGTGACGGCGGGAGAGGTGAGCAGATCGGCGGAGGGCATGCTGCGGCGACCCAGCATCCTGCACATCTGGCGGATGTGCGCCGACGGCCGCTTGGCGACCTGCGAGGAGGACTCAGGGGAGCTGGCCTCGTCCGCGGAGGGGTAGCTGCACCGAGTGTCGTTGCGCCGACAGCGCGAGCAACAGGGCCTGATTTCATCGCACTGTTGGCGCTCCAGTCAATTGCCGTCACGACAATCACTTCGACGGTGTGCACTGACCTTGACCCGCTTCACCTTGCACGCAATACACCCCTCCTTGGACTTGCGATGCGCCTTGCGCTTCTGGTAGCGTCGGGCCGTAGCGTTCCCTTTCTGCGGCATGAAGGAGAGGACCCGAAAGTCAGGCTCGGGGACGCCCGCCATGGCAATCTCGCGACGCTCGGTACGACGCACCATGTGCTAAACGTTAAACGAGATGGAAGCACTCGGTGGCGTTGCAGGTGGTCGGTTTGGCATGCAGCTCGGCAGTTCACAGTTTACACCCCAACTGCGGCGGTCAACACTGGTTCGAGTCGGCAGTGACCTGTACGCGACCCAATGAGGAAAACGAGCATGGCGGGCGGGCAGATTGGGATGCGGTTGTGCGGTCGCTTTAAGAGGTGTCGCGAGTCGGATCAACTGAAGCTGGGCGTGACGAAGCTGACGAGATGGTGGCTGAATGCTCGTTTTCCTGTTTGGGCCGTAGCGCAAGTGTCGCCCGCTGAATGCCGGCGCCCCACCCACACCAAGCCTCCGGCCGCCTTGAGGGTTGGCCGTCTCCATGCCGTCTGCCGTGTTGGCTCATGGCACTTATATGCCCCTTTGGGTCTCTCGCTCGCGCACCTCATCGCCATGAGGTCTAGCGGTGATTTCATCCGGGTCATCGCTGCTGCCTCAGCCTGGGATGAGCCACTCCGTCGTCATCTGGTGATGAAGTCGGATGGCGGTGCTCGTTTGCCCGATATGGCATCTGGAGCATCATGAGTTGGAATATAAGAACCTGGCAAGCTTGTGTTGGCGACTGGAGATGATGCTCAAAGCACGACCTCCAGAAAGCAACGCAAAATCTGTCAGACATGTTGCTCAACGCCACCCTCCTCTGGCTCACAGCCATGACCACGGGCGCCCTCTGCAGCCCCGCGACCAAGTCGAACCCGTCTCACCTCGATGGCTTAATAGACCTGGGCTACGCAAAACACGTCCCGACATACGTCAATACCACAGCCTCGGGCCAGCGAGTCGCCATATACAAGAACATACGCTTCGCCCGGTCCCCGACTGGCGAACTGCGCTTCCGCGCACCCAACACCAAGCTGTCACGCGTGGATGGAGTCCAGGACGGCAAGGTCCCCTGGCGGAGCACAGACTGCATCGCGTCGGCACCGTCCTATGTGCCCTTCCCGGTTAACGGCACGACCTGGGGCCGCGAGGACTGCCTGTTCCTCGACGTGTACGTACCGGAAGGGGTGAGACCGGGGGACAAGGTGCCGGTGCTGCACAACTTTTACGGGAGCGCGTATGCGTTTGGAAACAAAGAAATGTTTATGAACCCCATGGGCTTGTTTGATTTGATGCACAAGCAGAATCTGGGCAAGTTTATCGTCGTGGGAAACAACTACAGGTCCGTCTGTGCATCACTCCGTACGGTGAATACATGTGCTAATGCAGCGGCAGAATGGGCGTTTCCGGCTTCACCTGGGCCGCGGACGAGGACTTGGACGGCAACGTCGGGATGCTCGACTGCCTCGCCGCGGCGGAGTGGACGGCCAAGTACATCCACAAGTTTGGCGGGCACGGGAAGCGCATCACGGCCATCGGACAGAGCGCCGGCGCCGGCATCATCTACTACCTGACAGTGCTCAACGGCGGGCGCGGCAAGCCGCTGCCCTTCCAGCAGGCCTTCATCTCGTCTCCCGCTGCACCACAGCGGCGCAATGTCACGGCGCGGCAGCGCAAGATGTTCGACATGGTGCTTGAGGCAGCGAACTGCACGAGCCTCGCATGCCTGCGGGCCGCGCCCGAGACAACGATGCTGCACGTCAACGACCGGCTCATCAACCAGATGCCCTCGGAGAGCGGCGGCGGCACGATCGGGCCGGTCATGGGGTTCGGCCCGGCACCCGACGGGAAGCTCATCCCGGACATGCCCTCGGTGCTGATCAAGCAGGGTAGGGTGCACAAGGACTTGTTGAGGCTCGTCGTCGGGTCCATGGCGCTCGAGGGCAAGGAGACGTCGCACGACGTGGGCATGCCGGGCTACTTTCCCACCATGGTGCGGCAGCAGATGCCCGCGGCGAGCAACGCGACGGTGCAGGCGCTGCTGGACCTGTACTACCGCCCGGGGATGGAGAAGCAGCTGGCGTGGGACTTTACGACGGACGCCGTGTTTGCGTGCAACGCGTACAACCTGGCCAACGGGCTGCCGGACAAGACGATGCGGTATATCATGTCGACACCGCCGGCCGTCCACGGCCAGGACCTCCTGTGTAAGTATGCCCCTTTCCGCTGGTGAACCCGCCAAGCTAAGAGGAGTCACCCGGGCAGACTACTTTTACGTCGACGAGGAGCAGACGCCAGTCAACGACCCGGAGCTGGTGCTCGCGTTCCAGACGAAGCTGCTGGCGCTGGTGCGCGGCGAGGACCTGGCGTGGCCGGCGTACGGCGCGGACAAGCGCATGTACAACGTGACGGAACGGTTTGAGGCGACGACGATGCCGGCGGAGCTGCGGGCGAGGTGCGACCTCCTCAACAGGTCCGTGCTGGACCAGGCCAACGGCGCATGAGGGGCTCCTTCATTCCCCGCGGGTAATCTCGTGCGAGCCATGGTAGAACATCTAGAGACTGTCTGTACTCTGTAGTGCAGAGGGTGTGACGCAAGAGATAGAGTTTGTTACACGTTCTCAGTTACCCGAAAGGCACCGCAACGTTTCTAGCGGGTTTATGAAATGCATCGGCAAGGTCGCATATAATCGTATGAGGTCTCAGGAGGAGGGCAGATGCATGCAGGTTTACGCTGCCGTGCCAAGCATAAGTCTGTCTGGAATGAGAATCCCCTTGACCGCGGCCGGAACGGATAGACGAGGCACGTGGGCAGACGGGCGCTGGTGATGGGAGCTGCCGGCCGTCTCAGACACGGGAGAGCGACGGGCGTCTGAAACTGCCGACAGCACCGGCGTGCCCTGCCAAGCGTGAACTTTGAGGGTTGCCGTGGATGACGGTGAAGAGGAGCGAATCAACCAGCTGCCGAACTGGTGCAATACGATGGAAGCCTCAGCAAGGCAGTTTGCATGAATGAGACCATCGCAATCACATACCACACCTTTCCCACCGGCCGAGTGCTCGGGCACCTCCAGGGCGCCCCATAAAGGTTGCTAACGGCTCCCCAATCAGGGGGACCCAGCGGCGGAACTGGGGGGGAATAGCGCTGACCTGGGCGCGCCGTAGAGGCTCTTGGCGGGGCGCGTGATAGGCCGCCCGCAAAGGCCGGCGCAGCCCCCGCCAGTGCAAACCTGAAGCTGCTTCTTTAGGCCCCTCACCCCAGTCCCAGTCGTCCGGCCTGCATGCGGCTTTGGACGCGAGTGGCGCCGTGGCCGCAGTATAATTTTCCTCGATCGGCGCCGAGGCGGCAGCAGCTGAACGAAAGAGGCTGAAACGGCACACGACGAGTATGCATTTTTATGTACCGCGTTCTCCAGGGAGCACGGACGCCTGTGGTAGCGTGACCTGCCTTGATGGGGAGGGCGTCCACATGCCGCGCATGGCTGGATCGTAAAGACTATCGACCTGGACAGGCTATTCGTGTTGACCTGTCGTGCGGCGATGCGGAGTTGAAACTTCCAGCTTTTGTTCAGGCGTTTATTTACAGCGCATAAGCGGCGGCGTGGAGATCGCATGCTGCGACCGGACGGGGGGGCAACATGACGCGCTCGTATCCAGGCGTTCCTTCCCCCTTGTCGCCTCATCAGCGATAAACACCCAGCACGCAAATCAGCAACCATGGATGATAGAACAGCCTTGGCGATACTTGTTCGCGCGCCCGCCAAGCCCGCGCTGTCTCGCGCCAAAAATCTCCTCCACTCGCCAGCACACACACACCCGGCCCTATTTTCCTTCTGTGTCTCTTTTAACGCCGGCGGCCCAACGACGAAGGGGGCAGAAGGACTCGTCATCACTTATTTCCAGTCCCGCCGCCGGCCCCCCCCCCTCGCCTCCCCGGCCGCCCGCCCGCCAGAGAACGCCACGCGACGAGACGCCCGCCCCTATTTTCTGCTTCTGTGCTGGCCGGCCGTCTTTTGGCTTTTTTTATCGGTGTGCGCGCGCCTGTATGGTGCCGTCCCGCCGAGAGACAGTCTTTCCACACTTTGCCGGCCTCCTTCTCCCGCCGTTTTGACCCATTGGCCCGCCGACCACCCGGGCGAACCTCCAACCGGCGATTCTCTTCTTCCGTTGCTTCCCTTTCTCTTGTATCCGTCGACGGGGTGGCTGCCGCTGTTTTCCTTTCGTGATTATCTCGTCCCTTCTCCACGCTCGTTCGCTCGCTAGTGTGCCTCTTCGGTCATCCATTTCATCTGCGTCGCTGTGGTCCGTCCTGCAGTCGCACTTGCTTCAACGCCGCGATTGCGTCTACCCATTCCGTCTGGACCCGCCCCGCGCTCGCTTTGCTCCCCCCTCCGCCAGTCGATACGAGACCGATGCCATCGTCGAGGCTCCGGCACAGCAGCGATTGATCGAGTCCACGGCGCGGGCCGCTTCTCTTAGCATCCGCATTATTATGCAGGCATCATGATCTTTGGCGGCTCAGCTCGGTCCACCAGGGGGACCGCCCTCATCGTCGGGGCGGTCGTCTTCATCCTCGCCTTCATCGGCCTCATCTTTAACCACCTCGACTCGTGGCACCTGCCCGCAACGTTGGTCGCGTCCGTCCCAGACGTGTCTTGCGCCCCTGGCTGACCATTGATCCATCGCAGAACCAAGACGGGCGAGCAAAAGCACCACGACTTCCCCGACACGTCGTCACCACCCGCCAACAACCCCGACACGCCGCTCAAGCCCGCCACGTCGCACGCGCCTCCGCCGCCGAACCCGCCGCCGTTTAGCGAATCGACGGCCTCGGAACACGCCGCCGAGCTGCGCAAGTTCTACCTCAAGCAGCTGCGCAAGCCCTCCGTCAAGCCCGACGAACCCAAGTACAAGCCCTGGGGCGCCTTCGACTGGACCCTGCCCGCCAACCCGCGCTGGAAACAGCGCATGGGCGAGAGCCTCTGCATCATCGACCTCGACAACCGCCCCTTCAACGAGTCGGGCGAGCTCTTTGGGCCCGAGCCCATGTCCTGGGCCGACCCGCCCAAGGTTCACGGCATCTCGCTGGGTATCCTCAACCACTGGCTCTACGGTACGGCCACTCCCCGGCGGATGCTTGGAACTCTAAACGGATGAGCTGACAATTGCCCCCCTGCAGCCAAGATCCATGGGTACAAATACTACTACATCAACATCGGCGAGTACCCCGACCGCCGCGCCTCATGGAAGAAACCGCCCGTCATGAGCAAGATCCTCAAGGAGCACGACGTCTGCCTGTACATCGACTCGGACGCCATCTTCCACCGCCTCGATCTGCCCATGGAGTGGCTCCTCAACTACTGGCAACTGTACCCGGACAGCAACTCGCTCGGCCTGGCCGTCGACCCGGACAATGACTTCAACAAGGATCGCTTCCACAAGCTCTACCTCAACACGGGCTTCATCATCGCCCAAAACAACCCCACCACGTACAAGATCTTTGACGCCTGGCAAAAGTGCCCCGATGACGGCGAGCCGTACCCCGAGTGCACGCAGTTCCGCCTCAACGCGCCCGGCCAGCCCACCGACCAGGGCGGCTTCGGCACCTTTGTGCGCTACAACTTCACCGAGCACATCCGCGAGCTGCCCTGCACCGAGGCCAACGGCTTCCCCGAGAGCGACTCGGGCTGCAAGGGCCAGTTCATCCGCCACCTGTGGACCGGCAAGAACGACCAGATCAAGATTGACGTCGGCGAGCAGCTCCCCGGCCCCTACCTGCAAATGTTCCACGAGCGCTTCACCGCCGAGCGCAGCTATTACTACATCAACGAGCCCGACCTCATGGCCAAGGGGCCCAAAGCCTCGGTCAAGAAGCCGCCCAAGGACGAGGGAAAGGGGGGCTCGTGGTGAGGAAGAACCGTCGGTCGACCGACGTGACATGATTTATCGCAACACCATATACGCACATATTATACGTACACACGATTACTCGGTTGGCTTGGGTACCGGAACCACGGGGAATAGACGCCAGCAGAGATTACATGGCGGATCCCACGACCAACGTTTTGGCGGTCATCATGCTTGGTTCAAAGGCTTCGGGCCGTGGCCCTGTACATAATAGGCTTGGGCGGCGCCATGATTGGGTATAAACTAATTTCATTGATATGACGTTTGACTCGAGCTTGTTCACATGCAATGCAGATCCGGCAGCGAAGACGACGCCAATGTGAAACTGATGCAGGAAAGGACATGTGGGGAGAAGACTCCTAACGCCTGGCTGTGGCTTTCCTCGTGAACCCGAGGTTTCATCACGCCCTTTTCGTCCGAACGCAGCGCAATATCGGTGGTTTCATCCCATCCCGTTTTCACCCCGAGGCCGAGATTTCACCACCTCTTGTGCCGGTTCATCCCAGACTCCCCTGTCAACCACGGCCGGCAACCTCCCGCCTGCCGCCGCGCCGCCCCCGCGATACGCCATACTCGGCCTTGACCTGCGGTACGACATAGTCGACGTGCGCCAGTCGCAGTTCGACGTGGCCGAGCGGCATCCTGTCTGTGCCGGCGCCGAGCCCGCCACCATATGAGGCCAGCTCTACGACCCGCTCCTCCTGCTGCTCCTGCTGCGGTCCCCGTTCTCGTCCTTGCTGGTGGTCCTGCTGGTGGTTGTTCTGGATCTGCTGGTGGTTGTTCTGGATCTGCTGCTGTTGCTCGCGGCGCGCCCTTCCGATGTCGCGGGTGTTGTTCCACGCGATGCGGGCGGCGCACGCCCCGCAGGGCCGGTCGGTGTACGTCTCGGACTCGGACTCGGCGTAGTGGCCGCTGCGGCAGCGGAGGCCGTGGTGGCGCAGGACGTGGAGGGCGGCCTTGGGGCGGCGCAGGGTGGTGGACGACGACGAGGACGATGAGGACGAGGACGAGGACGAGGACGAGGAGAGGGGCGAGGCAATGTCGCCGTTCCAGCAGGGGACGAGATTGCGTCGCTTGTTGAACGTGGTGGAGCACACGGGGCAGGCGTTCCAGGAGATGAAGTGGAAGCACATGCTGGGTGCTTGGGCACCGCTTGGTCGGGTGCTAGATGCCAGGTCAGGTCAGGTGCTGGAGGGCGGCAACAACCTGGTTGCGTTCTGCACTCTTGAAGCTATATCCGTCGAAATGCCCGTGTGCGGGAGATACGGGCGAAGGGCCTCAAGGGGACGAGTCGGTATCCGTTTCTTTCCTGGGAGCCTCGGGCTCCGTGACAGGATAAAGTACCCAGGCCTCAATGGGTCGTCGTCCCCCCCGCCGCGGGATGCAAGGGGAAGTAATAGGGTTCGGCACGACTGGGTGTCTCCAGACGGCGGCGCAGGAGCTGGGCGAGCTGGGCAGGGCTGGGCCGGCTTTGCTCAGCTTGGCGTGATGCGAGCCCTTCAGCTCCAGGGTTCTTATCAGGCGACACCGCCGAATGGGCAGCGGCAACGACTCCAAAGCATTGGCCGGTTCTGTCTGTCTCTCCTACGCCCCCTTTTTCTTCTGCGGACAAAGACGCACGTGCGATATGCCAGTGTGCAAACCTTCAATCCCGGAACGGAGAGTCGGAATTCGTTGCAGTGGAGTGCGTTGGCAGGGTGGAAATGTGGTGGAAGGGAGTCAGTAGTAGTAACGTAGCGCTGGGGGGATAAGTAAGGCCCCCCGTGCTTGTAAAACTTGCGTGAAGTCCGGTTCAAGAAAGTCAAAGCCCCCAATGACGCCATGGAGCAGCAGCACCTCATCAGTGATCGCTCACGCTCTCTGGGGCAGCACCAAACACCAAACTTGTGCCAGCTGCTGCTGCCGACCGCCGTCCCAGCCGGGCGATGGACTAAAAAACCAGATGGGTGCTAACGGCAATCGCCCAGCCGGTGTGTGCGTGTGTATGCCCCAGCACGAGCGATAAACCGCAAACTGGGCAACCGGGACATCCAAACAAGGCAATACCTAGGTAGGCAGACTCCCGTTCCTGCCGGGACGGTCGGTCGGGGGCCTGGCTGGCAGTCGTTGCGTCATGGGGCCGAGTCTCGGTCAGGAGCTATGAAATGCCGGGGGGCCGTTGTGCGTTACACGTTGTGCGTGTGGGCATGGCGCCGCGGGCGGGTGTAACGGAGAGGCGCCGGTACGCTGGAGGGGCTCGCGGAAGTACCGCATACGGCAAGATTGGCACTCTGGCCGATCTGGAACAGCGCCAGGCCAGTGCCAGCCGGGCGGTGTCTTGCCTGCAGCTGTGTGTGAGACTGCACCTAGTGTGTGAGATGGGAGTGTGGGTGAGATGCGGCGACGGGTCTGTGATTGGCACGCATGGCAGGGCGGGATGTCATGGCGATTGTTGTCGAAGTGATGGACATCGTGATGGCGCGGCATTGATAAGGCTCGTGTTGATATCCGATGCTTCGGCTTTCGAAGCATCTGTCCATGTATGTCACCGCCAACGCCGTGCTTGTCTATTATGTATGCTCTCTACCATATATATTCACTCTATAGTGCCCATGCCATGCCATGCCATACACAGCCAGTAAACAAACAAGCCCTCACTCGGCCTCTGGATCCGCCCAGACCACGATATTAGGCGGCACGTCCTTCATGTCGCGGAAGAAGCGCGCCACCTCGGCGTCGCTATACCGCAGGCTAAAGTGCATAAGCACAAACGTCGTGCGCGGCCACCTGCGCACCACGGGCTCCAGGTCCCGCCAGAGCGTGTGCTTGGTGCGTTCCGCCTGGCTCGCGTGCTCATCCCGCAGGAAGCTGCACTCCGTCACCACCACGGGGATGCCGGCGCGCAGCCACGCCGGCGCAGCGGCCAGCGTCGCCGCCGTCGTGTCGCCCAGGAAGGCGAAGATGGGCGCCGTGTGCGGCTCCGTGATGGGCGGCGCCGAGGGGGACGACTCGGATGCCTCGCGCAGGCGCTTGAGCTCCGGGCCGGGGAGCGAGGCCAGCTCCGGGCGCAGCCGGTGCGTCGTCTGGCTGAAGATGTAGCCTACGCAGGGGACTGTGTGGTCGCATGCAAAGACGCGCGCTGTGATGCCCTTGGCGCGCCGGAGCGGCACCTCGTCGCCGGGCGAGACGCCGTGCGTGACGTGCGTGCCGAGCCAGGCCCGCTCCTCGGCACTCCGCTGTCTCCTCCCACTGCCGTCGTCGCTGTCGCCGTCTCCCCCGGCCTCATCACCATGCTCCCCTTCCTCTTCCACGGCGAGCCCCTGTGCCGCCGCGTCGCCCACGCGCACCAGCCCGCCGAGGTTGAGCATCGTGTTGGCGAGGACAAAGTCGTCAAACGCGGGAGCCATCTCGCGCGGGCAAAACACGTTGGGCGGGTCGTCGCGCTTGACAAAGGCGGGCGCGAGGAGGGTGTGGTCGCTGTGGCCGTGCGTGAGGAAGATGTGCTTGGGCCGCAGCTTGTTGACGCAGAGGCCCGCGTCGAGGAGGAGGTTGAGCTGCGGCACGACGAAGCTCGTGTGCCAGGCGGCGCGCGAGCGGCCTGTCAGCACGTACTGGCTGTAGGGCTTGGGGAATCGCCATTCCAGCACGGGCGAGCGCGGGGACTGCGGGAGGGGGGTCGCGAAGGAGGGGGCGGGCGGCGGTGGAGATGGTTGCGACATGAGGAGGTTTTGAAGGCGGTGATGATTTCGGGTTGTGGTGAGAAATCTGGCGGGCAAAGGCGAGGCGGGCGGGGCTGAAGCGGATGCCACGCGCTAGCCTGACGGTGAAAGGCGTTACTTGCGCAAAGTCAATTTGAAAAGAGTACGCATGTCGGTTATGTCAAGTGGGTTTTGTGATGGATGCGGTAGTGTTGATGCAAGAGTTGAGAGGTTGGCGTCAACACTCAGCTTCAAGTGAAGCCCGTGCCGTGGCTCGAGGATCTCCGGCGTCCCCGCTACCAGACCGCCTCTATGAATGCCCAACACAGCCAGGTCTCGACACCCAGCTTGAACATGGCAACTCTCAACTGGCTGAAGACTATTTGCACTCGAGAAACCGTGGAAGAGAATCCATGTCAGCGTGGCTATCGCGAGCTTTCTCTAGGGAGGCCTGCTTGACCGTTTCGTCCTTCAGTTAGTGCTGCAAACAGCCAGGCTTGAACCCTCGTGGCCGGGCCGGACCCGCACGCCGGGGCGGGGTGGGGCCCGGCAGCGGGCGCCGGATGGGTCACCGGAGGGAGCATCTCACGACCGGGTGCATCCTCGTGGCGGGCAAGCGGGTCTCCCGCTCACACTCGGGTACACAGGGTAGAACGGGCCCGGACTGCGTGGAAGAATGCCACGTGTGGCAAGGCCGTTCCACGTCTAACCGCAGCACAACATCCTGGTTCGCTGCCAGGTGTACCGGCCTACACACCGAGCAGCCGTAGCCGTTTACGTGTACCACGCGGAATGTGCTCCCTCACTGGACTCGCAGGGGATCACGAGTTTTGGAGCACGTTCGGCGCTGTTTGAGAGTCACGTTGCGTCATTGTCCCTCCGCAGCGCCGATGGCCCCGTCCAACGGTACTGCCGATCGTTGGGAGTGGCTGCCTATGCGGCGACGTGCCAGACTTTTGCACGTTGTAAGCAGGCTCCCTCCATCCAGGCGCTGCGAGTCAGAGTTTCCAAACGCTCCTCAAAGGACCATGACGATGCCTTGCTGTGCCCCTCATCGCGTCAAGGATCATGGCAAGCACGTCAAGCTCTGAATTTTTTCTTGACACGGGTTCGTGAGCATGGCACGGGTTCGTGAGCATGGCACGGGTTCGTGAGCATGGCACGGGTTGGAGTTACTCATCATGCCGGCGCATCCTGGTACCAGAGCGTCAGACGGGCGCGTCCAGGGAGTGATGACGCCGAGTCGCAAAATTGGGCCGTCAGCTCCGCAGAACAAGCAGATAGAGCCGACGAGGATAGCGGCAATGTTTGCTCGGGCCCCGTGGCATACATGTACCGCGCGGGCAATGTGCAATTATTCAGCGGCGCACAGCATCTCGACTCTGTATGGTCCTGCGTGCCTCGGAGGTTTCTCGTGGCTGTCGTCGCTATGGACGCCACGCAGCAAGGCGCCCAATGACAGCCGAGAAAACATGTAATTCAGCCGGCATTATTTCCCTCCTGTTCCCGGCCGGGCCCTCCAGCCCCAAGACAATGCCGTGCAAACCCTGCGCTGTTGTCTCGCATCCGACCCAACCCTGGTCGCCGCCGATGGCGGGTCTGCAAACATGTTAAAACGCAGCACGAGTACAACTAGATCCCTCTTCTCACTTTTGCAGATTTTTCTTACAACGCAGAAACTCGAGCAATTGATTTGGAAGAGGCAGCGGACGGGAATCAGTTATAATCAACGAGGTCCACGGCGCCGGCGCGCGATGAGATCCTCGGCAGCGGCGGACCCACCGAGCCGCTCGCGACGAGTGATTACTGAACAGCGCGAACACCATGCGCCTTTCGTAGACAGCGGGCTGCGTTGTGGTGACAAATCGGTTGTGACCGCGCGCCTGTGCCGCTGCCATGCGGGCAGAGTAGATATACGGGCTCTTGGGCCTGTTGATCGGTCTTGGCGATAATAAAGTCGATGAACAGCTTGAAGCCACAGTGTTGTCCATTTGTCCTGGAGAGTTCAATTGTGGGTGGCGACACGGACGACTTACACGGGCGAGACAACAACTCAAGTCGTATCAACCGCGACAGGCGACACCACCCAAACATTTTCACCACTAGAGGATCTCTTCAGACTTTTTAAGGGCGCAACTCCATCGTATCGATTCCACGACGCCTAAGGCTGTTCGCTTGGCCGCCAGCACATCGCCCAGCATGACGGCCGTGGGCGACGCAGCCGCGGACAAGGACGTCCCGCCGGAGCAGCCTCCCGTCGGCGACACGACCGACACAGAGGTCGACACCACAAACGACATGGCCACGGACATGGATGCGTCTGCCGCTGTTGGTGCCGATGCGGAGAAGGCTGCCGCCGCGAAGCCATCCGATGCAGACATTGACTGGGACCGGCACCCCGAGAACCCGCGCAACTGGCCGGCGTGGAGAAAGGGATTGTTGATAACGTCCATCTCGTCCATGGGCTTCGTCACGTAAGTTCAGTCCATACTTGACACGCCCTTGCTTGCTGGCCAGTTCGTCGAATTGGCGACGTTGCTACTGCTCCTCCCCTTTTGCGAGGTTGCGACTAACATGCAACCAGCTCCGTCGCCACCTCCATCATGAGTCCCGCCCGAGTCCAGCTCATGAACGAGTTCAACGTCGGCAGCACCACCGCCCTCGTGCCCCTCGCCATGTACGTCTTCGCGCTCGGCTTCGGCCCCGTCATGGGCGGCCCGCTGTCCGAGACCTTTGGCCGCCGGCCCATCTACCTCTACGGCATGCCGCTCGGCGCGCTCTTCACCCTCGGCGCCGGCTTCACGCATAACTTTGGCGCGCTGTGCTTCCTGCGCTTCATGGCCGGCTTCTGCTGGGCGCCGCTGCTCGCTGTTCCGTCGGCGACCATCTCGGAGACGTTTGCCCCCAAGACGAGGGGGCCAGTGTCCGCCATCTTTATCCTGACGCCGTTTCTGGGCCCTGGACTTGGGTGCGTTACCTTCCTTCCTTGCCTCTGTACATGTAACCCCTGTGAAAGTAGGCTGACTGGAGACTTTCAGACCCGTCATCGGCTCGTTCCTCGTTAGCCGCAAGGACTGGCGCTGGACGCAGTGGACCCTGCTCTTCATGGCCATCTTCTGCATGATCCAGACGCCCTTCAACGGCGAGACCTTTGCGCCCATCATCCAGCGCCGCATCGCCAAGAGACGGGGTGAGCAGGTGCCGCCAAAGACGCCCCTGACGGCACGGCTGGGCACGTTTGCGCGCGTGGGTCTCATCCGCCCGCTACACATGCTCTTCGCGGAACCCATCGTCACGTTTCTGTGCCTGTACGTGGCGGTCAACTTTGGCATTCTCTTTAGCTTCTTCGCCGCGGTACCGTACACATTCACGCTCGTGTACGGCTTCGACCTTGAGCACTCGGGCCTCGTCTTCCTGTCTATCGTCGTCGGGTGCTTCCTGGGCCTCCTCACCATCCTGCTATGCGACATTCTGATCTACCGCCCGAGGACGGCACGCCACCCACTCAAGCGGATCCCGCCAGAGAACCGCCTCTACCCCATGATGATTTCCTGTTTCGGCCTGCCCATCGGCCTGTTCTGGTTTGCATGGACTGCGCGCTCCGGCGTGTCATGGGCGAGTCCGACCGTCGCCATCGTCCCCTTTGCGTGGGGCAACCTGTGCGTCTTTGTCAGTGCCATCCAGTACAAGGCGGACACGTACCACGGCAGCGTGATTGCGAGCGCCGTGAGCGCAAACAACCTGGCGCGATACGGCTTCGCCGGAGCCTTTCCCCTATTTACGATTCAGAGTAAGTCGCTCAACACGAGGTGTCTCTGGCGCGATGCTGACTAGATGCAGTGTACAAGGCACTGGGCATAGACTGGGCCACGAGCCTACTGGGGTTTGTCTCCATCGCTCTGCTGCCGATCCCTTGGGTGCTGTTCAAGTTTGGCCCCAGGATCCGGGCAAAGAGCAAGTATGAGACGATGAGCTACGAATAGATGATGGGGTGGCGGTTGAGCATTAGACGTGGGCGGCATCTCTTGAGCATTTCATGTACAGCATTAATGGCCGGCGTTGCGCATTTCCGTCGGCTTGTTGACGGATTCTACATAGACCGCATCTCCCGCCTCAATCAGCGACTTACACGAATACATAATCGTTTGAACTAATACTGCGCACCGGGGCCCCACCGCCTCTCTCGCCTACTGCACATCAATGACCTGCCCCGGAATGACGTTAAAGTCCTTGTCGAGATAGTACCAGTAGTCGTACTGCTTCGGCTTCGCTGCGGGGGGCAGGACATTGGACTTTTCGGGAATGTCAAACTCCTTGGTGGCGTTCTTGCTGGGGATGTAGCTCTTGCACGCCCGTGGGTTGGACGTCTGCCGCGTGCTAATCTTGTCGTGCTTCTCCTTGCCGAGGATGAGGTCCTGCCAGAAGCCGTGGCTCTCGGCGATGGCCTCGCGCATGTAGGCGGCGTCCTTGTAGTCCTTGCCGACGATGGTGTTGAGGCCGTCGCCCTTGACGACCTTGTAGTACTGCGATTCTCGGTCACTAAAAGCTGGCGACGGGGGTAGGGCGGGACTCACGGTGAACCAGTCGTAGAATTGCTTCTTCAACCCAGGTCGGTACTTTTCGAGGTCCTCCACGCCTGCGATCCGATTAGCGACGCAACAGTGGATGCCTTGACGTAGTACGCACTGTTGACCACCTTGGAGAGCGGGTCGTCGACATTGATGACAATGGCCTTCCAGTCGGTGGTGCCGTCCTAGTACAATTAGCATCATCTTTTCCATTAATACCTCAGGCGGACTCACGTCAATCATGGCCAGGCCGCCCAAAACCTTGACCTTTCTCACTTGGCCAACGTAGCCAGGGCTGCAGTCTGTCAGCGAAGCCCAACTCGGGCATACCAGAACACTCACTCCAGACCGCTAATGTCAAAGACGTCCATCGGGTCATTGTCACCAGGCAGGCCCGAGATGTTGTGCTTCACATTCGAGTTCTCCCAGGTCTGCGGGAACGATCCGTACAAAAACGGGTAGGACCGGTGCGGCCAGACGCTAGCGACGAATCGCGGCTTCTTCTTCTTGTCGTCGTGGAAGATGGGATCTGTTCAGTCGTAGCAGACACGGTCAGTGTTGTTACCAGACAAGCAGCGACCACGGTCTACTCACTCAGCGGCTCGTCGCGCTTCGTCTCAATCTTGGCGTCCGTCCAGCGAGGAATCTCGACGTAAAAATGGACGATGCTGTCGTCGGTCTTGTTCGGGTAGAGCGGGATGTCGTGCCAGAAGGAGATGGGGTTGCCGTCCTTTTCGAGCCACATGCGCCAATCCTGGGGTCGCCGTTGAGCGGAAGTGTCGTCATACTTGCATGGGCTGTCAACTTACCAGTGTGTTGCGAGCGCCAACCTCGCGCAGTGAGAGCGACTTGACGTCAAAGTCGCTGCCATCCCTGGGCGTAATAGAGGCTCCCAGGATGGAGCAAGGCGCAATGGCCAGCCAGGCCAGAGAAGTTACAGACAACATTGCTGTGCCGTTGATTGCGAATGTGTGCTACCCCAGATCTCAACCAGCTTTCGCCCAGGTCAACGACAGGGCCCTGGGCCTACTTATTAAATCCTCACCGTCAGCAATCCCTTGCGTCAACATCTGCAACCCGCAATCGCTCGCATGCTCATGCTTTTTGGCCAAGCTGCCCCCCTGCCGCCGCTGCATGTATTCGGTTCTCGATCGAGCTGGTGGGTTCCATCCCGCGTGGATAGTCGTCGACGGCGCCGGCGATTATTGGGCCGCCGCGGGCTGCCTTCGGGGGCGGGACCGGAACCCTTGCGCGGCGCTGCCACTGGGGCCGCGGAGGCACCGCACGTGGGCTTGGCCCGGCTGGCGGTATTAAAACAAGCTTACACGGTCCGACAGGGGCTTTGTTTCTGGAGCACGTGGGCAGTCGGCCAAGACTTTGTTTCCGTCTTGATGACGGTGGGTGAATGCAATTCTGCGGCCTCAATTGTCCGGCGTCGGCGAATTATTGGCAGGCTGTTCTGTGCGCTACACGTGGACTGCTCTCCGGTTATACTAGGCTGTTTAGCCTTGCCCCGACAGCCAAGAACACCTACGTTAGAGCTCTCACTACATGTGCAATCCGGCTTACAGTTGTGCAAGGATGCCATCATTCAAGATTGAAGCTCCAAAGCTCTTGGGCAAGCCTATTGGCTCTTCTAACCCTTTTCTAAAATTATTAGCCGAACGGGATTGGATCTATCATTTCCCCCAGTCTTCCGTGACAGCCACCTCAGACTTCGTGGTTGGGGAACTTGTGTTTCATTCAATGCTGTGCGACGACTCTTCCCATGGCTGACGACACGGGCCAGTCCCCTTGGTGTTTCTGGAATACTATGCGTTGCAGCCTCAGCCGTATTGCCGAACGCGAGCTTCAGCAGACTCCGTTACTATTGCCAGTGGTACTCCGCCGCACTGGCTGTCCGCGTTGTCGCTCAAATGGGGCGAGCTCCACGGAACGCCACAGTCCCTTGCATAGCCTTGCAACACCAAATATACTGAAGGTATTCTACTTGGAAACGCAAAAAGGGACGTTTCAACATTGCAAAACAGAAGCTCAGGTCACTAACGCCCAGCAGGGTAGATTGCAAAACGAGGGGACGGGCGCCTCCTGTCGCACCCGGATATGTCGGCCGTGGACTGAGACGGTATAGTCGCAGCACAGAACAGGGCGATACCTGAGCGCACGCACAGGCGTCGTCTCTTGTTCGCGCCCGAAGTCACAACCTCCACGATCTAGCTCCCCCTCTAGTGCTTCTAGAGACTGTGCAATATTGCGCTTGCCTTCTTAAATGGCTTCTACCGACGCAGTCCGAAGTTTGAGAGAAGTAGTTCATCAGCAATTTCTTTCCATCACAGTCCTCCCAATCCAAGCATCATTGCACCAGCGTACAATCTGCACAATCGTAAAGATGAACCCTCGACTCGCATTCGCTCTGGCCTCGCTTTTTGCAGGAGCTCTCTCCGCGCCTCATGCGGGACATGATGGAAACAAGGACCCCAGTATAGGGGACGCGAAGTTTGAGACCCTGGAGGATGCGCGAGAGTATGCCATAGCGCGCAATCAACAGCACAGGGACATGGCGGTAAGCAATCGTGTTACGGGCCAACCATTCAGGCCTCAACTCAAGATTGGGTGGAAAGAACGATTTCCTAACTCCCCGGTAGTACTGTGTCGCTGAGTCCCAGACTTGCGAATGGACCGAGTTCTCCGTCGAGGTCGAGAGTGACGACAAGACCGATGACAAGAGGAACGAGAAGAAGGACCAGGACCAGGACTACTTCACGGTCAAGACTTCAACGCGCACCGCAATGTGCAAAGTGGGACAGGTAAGAGCATACAACACTGGACTCCGTGCGCGGCTGACTGCATGCTAATAAGTGACCTATTTCGCAGTGCTCTGTGACCGCCTCGGGCAAAAGCCGTTGTGATCTCTCGTTCAGCCGGGGCGGGTACCCTAGCGGGACGTGCTACTGACCACATCACACCTGACGGGGGCGAGAGCGTGTCTAATTTGGGGCAGGACGGGCGTGCTGCAGACTAGAGTATTGATTATGCAAACATATATGCGCGTTTATCCATCGTAATCGTTCTGTAGCGTGCCATACTTGCCACAAACCGGAGCGCGCATGCGGAAGCTGACTCCAGTTTGATGTTGAGCGTAGAGTGTTGGGCGTGCCCAACCAGCACTGGCCTCCGTACGTACTAGGCAACGTAATGCTCCAATTTCGTTCACGTCCAGTTTTGTGGTTCCTCTTGGCTTGTTCAACGAGGTCCTTGACGTACTTGACGTCACGTACCGGAGACACTTATCCGGGAGAGTCGACAAGTCTCCCGCGGATGTAAAGTCGTTGACCCTTCATGTTTGGTGGCTGGGCGCACGGCCAGCATGATGTGCTGTAGTCGACGTGGCGCCAAGATAACCGCTACTTACATGTCGTAATTCGATAGAGCATTTGATTCGCGTATCTCCGGCCCGGCTGTCATAACAAGGTCTTGTCATGACGCGGCTCCCACGCACGGAATTGATTACGCATTCTGACCTTCCAGTCCAGTCAACTACGTACTCAACAGCTATCTCATGATCAAAGAGATCGCTCTGGATCTGGCCTGGAAGTATATATAAACCCCAGAAGTCCTTTTTAATGCATGTCGAGTTTCCTCCCCTTTTCATTCATCCGTCTGCCACGGAATATCCTGCGTCCACACGCAGTCATGGTCTGCGTCGCACAGTTGACCTTGGCCGCGTTGGCCCTCCGTGGTGTCGGGGCCACATGCATCGAAGACAATCGCGTTCATCCTATTTTGAAAAGCCGCGAAGAAGCAGAGGACTACATTTACCGTTTAAATCGGTTCACAGCGAGAGGTGTAGGTTTCCAGTCACGTCCAGTTTGGTCAAACCCAGCCGCCTAGCGCACACTGCATTGTACTCACAACTTGCGGCTAGGTGTGTCAATCGGCTACCCAAAAGTGCAGGTTTCTACGCAATTACTTCACCACAAACAAAAATGGCACATTCAGAGTTGGGCGAAATTGGGTTGAGTCGCCTTGCACGCGCAGCCCCGTAAGTTCCCAGGTGCATGCACGCACTGTCCGGCGAAGGTGTGGCGGGGCTTGGCCAGCATCGTCCTTCAATGTTGTCGTCGTGCTCAACTGGCGCTAACATATTGCGCACAAACTCAAGTGCCCGGACCCTATTGGCTCCTGTCGACACGCTGTCGTAAATCCAAGGGATTCGGGGTTCAGCAGCAGAGCGAGGCGCGATATCGCCTGTTTTCCTTTGGTGAACCAGGATACGATGCATGAACATGAGATGATGCACATCGAGGATCTATGGGTCTTGAACCATGCTGCTTGGGCCAACAAGAAGAAATGAGACTTTAAAAGCTCTCAATTGCTTTGTACGTCCATAAAGGCTACCGATTTCTGTCGTCAAGTGTTGCAATTCCCCGTGCTGGCAACACAGAGTCCGCTGCGAATACCTCGACGATAACAATGTCCTAAGGGAGTCCTCAGAACTGCGTCGACTGATCAGGAACTGCAATGCTTCCGTCAGCCACGCGCGTGCCCCCGCCCACGATGTCAACGTCCAACGCTTCGCCTTCGCCATCCCCGCTCGACCTGAGCTCAACGCGAATGACGCACTCTCTCCCCACCCTGTGACCCTGCTGCACCTCGATCGCTGCTTCGCCTCCCTCCAGTTTCAGCGCCTTATGGTTATACAGATAAGCCGAAAACGGGCCCGCAGCGCTGCCGGTTGCCGGGTCTTCAGACGACATTCCCGGGCTAAAGAACCGGGCGCGATATGTCTGAGGGGTGTCTTGCGAGGCCGGCGGCACGGGCGTGAACAGGAAGAGGCCGTAAGCCGTCTTGTCGACGAGCGCGAGTTGCTCCAGGAGCTTGTCCTTTTGGACAATCACCTTGTTGAGTGCGTCGACCGAGGCGAGCGGGACGAGGAGATGGCGGGTTGTCGACGTCGACATGACTTGCGGCACCAGCGTCACATCACTACCTCCATTCGCTGCCTTCACGGTGGCCCCGACGTCACTCGATGCGAGCCCAACACTGGCCGCCAGGCTGGCGGGATCAGGATGCTTCGCATGCGTTCCGGGCGAGACCTGCCGCAACGATACGGAAACTTGATGACCTCCGGCTGTCTTTTTGCGCAAAATCTTGACCGGCAAGACTTCTGTCCCAAGCTCCTGGAACACCGTAAACTCTTCGGTTCCAGTTGCAGCATCTACAGACGCCGGCTTGCTGAGGTCCAGCCGCCCAGAGTCGGCTAGGAACCACCAAGCGCCCAAGATGTTGTGGCCGGCGCCAAACACCTCCTTTCCATCGGGCAGGAACGAACGCAGTCTATACGTTGCGCCCGGGCGTGTGGGTTTTGAGAAGAAAGTCGTCTCCGAGAGATTGAATTGGCGCGTGATGAGCTTGAGTTGGGTGTCGGAAAGCGACCCGTCCGTGTTGTCCACCAAGGCGAGGGGATTGCCCTTGAAAGCCGTGGTGGAAAAAATGTCGACGATCCAGTACTTAACGGTTGCCATTGTGTAAATAGATTAGATGCGAAATAATCTAAGCTAAGGGTTTGTTTGTTGTCTGCTAAATGACTTGATTTTCAAGAAGAGCGCGATGGCAAGTTGCGGTCGTACGCTATTTATACAATACGAAGTACGAGGCCTCTCGCGGCTGAAGTGCCTACCTCAAGCCACGAAACGCTGGCGTTGCCAAGTTCCAACTTACAAATCAGGATTTGCGGTCACGATCGCCATGCACGCAACTCATCGCGAACGATGACAAACGCACAATTGACTAATTGTCGATTTGCGAGCGTCGAAGTTGGCATTGAAGATTCGTTCTGATGGCAGAGCACCCTTGTAATGGCGCGAGACATGCAAGCGGGTAATTGCGGTCGTGTATTTGGTTGAGACGCTGACGGATTGACTATAGTTACGATGAACCGTTGCACGCCAAGATTATCGCGACTTCGGTGAATCGGTGCTCGTGTTGACGGCTCTGCAGCGCACAATGGCGTCGACTAGAATTGAAGCTTCCACACGTCGCCCAGTCTCGAATTGTCCTCTGCCAGGCCTCCGTGAACGATGATCGCGTCACCGTTTGGCTGCTTGAGCACATCTGCTCCGAACCATCCTCTCGCTGGTGGGAGACCGTTCTGACCCGCCGCCAGCTTGACCTCGACCCATGTCTCGGTGTCGAGGTCAAACGCCCACACGTCCGCGAGCATTTTGCCTGCTCCAGCATGGCCTAGCGATGAAGGATCGCGCTCGCCAAACAGGGTGACCAGGAGATGCTTCCCACCAGCCGTTCGAACAGACAGTAGAGCAGCGACGCTGCGCGCCTCCGGCCCGTCCACCCCATCAGCGCGGAACGCTTTGCTACTCCAGGTGCTGGTCGCCAGATCAAACACGTCCAAGCTGCCACCTTGCTCAGTGTTGCCGTCGAATCCGCCCATGCGGTACAGCTTGCCGTACGCAAAAGCGATGGATGCTCCCCCTCGCGCCGGTCCTGGCGCAGAGGGCAGCTCCGTCCACGATCGGCTAAAGACGTCGAATTTCCAGAGGTCGGCAAGGCGACCAGCAGCAGGACATCCCGCGTGGAGGTAGATGGTCTTGTCATCGTCCGATGCTATGGCGTGGTAGCTGCGCGGCTCCGGGCGAGAGGAGCTGTCTTGGGGGGAGATCAGTGACCACGTAGCAGTGGATGGCGACCAGGACCAGAGGGCACCGCTCTCATCCAATGCGTTCATGTCGATGCCGCCACGTCCCGAAAATACGTAAATCTCGCCTTGGACGGACGTGCTCGCGGCGCCGACCCGCGGTGCAGGCGCAGGGTCAGGCGCAGGCAACGTGGTGACCGAGGCTGCGAGGGCACAATAAGCATCCATGATTCCATATATACCAATAATGCGCGACACGAACGCAAGACTCACCAGTGGCATCACCGAGGTCAACGACATCAAGCTGGTTGTCGACGGGTTGCCGCGGCTGCAGCTCGCCGCCAAAGACCCAGGCTCTGGAACCGACGACAGAGAGCGCCTGCGATGACCGTTGCAGGCGGGGGCTGGACGCGAGTCGCAGCCACTGTGCTGAGAATGGGGTCATTGTTGCGATGTGAACCGAAGGGGTATATCTCCCAAGGAAAGGTGAATTACACTGCAAGACGAAAACTGACTGTGAGACGGCTGATGGGTCATCTTGTACTTGGACTTGTATAACATGCACAATCGTGGATCATGCTCTGAGGCACCAGTAAAACATCCCGTAGCCGCGGCTCTAGGCATATCAACTGGATCCTCAATCCAGCCAATAAGCATGGACCGATGTGCCAATTCAAGCATCGCTCATGCAGCTCATGAGTTCAACTGCCCCAACGCCCGACATGAAACGCTCACCACCAGCAGCGTCAACCTTCGGCCGTAGGCGGGTGTTTCTCAGGGTTCTCTCAAGCCACCGCGCGGTCCATGACTCCACTCACACAATCAACTCACTCACTCAGCAGCCCAATGGATCCGCGCCGCACGGGTGCTAGAGTGCTAGCTTGCCTTCGTCATCGTTCAGCAAATTGATCCGACATGCCGGATCCTTGACTCCCGAATCGCACCACATGTCCAGCTCCGCCGGAGGGGTCCAATCACTCCGGCTCCCCAGCGACGAGGGGACGGCTCATTGGCGACGCAGATCTGGACGTCGACGGCGAGCGGATACACGAGTGCCGACGACGTGAGCATCGGACGATTCGACCAATGTTTACACTCTACAGTCTGTGAGAGGGTCGTCGGGCTGTGATGCGGTCCTCGGTTGCCTAATTCGAGGCCCATTTCCCTGCCGTTTACTTGTCAACCAGTTGATCCTCACATCAGGCCGTGAGCTGGACTTGAGAGTTGTCTTTTCAACACCAAGGAATCGACGATGGCATCCAACGCCGCAGATGAAGAGAGCCCCCGGCGCGCCGCCTCACCAACCGCTTCTCCCACGCCTTCGACGACCTCTACATCCAGGACGTCCTTGCTCGATTCCGAGCGCCATCAACGTCGAGATGACAACTACGATGATGGCGGCGACGACGACGACGGCACGCGCTCAGACTCCTCCTCCCGCCCTCGCGTCGCATGGCTCTCGTCTCACCACCAGACGCTCGAAGCCCAGCTCTACACCTCACACCTCCTCTCGACCGCCAACTCGCGTCTCTTCGAGTTCGGCGCCGTGCTCTTCCTCGCCGCCCTCTACCCGCGCACCCTCCTCCCCATGTCCATCTACGCCCTCGCCCGCAGCGCCGCCGCCATCCTCCTCGCCCACCCCGTCGGCGCGTGCATCGACCGCCGCGGCCGCCTCGCCGTCGTGCGCGCAAGCATCGTCGCCCAGCGCGTTGCCGTGGCCGCGAGCTGCGGCGTGCTGTGGGCGATGCACGCGGCGCTGGAGGGCGGTGCTGTCACTGCTGCCGCTGTTGGTGAGGGCGGCTCCTATGGAATGAAGCTGAGGCTCAGCGGGAGGAGCGTCGACGCGCTCTTTGGCGTGCTGTGCGTGCTGGCCTGCGTCGAGAAGCTGGCCGCCATGGCGAACCTCGTGGCCGTGGAGCGTGATTGGGTCGTCGTCATGACCGAGGGGGATGAGAACTGGCGACGAGGTGAGTGCGAGCCTGATCCAGCTGTTATGCGAGCGCTTCAGCAGCGACTCGAGACAATCGTACTTACTTACACCAGCGTCGTGCAGTCGTCAACGCCCGCATGCGCCGCATCGACCTCTTCTGCAAGCTCCTTGGACCCCTCTTCATCTCCCTCGTCACAGCCGCGTCCACGCTGATTGCGATATGGACCGTCCTCGGCATGAACGTCGCCTCCGTGCTCGTCGAGTATATTTGCATCGCGCGTGTACGTCCCGTCTCCTACCCGCCCGTTACACTGAACGAAGCTCACATCCTCAGGTCTACAAGAGCGTTCCCGCCCTCCAGCGGCCACCCCCTGGAGCCGCTACAGCATCCTCGTCATCTGAACCCACCCACTCGTCTCTATCGTCTCTCGCCAGCCGCATCCTCCCCATCTCTTCGCTGCCCTTCTACTTCCGCCACCCGGCCTTCCTGCCGTCCTTCTCCCTCGCGCTGCTCTACCTCACCGTGCTATCTTTTTCCGGGCAGATGGTCACGTTCCTGCTTTCCATCGGGTACACGCCGCTGCACGTCGGCCTCGCGCGCACGGGTAGCACCGTCGTCGAGCTGAGCGCCACGTGGGTGTCGCCTTGGCTGATGCGCCGCATCGGGCCCGTCCGCGGCGGCATCTGGAGCCTCAGCTGCCAGATGATCTTTCTCGCCGCGGGGCTGAGCTGGTTCCTCGCCGAGTTTGAGGGCGAGCCGGCGCGCAGGCTGGCGTCGGCGACGGGCTTGGCTGTGTGCGTCGCGTTCAGCAGGCTCGGGCTCTGGGGGTACGACCTGTGCGCCCAGGCGATTGTCCAAGATGTAAGTCTTCTCTCTCTTTTGCGGTCCAGAGCAGTATGGAATGAGCGGGCACTAACATCGTACAGGAGGTGGAAGCAGAGTTCCGCGGCACGTTTTCGACCGTCGAGGCCGCGCTCCAGAACTTCTTTGAGCTGCTGTCGTTTGCCACGACGATTGCCTTTTCACGGCCGGACCAGTTCCGCTGGCCCGTCGTCATCAGCACGACGGCCGTGTACATTGCGGGCGGCCTGTACGCGTGCTTTGTGCGGCTACGTCGCGGGCACCTCTTCCACGCTCCGCCGTGCATCAGGGGCAAGGCAGAGCGGCCGGCGGACTATCTCGTCGACGAAGACATCCCTTGATGGGCTACGTAAGGCATAGAGATGTTGCAGTTCAAAATAGAGATTGCTCGTCTAGTGTATGTATGTATGGCCGTGTGAAATCGACTCGCTAACCCCAACGCCGTGCTGTGGTCCAAAACATGTGCATAATCCAAATATTGATCCACCGGCTTGTGTCTCATCAAACTTGCCTGCCCGGCCATGACGGCGCATTCAGCATTAGGCCCATCAAGCACCCCGATATCAACGCCGTAGCCGGCACCGTCACCACCCAGCCCAGGTATATCCACCCCACGAGCTTGGGGTTGATGCACCGCCAGTCCCCGTTGGCCAAGCCGACGCCCACCGTCGCGCCGGTGATGCACTGCGTCGTCGACACAGGCAAGCTCAGGCGCGTCGCCATGAGCACCGTTATGGCGCTCGCGAGTTCCATGCAGAAACCGCGGCTGGGCGAGATGAGCGTCAAGCGGTTACCCAGCGTGCGCATGACGTGGTAGCCGTACGTCAGGAGGCCGAGCACGATGGCGCCGCCGCCAAAGCACAGCACCCAGACGGGCACGTCGACCATGTCGCCGACGCTGCCGCGCGACCACACGTCGTAGGCGGTCGCAAAGGGCGCGATGGCGTTTGCCACGTCATTGGCGCCGTGCGTAAACGACGCCGCCGCCGCCGTCAGGATCTGCAGCGCAGAGTACATGTACTCGGCGCGGTTGTCGTACCGCGCCGCCCGCGAGTGCATGTCCTCAATGTCCCACTTGAGCACCGCGTTGCGCTTCTGCATGCTCACCACGTCCTTTTCGATGCCCCGCAGCAGGAAGCGGTTGATCTTCCACGCGATGACCCGGAGGCTGTTGGACGGCCCCGGCGGGCGCGGAGGGATCAGGCCCGCCTCGCCTCGTGAGGTCCGTCGGGTGCTGGAGGATCCTGGGCGCGGAGTCGGAGTCTGCGCCGGCGGCGGGAGCATGAGCTCGTCATCCTTGTCTTCTTCTGTCGGAGGGGGCTGTTCCCCGTTGGGCGTCTGCACCGACCGCAGGAGCGTCTCCGAGGCGCGAACGTATTGCAGCTCCTCGGCCGTAAGGTGTCCGCGGTAGTAGTCCTTGATCTGCGGCTTGACGAAGCCGCGGGGAGTCGGCGGCGGCGGCTCGCGCCTGAGGAGAAAGAGGCCATGGAAGACGTGATACCACTTGAGCGTCCAGTCCTCACGCATGATGCGCACCCACAGGTACGGCATGACGAACACTCCCTGCAAAAGGGCGCCACCGGCTGCGGCGCCAAAGATGCTGATGAGGACATCGCGGGTCGAGAGCTCAGCAATGTGTACCCCTTTCCAGACGACGAGCACTACTCAAGTCAGCGCTTGCGAACCGCAGATGCAGGTACCAAGGAAAGACGCACTGGTCAATGCCCCGACGGTGAGAAAGGTGTAAAATGGAATCGACCAGAATGCCCGCCGCACCGCCGTCGGCTTCCGCAAGACGGTAAACTTGGTAAAGAGGAACAGCGCGGCGCCGATGCAGCCCGCCATGCCCGGAGCCACGACCCACGCCGCAAACACCTGCGACACGCCGCTCCAGGCCCAGTTGACCTTGTCGATGCCGATGCTGGCCGTGGCGGTGCCGACGAGCCCGCCGACGACGGCGTGGGTGGTCGAGACGGGCATGCCGTAGCGCGTGGCGACGGTGAGGAACGTCGACGACGCGACAATGGTGCACATCATGGCGAGGAGCAGCACCGCGGGCGCGTCGTCGTAGTGGTGCGGGTCGATGATCTTGGTGCGGATGGTGTCGGCGACGCGCGCCCCGACGGCGACGCTGCCCGAGAACTCGCATACGGAGGCGAGGGCCATGGCCTGCTTGAGGGTGAGGGAGCGGGAGGAGACGGACGTGGCGAACGAGTTGGCCACATCGTTGGCGCCTTGGTACGATCACCGTGTTAGCCGTTGCTCGACGTAGTCATTGAAGAAGACCTTGCAGGTATCCATCTGTGTGGCCGGGACACACCTATGTTCCACGCATCGAGGCAGGCAAAGATGGTGGTGACGGCAAAGATGTAGGTGTACTGCTGAAGGACGGCCATCTTGTGGCCGGCCCCGATCGGAGCAGCCTTCTCCTCGCCAATCGAACGTCGAGACGAACCCTGAGACGGATTTCAGGTCAGCCGGTTGTTCAGGTCGGCCGCCTATCTGGCGGTGGCCGCCCGGGACGCCATTGCTATGAGTAGCACGTCAACGTCGGATATCTAGCGGATCGAGCAACGCTGCTGATGAACGTCATGGAAATAAGAGTTGGCCCAAGCGAACGGCACGGCAGGGACCCGCGAGGTATTTCTGCAGAGGCACCCCGGTCCTGATCCATGGGAGGCGATGGCAAGCGGATGGCTGCTGCACGCCCCTGGGAGGCGGCTAGACGAGCGCGTGTGCTCCACTGGATGGCATGACCTTGTTCGTAGAGGTGTGCTTCCCTTCCTGGCGGTGATTCGATGGGTCGGCGACGCTGTCCCGGGGCTGCAGAAACGTGACATGGACGCTGGAGCAGCGCCCCATTGTGACGACGTTGTCTGATCCGCCTCCGCGTCCAAATACTCTATCCAGCGCGACGTCTCACGTCCAAGAAGCAACATGTCCCCTCGTCCTATCCCGCACGCCGGTGTCCAACAAGGCAACGCCCAGGGCTCATCCCGCAAGGTGCTAGCTACCGCGGGCCAAATATGTGCTCAACGGTCAACACGCCCACGCAACGCCCGATGGCGTTGTCGTCGTTTGCCGGGCCAATCATCACGGCCGCCGGCGCCACGAGGGGCATGCCGGATCCGCTGCCGAGACTGACAGGGAGTGTCACGCCAACGGGGCCCCGGTGCTTTTTGCGACGGGTCGAGAGGTAAATAGTTGGCAGCTGCTACGAGGAACACGGCCCCGTGGATGGGCGACGGCTCCGAAGCCAGCTGAAGCTTGTGCAGGTGGTGAGATCCGCCCCTCTCGCGTGCGTGCGATAGCTATATCGCTGTCGGCGCCGAGACGCTCCCTGGAGACAAAGGCGGGCGGATCGATCTAATGACCATCCCGGCGGCATCCCAAGTCCTGAATCCTGATACCGATCCGATAGCAGAGCCATTCGTCCAATACACCCGACCATGGGACACCCCATACGGTACCTGGTCCCCGGCAGCGGTGTCCATAAGCGTGACCGAGCCGGCCCCTCGGCCCGCCGGCGAACCACCGATCCAGCAACCGCACGGCGAAGCTATCGTTTCTGATAGACGAGTCTGATGAGCCTCAGGCCCGGCTGCGTTTCCGGGCACCGGTAGCTGCGATCAGATGGCGGGAGGTGACGGAACCACTGCGGCGGCTTGCTGAAAACCGCAACCTCCATTGAACCGTTGCTATGGCGAGAATCGCGTACATGGCGTCTGAATGAACGTAATGCAATGGATCCCGAGCATAAATGAGTTGTCGGCAACGATACAAAGACGCGCCGTCGCCCGCGGCGTCTTGTCAGTGGACGGTTCAATCGCTCACCAGCGCGGCGACAGGCGGGAGCTTATAGGCTACATGGCCCCACTAAAACATTCGCCTCGGCCCGTCATACATTCGCCATCGCTCCAGCACCACCATCACCACTGCCATCCGACCCTCGCCTTTCAAACCTCCAAAGCAACAACCACCATGCCTCGCCTCCCACTCCTCCCGCCAGCGGCGCGCCCGCAGCGCCTCTCCTCCCTCGCCCTCTCCCTCACACGCACGCGCGCGCCGCCCTCCCGCCCCTCCTCCTCCTTCACGGCGCGCCCCTCGCCCCCCAAGCTCCCCGCCGACCAGCAAGCCGAGTTCGAGCGCCTGCAGCGCGCCGCCGCCGTCTCCTCCGCCTTCCAGCAGCCCGACGCTTCCTCCTCATCTGGCTCCGCCACGCCGCCCAGCACGCAGCAGCCGCGGCACGCCACCAATCCCGTCGACGCAGCGTCACCTTCTTCCTCGTCGACCACGGCGGCGGCGGCTGCGGCGCCGCAGGACGCAGACGTCAACCAGGGCATGTTCCGCGGCGCACCGCCCGAGTTCGAGGGCGACGTCAACCCCAAGACGGGCGAGGTCGGCGGGCCCAAGAACGAGCCGCTCAGATGGGGTGGCGGCGGCGACTGGAGCTACAACGGGCGCGTCACCGACTTCTGAGTCGCGGCATCGCCATGGACTGGGAATGATCGGAGGGTGCCCTCTTCTTCTGCGCTTGGGGGTCGACTCAACGGCTTACCTCCCAGCCGACCTGCGACGGCTGTACAACACTTGTATCAACACACGGCATGGATGTCAAAATGTACAATTAGACGTAATCGAGCTATGGGTATTCGCGTCAAGCACACGCACGCCCCTTCCCGCTGCCACTTGGGGAATCCAAGTACACGTACACATGACAGGCTTTAGCATTTTGCGCCGCCCGTGTCACCGTCTGGCGACTGGGCTCACTTTTCCTCCTCGGTCGCCGTCTTCTGCGGCGCCTCGGCTTCGGCCATCTCGACGTCCTTGCCCGTAGCCGGCGCCGGGGCCGCCTCGGGCGCAGGATCCGCGGCAGTCTTGTCCTGGGACAGCCAGTTCTCCTTGTCGCCCTCGCTGGGGTCGCGCGCCTTCTCGCCGCCGTTCTCGGCCGTCTCCGTCGGGGCGTGCTCCGCCTCCTTCCTGTGCCAGTTCGCCGCGATTTCGCTGCGCAGGACCCCGCTTTGGTCCTTGTCCGGCTGCTGCTCCTGCGCCGGGTGCTGCTCTAGGCTGTTCATGTTGCCAAAGCTGGCCGTCACCTCTTTCATGGCCTTGCGCATCCGCTCTCGTCGTGCCTTGCCGCGTAGCCGCGCCTGCGGCTGGCCCCCGTTCTCGACCCAGCGTATGCTCTTCACCATGTAGCTGATGCCGTCGTGGACCGCGTGGCGGGTGCCAAACTGCCCGCCAAACTCGCGGCTCGTGATGCCATGCCTCGTCGTCGCCGCGTACTTGACCAGCCGCGGCAGGATCAGCACGTTGACGTGCAGGTCTCTATCCGCCGGCACAGACAGCGGGCCAGACGTGGGCGGCGCGGTGATGAGGCCTTCGGATCCGGGCGGCATGGTCTCGGTCGGCTGGTTCTTCGGCTTCCTCCGACCAACGTCTTCCAGGTCGAGCATCGATGCGTCGACGTCCTCGACCCATTCGCCCTTGATCCAGCCACTGTGGATGCATGCCGCCACCACGTCCGAGTCGTCCGTGTACACGTCGGTTCCCCAAAGGTACGCCCTGGAGGTTATTTCCTCACGGGCCAACGGGACGAGGTGCACCCGCGGCACCTTGACCGTCAGGATGCAGTTCTCCTTGCCCTTGATGGTCTCCCACGGGAGAGGTGTCGGGTTGGACGAGAAACCCCGGTGGCTGGGGGTGTCGGGCAGCAGCCGCCCAGGCTTGAGTCCAGGTTCGTAGATGAAGTCGCCCAGGTGGTGACGCAGCCGATCGGCGACCGCATCCAGCACTGCCTTGTTGGAGATGATGGTCTTGGGCTTGGGGGGAATTACAGGTGCCGGGGCCGGGGCTGGTTGCTTGGCCTGCGCGGCCGGCGTCTGTGCCGCCTTTGGTCCGTGATGGTGGTGATGATGATGGTGTGGAACGGACTTGTCTGTCGGAGACGCAACGGCCGGTCCTCCCTTGAGGTTCTTGAGGGGCGCGGCGCCTCCCGTCGGGGAAGCGGTGCCTTCGGGTCCGTGGTGGTGATGGTGGTGGTGGTGGCTAGGTCCCTGGTTAGACAGGCCAGATAGCTCTTGGGGAAAGGGATGCAGTGCGTACTGGTGGTGATGGTGCTGATGGCCCTTGGTGCGTTTGTTGGCGCGTCCCCCGGGAGTCACCCGGCCGGAGCTGTCGTCGTCTTTGTTGTCCTCGTCCTTGAGTTTGCGGCGGCGGCCCTTGGCTGGCTTGGTGCCCTCGGGTCCGGAGTCCGGGGCGGCGGCCTCTGCATCCTCGCGCTTCGGCGGCACGCTCACATTCGCCTGGCTCCCATACGCAGCCACGGCGCCGGATGTCATGGGGCTCGATGCCCCGATGGCGCCGACTCCGCTCCCAATGCCGGAAAACATGCGGCCAAACTCGCTCTTAATGCCTGGCTCCGCTGCTGGTCCCGGCTGCTGGGGCTGCGCCCCTTGCACGGCCTGAGGCAAGGGCGAAAGGCGACCCTTGCGGTTCATGTCCTGCACCGCGAGCAAGTTTCGCTGGTGGCTGTTTGGTCCCGGTGCCTCTTCGGAGCTCCTGTTGCGCGACGCGTCGTACCCAGGCGGCATGTGGCCGGCGCCGTTGTACGCGATCGACGGAGGAGGCGGCGGCGCTTCCTCGCCTGGCCGCGGCCGGTGCAGCGGATGGTGTGGCTGTGGTTGCTGTTGCTGCTGCTGTTGTTGGTGCAGGTGATCCATTCGAGCGCGGTCGGGCGAGTCGTACGGCTGCGGCGGCGCGTTTGCATGCGGCGGGGGGTGTTGGGGTGGGTGCGACGCCGGCGGGTATCGCTCAGGGGGCGCGGTTTGATACGCCGCGTGATGCGGCGGGTATGTCGTCGACGGGGGATATTCTTGTCGTGGGTGGTCCATGGGAGCACGATAGCTCGACTCGGCGCTGTGGCGTCCCCACTGAGAATCCCGAGGATCGCGCTGGTCGCGAGCGTCGGGCGGCCGGCCGTAAGGACCCTGGGGTTGAGGCGGCTCGCGATGTCCCATCTCGTGAGGGGACATCATGTGTCGGTGCGCATCGCCACCAGAGTATGCACGCTCGCGCCCCTCGCGATCTCGTTCGGGTTGGGTCTGTCGTTCCCGCTCGGCTCGATATCGATCGTCGTACGGATACGGCCGCAGCCCCGATCGCTCGGGATAGTCCATGCCGGGTCCGGGTCGGCCAGGCTCTTCCCGCCGGGCGTACGGGTCTTCAGGCCTGCCCATGTGAGGCGGCATGCTCCCGTACGGCTTCGGTGGCGCGTTGGGGGTCGGCGCCGGGCCGGTAGACATCCTTCCAGGCTCCCTGGACGTGTCGGCAGGCGCCGACGGATGACGCGCGTGGTAGCCTGCCCCAGGCGTCCCGTAGCGCTGCACCTCGGGTGTAGAGTAGTGTCCGCCTCGAGGCGACGGCGCGGTGCCGCCGCGGGGATCGTACGGTCGCTGGTGGTCGGGCGTCTGCGGTCGTCGGAAGGGCGGGTAGTCTGACGAGGCCGAGTGCATCCGCGGCGACGCGTGGACAGGCGGCGCGTAGCCAGGACCTGAGCCGGGCGGCGGCGCTGACGTGTGCGGAGGGTAGTGTTGGGGCGGCGGCTGAGAGTCGCGCGAAGCCGGCGGCGGGCCGCCAAGCATCGAGGAGATGGACATGGAGCTGCCGCCGCTACCCGAGCGCGTGAGAGAGCTCAGCGCAGGGAGCTCGCGGCCAGAGGGGAACGAGGTCGGGGGTCCGACGGCGACGGGCGGCGGTCTCGGGGGTGGGGGTCCGAAGCCCATGCCGCCTTGATGCTGTTGATGATGAGACGGCGGCGGAGGAGCGCCCGGCTGGGGCGGCGAGGTCGGCGGAGGCATGGTGCGATTCAGCTCCCTAGCTGACGGGAGCGACGAGGCGCTCTGGGCGCGGCTGTGGCCCAGGTCGGGCAAGCTCGAGCGAGCAGCAGGCGGGTAGTACGGCGTGTCGCTCGTCCGTCGGTGGTCGGCAGTCGCATAAGGACCGGCAGCGCGCGCGGAGAAGGGCGAGTTGCTGGCGGCGGGCGATCGCGTCGCGGGAGCTCGGGGAGGGTAAAGCGACGGCGAGGGCGACGAGGACGACGACGTCGCAGGTGGAGCGGCAACGGCGAAGTGGCTGTTGCTGTGGCTGTGGTAATCGGGAGTCGGCTCCGGGCGCAAGGCGGGCGCGCGGGGGTGAGGCGCGGGCGCGGTGTGCTGCTGCTGCTGCTGTTGTTGATGATGACCAGGGCCAAGGACAGGCTGGCGCTGATGGTGATGATGCTGCTGGTGTTGGGACGGGTGCTGGTGCTGCTGGTGCTGGTGCTGTCTTGGATCCATGGTCAAGCCGAGTTTTTAGCTCGAAAAATCCGACCCGTTCCGCCGTTCCTAGACTGGCCTGGCCTGGTCTCACTCGCTGGGGGGGCGACTGGGGCCACCGCAGCGACACAGGCAGACGGACGGAGCAGACGCGGCGCGCGCGAACACGCCACACACACACTCGCACACACACGCACAGCCAGCAACGTGCGATGACGCTGGGCCGGCCGACAAAACCCCAGATTTCGCGCGCCGCCGGTCGGGGGAGTCGCTCGTGCGCTGTGTCGCCCGCGTCGCCGTCGCAGTCGCCGGGGCGCGTCGTCGTGTCGCCAGGCGGCGCGGACTTTGAGGGTCGAGGCAAGCAATCACCGGGGCGCCAGCGCCAAAGGGGTCGCAGGGCAGCAACGGTGGGCGCCGTCTGGCAGCAGGTCGGGGGAGGTGATGCTGGGTGCGATGGCGGGAGGCAGGGAGGGAGAGTTGTGGAGGAGGAGGAGGCAGAGTGCGACGAGTTGGAGAAATTTGCGGCGAGCACATGCGTTCGACCCGTCAGGCTCGTTTAGGTTGGAGCAGTCCCGGCGCGAGCATGGATGGTGGATGGATGGATGGATGGGCGGATGGATCAAATGGATCATGCCAATGGATCTGGCCCGCCGGCCGCCCGGCCTGGACGGTGGACTGTGGGCTGGCTGGGGACCGGGACCCCCAAAAAGACTGGACTGACGCCTGCGCTGCCACCACCCACTAGGGTGACGGCGACTGGAGAGCGCGCGTGAGCGAGTGCCTGCCTGCCTGCCTGCCTGCCTTGCCTTCCTGGCCTGGCCTGGCCGCCTTCCTGTCCTCCAGCCACTCATCACATCTCGTCCTCTGCTGCGCGCAGTACCTACACTTCCGGGCTTGCGCCGCCGCCGCCAGCCCGCCAAGGCGCCCAGCCAGTCAGGAGCTCCCGGCTGTCCGGGGAGCACGCAGATGGCTGGACGAAAGCCTGGGGCGGCCCAGCCTGCAGGCGGGTGGAGGCGGCTCGGGGGCTAGCCTGGCTGTGGTGGGCCCCGTCGCCTGCGAGCACTGACACGGACCCCGGAATCGCTGAGGGATGCCAGCCCAGGAGAGCTGGAGTGTGGACGTTGGAGTGGGACCCCAGAACATGAACGCCCGGCCGTCATCGTCGTGAAGCTCACCAGGCGCCTCAGGCACTGGCGCCTTGAAGATCAGGCACTCAGCGGTACTTTGCATCGGCACGCTTTTCTTCAACGGCCGTGATGCCTCGACCATCAGATCCCAGCTCAACCAGGGGCCAGCCCCCCTCTGGGACTCCAGTCGACGCTGCGCATCATCACTGTTACGTACTGCCACATGCGTTGCGCACAGCCAGCCATCGCATCGCATCACACCGCACATCGCATCCCTTCCATCCCGCTGCGCGCGCCCGCGCGCCGAATCGCACCGCTAAGCGACGCACACGACGAGTCACGGCGACAACCCACCGTCGCGTCCATCCACGGATCCATGGATGCCTCCCGAGCAGCAACTGCTCGTACGGCGTCATTCTGGGCCAGTCACTGACCCTCCGTCGAAATTCATGCAGATCCCCCGCGCACCAAACACGCACCTGCGCTGTGCTGCACCACCCACCGCCCTGCCCTGCGCCCGGAAGTCGGGCGTTTTGGCCCCAGCGCCCATCTTGGAGCCGTGCGTGCCCCTGTCGCCGCCCAGCGGGGGCCCTGCATGCCTTCTGCATCCCGTCCTTTCCATCCCCTTGCCGTCCGCCTTCTCCACATCCCGGTCCGCGCTCCCGCAACGCAAGCCCTTGGGGGTTCGCATCTCGGTCGCATCATCAACGCCAGCCATGCATCATCTTGCCTGCTGACGCTCAAGGCCACTTGTCGTCTCGACCTGCCACGAATGATAACGCACGGGTGGCCGCTCATGCGGTGGCAGACGAGACGTGCACTTCTGCACGTCGCCTCCGCCCGCCCGTCCGCCGCCCATCGACCGCAGCACGCTGTGCGACCTTCGCGGATCCGTTCCTGTCGCTGCTGCCGCCGCCGCCGCTCGCATGCTGCGTGAAACACCGCCCTTGTGCGACCGATCAGATTCCTCGAAGCGAGGCGAATGGCCAGCCCTCGCCTTCAGGAGCATCCGGACGAGCGGCTCGCCCGATCAGGCCCCTGTCCCGTGCCAAGAGGCTGCCATGTTGTTCACCGCCCCCGGCTCAAGCATCGACGGCATCTACTTCGTAGTCGACTCACGGTCACTCCGTGGTCTCCGGCGGTGAGGCGCGCATAGATGCAAGCCCCGATTGCCGCAGATGCACCTCAGCCGCGGCTTCTACTTGACCCTGAATTCGCTACTCGAGTCAGAATGTGCTGTAACCTGCATTCCAACGGGAGGATTCCGTACCATCGACGACGAGACCCTGCCCACGCTTAGGGAAGCCGATCATGACGCTGGCATCTCTTGGGTTGCAGGCTCCGCTCTGGTGGTCAGACACTGACGCAACACAGCTCTTATGCCCATGTCGTGCAAGGTCACCTACAACACTCGTCCTGCCGGCTCTGCATCCTTATCGTAACCTGCACGTGTGACGTCTTCTCCATTGGTCATCTCAACAACACTCTATCGGCTGGGTAGCCAACTCTTTCCGCGGAGGCTTCTGGCTCAAAGAGTGGTGCTCTGTGCGCAATGCAGCTCACAGGCCTATCTATTTGACCAGAAAGTGAACTCTAAACCAGTTGGGATTGTGTGTGCGATCTCACGGCTGGTGTTGCTTCGCGCCGTGTACGAAGTATTCCCATCAAGCTTTGCGGATCGCAGCATGTGACGCGATGTGTGGACAGGTCAGGCACCGCACTCAGTATACCAGAGCCAAAAGCCAAAGTAGAAATAAGTGAAAGGGAGGTTGTTGATTCGTAAAAGAGGGTTGTATCTGAAAGCAAGAACAAGCTCTTGCCCCCTTTATATCCCAAAGCCCCTCCGTGGCCACTTCACACACTGAGCTTCGACGGCGACGATGGCAGTCCAGTCTACATGACAACAATGACGGAGGAAATGGCCGCAAACCGGCAAATTGGCAGCCACGTTCCAAGAACAAAAGTGGAATTGTGATGCTCACATGAGCCGTTGGCAGGTGAAACGGAAGGAGATTGTCTGTGAGGCATCCTAGGCACCACGACAGCTTCTATTGTCATGCCTCGATCCTTCTCGTGCCCCTAGCCTCTCGTGCCTCGTCCATCAACCACGCACCATGGAACTCCATCCGCATCAACAACCTCAATTTTGACTCCGAGCGAGCGCCAGTGCGCCTCGAAGCTACGGTCAAATTGCCCTAGCTCGCACGCGTAACTTTTGCCTTGCCTCAAGTCTAAACGGCGCGCCACATTGGTGACTAGATTTTGCATATTCTGGTCATGCGTGACGGTCATCAACATCAACAACTCGCGCGCGTTCTTTGTATGCAAGTCCTTTCAGCCTCATGCTGTACCAGCTGTTGCCGCCATTCCGACCACAGATTCAGTCACATCTTCACATAACCCCGCGTTGCAACGCCTGCCTGGAACGGCGACCATCTGACATGACAATGGCTCGATCCGGGGTCAAGACGCGTATGCTCATTCTATCCGACACCCATGGGCTGCCTCTGGAGGACAAACTGCCCAAACAGCCGATTGATGTGGCCATTCACTGCGGCGACTTGACAGAAGAGTCCAAACTGGACGAGTTTCGTGTAACTCTCCGGAATCTTCAAGCGATTGATGCGCCTCTAAAACTTGTCATCGCGGGCAACCACGACTTCACACTTGACACCCCGGTTTTTAGAAAGATTCTTGAGGAAGCAACCCCAAGCATCGACGAGCAACTGATGAGAAAAGAGTACGGGGAATACGATGAAGCGAGGGGACTCTTTATGGAGGCTCAGAGCCAAGGCATCCGATTTCTCGACGAAGGGACTCATCGATTTCTACTTGGCAACGGAGGAACTCTATGTGTTTATGCGAGCCCCTGTACCCCTTCACTTGGCGAATCGGGATTCCAATACCATCCAAGTCAAGGTCATTTCTACGACATCGAGGAGGACACGGACAGTGTCATCACTCACGGACCGCCACAGGGCATCATGGGACAGAACACATTCACGGGAAAGGGCTGGCTCTTCGGATCTCTTCGCAGCCGTCGCCCGAGCACGGCCAAGGCTCCATTGCTTCGGTCACATCCATGAGGGCTGGGGCGCCAAGCTGGTCGCCTGGAGAGAAAACGCAAGCGAGCAGCCGTCAAACCTGACGGACATTGACAACGAGAGATCGGTTACGGTAGAGACGCTCGGTACGATACGACGAAGCAACTTTGACACGGACGAGACCGCAGCGGACAAGGCAGCCAAGGCTCATGCATATGCGGAGAAGGGGTGTTGCGAGACGAGTCATTGCCATGGAGATGAGCGGCCCGTCAGCCTCGGGCGAGAGACACTCTTCGTCAATGCATCGATCAAGGGGGATGACGAGTTGGATATACATTTCCCGTGGCTGATTACCCTGGATCTAGCTAAACGTGAGGGCGATTGAGAATCCAGTCGGTGGACGGACACGGAACGACGGCTGGGACAAAGTTCAACAAGAGGAGTCAAAACCATGCGGTTACATGGGGCGATGATGGTCAAGTAGAGCAGCCGTGGGGTACTCATTAGCCGCGCGACCCTGAATATACGAACTCTAACGGCACGTAGAAGGCTGGGACTGAGTCCATCACTTGAATAGTCGTATGAGTGCTGCACAGCGAGGTGACTCAACAGGAACATCCTTGTCCATATTGAACGTTGCTCTTCAAGCCCAGTGAGGATTCGCTCGCAAGTATTGCCGCACAGGTCCCAACAGTGCCTTGTCCCTTGACACTCAGGGACAGTTCCTATCCTTGACTACATTCAAACTGAATCCCAAGCATCCCACACCATGGTCGACGGCCAAGGTGTTGCATAACGCAGGGTAGGCAACTTTCCCCACAGCCACCCTAGACCGTCACTACCGGACGGACCGCCGGATCGACAGGCGGCCCGGCCCTTTAGCGTCAGGGGAGACAGCCTCACCCAATTGTCGGACGACCGATCACATCCTTCCTTCAACCCCATTCCTGTAAGCTCCCCATTCCTCCAAGCCTCAGCTCGGCCGAATTTTTTCGTCGTGGAAAGAACTTAGAGCGCCAGTTGACCAGGGCATCGGTGTTGGCGTCTTTACAGTTGCCATCTCCCGCGCCAGCACGCCAGCGAACCAACACGACAGCACGCCATCCACTGTAAGAAACAGCCTCAGCAGCCACCACGCAAGGCCGCCAACCGCCATGGGCTCGTCGGATATCCCCCCGCCGTCCGCGCCGACATGGCTCGTCCCCGCGTCGACGGTGCTGCTCGGCTCGGGCATCGTGTGCTGGCTCGCCTGCTACGTGCTCATGACGCGCCGCTCGCTGGCCACGCACGCGACGCCCATCCCCCTCGTCCCGCTCGGCATCAACCTCGCGTGGGAGGTCGTCTACGCGCTCTACGTGACCGAGGCCCCTCTGGAGCTGGCCGGCTTCGCCATGTGGCTGGCTTTTGACGTGCCCGTGCTCTACGCCACGCTGAAGACGGCGCCCCGGTCCTTCGCGTCCGCCCCGCTGGTCGCACGCAACGCCGGCAAGCTGCTCGCCGTCGTCTTCGTCTTCGGCCTCGCCAGCAACGCGCTCTTCGCCTGGTGGTGGCTCGCCGAGCCGCATCGCGGCCACGGGCTCAAATGGGGCAAGGTTTGGAACGGTCTTGAGGCCCGCGACACGACGGAGCTCGCCTGGTGGTCGGCTGGCGTCGCGCAAATGGCCATGAGCGTCGGCGCGCTGGCGATGCTGATCCAGCGTGGCCACTCTGGGGGCCAGAGTTATGCAATCTGGTGAGTCCCTCCCGTTGTCCCGATATCTCGATATTCAATCCCGGCCCCCCTCATTCCACTGTTCGAATTCGGGGAGGGGTGTGCCTCCAACTCGCGGCGGGCCGCGGACAGCATCCGGCAGTCCGAAATGCCTGTGTCCCCGTGCCTCTGGCTCAGTACGGAGCATCCGAGTGGAGATGACGGACCCGACCGGACGGTTCTCATGTCGCCCACTCGGCCCGTCTCTCAGCAAAAAAAAGTGCTGCACAATGTTGCCTCTTTGACGCCAATAAACACCCCTCCGCGCGTTGTTCGGGACCAGAACTGATTCTTCCTTCCCGAGCAGGCTGTGTCGATTCGCCGGAACGCAGTTGGGCCTCCCCGGGACATGCTTCCTGCTCTGGTGGTACTGGCCAGAAGCCCACGGCTTCGTCTGGCACCCGCTCTCCATCATCATTGTGGGCACGTCCATGGCCTGCGATGTGGCGTACCCCTTCGTCCTGGCGCATGTGCGCAAGACGGAGAGGGTGTTGCCTGACGGGACCGTTGTCGCCGGGGACGTTGACGTTGCAGTAGCCGACAGGAATGGGGCTCGCCACAAGAAGCGAAATTGAGGAAGCCGTTTTTAGACAGACCCTGTTTCTTCCGGAAAATATCGACAAGTCTGCAAATGTCGATACTGATCCTCGTTCAGCTCAGCCCTGGACCGTGAGAGAGTTCACCCCTCGTGGGCAGTGCGTCGCCCTCGACATGAACCCCCCCTGGACCTATGCGCTGCGACCCGCCTCACCCCCCCTTGCGAAAGGATCCCTCTCTTCAGCTTGTCGTTCCCGTTGGTCCACGCCCGGCAGCGGACTCATGGCATTCGAGATTACGATTCGATCGCAAGCGCCATGCCACGACGATTAAGATCGCAGTTGGGCCTCGCCCATCAATCAACTTGACAGCCCGCAGGGGGCGCACGCGCAGCCACCTGCAGCCTCTCCACGTGTGCGACGTCCAATTGCCCATCGAGATTGACAAGAGGCATGTCGCACTGAGACAGGGCCGGCGGGGATGCAGACGAGGTATCCCTTTCTCTGGATGGGGCTCTTTGCCTGCGAAGCACCTGACCGTCCCCTTCCAACAGGCCAAGACCCAAGGGTGGCACGGGTTGGGACGGCTCGTTGCCTGCGCTCTGGATGTCGGGACCGAGCCGGGCACCGGCGGCAGGGGAGCCAAGAGGAGGAATGCAACATTGTTTCCGTCCTGTCGCGGGTTAACGATGTTGCTGGCCTGCATGATGTTATCCTCGTACGCCAACTCTACCACATCATCGATCTCTATTCTTGTCGGACCACTTGCGTCTGGTGGCTTGTAATACGACGGCAGTGTGACGGTGACGGGGCCACAAGCCTCTCCCGAGGCGCGACGATCATCTTTAAAGGCTTCAACGGCTCGTTGCCGCGAGCGAGTGGCTGGCTCTCCAGGGACTAGATCGAGCCGTGCGCGAGGGCATGGTCCTCTGTGCAACGGTGCAACCTAGGCTAATTTGCCTGCGCGTGGTGTCTGAGCCGCATGACGAACGCGCCCATCCCTTCAAAAACGCCGACGCGGAGATTCGCTTAGAGAGTCCAGGCCTTGCATCGCAGCGTTGTGAGATCTGACGGCACTGCAAGGCAGGTCGATACATTTTAAGCTTCCTGTCGCGTATGGACCGGAACCTGCCGTTGTCCCCTTCCAGGCATTGCCAACAGCGAGTGCGGCCGAAAATGGACACCGACGAACCGTCAGACGTTCATGTTGGGTCTACGGGGTCCCTTGCAAAGGGTCTCGGTTCCGAGGCAGTCTGCAACGGGGTGGCCAACGTCTCGAGACCGAGGGGCGAAGGGTGTCCTCTAGAGTGCTTCCGTTATGCCCTCGTCGACCTTGCCGACTGGCACTGCCGAGACGGTCAGGACTCAGGACGGTTGACAGTGTTGGCAACGGCGTTGGAACGCCGCCCGTTATGGCGAAGAGGGCTGTGTACTGCACAGTAGGAGCACTGCATGTGCAATGTGCGGCCGCTAGGCAACGCGGCGAGTGAGTGGGCGAGCCTGTGCATGGAGGCTGTTGGTGGCAGCGGGTTCCCACGTTGATGATCACCGCGGCCCCCGTCTCGGCTCTCGCTCGAACAGGGAGTGCGGAGTTTTGCCCATGGCGACTGGGACGAAAGAAGCTGGGTATTTTGGCGCCGGCACAGCAAGCCCCCAGGGATAGCAACACCCAATGCGGCAAGAAAATGTGATGTGCGAAGAGGGATTGAACCAACGCCCAACCCAGGGGGGGACCGGCCAGGACTGTCACCTGACGGACAGTGGATGCAAGCCAACTGATGTCCTCAACTTTGCTCCGTAGTCGGACTCAGTTCAAAACGGTGGGGACCCTTACGGCCACCGCGGCCCGTGCTGCCACTCCCCTCTTGATCCGGAAAGGGGTCCAGTTGAGTTGAGGGCTCTCAAGGGCCCGGGGAGGGGGGTTTGTTGTGTCAGTCTGTTGGTGGAAGGGGCATTACCCCAGGGCGTCTGGAGCGACGAGGGTCTCGCGTGCTCTGTATGCGGGTGCAAGTCGTGGAGAAAGCCGCCATCGACGCCTTGTCCCCTGCGGAAGTGGATACACACTGTCAAGCTATCTCGTGGTGTGGCTGGGCCTAATAAATATTTTTCTCTTTTAGATTTCCTTTGGCCTTCCAAATCACGACGTGGCTTGTCCTGTGTCACGACGCAAAGGAACATGGCAAGCCCGGGGTCTCATGGGATGGCGCCATCGTTGGCTGTTCCAGTGTGTGCTTTTGGGGAGATGACGCGCGCCGGGACCTCGGACAGGGTAAGAGCACGCATGCCCTGACTGGACTGGGGTGGCGGACTGCGATTCCGTCGTTCGGATGAATATTTTAGTGTTTGATAATGTGCGCCCAGGAGATGCACATTGTCGGGGTGTGTGTCCGCCAGATAGCAGAGCCCGTGATGTCAAAACGGGATGCAGATTCAGGTCGGTGTTAAGATTGAAGGATCGGCGTGTGGTGCCGCTGGATTGGGCGGTGCAGTGCAGAGTTCGAGTATTTGCAATTATTTTTGCTTTTGCATCGGAGATGGATGGCAAACACGCAGCTGCAGGTTTCTGCATTGTCGATCAGTGCATTGTTGGTTCGTCCAGCGTCGGTACAACAATAGGTAGTATTCACCCGACTATACGAGATGTGCACTGTACATACGGCCCAAGCTACATGTACGGATAGGGTTGAAGAGGGTTGAAGCTCATCAATGTCACTCCTCCCACCGTGCGTCTGCCGCCTAGGTGCACTTTGCGACATTGGCGTCGAACGAATAGGCGCATTCGCTACTCTTGCGGGTGCACTGCAGGACTATGTAAGTGAACGACCCATCTTGCAGTGTGAAATCGGTATTCGCCCAGAGGTGGTATGTACTCACTGGATTGTTGTGAGTGCAGGGGTGTATATTCCGTCCCATAACCCTCGACTTGAAAGTGCAAGTGTTTCTGCCTGGATCACACGTCTGTAAACACGCCCAATCAGCATGGTCGTCTGCAACGGATGCCAAGTCCGAGTAAACGTACGCCCTTGACCTCGTAAACCCGCGTCGACTGCGAAGCTAAAGTGTTGTCGGCCATCACCGTCAGGCCAAAGGCGATGATCACCAGAGTAAGGAGTCGCTTCATGGCAACATTGAATGTCTCCGTTTCAGAGTGACCGTAGATGAAGAAGTTTTTCGCGCAACTGACGCGGCTCCTTTCGTTTTTGCCCACCCGTGACGTGTCCGCGCGCGTTCTTATAAGTGTGAAGTCATGTAAGTGGCCTCAGCGTGTCACAAGAGTCTGAAATGAGACTGAAACCCTGATATAGAGCGAGTGTAACCCACGGGTGCCCGTGCAGTGAGTGCCACAGACGATCACCCATTAGCCACAGATGATACATAGCTTTGCCCTGGTGAAGCCTAGAAAGTAAGCCACTTGCAGCTGCGCGATTCATCAAATGCTGCGACACAAGAGCGCAACGACCAGACAGCTTCGGTTCATTCTGCTCAGCAGCTTCCAGGTTCTTGTTTCCTTAGAACTTAGATTTGGCACATATCGATTCTGTTACAACGCGTTGAGATGACACGTTGATGGCTCATTTAATAATGATCAACGCCGCATATAGGCCGCTTTCTGAACTACATGTAGGTATTTGTGCAAGGACCCTTTTTGCCGCGAGGGACAACAGCTTTACAAATGGGTCACGGCAATGTTTTGCAACTCAGAGTTCAGCACGGAGCCTTGCCTAGAGAGGACCGGGGACGATTGCTATAACACGAGGATGAGTTCAGACTACAATCATGCTGCGAATCTTGAAGGCTGAGAGAGAGAGATACAAAGCACGGTTGGCAGCCGGCAGAGAATACGAAGTATTGCCAACCTCATGCACCGGGGTTGCATTCAAAGAGGAGCCAATTCTAGTCTCCCACTTTTGTGATGCGGAAAGGCGCTCGGACGCGTCCAACTGCCGTGCCAGCGTTGCACCAAGCGCCAGAGCTTCCTCCGGCTGCGCCGGGATGAGCTCACTTCATATCCACAGTCAAGGCACATTATCAGATAATCAAAGTACCGCTCAATGCATACCACATGAATATTGCACAGCAATCGGATGCAAGCTCTCGGCGCCCGCACGCGTTGCAAACGTCCATCCAGTCCCGGCAAGGACGGATAGGGAGAACGGACCAGCGCAGACGCGCGTCAACCCACATGCTGTTAGTTACGAACCGTTGCATTTGAAACACCACCGCCCTCTGCCTACATACATACGAGCATGCAGACGACACATCTTTACGGCCAGTCGTCAGGCCACCACTCGGTCAGGTCATTTTTCCTGCCACGTGTTTGTAGCTGTTTGTCATCCCCGGCTCCCCAACAAGGTCGCGGCGCGTGTTGGTCAGGGACCGGGATGATGCCTTGCAGCAGGGATCGACAGGATTCAACGCTTTTTTGTCTGACATGCCCACATCAAGGGTCCAGTCCAGTCCAGTCCGGTCTATTTGACGGGCCAGACCGCCGCACCAACATCGTCGACGTTGAGGTGGCATTCAATCTGTCGCCCGCATGCGGTTGGCGGCTCCAGTCGGGGAGAGGGGGAGGCAGGGGAAGACGAGTTCTGATAATGCCCAAAGAGGCACGGATGTCGGTGCACTGTCGTTGCCTGAGGAGCGGGAAGTGCGTCGAGTGGATTGTCGCATCGAGCGACTCCGCCCCGGTGAAGCGATGTAGTCCCGTCATGCAGTCTATAACTCTATATGTCAACTCTCGCAAACTGAAGCATGCGGTTCCTGAGTATGCACAAAGCGGAGGCTTCCGTAACACACCATCCACTGGCGAAACCGCGGATGGTGTGCAATGCTGGCGGTTGAGGGTCGGGCGTTGAGCCGCCTACAGCCGAGCTCATCGTATTGCGGCAAGTGAATAAGCAGCGTGCAGCGCCAACAGCAACGAGCTTATCCGCGATCAAATAGAGTTTCTCGTTAGGCGAGAGACTGCCCCGTGCAGTCGATAGTGCGGCCCAGTGGGCGGTGCCCAAAGCTGTATCTGTATGGCCATACAGTATCAGCAGGGCCTTGGATACAACTCTCTTCTTGGGCTCGTGGAGAGACGGGCGCTGCGCGTTTCAGCAGTGCAGCACAGCAAACAAGATACCGACAGGCCAAAGCCATGCACAGCCAGCGATGATGAATGACAGCGGGCGTGTGGTGCAAGCGGCCGTCGTTCAGGCACCGGACGCAAGGTCGGCTTGAGCGGGCGGCTCATCGACGAGCAACGCGCACTGTTCTTGGAGTGCCGACAACGTGGCCCCTCCGCCGCAACTCCCGATGCTGCGACAGAATGTCATCGGGACCTGCCGACATGGACGACTGTGATGTGTCGCATGCGCATGACACGCAGGCACCTGCAATCACGAGCCTGAGGACATGGAGTAAAGCCTCAACGGCTCGCCCCTTTCTGGTCCAGGGTTGGGCTGCTCATCCCCTGCGAAAGATGCCGCTTGCCCATGCAAGCTGGCAATACTGCGAGGAACCTAGACACACGGATATTAGTAGAAGCAAGGCCGTGATGAGTTTGGTGGGAGTAACCCCGGCAGTAGACTGACAAGCCCCTTTCTAAACGGTCGGGGAACATTCCACGCTCCGTAAGGGACGGTCAAACGGCCCACGCGCAGCAAAAGGCCGAGCCGTTGGCTATTTGTACGTACGGCTGTTGGACACCGCAGCAGCAAGCATTGACGCCGTTGGACTAATTGTGCATAAAGTGCTGTCGTGGGGGAGGGTTGCTGCCCAACATCAAATGCCTGTTGATGCAGTCGACTTACACCGCACCACCGCCAACGGGCTCGACAACTGCACCGCCATTTATTAATTACCGCCTGCATTCACACGGGCGAATCTCAGTTCGCAGGACCATATGTGCATACACACAGCGAGACTAGACTCTGCTATAGCGATATCAGATGCTTTAGCACCTCGATACCGGCCATGTTTCCTCCCTGGCGTGTCTGAATGACTGCCAAAAGAAAGTTCATGTCCAGCAGACCGGCACTAAAATAGCGACGACATCATCCCTAACGACAGCCGCGCACTAAGACCACTAACGTTAGCACCTCCGCAGCTGCCCAGCATCCCAGCCCGTCGAATCTGTTCCCCCCCGCCCCCGGATTCGCAGCTCGGTGAGCCCCCCGGTGAACCGTGTGAGCTGTGTGAGAACTCTGTTCATTCCCCAGTTCACCACCCCAGACGCCCCCCTCCCCCCTTCCCGCCCTGATGGCGTCGCTTCAGCTGGGGCGCCTCCGGGACGGGGTGGGGAACTGGGGGATCATCGCCGGTCCCTCGGTGTTGGTGGTCGCATCGGCTCCGTGGCGGCGGACGGACGGGGGGATGGAGGGGAAGTTGTAATATGATGGTAAGCAGATGACAGAGAAACGGTTGGCATTCCTCAAACCAGTACATCTACACCACCACCACCACAACCTCCTCCTCCCTCCCCCTTCATCACTCAGCACATCCAGCCCCTGGCGGCCTTCCCGACCAGACGGGCCCATCAGGGTGCAAGCGTAGTTGTCTCTTCCCACTCCAGCGCGCGCAAAACACCACCCGTCGTTTCTTCTTTGGTGCCTTTTGCCAGGCGGCCTCACATGGCCGCCGCCGCTGCAGGCCCTCTGCCTCTCCGCCTCTGTCAGTACGTGCATATGCACGTCTATCTGGCCGCAGCGAGTCCCCACGCGGTTTCCAGCTGGACAGCGTCGTCTGGTGCCTTGCTGTCACAAGCCTTCAATCCCTTTGGTCCATTCGTCGCCCCCCGTTCGCTGCAACCCGCCTGGGAACTTCCTTGTCGTCCAGCTCGCGTCTGCTCCGATCCAGCAATGGCAAAAAAGGGAAGCAGAAGCAAAAGCAACGCTCGCAGCCCCCCTCGCGACCCAACGTCCGGGCATTTGGGACGGGCCTGCAGAAAGCATGACACCATGTTTCGCGCTCGACCACGTAGTGATTGCATACAGACCTGCGTTGCGGCGTTCCCCCTGGTGAGTGAGGCTCGCAGCAAGATGCATCGTCTCAATATAGGATCATCCCGCCCGCGGGCGAAGCAAGGAAGAAGGGGGGGTGCGGCGCGGAGCGGCCCCTCCGATCATGATGCATCCTGCCGGGCCGCGACATCTCAAAACCTAGCCCCAGAAACTCGCCGATACGATGCGCCGCGCCGCGTTGGGGTGGCGGGATCGAAGGACGCGCTGCCGCCCGCCGTGCCTTGGCTCTTGCCTCTGCTCCGAATAGCCGGGACGCATGTTGGATGCTGGGTGCATCATCGGCCCATGGCCACGCACACGCACGCTCGCTGGTGTTACACACACGCACACACACACACACACCCGGGCAGCATCGTGTCTTGCGCCATGTACCCGCGTGTAATCGCCCTGCGTGCCTGGCGGTGGTGCCATCGGCTCATCTCGCCCGTCACACCAAAACGCCGCATCTCAGTGCATTGCAACGGCCCTGGCCGCCCGTCCGCCCGTTCGTCGCTTCGAGAAGCCGCCGCACGGCAGCGTCACGCTCGAGGCAAGACTTGCAAGGGACGCGAGAAATACGACAACACGCCGGGACGACGGCAGTCCGAGGGACTTCAAAGACACGGCGGCGCAGGGGCAAGGTTGCGAGGAAGGGGTCGCGCCCGTTGCGGGCGTGACGCAGCGACGTGGCGTATTGCTGTCGCGACGGGCCATCATCGGCCGCCCGTCCATGTACGAAGTATGCTGCTGCGTCGCCGCGCCGTTGGACATGAGCACGCATGTAATTGCATCGCGATTCCTTTTCCAAGGGGCCTATGTTTGGGTTCCTGCGGGTGCGGCTCGCTGGCTGGCCGGCCGCTTCTCTAGCCTGCGTCCGCCAGGGCGCTTAAAAGTCAGTAATGTAATCATACGCACCCAGGACGAGCAGCGAGGGCCGACACTTGTCGGGGAGAGGAGAGACGACAAGGCCAACAAGACAAACGGGGCAGAAAAGCGAGAGCCGCCCGGCCAGGGGGTGACAGTGGTCCTGGTGCACGCGGAGGCCCGCCGCCGTCTGAGTTGCTTGCCCCTCGCTTAAGTCCGACGACAAGCGCTGGCCACCTTCTGGAAGGTCAGGATAGAAGGTTGACGGAAGCACTGCCGCGTTGCGCGGTTGGAGCGCGACCAACAGTTTGATGCTGGGTGGCCTGATTGTTGCTGGCTGGCCGGCTGGCACATTGTGGGAAGCAACACCGGAGGGCTCTCTGTCAACGCAAAACACACGCCCGCAACGATGACAACAGCGCTGGGCCCAACACTGTCGAGCCAGACAGGGCCAGCCTGAAAGGGCTGCGCAGCGCCAGCAGAAGCGCCGGACCAACACTCTCGCCGGGCGCCGGCCCCCCCTGCGCGCCCGCCGCTGGGCAGGCAGATCAAACAAAGCACAAGGCGGTGGCTGCAGTAGCGTGGAGAACGCAAGGCACAGTCATCAGCAGCCCTTCCCGCCTTGTGGGTGGTGCCAAGCAGTGGCCCGGCCCTGTCCGTCCTTTTCTGTCGTCTGTTGATTAATATTCAACACGGCCAGACATTGACGCACGCCAAGGACAAGAACCGCACGTACGCTTCTGAGCACCGTGACCGCGCCCTACGATGGCTAACTTTGATCCTCATGATGAGGAAAAGCAGCCAAGACGGGAAATCCCCATTCTGTTTCCCGTGCTGCTGGACCTCTGCGCTCTCTTGGCACCGGACCAGAGACTCGGGGCAGCACAGGCAGGCCACCCTGGAATCGCATGTATTCAGGATCCCAGCGCTGAACTACCGTGAGACACGAGAGCGGTGCAAAAGCAAACAACGCGGGGGGGCTGTTACCAGACCGCAACGGCGGCGCCCGTTTCCCCAGGCTTTCAGGGTATTGACCGTTTTCCTTTGTGTAAATAAATCAGGGCGAGACCGTCCCAGCCCTGGGGTTCTGGTGTTTCCTGGGCCGGTGTGCTCCCAGGGTCTGGTTGCTGTCTGGTGTCCTGGCGGTCTGGCTCGATTGTCTCAAGGGGTGTCGCTCCGCTGGCCACTGTGCTGGGTCGGAGTTCGATCCCTGGGATGAGCTTGTTGGCAACGGCGTATCTTCGATGGAACATTCTTCCGTCGGTGATGGATGGATGGATGGATGGAGGAGACGGTTGGCGATGGCACAGAATTGACTGACAGCTCCGAGGACC